ATTTTTTATTATATTTAATTCTTTTAAATTTTTTATTGCGACAATCAATTATAACCATTTTATTAATTTTTTTACTAATAGATTCTTAAAGTTTTTATTTCTCTCGAAATCTTTACTTTTCCCACATATTGTTTGATCTTGATTGTGTTAGGCTTAGATTTCAATGTATTAAAAAATTGAGTCAGAATTAAGACAAAGTTCTCCCAACTCATCTTACAAACACATTCTTAAATAAAATGGCAAGGATTTGAGAATTTATGTAAAGGAAAAATTCCAAAAAGACTTGAATGTAATAATTAAACTTATAATTAGACATGTGTGTGTCAAATCTAGTGTGAGTTTTGGCTTCTATAAATGATTTAGAGTTAGAATCAATTATGATATAGTTTTTATTCAGTGACTAAAAAAATGTGCTATAGTGACGGATTTTGATTTAAATTTTTGGAAGAATCATTAGATATATTTACTAAAATTATTCAATTAAAATTCATACTAGTTATATATAATTTTATCAAACTATCAAAATAATATATCAGCATTGAGAGTGCTTATAAGTAATAAAAAAATTTGGGGGGGTCACAGCTCTCCCCTGCTCCCATGCAAGAAGCTCTCCGACTAGATAGTAACACAATTAAATGTATGAATGATAGCTTAGATAACTAATAATGTTATATGTTTTTTAATTGCTCAGTTATGACCTATTCCAACTCCGTATATAAAAAGATATTAATGCATACCTCAAATACCTATCAAGCTGAATATAATATATACATCAAAATGAAAATGATTTGAATCCCACCTACACTTGTATTTTGTATCCGTGCATGAATGAATGCACGAATGGAAGCATTAACCACATCGTTGGTTCTTGTATGCTCAAAGGGATTCTGAAATTGAAATGAATGCTGATGCAAATTCTGCCGCGCGCGCACGAGTGAGGATAGTTATGGTGGGTGTCTGTGCGTAGTTGAGTTAGCGTCATCGATCATTTAGGATTTAACTACGCGGTAAGCATTTTCCGGAATCTCTCAATGCATGTCTTGTACGACGAACTCAGCCCCATCAAATTTTTCCTTTGTTAGTGCCATGGTGGTGATCAATCCAAAGGGTTACTTTTTCATTGGCCATAGGTCCTATAACTTCCTTAATTATTGGCATGCCATGCTTTCATCCTATATTAGAAATAATTTTTTCTTTACAAATTCAAATATTTTGGGTCAATGTGCATGAAGCATATGTCCTTAAAATTTTCAAGGGAAAACTTCGCTTAAAGTTAACATAAAAGTTGGTTTAAAGATATACTTGATGATGATGATGATGAAAGCAAATACACGTTGAATTTTCAAAGTGGCACAATTTATTTTTTATATCGAAATATTTTATTTTGTACAATCTAATTTAAAATGTGTTACCTTGTTCATATACTTATCGATGTTGGCTTTCAGTGAATGTTAAAAGAAGTAGACGACGATACCATACAAAGATAACACAAGAAAAGGAATAGTGTAATTAAATAGGATACGATAGGTATCTTGTAAAGTTATACTTCATCCTCTCGTTTGTCCCTTGACTAAGCCGCCGCTATATTTTTCTATCGAATTAGGTATATTAATTAATGAAATATAAATAAAAACAAAAGTGCTTTATTAAAATTAAAAGATTTGATACATCACAAACATAAAAAGTATATAAAAAAAAATACATAACTGAATAAATAAATCACTTAACAAGAAACTACTTTTTGTTAATTAGTAATTTTGAGTTTAAAATTTAGTTGTATATACCAATAACTTTATCGTCTTTAACACTATTACCCAATTCAAATTTAAATTGAATAATTAAGATTTTAAACAAATATTTTAAATAAAGCATTTTTGCAATGTATTTAGTGTCTTATACATCTATTACATAAGATAAAAAAAATTTGATGCCAATAATATTTTTTTTACATAATTTTATTGCATTATTTTTGTTCTTTTAATTATAAATAAGACACATAAAATAAATATATAATTTTTATTTTTATTTATTTAATCAATAAATATATAAATATTATTAGCAATATATATATATATATATATATATTATAAATTAATTGTTTTTGAATTATAGAATCACATGTTTTTTTTATAGCACATGTCTTATGGCTTATATCAAATCAAAACAAATCACTATTTTGTTAATTATTTAAATAATCTTAAAATATCTTCAAACACGTTTAAGTATAATAAGATATTCACGTGTCTTCATTAAAATAGTATTACATTAAGTTGTAAATTTTTTTAATTAAAACTATTAAAATATATTTATATTTTAATTTATAATTTTATTATTAATAGATAATTTTTGTGTGATGATTTTAATTAGTTATATATGCAACTTATTGTAATTAGTTATATAAAATACTGAATGTGTTTTAAAAATTAAAATGCACAATCATGACTCTTTATTAGAAAATTGTTTATTAAAATTTCAACAACTTTATAATTTATATTTACACACACACACACACACACACACACATATATATATATATATATATATATATATATATAATTTATCATAGTCTTAATTACTAAATTTTCAATTAACAATTATTACTATAATTTACCCTTTAGAGTGTAAAGTGTCAAATTATTATTATCATTTTTTCTATATTCTAAATATAGCATTATGTCTGTTAATTTTAATTTTTTTTAAGGTGTTAATTTTAAATTGAAGCGACAAGAAAAGAAGTATAAGAGATAAGTGATAAGAGATTCCTATACCTATAAAAAAAAAAGACAATAAGTATCGTGCAAAAGTAAAATGTTAATTTTGTTATTAAAATTATAAGTATATATAAATAAATTTAATTGATATTTATAAAAAAATTATCTCTAAATTTTATAATTATTAATTAATTTAATTTCTAGAATGAGCACAGTTAATTAATCTAGTCCTTAATATTATATATTCATCAATTTAATTCTTAAGTTTGATTTTATTACCGATTTGGTCCTTAAATTTTGATAATCATAAGATAATTTGAATCCTAACAGTAAAGATTAAATTGATTGATATATAATAAAAGTAAAGACTAAATTAGTTAATGAGTACCAAAGTTGATAAATAAAATGAACTAATTATCAAAATTAGGGCTCAAATTAATTATTTTTAACATTAAAAACTAAAACAATAAAAAGTTGTTAATTAGAAATTTTTTAAAATAATCTTTAGAACCAAATTATTTAATAATTATAATTTTAAAGACTAATTTAATAATTTACTTTATATCTTGCGGTGAAAAACTAAAGCTGGTGACAAACTAATTTTCTTTTCTTTTCATTGATGATTATCGAACCATTACTTACCACACATATTCTCTAATCTTTATCATATAAATGGTATTTTATGTACATCACTTAGTTAGAGTTTTTTAATTTAAAATTATTATCATATTATTAGTCTCTATACCTATATACATAATATGTTCTACCTGAAAAAGTAGGGTAGTGGTCTTTTTAGGTTGGAGAGAAGCGGGGCTTTCATTTTTGCCATCATTAAGTTGTCTCAACCACTTGCAAAATCCAGATTATATTTTCATATATAATTTGATGTCGGTAAATCCATTTTATTTTCAATAACAGAGAGGTTCATGCATGGATGATAACGTTTTGAGGTAGAATCTGAGGTTAGTGCCACTAATTGATAATTATCTTTCATCTTGTTGTGAATGGTACTTCAATTTCTGTGATACTGCCTTGCGTGAGTGAATCATTAGATCATAATGTCCAAAGGGCATTATTAGCATTGGCCTAAATTCAACAATCTTGGTGGAAAATAAAAAGAGAAAAAGAGCAGAGCGTGTATGAGGAAAGTAAACAGCCACTTGTGGAAGTGGGATTGGGTCAGTTTCTGAAGGAACAAGGAGAGGGTGAATAGCTACCCAAGTAGGGTCCCATTTCCTACCAAAAACGAAGATGACACAAACCCCTTAGGGCTTAGAGAGAAAGAGGATCATGATTCATGGCCACATTCTATGTGACAAAAGATGGTAGGGCTCCATCAAGATGTGAACACACCACACCCATACTCCACGAGTGCTGCTCTGTCTTTTTTAACTTTAAGATTATTATTAGATTTTGTTTCACATTATTTATCCGTTTTCCCTTTCCTTTTCCCGAGATTAAAGTTTCCCACCCAAATGCAAATATACGGTGAATGCATCTTCTTCTCTCATTAATTATTTCTAAAATAAACCCTTCAAAATTCGCAGTAAATGTTTTAACATCTTACCAACCTTTATTTTTTATTCGTATTCGTATCCGTATCCACTAACAATCGGGTTCTTTTCAACTTAAATATTATTATATATTTATTCCTTGTACACTTCGTTAACAAAAGGATAATATTACTATTCAATCGTACCTTATCACGCAATTGAAAATTTTGATTCTTTAAGAACTATTTAAAGAATCACATTTTTTTTTAGGATGTCACAGTATACAATTAAATAATCGATTTGTCAAGGTTAATTTTAGAGTTAAATTTAGTTGTTTAAAATTATTTTTTTATTTAAAATATATTATTATATTTTTAATAATAATAATAAATGTTTTTTTAATAAAACCATTATTTTTAATTATAAAAAATTATTCTAAATTCTAATGTTATTATATCCAAAAGTTCTAAATATGGCATTTTACGAGCAAACTTTCAACTTCTTTCAATCGATTCATTTTGTTCAAGATTAAAATATTATATAAGTACACATAATCAAGAATCAAATTTTAGTTAATATATATAAAAGTCAATTATCTATCACCACATTGAGTTTTGTCGGTGGTTTGTGTGTTAATTTTGTTTAAGAATTCCAATGTCAATGTAGCATGAAGAGCAACATCAGCAGAACATTTTCTCTTTTATATATTTTTTTAATTAAAAAATCTCTCCCTGTCTTAGGCACTCTCATTGGAGCCGAAGGCCTATAAATTGCACCCCAGACACCGGCACTCCTCACAGCAAATAGTGGCACAGCCTATTAAAGTGAGATAGAAAAAAACAAAGGAGAAAATAAGCTTATGGAGAACTTTCCAGTTGTTGACATGGCAAAGCTTAACACTGAAGAGAAAGCAGGAACCATGGAGAAAATAAAAGATGCATGTGAGAACTGGGGTTTCTTTGAGGTACTAAAAAACCTCTAATCTAAGTTGGTCACACTTTCCTTTTCTTTTCTTTAGCTCAAAATGAAAAACTTTCCTTTGCATATGTTAGAGTTTGAAGAGGCTGGGCTAATATATTCCTTTTTTGTGGTTTGCTTTAAATTGTTTTCTTTTTCTCAAGTTGGTGAACCATGGGATATCCCATGAGTTAATGGACACTGTGGAGAAGCTGACAAAAGAGCACTACAAAACATGTATGGAGCAAAGGTTCAAAGAAATGGTAGCAAGCAAAGGTCTTGAGTCTGCTCAGTCTGAAATCAATGACTTGGACTGGGAAAGCACCTTCTTTTTGCGCCATCTTCCTGTCTCTAACATTTCAGAGATCCCTGATCTTGATCAAGATTACAGGTCTAGCTCAACACCAACAAAACATCCTTATATTTGTTTGAGCCATTGTTTGTGCATTTGTGTTTTGTTTTGTGTGTCACAAAGACCATTTTTTTTGGTTTTGTGTGCATTTCAGGAAGGCAATGAAGGAATTTGCACTGGAACTGGAGAAACTGGCCGAGCTACTTCTTGACTTGCTGTGTGAGAATCTTGGGCTAGAGAAAGGGTACCTGAAGAAGGTCTTTTATGGGTCCAAGGGCCCAAATTTTGGCACCAAAGTTAGCAACTACCCTCCTTGTCCCAATCCAGAGCTCATCAAGGGCCTCAGAGCCCACACAGATGCTGGTGGCATCATTCTACTTTTCCAAGATGACAAGGTCAGTGGACTGCAGCTTCTAAAGGATGACCAGTGGATTGATGTCCCACCAATGCGCCATTCCATTGTCATCAACCTTGGGGACCAACTTGAGGTATATTATATTTATGAATTCGGATTTTCTCATATTCATAACTAACATGATATGGGCACCGTGGAGAAAGTAAAATATTATTTTTTAACAACTCACCTTAATGGCTGGCAAGTCCTACTGATTAAAATTAATAAAAATATTGTCTTTCTCTCTTTAACATGATGATATTATGTTACTCAATAACATAAAAGGATATAAATCATATATTTATTAGTTTTGTTTATATTAACTTTCATAACTGATTTTAAACTTAAAAAAACATTTTTTTAAGTATTAATTATACTTTTTGAATTTTCATATAATAATATTTTTTAATAAAAGATTGCTACTTTTTTTTTTTGCTTAAAATAAGTTTTATAAGCTGATGTTATCAATTTTCTGTATTTATATACATAGAAATAAATATATATACATACACATGCCCCGCTTGCTTAATATTACTTGTAATTTCATACATCTTGTGAGCCTTTAAGCATATTCAAATGATAGGTGAAGGAATGCATGCAACGTTAACTTTGATGATTGTTTTAACGCCTTGGAGTTTGTGATCAAAACAGGTAATTACTAATGGCAAATACAAGAGTGTCATGCACCGTGTAATGACTCAAACAGATGGTAACAGGATGTCCATAGCCTCGTTCTACAACCCTGGCAATGATGCCGTGATCTCTCCAGCACCAGCCTTGGTTAAGGAAGATGAGACGAGTCAAGTTTATCCTAAATTTGTTTTTGATGATTACATGAAGCTCTATGCTGGCCTCAAATTCCAGGCCAAAGAACCGAGATTTGAAGCTATGAAGGCCATGGAGTCACCCAGCATCAATTTAGGGCCCATAGCAACTGTCTAAGCCTGAGATTGAAGGATTATATTAGTCATATGTGTTTTACTGAGATTACTGATTACCCCTTGGTATCTTTGTTTGGTATGGATGCTGGATGCGCCGTTAAGCATGTGTAGCATAAATATAATATATAGTTTAAAAATAAAATATTAGCTTGATCTGATTGATTCTGTGTGATATATGTCTGTGATGGTTAAGTTGGTGTCATGTGTTGATGCACTAGTTTTATTAGAAAGTAACCCGATCTTAGCCATTTTATAAGGAACTCTCATGATTCTTCTTTTGGCTTACTATGCTTTGAAGTAATCTGGTCACGCGATAGAAAAAAAATTTAAAATAATTAAAATGGAGAAACTGCGAAATTTATTAAAAAAGGCTTAAAAGTTATTCACCATTAAGAATTCCTAGGCATTGCTAATCTGTTCAACCTTTTGTTTTCCCGCGGAGTACGAATACATTCATATTCAATGACTTGATTAATTATTTTTATCCATCATTTTTATTCAAATTTAGCACGTTTTTCCTAAAGTTGTTGAGGAACAGTTGCCGACCTGATAATGATATCACATTTCCTTTGAATTGAAGTTCCATTTCCTTTTTTTTTTCAGACATCCCAGGTTTAAATGATGTATAATGTATATAGGTCAATTGTGTTATAGGCAAAACATTTATCAGTATCTCTAATTTCTCTGTCCTGGTCAACTTCTATTGCCAAAGCAGTTTCTTATAAATTTCAAGTTCCATTTGGAGATTGAAAGGCATCAAATTAAATAATATAAATAATTCTCATACCCTTGACATTGGACAACAACCAAACCAGAATGTTGATAATATTAAGAATGCAAAGTTGGTAGGAAAGCATCATCGTTGGATTTGAAAACCAACCCTGAATGTACCAACAGTATCAGGATAAGAGTTGGAAAAAAAGTCGGTCATTTTAGTTGATTGGAGAACTAACAATGGACTACAGTTTCAATGTTTACTCTGAATAATAAAAGCTGCATGGGCAATTTCATCAAGTCATAATGATCAATTGGGACCACAAGGAGTCAAGGAAGGACCATTTCATTACTAAATTCTGCCTACTTCCCGGCCTAAGCTGCAAAAATTGCTCAGTATCCAGTTAGATATGTTGACACAGAAAAAGGGTACACAAGATATGAACATAAAAAGGGAATGATACAAATGCAGAGGACAAGGTAAATAAGGTTGTCTATTGAATTGATGGGCTAATGTCCACTACCAACAATGATTTTCATTCTATTTTAGAAGGGGAAAATCATGATTAATTGAATTAACTCAATCAAGGTCCCGAATTATATAAGATTCTTAGGCAGGACTGCATATTCATTCTGATTGCAATCATCACTGAGAAGTTGCGGTTTTGCAGGAAATTAAGAAAACATATGCGTTCCCATTATGAGCAACAGCTAAAGGTGCCAAACTTTTTTAGTCAAGAGGCACTCTTTGCAAGTAAATAATAGTGGGTAAACCTACAATGAAAGTGACTAAGCATGTCAGAATACCCAAAGCCATAAGCGACTATATGAGATAATTATATGCTCCGCTGACTTGACTTTTAGTTAATGTATCGATAGATCTATTATCATGCACTGGATGCCAAAATCAGAAACAACCCTACCAGACACCAAAAGTTATATTGCAGTTTTATGTCAGTTATTTAATGTAACCAAATGATATCATGTGAGTATCTAAAATATATCATTAAACATAGAAGGGGTGGAACAAGAAGAAAAAGTAGATTCAGAAAAAATACTCGTTTGCCCTTGCCCATTTCCTCAAATGGATCTAAGAGGACGGGGTACCAATGCATTGACAATTATAGAGTAGAAGAAATACGATATCTAAAAGGCACACCTTTTCCTTTAGTCCTTAAAACTAAATAAATAGACATGTTAAAAGATTATGCAAATTCGATACACTTAAAATAAGTTGACTGAATTTCCGTTATTTATGAAAAAAATTAAGCGACAATTTTGTTTTTGCAAATTAAAGGACTCGTTTGAGAAAGCAAAAATCAGGGACAGCCCCCATGTTTTACCACCTGGGACGCACCAACTTGGCACGTAATCAAAGAGCTATAAGCTGAAACGTGGAAGACATTGCTTATCTACACCCAAGTCATCACACAATCATCAATCACACTACCAAGAAACTTGTATACATTTTCTGACATTAGCAACCAATCTGTTCATAAACGCCATGATTCTCCACTCATAATGATAGAAATAATGCATCACTAGATCATGCTTGCATTTATTACAGACACATTGTAGGGATAGAGTTTGCAATGCTTGTAAAAACTTTTTCAGCATCAATGTTCATAAGCTTTGTCATCGTCGATTTTGCTGAAGCAAAAACTAACAGTGAAGCAATAACATGTATAATGAATATGGTAAAGGAGGAGTTTAAAAATTATGAATCACCCCTAATTTTTTGGAATTACAGAGACATGATTCAATGATATTATATTTTTCTTAAAAAAATTACCATCTATTTTTCTATTATGTTCTTTTATATCTCTTATTAAATAATTACTCCTTTATTTTAGGCTAAGATTATAATTGATAAAAAGTCATTAATATTATCTTAAGCTTTTAAGAATGATACATAAATAAGAATATATATTTTTTTGAAAAAGGTGACAAAAGGAAACGGAGGAAGTGTGTGGTTGATAGAATGGTTTTTAACATATACTATCATACCCGATGCAGTTAATTTGGATAAGATCTCTTAACTATTTATATCAAAGCTGTGGGAAGCCATTTCAATCCCCGAGTCATTGTCTCCAAAAGTTTGCACAGACTTCATCTCTCCAACAATAGTTTACCAAAATAAATTGACAACTCATATTTGGTCTTCTTTATGGTTTAATCGATTGATCTCTTTTGTAGAATGCCTATCGAACTGTTCAATTGCAGGAAGCTCCAACAACTTGACCTCAGCCATGACAACTTCATAGGTGCTTTCCAGGTGAAACGGCAACACTCAGAATTAGAGTTTCTGAGCCTCTTTCTCAAAACAAATTTTCTTAAAAGAATACTGGCAATATACTTATTATATATTACCTTCTCGAATTCTTTTTGTAAAAAATTAAATTGATTATTTTCTTGATTTTAATTATAAGAATTATATAATATATTTGAGATGTATTAATTATAAATTTTTTTTTATATAATGATGACTACATCATTTAATATTATGTTTATTTTTTAAATAAAATTTATATTTATAAAAAAATAAAATAAAATAAATTATCTTTTTAATTTAGTCATTTATTTTTTATAAATAGAACAGGAAAGTATTTAACTAAAATTTATTATAACTTGCTAAATAATATAAACCTCATTCAGCATTTAATAAATTTCACTTTTAATTTCACGACTCAAAAAATTCCGATCGATACTGAGCTATAAATGGGTGGCAGCTCATTTTGTGGTTGCATTCCACGGGAGTTGGGTGCCCTCTCATCCTTGCAGAAAGCATTAAACATCAGTTATACTAAGCTCTCTGCCCAGACCCCCACTGAGCTTGTGAATCTTAATATGCGAGAATCCCTCCAACTCAACAGTAACTATTTGAATGGTAACATTCCAGACTCCTTTGATAAACTGTCAAGTTTATTGGCCTGCAACCTTTCAAACAATTATCTTTAAGTATAGACCCTCTTAATCATGTTGCTGGTGAACAATCGCAACACAGAATACCCTCTGTGCATGGATGCCAGGTGGAAATCAATTCCTCGATAACCTCTTGTTTATTACCACGTTCATATTTAAAATAATAGGTAATTTCAACGAAGCAATTATGAGTATAGATAATCAAAAAGGTTTTTATGGTCTTTGTTAAAGATTTGTTTCCTTCGCAATATTTGCTTATACTTGAGCACGAAGGCGTTTGGAAGAACTTGAGCTTATTTTTATTAAATACTCAAGCTGAAAATTAAAGGTATTTGACAAAGTTTATGAAAATGACTTGGAGAGCCTCTTATAAGCCCTTTGTAGCATATTATAAGCCGCAAGGTTTTTGACCCAAAAAATAAAAAACTACAAGGTGAAACTTGTCAAACTAAGCCTTTTTCCAATAACTCTCCCAATTACATCAATTTCACTCACTGTCTCAAATGCTAATGACACAAGCTCAATCTACGATCGAACGTAACAAATTCTAAGCATAACCCTCTAAAACTTCACGTTATAAAATCAGTAACACATGCAGCATATTGGCAAGACCAAACAAAACCAATTTCAAGACTTGACCAAGTACGCATCCTCAATTACGTTGCAACAGCAGTAAGAACAAAGCAGGGGACGAAAATGACTGATCAGCAAGTGAAATTGATTGATGGAAATTGATAATTGTGTAAATAATGTTAAAAAAATAATCCCCCATCATTAGATCACTGAGAACTTCAGAGAAAATAAGAAAAAAGAGCAGAGCTAGGCACCCTAAATTTTCGATTTCTGTTTCAAAAAAATTCACATCCCTCCTGACCTCTGAATGACAAGGATCTTCTTCATCCAGAGTCTTCATTCAAGACACAACTGAACAGATGTAAAAGAGATTTCAAAGCCACATCATTTATCTCTAACTTGATTGGCCTTATTGATCTCCGGTTTACCAGTCTTATTGTGCTGTGGGTTCACAACCTTTTCATCATCTCCTTCTCTGGCATCTCCATTTGAGCAATGATTCTTTAGAACCATCGAAATATCTGCCTCAGAAGCTCCTGCAAGCTTAAACCGCTCAGTTGCAGCATCCAGATTTTCCTTCCATCCACTCATTCCCAATTTGCATTCAACTTGGGATCTTTCAAAAAGCATATTACCCCAGAAGAGGTGAATCTGTGATCTCATGACTGCTGCTTGCTCTGCAGCTTCTTCGGCAGATATATCACCCTGACCTCCAACACTAGAAGGCTCACCTTCAGTACCACCTCCTTGTTTCTTTCTTCTTCTCAACAATTCTTCTTTCTTGGTTGCATTTGGGTCCTTTAGCTCTTTTGCTCTCTGTTCCTCCAGCTTCTCCCACATATCTGTTGCAGCTTTCATCTTTTCCTCTGCACTGTCAAAGAGTTGAAGTGTCTCCTTAGAATCCCAGCCTGATAGATCTATCTTCTTAGCAAGTGCAAAAGACCAATGAAGTTTAGCCATTTCAAATTGTTGCTGCCCCAGAGCCAAGAGTCCCTCATAAAAGTCAGGTTTGATCAAGAGTGCTTCCTCATACTTCTCTCTTGCCAAAGAATACTTTTCCTTGACCCAGTCATAAGCCACTTGAAGCTGTTCTGCCACTACCTCCTTCCCAGCAGACTCGTCCAGGGGGATCCGCTTCCTAGCAGCGCACATGTGAACATTACCCCAGTTGAAGAATGCCAAAGCAGCCACCTCCTGAAACTTTGAAGCAGCCTTGTCAAATAGATCCTGAGCCTCCTCACTAGTTACTGTTTCCTCAAGTGCCTCAGAACAAAGCTCCATCCCAAGCTCATGCAAGTCAATATGAGCATCTGGATCAATACCAACATGTGAGCGGAAAAGCTGAGCGAACTCGAACAACCAATCATCCATCTCCACTTCTTTGCATTCAGTATCTCCTGGGGCTCCAGACTTTTCCTTTGGAGCATTCTTCCCTATCTTATCAACCTCAGTATCAGGAACTTCAGATACAGATTCACCAAGGGAAGAATGAGAGCCACTCTCTTCTCCTTTGGTCCCTTCATTCTCAACAGGTTTTTCTTCCTCTTCTTCCAATAAAGGTGGCTCCTGCTCTGGACTAACTTCAACAATATGCAGTCTCAGCATCGAAACTGAATCACTTTTATCTGCTTCTGGTTCTTTCAGGAGATGGCTATCGACACTAGACTCTGCTAGTCTGAGTTCATCGGTAGAGGTTATAGTAACCAAATCACCATCACTATCCTTATACTTGATCAGAACTGAACTAGACGATGGAAATCTTTTGCTCACTATATCTCTTAGTACTCTAAAACCGCAATTGACTGGCATCTGGGCAAGCCTAATGTCATGATCATAAACAAGCTTCAATGGCCTCCACTTAATTGCAACCTCAGAATGCTTCCCAAGTATACCTGATGCATGAGATGACTGTTCCTTGTGGTCTTCCTTTTTAGGATTACGTGGCTTTGCAGAACCATTTGAAGGCTTCAATGCCAGTTTTGGCAACTGGGACTTAGTCTCAGGACCATTTTCAGTTGGCAAAACTGGTTGGGACTTGTCTAGCTTGTTATTATTAGGCGACAAGACTGATCCAACGGCTGAATTTGCTCCCTTCTTCTGCGCAGGCCGAGCTGGCAAACATGGCCCTAATCCAGCAATAGGGGCACCACGGACCGCAGAAGCGCCAAGGGCAGCAGGGGAGGGGCGACTGTGGAGGTCCTGCTGGGCTTCCTGGCGAGGTCCCACTGCAGTCCTGAGTCTCTGAGCAATCTCCAAAGCATCCCGGTGGTTAGGGTCAGCTGTCAACAAGAACTGCACATCTTGCAAAGCCATTTCATACTTGCCAACGGCTTCAAAAGCCCGAGCCCTGCGGAGAAGAGCCCGGACAAAACGGGGCTGCACCTGAAGCGCCATGGTGCACTCAGCAATCACGGCTTCATAATCTATGGGCTTCATTTGCATCAAACACGCGGCCCTGTTGCTGTGAAAAACAGCAGTTTCAGGGTGCGTTTTGGGGGTTAGTCGAAGAGCATTCTCATACTGTTCAAGAGCACCAGCATAATCCTGATTCAGAAACCTTCTATTCCCTTCTTCCTTCAGCTCATGCGCTTTCTTCAAAAAGATAGATGAATCCAACTCAACCCCACCATTAGCCGTTGGGGCTGCAGCAGAACCTACACTATCAACGTGACCTTGGTTTGAAGAATTCAAACCACCCTTCTTTTTTCTACCCCCTGATTTCCCCATAGTATTATCCTTCCCCCACGGGATTATTCACCTAAACCTAAATCAACACAGAACCAGTAAACAGGCAATCTTTCCAACCAACCTAGGGCCAAACAGAGAGATGGGAGAAAGAGAGTTACACTTACCAGTGAGAAGCCGAATGAAAGCTCCGCCAAAAAATTGGATAGTTTTTGCAGCGAATAGCCAGTGCCAGTGGAAGACTCTAGAAGAAGAAGCTAGCGCGAATGATTAAAAAAATAAAAGGTGGTAGCTTAGTTAGTTCAGCAGTTTATGTTGGGTTTTGAAAACTCACTCAAGGTGTATGAAACCCTAGATACTCATTGTTGGATCAGTTTCGTTTTTTATTAGATGTCATCCTCAACCCTCTGATCCATTGAATCATCCCCTCCTCCAACAGTGTTGACATTCCATATCAACCATCCGATATTCCAGGTATTTTCGTAAATAACCCAACAAGGCGGGGCAATTTTGTCCACTCGTAATCACAGGTTAGGGTTTGCATCAAATTGACCACTCTATAAAATGCGCCTAAGATGACTATTATGTATTCATTCTCCATCTGCGTAATGTCATTGGCGGTGAAGAACAATAGGGTTAGGTAATTGAGATTGTTTGTTTATGTGTGTTTCAGTGGTTTGCTTATAACTTCATAAAGAAAGGCCTCAATCGTTTCTAAGAAAATGACGAGACTGTTTGAAGTGTCTCTGCCATTGTATGTGAAGATTGAGGTATAACAAACCTAACGGGCGAGTCATCGTTTCGGTCGTCATTTGCGTGATTGGCGAATCGATTGTTCCTCGTCTACATTTATTTTTCTTTGGCTTCCGTTTCTTTTTTTATATATTTTTTTATTTTTTTTATCTGCTGAATTATTTTTTATGTTTTCGTGAATGCTTTGAGTTTGAAAATATAAAAAAATGTTTTATTAAAAAAAAAAAAGAAGTGTCCCTTTGAACCGAGGAGATCTGGGACTCTATTCATTCACTTGGTTATAATCTAACCTCCATATTTGCAGAATTGAAGATATGTCTAAGAATATATAGCATTCTAATCCAAGTTTGCATAATTGAAGATATATCTAAGAATATATAGCATTGTTCGTTACACGGTTGATAGCCGTTATGATAGTGATAAACTGGTAAATGCCTTGTAAGACGTATTTTCAGAATTCTCTTTCTCAATCTGGGATAAGTGTCATTTTTATTGGTTTAGAAACTTGCAATTTAAAAGGTATAAAAAATGTAATGTTCAGAAGGTTTTGTTGATTTCATTGTTTAACCCATTATACTGATGCGTTGGCTTGCGTAGGGATTAATTTCTGCCGGATGAAAAGAGTGCTCAATAATTAATCACGTATATGAAGATATTTGAGAGAGAAAAAAAAACGATGGTTTCTGGGAAATTGTTTAGATGAAATTCAATCCTCTCAAATCAGTTTTCTGACCGAACCCCCGCGAACTTAAAAAGGTTAAAAGAGTTTAGGAAATGCAGAGAAGGGATGCCGTAAAATTATTATCTCTGTCATCAAATGTTGGTAAAATTAACTCATCTAATTAAGAGAATTTTGTATCTTCCTTTATTCGTGAAACATCTATGTTAATTTTATAAAAAAACGTTAATACTTTTTAATTTTTTAATTTTTAAGATATAAAAAGATTCATAACTAAGTTAATATACTTTCTTAACTTAACACCTTAAATATTTCTATCTTTCAATCTTGTTTTATCTTTATGCATATAATTTTTTTATTTTATTTTTCTTCAAGTTTAGAAATTAATCCAAGATGTTTTATTAAAAAAATTGAATTAATCAACTCATGTTTGGCATACTATTTTAAACGAGTTCAATTTTAATTTTAAGCTTGAGCCCTTCTCCGAGACACTCTTTCCCCCAAGATACACTCTCACTTTGCAAAATTATTTTATTTAAAAGTTTTAAATTAAAATATTACCGATGAAGAAAATGCTTTGTCACTATAAACAAGTCAAACAGGAAAAGGATAGATCTCATATTAAAAATCACCCTGCTCTAGTTTTCAGATAAACGACTAGTCGACTTCACTTCATCACGGAAAAATTCCATGGAGGAAGCAGCAACTCTCTATAATACCCCCAATTTTTCAATTTCTATTTCCTTGAGCATGAAAATGACAGTGGATAGTGCTTCAAATAAGAGATATCAAACAATTCGATGAACCTCTGGTCTGACACTCTGGCTTTGGCACCTGCAAACCTTTGGTATTCATCAAAAACAGATGATAGACACCACCTCTGCAATCTTCTTATGCATCCCACGAGACAACCAGTGCGGTGCTGTTCATTGTAAATCACTAAGCAACTGAAGATTAAGGATTCAAAAATATCAATAAAATCAAAGATATAGAAATAGGGTATACCTTTCCTCGTTTACAATGAATCAACAGGGGTTGATTCCTAACATCTGGGGAAAGAAAAACATGAACCAATTAGGTTGATATACAATTGAACAAGCTGTATTATAAGAATAGTGAAATTTGAGATTTTGCAATACCAAGGACTACTTTCAAAGCTTCACGAATTGTATCCTCCGGAATGTTGACGAAGGGTTCCTGCCCACAGACACATATTTGTAATCAAAGTGCAGAAGTATATATTTTTAAGATATCAGTTAAAACTTAAAACATCTTTTTCTTGATCTTTTGCTTTTCCAGCCTTGGCTGGCAGCCTGGCATCCAGGCGGAGAAGGCAATTTATGGGGGAAGGGGATTGGTATCACTAAATTTTAAAGGAGATAACCCAATGCGTCCCCAGAGCTTAAAGACTACAGCCTGTAGGGAAAAGATAACTGAAGAGTGCATAAGATTAGGAGCAAATCCAGCATAGGAGGCACCTTCAAACTCCTGCTAAAGATTGATCCCACAAGAAAAATAAGTCTGCATTGGATAAGTTAAGCTGCAAGATTGGTGACCACCTTGAGCAACACTTAGAAGAGACCAGGCAACTCACTCATCTGGCGCGAATAGCATGGAACACGTATTGGAAAAGAAATCAGTTTAAATTGTTTTTGTGTACGCCACTCTCAATCCCCAAACTTTTGCCTCATTAGTTGAAAAACAAGCTCTACACATAAAGATCAAATTCATATGAACAGGAGCATCTTACAGCCATCAGTTCAGCAAGTCTTGAATTCTCCTCTACAGCTCCCACATCTGATTTTTGTATGAGGTGGCTTATAAAGCTAATGTAAATGTTACTGTTGGTAGGTGGAGGTAAAGAGATTTGTTAGTCTGTGCTAAACGTCTTAAATGAATCAAGACTTTGCCAAGGGCACTGAACAATACATATGCTTATTCTAAAATAGCTTTACGACAAGGAATGAAGCAAAACATTAATTCTAGAACTGTTTTGAAATAAAGGACTCAGTGTAGCTGGCGAGCTTCTGTTCATGAATTCAACAATTCTTCCAAAGAATTTTTCAATAAAATGTAAATTAACTTTCCCCATGAATTCAGACCAAAGCAAACTGTACTTGTACTAAATAATGGTATCCTCTTTAGTTCGTCATTATCAAAGTTTGAGGTTTTCAGGTCAAAGAGTTCACTTTCAAAATGGAATTGGGCCTGAAAGCCAGCCCTGCAAACCTATGATAGAAATCTTATACTTTCTAGGAGCATTAAAGTTCACAGCGCTGCAAACATTTTTTATGCCAAATGCACACAGAAATTGTTCTAATTAAAATCGGCTGTATTTCAGCTTTCACAAACAATTATTTCAGTGGTAAAATGAGGTTAAAAAAAAGGCACCACAATGAGACCTATATGTTGAGGTACACAACCTCTTGGTCCACAGTTCCACACTAATATAGTGTGACACTCAATTTTAGTGAACGCAGACCCTTAAAACAACAGAAAATACTTGACTACCTAGCTTGCACTAATGTTATATGAAAGATCAGCACCATCAGATGCATCCCATCTCTATTCCTCGTATATTGCAATGACACGCACATGCATGTTCATGCTTTGAATTAGCAGTTAAGTGCTTTTGATTATAAAGAGAGCCCTGAAGGAACATTTATAATTCTGAAGAGGAAGTCTTCCAGAAATTCATTTCATCACGTTGTGCAATCATAGAAAAGTAATTTTGACATATTTATATCTTATTCCTGATATTCGGACTCATCTTCAAATTACTAATTGAATTGTATCCAAGCACTGCAGCAACAGATCAAAATAGTAAAACAGACTAAGATTAGAAGACTATACCAAATCTGACAAAATTGGATTGGAAAATTACAATGAATTGGGTAAAGCATCATGCAAGTATGCCAGACGTTCGAATCAAGTAACTCCAGTTAATTGCCAGCAAACGAGCAAGCAAAAATTAAAAATATTATTTAAAAAATATCATAGCACAAACGATGATTAAAGAAAAAAAGAAAAATCACAAACCTTACAGCCATCGATCCCGAATTGATAAAGCCTTATTCCGTTGTCCTTCAAAAATTCCGAAGTGGTTTCTGGATACGGCTCGGGGCACAGACATCTGCACCAAAACTTATAAACATAAAGTACAATTCCGCAAAAATGCTCTTAAATTCAGAAATCCGAATTCGATCACGACAAATCGGAATACAGAAAGGAAAATCGAACTCACATTACGGAACGGAGGCGGAGGGATTTCAAGAATCCGAAGTTGGCAGAATCGGGAAAGCCAGACCTAAAAATGCCATTGTCCACCATGGCGAAGTTGAGCGGCGGGACGAATATCTCCTCGGCGTCGCCATGGTCCTGCGGCGGCGAAACGTCGGCGGCGAAGGACATCTGGCCATTGGAGGCGTCGAGCTTCATGGTTTTTGGCGCCAAAATCCTGAACAGTGAAAGAGGCAATGCAACGTTGATGAGCGATTCACGGGATCTCCAGTTTTCAGGATCTGTCTGGTTATGAATACAAATAGGAAGGTGGCACAGTGAGTTTTAGATAGAATAAAGAAGAAAGAAAAAAGTTAGGATCTTTGATAAGATGCTTTCAAAGTTTCAATATGACTCGAGACCGAGACGTGTACAGAAAGAATATGCTGCGTTTGGAAGTCACCACGAAATACTAAACCCTCTATTTCTCCAATCAAATCCACTCATGTGTCATTAAGTTGTATTATTATCATTTATCCTATTTTTCTTCACAATTTGTGCTTTTGACTTTGGCGGTATTATATGGAAATACTTGTTTGTAGCATAGGAAAGAGTGGATAATTTTATCTCTTATTAAAATTTAAAGTGTAATTTAAAATATATAAATAACAAGAAAATATAATATTAATTTTTAATAATTAAAATATCTAAATTGGAGAATAAAGAAAAATTGGGAGAAAAGGGGCCCAGCTGAGATGGTTGACAACCCGATTCTGAACATGCGGTGCTGGCTGATTGCTATAACCAAAATCCATACGTACCAAGCAAAGGTGCTGCCGGTTATTGCCACCCAAGTTGAATGAATCCTTGGCGACAATGACCACACATGATGTAAAGCTTTGCACGTAATTTATTAACTCGGATAAAATTCTCCTCTCTTTTAGTTAGATCGCTTCTTATTGCTCGTTAGAAATTTGTTCTGTGCACCATAGCTTTCTGATTTCTGTCAATAAAGCTGGCCCAAAGAATATATTTGAGGAGGGTGTGTTTGTAATATTTTTTCAGAGAAAATTTGTTACGTCCAAGTTGTTTGTCATCTCATCATTTTTTCGTGGATTAGCGATCCAATTTAGCAATTTAAAATTATAAAAACCAAATAAGAATAAATATAATTACAGGTAAACTAATTTTACTTTTGAAATACTCAACGTCGTTTTTTGTTTTTAGTATTTAACATACACTTTTTGTTTTTAGTATTCAACATAGTAGAAGTTGTATTAAAATGAGAAACAAAACAAGATAAAGAAGCTCTGTAAGCATCGATTTATTTTATTGGTTATGTCCTCCAATTTCTGGGTTTGAAGTTTGTTCGCCTTCATCCTCACTTCACATTACAATAATTGCTCTACCACCACTACTATGTTTGCCCCATCTTTCAATAATATGAAGGTAAGTGTTCATACTATATATATTCTCTACGATAGTTTTCCCTCTGTCATCTTTCTTTCTCATAGTTCTTTTTCTCTCAAAATGTCCATCATTTTTAAACATGACTTTTGACTCGGAAGCAAAAAAGACATTGGAACCACGTGTCACTCACAATTAGTTCTGCATTTAACATCAAGAAAAATCATTCTGAATTATCAAATGAATAGAGGTTGATTTTATTGTCCTATATACTAAGTAAAATTAAGCTTCAAATCACCTAAACATTTTATACTGGAAAGAGAATTTCATTGATGGAAACTCAAAAGGTCCAACAAAGCTAAGTTTCAAATCTGTGGTGTTGGTGTATCTTAAATCCAAATTCAATCGGGTTTAGACAAAGCAAGGTGGCAAATATTCATGAGCAACCTTATTATTACCTTGTTTCCTTGCAAGGTGCCATTTCCAAAGCAATTATTTGGTCTTCAAGAAATATTAAATTCTCTCGAACGTGTATTCATTTCCACGAATTATAGATTTTATATCAAAACGTAATTTTATAGACTTTCTAATCAAATTCCGAGTCCTTTCCATTTGTTATTCTAAACCAAATTCATTCTCTCACAAACTCTTTGCTAATGGATCATTATTATCAACGGCAGCATATTCATGTTCCAAAGTTTAGCAACTGGGACAATGACAACATCCCATACACAATATATTTTGAGAATGCTCGCAAAGAAAAAGCCTTTTTAAATCCAAACGATCCAGAGAAAAATCCGAAAGCCTTAAAAGACGATGATGAAGCAGTGAAGGCTTCTACTCTTATTCACTCCTTTAGTACATGTTCTTCAGAACAAACAAGCAATGAGGAAGAGAGAAGCAACACTAAACAACAGTCCCAGTCCCAGCACATGAGTAAGGGAACTCATCATGGTAGCTACACGACTACAGAGTCTGACATTGAAAGAAGCAATTCCGATTACTCTATCGTTGAGAGAGTGAAGTCAGATCTCAGAAAAAGCATGTCTATGGGAAGTAACTTCATTGATAGCTTCTCTACATCAAGTCGCATTAAACGCAAAGGTGGAAGCCATTCCCTTAAATACAACACGGTACAAGTTTCTCATTTTCTCAACTTGTGAAATATGAACGGCTCCTTGCATAATTGGTGGTGTTAATCATCTTAAGCTAATGCCTGATCATATCACGGGTTGTGTACAGAACCATGAAGCAACCCTGGTACCTGAGTTTGGTGCTTGGGATGTGACGGACCTCAACTCAGGAGACGGATATACTGCCATATTCAGCCAAATAAGAAAAGAAAAACAAATTGCATCTCGCCACATCCCTAGTAAGACCCCATCACTGAACAACTGTTCCAAAATCCACAATCAATGTGGCAGACCTTCCTCCACATTATCTAAGGTAAAGTTACTTCGTATATCTCGTTATGAGATAAATAATAATAATAATTCCTTATGTTTGGAAAATTAATAATGCTAATGACAATAAGAAGGGTCGGTAGACCCCATAAAATTCGGTGACAATTTAAAATAAAGAAATAGTAAACACAATTAACTCGTATTGCCAAATTTATTTCGTGAAACAGATTTCAAAACAGTTTCATCATTGTATGAGTTGGATGAAGTATAATTGCAAATTTGAAAAAGTTTCGGTTTAATGTGTCATTTTCAAAGTAAATTATGCTAACCACTTTACCTTTCATGTTATTATATGTCAAAGATTGAATAAATTAATCAGTATGTATATTCATTTGTCCTAGATTGTTTCATGCATCTAAATTATGAGATGATGATTTGCAATACCGTAATGATTATGATGCAGTACTGCTGCTGTTTGTTTTCAAGTGAAGGCATATGAACCCGAGTTGCTGTTTGCTTTGACACACGGGAGCGCTCATCCTTTAAATTGGAAGTTTCATTCCTTCTAGTGTTTAAAATTTATAATCTATGTTCAAGAACTAATTAAACGTGTTTGCGCCGTTGATTTTATTAATACCCAAAATTTTTAGTTTATCAGTGATCTTGCGCACTCCCCAATGTTATCAAAGTAAAATTTAAAATGTATTATATAATTATTTGTAAATCTATTACTTTTCCCTTTTGATTGCCAATGTTTTCCATCTGATATATATAAAAGTCATAATTTGCTAATTTAAATTCAGCAATTTACTTCACCTGAGTTCAAGCAAACATTACAATCCGTTGGCTTGCCCCTACGCCTCAATGGACAAAGGGTGAGTGTCAAGTCAACCCAGATGGAGCAAGTTGGATACAAGTAATCTAATTAAACAATTAAAAATATATTTTTAAATTTAATATTTATATCTAAAATAGCATAACTTGGTTTATTTGACATATAAATTGTTTATAATTATTTAATGTCACTAAATATATAAAGTAGAAATGCAGTTAATACATGATATTTAGACCAAATTATAAAAAAATATAATTTGGAAATTATTTGAACACATAGAATAATGTAAATAATAGATTAAAAATAACCATTACCTCTCCCTAAACTATTATATATGTATCATTTTAATTTATAATACTAAATTAAATTGAAAATTTATTATTTTTAAACATAATATAAATTAAATTTATTCTAAAAATTAGTAAAAAAAACTTATTACATATTTGAATATATATTTTAGATATCAAATTTGCATATTTTTCTTTAATATATATATATATATTGATAAATTATTTTTATTTATTACTTATCTTTTATCTTTTTATATATACATATTTTAAAACGTATTCACAGTAAAACTTGTCGGGCCTGGGTAGTGGCGCTGCAATTCAAAACTTCAAAATTCCGAGAGAAGAAGCGTAGCAGTAATCGGGTGGTTTTTAGTTGCATTAAACTCAAGGGCCCCACCCCAAGCAAATTAATCAAACATAATCCGACCCACTAATCACAATAAAATAAGATTACGATACTCATCTCATGTTAAAATTGCACTCGAAGCAGGAGACCAAAACTCCACCTGGATGCGTAATCTTTTGACAAATTGAAAAGCAAGGAACCCAAATTGAAATATAAAAGCAAACCCTTCAGATTGAATGTTACTTGCTTAGGGATTCAAATCAAACTCTTCTGCTCCGAAGATGAAAACGGTATCCGATTGGATCGATTCGTGTTCCAAAGAGCAATTGAAGACGTACCAGGAATGGTTCAACTTAGCAGATTCAGGTTTTGCTGCTTCGCTTCCTTCATTCTTCATTTCGTTTCGATTACTGATGTAACGTATTATTTTTCTTTACTTCTATTGTTATTTGATTGTAGATGGAGATGGCCGAATCACTGCCAATGATGCTACCAAGTTCTTTACTCTCTCAAACTTATCTCGCTCTCAACTCAAGCAGGTATCTATTCTTTTTTCGTTTCTTTCTTATTGTTCATCCCTCATTTACCGACAAGTCATCCATTTCTACTTCATTCTCAAATTAAATTACCAAATTCTTCCTAATTGTATTTCATATTCTAGTGAAATTTCACCAATAGTTCCCTGTTTTCCATTCATAGGTTTGGGCTATCGCGGATGCCAAAAGGCAAGGATTTTTAGGTTTTGAAGAGTTTGTTGTTGCAATGCAGGTTCGAGACTTTGAAATTTTGACTCTTGGTTTTGGTATGGATTATATGATATCGGAATCTGACTTTAAAATTGAATGCTTGTTGTAATAAACAGCTCGTTGCCCTGGCACAGACTGGACATGATATCAACTCAGATATCCTTAAAACTGAAAGTAAGTTCACTAATACAACGTCTTTCATGCTTTGCTATTTGCCTCAGGTAAATAGGCTGTGGGTTTTTGGCCATGTAATGAATGTCCTTGTAAATTATTTGTACTGATCCTTATTCCTTGGTTTATCACATGCTTCCCCAATTTCTAGTTAAACACGATACATGTTCAATAGCTGGTAGTAACTAGTAAGGATGCTAAAGAGAGGTTTCTTGACCTATTTTATCTGTTGGTTGTAAATTGTTTGGGTGATAGCGTGATACTAGGCATTCAGTGTGTGACTACTAGGCTTAATTGACTGATATATCATATATGCGAAAGAAAGTTCAGGATTTAATTAAGTCCTATAAATTTAAATTTTAAGGAATATTGAAAAGGCAAACAGACCTGAGAAAATCGCTGGTCTTGATGGATAACGTGCCAAATTCCTTTAGCCACCTAAACATGAAGGATATTGGTCTCAATTTGAGTAATGGTTTACGATATTGATGACATATGAATATATTACCCATTGAATTCAAAGAGACAAGTGTCCCTTCTGTCTAACTTCATTGTCTTTTGTTCTCAAAACTTTGTACTATTCACTCTTTTCAATGTACCTTTCTTTTGATTTCAGTTGACAAGGAAAAGATTAAACCTCCAGTAATGGAAGGGCTTGATGCTTTAATAGCAGTAAGCAATTCTTTTAATCTCAACTTGTCTTTATCAATTGAATCATATTATTGCTGATGAATTTTTAATTATTTTTTTTTACCTTTTTTTTTTCAGAAAACGAAGAGTTTGACAATAAATGCCCAAGCTGATGCATTTGGTTAGAGATTTAATTTTTTCTTTTATTATACATGACATTGTACTGTTTAATTAATATTGATTGTATTATTTTACTGATAATATGCAGGGACTGCTCAGCCTCAGCTGTTGCCTCCCAATTCACGGGTTGCTTCAAAGTCTGTAAAGAAAGTAAGCCCCCCCAAATTGATCCCCATTTTGACAAAAATAAGTAGTTTTCTCTTAAAAAAAATAGAATTAAAATATCATAGATTTTGTATATTCACTATTTTCCGTCTGTAGACTATAATGAACTAATGAGAATTTATTTTCTGGTGCAAATATAAAAGGCTGCCTTGTAATTAGTGAAAGTTTTATTTATTTATTAACTTGCATTATTTTAAGGGATAGCAATCCCTCTTGCATGCATCCATTGCCTTGATGAATCAGATGGTTATATAGGGCAATATTGAAGCAATGTAATTGCTAAGTGAAAACAATTAAAAACGTGCATTTGTGAATTTATTTCTTTTCAAGCTCTATTTAGATATGCCGTCTTTATTTCAGTTTGTAGCTAGGTATATTCTGATTATAAAAGTTTTCTTTTTGTTTTTTTAGTTACCTCTCAGTGCAGTTACATCAATAATTGATGGATTGAAGAGATTGTATGTGGAGAGGCTAAAGCCATTGGAGGTCACTTATCGATTCAATGATTTTGTATCTCCATTATTGGTAGGTAACAATTTACACCCAGTATATAGATAACATATGCTAATTCATGTAAAGTATGTGTGTTAATATTAATTGACATGACACATCAATTATGTAAGTATGATGTTAAGTTTAAGAATGTCTGTGGTTTGTCCCTTTCAGACTAACAGTGATTTTGATGCTAAACCAATGGTCATGCTTCTTGGTCAATATTCCACAGGAAAAACAACCTTTATAAAACATTTGCTAAGATGTGATTATCCAGGTTGGTTAAGTTGTGGATAGTCTAGCAACTGCATTGTTTGAAATTCTTCATGCAAAAAGTAGATGATAGAGGGATATAAATTACATTGTTGATCCTACATCACCTTAAATTCTTCACACAGGAGCACACATTGGACCAGAGCCTACAACTGACCGATTTGTTGTTGTCATGGTACCATAATCCTTTTTCTAGTATTGGCTTTGGAATTTAATCAAATGTTAATATGTTCCCTTGTGTTTATTTGTGCTTTGCTTGGGTTCATGGAGGTTCTGAGCCGAATATCTTTTTATTTGTAGTCTGGCCCTGATGAGAGGAGTATTCCTGGAAATACTGTAGCTGTTGATGCTGGCATGCCTTTCAGTGGCCTGACAACCTTTGGTGGTTCATTTTTGTCAAAGTTTCAATGTTCTCAAATGCCACATCCAGTGAGTTTTCCATGCATACATACATTCAAACATATATATTCCATTTCTGGTCAATTGACAGTTGGTTGTGCTTTTTATTTGTCCTTGAACTTGAAGCTATTTTTCCTTTCAGCTGCTAGATGAAATAACATTTGTGGACACTCCTGGTGTGCTCTCTGGAGAAAAGCAAAGGACTCAACGAAGTTATGACTTCACTGGTGTTATATCTTGGTTTGCTGCAAAATGTGATTTGATTCTTCTCCTATTTGATCCTCATAAACTTGACATTAGTGATGAATTCAAACGTGTAATTGCATCTCTGCGTGGTCATGATGACAAGATACGCGTGGTTTTGAATAAGGCAGACCAAATTGATACTCAACAAGTAATACAGTGTCAACTACTTAATTTAATATAATCTAAATATAGTTGCAATCGACTTTTTGGCCTACTTACATGCATCATATTTTAATATTGTAGCTCATGAGAGTTTATGGGGCATTGATGTGGTCTCTGGGGAAAGTTCTGAATACACCAGAAGTTGTGCGTGTATATATTGGGTAGGTTACTCGTCTTTCAAATACAGCTAATTATTCTTGCTATATGTACAACGGTTCAATTTATGCATTTTTTAACCATTCATTTAAGATTATGTTGTGATTGTTGTCTTGTGGTTGAACATTTTCAGAAATTTATTCAATCTCTGTTTTGGTGACCAATTGATCTTATTACCTTGACATTTTATAGGTGAAATTTGCATTTGAATACATAGCATCTGTGGATGCTTCACATTGCTTTCACATCACCTCTACTGATTCCTTCAGTTAATTTGACATTCTTCTGTTGTAAGTTTATTCTACTTCTATTTTCTTTGCAGTTCGTTCAATGATAAGCCTATAAATGAAGGCTTTGTAGGTCCATTAGGAAAGGATCTCTTTGAGATGGAGCAGAATGATCTCCTTGCAGACTTGGTAGATATTCCAAGGAAGGCATGCGATAGCCGGGTATGATCCTATTTTCATAATATTGTTGACCTGGTAGTTCAAATGAGTAAATTATTTGCATGTGGAAGATCAGTGCAAGCTTTACTCGTATTTGTTTGTATTATTTTCATTCCCTGCTTCTAAAATCTGATGTTATTGGAATGGTACAGATCAACGAATTTGTGAAACGTGCTAGATCTGCTAAAATTCATGCATATATTATTAGTCATCTTAAGATGGAGATGCCAGCAATGATGGGCAAAGCTAAGGCTCAACAGAGGCTTATTGATAATCTTGAAGATGAATTTAGAAAGGTCTCCTCTTTTCCTTCGTCTCCTTGTTTCTCTTAATTTCTAAATTCTTATCATATATTATCTTGGAAAACAGGTTCAAAGGGAGTTTCATCTGCCAGCTGGTGATTTTCCCAATGTAGAACACTTTAGAGAGATTTTGAGTGGCTATAGCATCGACAAATTTGAGAAACTGAAGCCCAAAATGATTCAAGCCGTTGATGACATGCTTGGATATGAAATACCGGACCTATTAAAAAAATTCAGAAATCCTTATGATTGAATCGCAAAATGTTAACGCATGTTGTTGATGTTGTGATTAATGTTTTTACACTGAGATTATGATGTTTAGATTCTTTAGAAATGGTGGCTTTTTTCACGTTTCAATGTCTATTGTCTATACCCCATGGAATCCAATCCTTAGAAAAAGTTTATAAAGCGGGGCTAATTCAGAAAGTTCCAGTTCCCAAATTAGCATTATTTGAAGATGCTCACTGGCCCATTAAACATTTCTTGCGCCCGCGGGCCGGAGTGGGACAATAAAGTCAATGAATTTCTGATGGCCTTTTTGACTAAAAAAAATGCATTCTTTTAAAAATATTTATAAAAGAAAATATACTAATGAAATATTTTATTCGTCTAGAATAACCTTAGGATTTTATTCACGTATACATTGTGTCATTCATCTGAGACTAAAAAAAAAAAGATAACATTAAGTATCATATGCACAATGCGCAATGAATGACTTTTGATTTTATATTGACATGTATTCTATGTGTAGAGAATATCATTCATATAGTAGGTGAGAGACAATTTAAAGAAAAAATATAGGGGGATTACATGTGAGCCACCAAATTGTTCCTTTTCGTCTTATTTATAAGAATTGTTTTTCAAGATTAATAAAAAATAGTTATATATTATAAGTTTTTAGTGTATTTTAAAAATATCAATAATTGGATGAATTGATAGGTTATATATTAAATAAATGAATATAATCATTTATGAGTAATGAGTGAATGTCCTGTAAACACAAATTTTATAAATAAATGTATAAAAAATTGACAGTTAATGCATATAAAATAGGCTATTCTTTTTTATAATTTTTAAAATATATATTAGTAATTTTTTATTATAGATAGAATTGAAGACAGTATAAAGTAAAAGGGGAGTGCTAAGAATGTAATTTAAGTTATTGACTAAATTTTATTTAAAAAAATAAAAAAATATGAGAGCATTAATAAATTTAAAATAAGACTCATAATTTTTATTGAATTTTAATTAATAATTAAAATTTGATTAAAGTGTGATAAATAATGTGTATTAATAGCAAAATCATATAAATGAATACTTATAACCTGCAGAGATGAAGAAATTTATACATAAAAATATATTAAATATCTAAATTATAGAATTGAAAATAAATCACACAATTTTTTTATTTTTTAAAATATTAATGTCAAATTGTAAAATTGATTTTAAGCAAATCAAAATGATAATCGAAAAGAAAGATTATTAATATATTTTTTAATCAATTAATTATTTTAAAAATAAAAGTGCTTATCTTGTAAATTAATTTTTTTAAAAATATTTTAATTTTGAAAAATTAAATAATTATAAAATGCAGAAAAAATAATTTAAAAAGTATATATTACTAATAATTTTCACCAACAAAGTGCGCATTCTTTGAGTCTGTGCTCCCGCAAAAACTGCTCAAACATCAAAACGTTAGACCTGCGTAATTCATAATAGCGGCGAGAATATTAATATGTTATAAACTAATTTTAGAATTTCTATGAAAAAGGGGAAAAAAAGTGCAAGGCTAATAAACAATAATAAAATTTTTAGTTATCAATGATAACATGTGAAAATATGTTGTGTAGACTAAACTTTTATTTTGATACTCGAAAAAATTTGTGTCTTATATTTTAGTTCTTAAAAATTTTAAAATATGATGTTAATATTTGATATATTTATCGTGTATTTAAGTTTCTAAATTAAGACGTTATTAATAGATAATAATAGAATATTGATAAGTCATGTGTCATTGCTTACGCGATAAAAATGACAACATATGTAATATAATATATGTTTTCATTTTATTTTAGTTTTTAAAATTATAATTTTTCAGGCATTTTAGTCCTGAGATTGTCATCAACAAACATTTTAATCCCTACGAGAGAGAAAGAAAAAAAGTGTGGTGGAGGTTATATTGAAAAAAGATCTGGTGGAAGAGATGATAAAAAAGGTTCATGTAGAGCCCTCATATTTCTTTTCTCAATATATGATAATTTTCATAAAATTTTAAATGAAAATAAATTTCTTTCTTAAACTTTCTAATGAGAAAGAAGCAATGAAATGATATATGATTCGTAGAGTAAAAATTTTATTGATTCATAAGTACTTTAAAAAATAAAGATTCTAAAATTTTATCTGCAACAAAGAAAATAATAGCTTATATAACTCAAAATAACTAAGTCTTATAACAGTTTTCATCTATCCATGCACTGTGAGCTAGTATTACTCGTCTTAATTTCTTGAAAATGTTGTATAAGGGTGAGTCTCTACCCTACCATTCATACATAACACATATTTATCATAACACACTTCTTATCACATCTCTTATCACGGATAAAAGAAACATCATGTTATTACATATCTTAGTGTCATGTAAAGCAAGTTTTGGTTTTGTGCTTGACATGAGTCATTACTAGAGTGAGTATCGACCTGATATGTGCAATACTGTTTTAAAAAATAATAAAAAAATAGTATCGTTTATAAATCTCTGATAAACCTATTTACGTGGTAAAAAAAAAGCCTTAAACAGAAAAATAGTTTTTAAAATTGCATTATTTAAATAAAATTGTCATTAAGATGCCTGATGAATTATAATCTCAAAGACTAAAATAAAATGAAAATATATACTATACTATATAAGACATTATTTTTGTCACATAATCAATAACACGTGTCACTTAATGTAATACATCAATGTCATTTTGACACATAAATAATGATATTTGTTACTTAACGTGATATATTAGCATTCTATTACTATTTATAACGACGACTAGGCCTAATAACTTAAATACTCGATAAAGATGAAAGTAAAAAACTAATATAATATTTTTAATTTTTCAAAAATTAAAATACACAATGCAAAGCCTTACGGAGAACAAAATGACACTTTAGTCATGTTGTGTACTATACACGAGTCTTATAACCCTGAAAATTCTAATCCACCTATTATTCCTTCTACTGCAACGGTGTCCTTTCTTAGTTAAGAACGGTAAAAGTTGTCATAAGCCCATATACCATAGGGTGACCATAATGACGTTTCAGTCCTTTCCACGTAATATATATTGTGATTAAGAAGTAATTTTATTAATTGTAATTGTAATTTTTATATTTTAATGTATATATTAATTTTTTAAAATTTTAATGATTTATATTTAAGTCTTATTTAAATGTTAAAATTGAGTTTTCTACCTCAATTTTATACTTTCACTGTATTTTATATATATAAATAAAAGGTTACATTTTTATTAATTATTGAATAAAATTTTAGGATGGGAGATTTAATTTAAATATTAAAAAAAACAGAGAAATTAATATGAATAACTAAAAAAAATCAAAATTGTCAGACAAAAATACAATTAAGCTTTTTTTAAGGCTAATCTAGCCTTAACTATTATTTTTATTCTACATCCAAAATACAAAATGTTAATATAAATTTGGCTGCGTTAATTTTTATGACAATCAAGAATGCAATATGTAGTAAAAATTAAATCTGAAGATGAATATGATTTGGCTGTAAGCATCACCAACTCCGAGTCTCCTTGCTTGTTCGCAGTTCCCCGAGACAAGGATCTTTATTTAGCTGTGATTGACTTGAAAGCAGAAATGGGAAAGGGAACGAGATTTGAAGGCAAGGTCGCCATTGTGACAGCTTCCACTCAGGGAATCGGCTTCGCCATAGCCCAGAGGCTTGGCTTGGAGGGTGCTTCTGTTGTCATCTCTTCTCGAAAACAGGTTCAATTTCCCATTTTTAATTTTTTTTTTTTCGATGATGGGCTTCGATTACTTTTCCCACTTTTAAGCCATAGTCTTTTTCTTTTGGTATATGAGTTACAAGAATTAAGGTTTAATTCCTGTTTGCTTGGAATAATAATCAAGGAGAGAGTTGATAAGAGAAAAGCTGATTGTTAAATAGAAAATTATTTTTGTGTTTCCAAATTCAAAAATCCGCCTATCACGTGACATTTCTGTTCTGCACTCATGTTGTTGATTACTGAAAATGGTATTTTATTTTCGGTTGAATCACGGCAGCAAAATGTTGATGCGGCTGCAGAAAAACTCAGGGCCAAAGGAATTGAAGTGTTGGCGGTTGTTTGCCATGTTTCAAATGCTCAACAAAGGAAGAGTTTGATAGACAACACTGTGCAGGTGAAATTGTCTTCAGATAAGCTATGAAATTTAACTGAAGGCTTTTGTTGATGAATTTTCCTGTTACTGGAATCTTCGCACCCATGAATTGGATTTTGTACTTGTCTAAATAATTTCATTAAGATGTGGTTGAATATTCTGGTTTGTCACACTTACAGAAGTATGGAAAGATAGACATTGTTGTGTCCAATGCTGCTGCAAATCCTTCCGTTGATACCATTTTGGAAACAAAAGAATCGGTCCTTGACAAGCTATGGGAGATAAATGTCAAAGCCTCTATACTTCTTCTCAAGGTAATTGAAGTTGCGAAATGGTGAAAGAAAAAGAAACCCAATGCATGTTTCAGCATTTTCTCTTTATGCAATTTCCATATGGTGTGCTGATAATGTAATTGGTATATGGTGTGTTATCCACTTTCTGATATATACAGGACGCATCTCCTCACTTGCAAAAGGGTTCTTCTGTGGTTATCATTTCCTCAATTACTGGTTATAACCCGCCAGCTTCTTTGGCTATGTATGGAGTGACCAAAACAGCTCTTCTTGGACTTACCAAAGTTGGTACTTGCCTTACGTTTTTCTCTTAAGCCTGCTTGTTTAATTTTTATTTTTATTTTATGATAAAAGTGCTTTTAAAAAAAATCACTTTTTCAAATTTTTAGATCATGAAAAAAGCAGAGGCTGAAAATAATCTGATTTTAACTTTTTAGTAGAAAAAACTAAAATTATAATTACCCACTAAAATTAATAAAAAAAAAGAACTTTTGATAATGGTAAGTAAACCAAAATAACTTTCAACTTTAATAACAAACTCGAAAAAAACCAATTTTTATATCTTAAAAATAATTTTAAAAGTTAAAACAAATGGGCCCTTTATTGCTAATTGTTTATAACATGTTGCATAGGCCTTGGCCGCTGAGATGGCCCCAAACATTCGTGTAAACTGTGTTGCCCCTGGTTACGTGCCAACTAATTTTGCATCATTTCTTGCAACCAATGATGCCATGGTGAGTATCTTTTGGCCCATGTAGGTGTTTACTCTTTCCTAGAGTTTCATTCCTCGTTGCATATTTAGTGATTTGAATGAATTTTCTTTGTGTATTACTGTAGAGACAAGAGCTTGAAGGGAAGACATTACTTGGAAGGCTTGGTACAACAGAAGACATGGCTGCTGCTACTGCTTTTTTGGCATCGGACGATGCTGCTTACATAACAGGAGAAACTATAGTGGTTTCTGGGGGAATGCCTTCGAGGTTGTAGCTTCCATTTTCGTCTTCTCAGTTGTGGGCCGAGCCCATTAATCATTAAACTGAACTAAACCGAACTACATTGTTACTTTATAATTTTATTATGATCGGATCAAATGAGAACTGATCAATCTGCAAACACACATAATCTAGTAAATATACTCACTTGCTTGGAACAGTGGTTTTTCAATTATTATCTTCTTTTAAATGCCACAAGGATACCACTGAGCTACTTTTGCCATTACCAATGAAATAATTAGAGTTATCATTTTTTAAGAGAAAAAAAGGGAAAGATTATGCACGGTTTAAAATGAAGTTATGCACACTGAAGTCCTGTACGTAATTTTGGATTAAACGAAATTTTTTAGCTTAAATAAAAGTCACCTTTTCTACATATTTTACTAAGTCAAATTTTTTTACTTAAGCAAAAAATCATTTTTTTGAAACGAGAAAAATTTCGCTTAAATCACACTTGGAGCAGTACTGAACTACAGGGCAGAAAAAAAGAGGTATCAAACACATGTACGTATCCGGAAGTGCCCTTCTGTAAGTGGCAGCTCACGGGTATTTGTCTAAATGAAAAGCTGAATGAACTTTTGAAGGGTAATTTAGGCATTATAGTTCACATGGGCAGAATTTCTTTTTTATGATTTTCCTTGCCACCCATTTTGGTATACCTGGTTTCGATATATTTTATCTTCTAAAATGTTACTTTCATTTTAAGCAAGCTGAATTCTTTTTTCTTATTTTACATTTTATTTTATTTTTCAGAACTTGATTGGTGAGAAAATCTCTCAAAATATGGGTAAGCACCACTAGGAGAATTTCACCCAATGATTTTTCTCATGTTCAACAATTCGAAAGCACGGACTTGTATCGCACGTAATCAAGAATTTCGTAGGCTAAAATTAAGAAGGAATACCAAAATCTAATCATTTACCTCGCCTCTTTTGTCTTTTTCTTTTTTTGCTTTGAGATGTTTATATCCAATCCAACTGAACACTCAAAATATGGTTGATTGAGAAAATCGAAAGTCGAAATATGATAAACATAAACTGAAAAATAAATAATTGTTGTTTATTTCTACATTGGTTATAAAAATTACGTGTAAATAATTTTTCTTTTTTTTTATGCTTTTTAATCTTATGTTTACAAATTTTTCTAGGTGATAACATATATAGAATGAACTGAAAGACTGAGTTAGAAAAATGCAAGCCTTCACATGGAATAACTTTCATTTGCTTTATGCAAGGAAGGTGGGTGGTTTTTGGTTTTCTCATGCTAATATATCGAATCTTTGGCATTAGGTGTCTCAACCTTTTTTTTTGTGACGGAGTAATCATTTGGCATCTCAATCTTATAAGATGTTTACACTATCACAGAATATTGAATTAATGGTATACTCCCAAAGTTATTGAATAGTTACTACATATATCGTTAGCTAATTGACGTATAATATAATTGTTTTCAGTTTGGGTCTTGCGCACCATCATTTCTACATCGAGCATCTAGTTCTCTTTCTCTGATGGCTTTCAATGGCCGTTTCTCTTGTAAATCAGTATAGCATCATCCTATATTTTATGGAACAAATTTCACGGATAAAGAAACCAGAAAAAATCTCAATGTCCAGGACACCAACAAGAGAAAAATTAATTAAGGCTAAATAAACATGGAATTTTTGTTGTAGACCCATGTTCAGCTTCATATATTACGCTTTTCTTTATCTATATTTCTGTGTTCACATTTTTTAGGCATAAACTACTTTTTAAAATTATTGAAAGTTAGTTTTGGCATAAATATCATTTTATAATCTATTTGTTTTAAATTAAAATTAGTTATTCGAACTGAATTAATATATAAAAGTAGAAAGTGATAAATATACATTCATAAAGAGAAACAAAAGCAATCAAATTAAATTGTATCCGGGGAAAAAAGAACTAAATAATCAAACTTGAACATGCTCGATCATCGCTACAGATTGATTGGAACAGCGGAACCAAACTATTTTGGGCCACATTGAGGGATTGGAATGAAGCATCGGACGGTGAAATAGAGGGTTTTGGGTACGAGTATTTTGTTCCCTTTGATCTTTCATTCTTCCATCTTTATACGTTATGTTTTCCACACTTGTAATTTATTTCTAGACACACATTAGTCTTTAATCAGATTCCACACCTTTTAAATTTATTTTTTCAAAGGTCAGATTCCACGCTTAGAATCTCTGCTTTGCCAAATTTGAATCATGTGCTTGGATTGGAATATAAGCTTAGATGATCCACAATTGAAATGCTTAAAGAACATATTGTTGCCCCGATCACGTTGTTATCTTTGATTTAGTGCTCTATTGATTATCGTAGATAGAATAAAGGGACCTCACATAAAACGTCTACCAATACTAACATAGTGCATCCAAATCCGTCAATAAGGTACTACACCTTCTGTACCTTTCAGTACCTCTCCAAAGGGAACTTCATTTTCTCAGCAGAAGCAAAGATAAACAATCACTTGCACGTTGATCAAACGGTTCTTGACTTGTCCCTTGTGTTCTCTTCTTTTTTATCTTTTAGTAACGTTACGTGACACATGTATTGTAGGACTTTTTTTGGTCCCAACATTGTGGTGCTACAGTTTAAGGATGGGATATGGGATATGACATATCCCAAAGTCTAAGAAAACTGCAAATTGCAAATTGTTGGATCAACAAATCGCAAAGCTCAAAACTACCAAGCTTTGCACTGTGCCCACTTCAACGTTGATGATGTGATGATGCATGCAAGAAAAGAAACCCAAACAGAAGCAAGGTAGCTCAATTAAATTAAATTGAGCTAAAAGTCTCTCTCTCTCTCTCTCTCTCTCTCTCTCTCTCTCGCTATAATCTCTCAACTTTTGAACCAAAGCTCTCACGAGACACCCCTGAAGCTTCTGCCTTTGAATTCATCTTTATGCTGCTACACGACCTAATCCTCCTCATCCGTCCTATTAGGAGAAACCGTGAAAACTGCATCTTCTCTTCTCTTTCTCGTTAGAATTTTCATTTTCATGGAACTTCCCTGCATTTCGTTCCAAATTCTTAAACAATGAAACCCTCTCCGTTTCTTTCTGTGTCTCTAATTTCTACTTGTAAAATTTTTCACCCTTTACGACTTTGATAAACCAAAAGTGTAGATGTGACATGAAAAACCGTGTTCTGCTTCCATAGCATATCTTTCTTTTCCTTTCATTTCGTACAAGCTAAAAGGGTCCTCTTTGAATCCATAAATGAGTCATTTTGAAGCGTATTCTTCTTCATTTTTTGTTGGAGCCTATGTTTGGGAATCGGTTCATGCAGTTGCTGAAATCGGTTCACACGTTCAGAAGAAAATCTCCTTTTGACAGTCTGTTTTGAGAAGCAAGCATCAGTGCAAAACTTTGTTTCAATGGCGGGTTCATGTTTCCATGCGCTTCGTTTGAGGAGGTTCAAGAGCAAACCTTTGCCTGAACCTTCTTCTTCTTCCAAGACCCGGTTGGATTCTGACTTAGAGAACATGGAAAGAAGAAGATTTGATAGCTTGGAATCATGGTCCATGATATTGGACTCTGAGAATGTGGAAACATGGGAAGCTTCAAAGGAAGATCAAGAAGAATGGACCGCTGATCTTTCCCAACTTTTCATTGGTAACAAGTTTGCATCTGGGGCTCATAGTAGAATTTACCGTGGAATTTACAAGCAGAGAGCCGTTGCTGTGAAAATGGTGAGAATTCCAACTCAGAACGAGGAGAGAAGAGCCTTGCTAGAGCAGCAATTCAAGTCTGAAGTGGCTTTGCTTTCACGTCTCTTTCATCCTAACATAGTGCAGGTAATTCACCTCTTAATTACATTGAATTCAAGTGTGAACAAATTCCTGTGCAGGTTTCCTATGTCAACTTCTTTGTCCCCATGGTTTTTGTTTGTTTAGCTTTATGGCTTTTGTTTCTGTCGGTTTTTTAATTCAACTGTTTTTAGTTCTAAATTGTAATATCCCTTTCCTTGTTTTATAGTTTGCTGTTCTTTTGGTATTTCTTTTTTATATAAATATCCATCGCCACTTAAATGCCACTTTAGTGAGAAAAAGAAAAACAAAAGAGGTCTTTTCATGAAAGATTTCTAAAATCTAAATAATAAATTGCCTTAATAGCAAAGGGAAAACAGTGCATGGACACCCTCCTTGGATGTATTGATCCTGTTAGAGTGTTCATAAATCAGAATTGATAACAAAACACCAACTTACTCTAAAAACAATTATTTCCTTTTGTGGTGTTTGTAGGGGATACAACGTGTAGTACTATGATTCATATTTGTCCGCAATCTTGAATACACTTGCAAGTACAAACTAACATCTATGTGTGGTCATACTCATCAATGACTTTATGTGTAACTGCAGGGGTCAGGGGTGTGTGTAATTCCTTGGCCTGATGTTTAAATGACACTTAATTTACAGTTTATTGCAGCTTGTAAAAAACCGCCAGTGTACTGTATCATAACAGAATACATGTCACAAGGAACACTGAGGATGTATCTGAACAAGAAAGAGCCGTACTCTCTATCGATAGAAACTATACTAAGGTTAGCTCTTGACATATCAAGGGGTATGGAATACCTTCATTCACAAGGTGTGATTCACAGAGACCTCAAGTCAAATAACTTGCTTCTCAATGATGATATGAGGGTTAAGGTGGCAGACTTTGGAACGTCATGTCTTGAAACACGGTGTCGCGAGACCAAAGGAAACATGGGAACTTATCGTTGGATGGCACCAGAGATGATTAAGGAAAAGCCTTATACTCGTAAAGTTGATGTCTACAGTTTTGGAATTGTTCTTTGGGAACTCACTACTGCTCTACTTCCTTTCCAAGGAATGACCCCTGTGCAAGCTGCTTTTGCTGTTGCTGAGAAGGTTAGATACCTCTATATCTATAAATTTTATGCTATGTCACGTTTATTATGATAAATGCTTTTAGATAGAATACGGCATCCCCATCACTCATAGAGGAATCTTTCTAAAACATACTGTATCCTTAACTTGTTTTTTTTATTTAGTCCTTCTAAAAATTGTAAACTTTTCATTTGATCTATTGGAACTTGTTGCATTTAGACAAATTGATAATTAAGCTAAAATTGTACAACGAGAAAAAAAAACATTCATAGATGAATTATTTAATAAGACAAATATTTTATGAGGAGCTTGTTTGCAAAGAAAATAGAAATGGGGGAATAAAGGAAAAAGAAAATCGTCAATTTTTATACACTAAATTAAGTCATTAAAATTTTATATAACCTGCTCTAACCAAGATGCAAGAGCTCCATAGCAGATAGTTATTATAACATTGAGATATTGAAAATTCTTAAAATATATCTAATGGTAAAATAACTAAGCCCATCCTATTATGCAGTTTGAATCTCTTCTAATCTCACAAACCTTGATTTAGTGTGGTACCATGGAAGTTGAACTACGAATCTTCTTAACTCCTCATTCCTCACCTGTTTAGCCCCTTAACAATCTCTAAGGCAGAGTCACGTATATATCCTTAATATTTAGTAATTAAACCCACAATTTGGTTACCTATTTAAGGGTTTTTCAGCAAAGCATAGGTGGACAAGCCTTGACTTCCATTTAATTCAAATAAGGTGAGAATTACTTTGATCTCTGTCATACTAAACTTCTCTTATAGGGAAGAAACTCTGGAAGCCATGTCCTTATGTTGTTTAAGATATACAATGAGGCAACACATATTTTTAATGAGGGGAAGGATACTGTTCAGCTTTGTAAAATCCATAACCCATGACCGCCACACCAATAGATTTTTATGCAATTATTGGATATCTTGGAATCTGCTCTTACGTACTCAGCCAACAACATGTCACTCAAGGGATCTAGATAGTAATGCTAATCTTAGTGTTTTATTGAATAATTATTATGCTAAGGTAGTTAGGTACTGATTTGCCTTCCTTCAATTGGGTCAATGCAATCTCTTTAATTTTAGAACCATACGTACCTTTGCTCAGTTTGGGAATTAAGGTTTCGGGCTTTAGTTTTCTTCTTTTTAGCCCCAACAACAATATACAGCGGAAACTTGAATGTTTACCCAAAAAATTGCAGACTTGTTACGGTGACTACTAGCGTAAGGTGACCAAACAAAAGTATAATTGCTACATCAATAGATTTGTTAAGATTATTTGTTACCACTTTAAATTTAAAGGTTTTCTTTGTTCTTTGCATTTTTGTGTAGAACAAAAACTTACTGTAGAAGAAAATAGACTATTTACCACAAACTCTGTATGGCGAAAGATGCATTCACAGGCATAAATGTAATTCCTGTGATGGAACAAAAATAACCATGAATTGCTATTCAACTTCATTTTGGTTATTCATTTGAACTAAAAATAAGCACTTGGAGTGATTATTTTCCTCGTAATAATAACATTTACACCCCCTTCAAAAGTTGGTAAATGTAGGTCTTCCGTCCTGGATTCCATGCACAACAAATTATCAAAAGGCAAGGTAAATTACACAAAAAATAAACATATGAAATTATTTGTAGTTTCATGTATCATCCGGATGTCTAAAACTTGAGAAAATTGTAGCATTCCAAGCATGGAAATTTGGAACTATTTGACCCCTGTAAACTAACTAAACATGAGGAATGGTACTATTGAATTTTGATTAGTATTGTGGCAAGTAGGAACTATATGCATAAGGGTTTGACTTGGACAAGCCTTTGTAGATTATAGGCCCATTTAGCCCATAAAGAGTTGGTCACATGTGACCCAATCATATTAACTGTTAGTTTGGGAGACCCAAAACAGGGATATAAATATGCGTCCGTGGGTCTTGGAGGACTCAATAATGGGAAAGAAGCACGGGTGGATGGGCCTTGGAAGTCCTTCTTCCTTTACTAGAAATATTTAATGTACCTCATTACTTAATTAAACATAAAGTTGGTATTATTATTTGACTTAATATAAGTATTATTTTGAGCAGAACGAAAGGCCTCCATTTCCAGCTAGTTGTCAGCCAGCACTTGCCCATCTCATAAAGCGTTGTTGGTCAGCAAACCCTTCGAAGAGGCCAGATTTCAGTGATATTGTGTGTACTCTTGAGAAGTACGATGAGTGTGTTAAAGAGGGCCTACCTCTCACTCATCATTCAGCCCTTGTCAGCAAAAACGTCATTATTCAACGCTTAAAAGGCTGCGTCTCGATGACCTCTTCCATACCTGTACAGGCTTGACTCCCCTTAAGGTAATGCTTTGCTGCTGTCTTCCACATTCAAGCCCATATTAACTTCTATATCTCTCTTCTTTCTCTCTCTCTCTCTCTCTCTCTCTCTATATATATATATATATATATCTATATCTATATATATAGTTTACACATGCTTCATGTTCTTTCAACTGTATTATGTACCTGTACCTTTTTTAGTTGTGTCAAAGGGATAGTTATTTCATTAAGAAAATAATAAAGACCAGATACAACTCAATAATGTCTTCATTTCCGAATATTCAGAAGTCTAGTGCAGAGTTATAGAGCGGAATTAATTAATCAATTAATTAATTAAAGGCCACGTGACTATATTCATATATGCTATGTTGGGGATGCAAAATAACTATGCCTTTTATAGCCGTAATCTGAAGCTCATCATCCACCAACTACCAAAAGCTAACCAAATTCAGCAACAGCATCCATTCACCAAACAACATGAGAGCAAAGTACTACTGCATTAACACATTGGTAACTATTACATTCCACCCACCACGAACGTTGACATTAGTCTTATAACTACGCTATTGTTGGAACCTTTCCTCGATATTTTATCCCTCTTCTTGTCTTAGAAGTTAATTTCCACCTTAAATAAACACCCTGCTAGCTTAACCATTGAAAAAAAAACTTGCAAAGTAACTCGTAAGTGTCAGTTAGCCAAAATAGTAAATTTCTTTGGTGGCAGTTACTCGGATAAATGATTAAAATTTTCCTTCAATAGAGTTAGGTAAGATTACGAAGTGCGAACTTTAAATGCATAAATAGACTGTGAAAATGACACACAATATTGTAGAATTTGGGGCAGCCCACTTGATATTTTTGTGTTAAGAACTTGAGATATATTCGCTTGGAGTCATAAGTCTTGTACCTGTTATTTGTAATTGTGATTTCATGTATAAGTAGTGTCACTCATGAGCTGCTACTACAGATGCACGCTTTGCTTTACTTTTCTTGTTGCCCTTATGTTCACTTTCTTTGTGGTTGGGCTTCTTACTTATTCTGTGTACATAAAAGGAGAAAAAAAAATGCTGTTTGCTGTTGGTGATGGTGGGACACATGAATCTAGAAAATCTGTGCCGCAGAATATTAAAAGTGGCTTGGCAATAGCAAACATGAGAAAAAGTAAAATAGTTATTGATCATTTGGTTGTTGAGATTGATATTAGCGTTTATAGTATCTGCACAAACATATATGCTCATTGTTATCCAGTGTGCAAGCATCTTTCAGCTATGGTTTCTTATTAAGTCATAATTCACCCTATATCAATAATACCCATCTTCTAAAAGGAGAATATTAATTCACTGCCGATGTTAGGTTGGCTCATTGAGTGACACATTTAATTTTATATATGAAAAAGGGTAACTTTTCAAATTAGATATATATACTTATATACTTTTTATTTTTATGAAATCATATTCATTAAAAGTTAAAATATTAAAGAATAAAAATAATTAAAAAAGGTTTGGATTGAGTAGTGAAGTTTGATCGGATCCAACGTATGCATACCTGGTAGTTAGCTCGATTAAATTAAATTTGACATAAATCAACTTATTGTGACCTATCAAACCGATTTAATCTTATTACTTTTAGTTGAATCAAATTGGTCGGTTTAGTCCATCTAAATTCTTAGAAATTACGACTTTTTAGTTGTGTTTTGCAATGGCCAAAAGAATGATAATTTTATTATTATGCATAAACTCATATCATGAAAAAATGATTAAAAATTGAATTTTTTTATTTAAGTGATTAAATTTGTTTTCTTATTTAATTTGATTTTAATTTATTAAAATATGAAACTAACTATTTCGCTAGATAAAAGCTTCCATGATTATTGTATTATTTCGTATGATACATGGCTTTATTGACGCAATACAACAAGTGAGAACTGAGAAAACATGGCAGACTCATTAGTACCTAACTCCACTACTTGTCGTCCTTTTTCTCGTTATCCACTTATCATCATTCAGAAAATGAGAAAAAAAAAATCGTATATCACTGACACTGTACATATATCAAACCTGCGGATAATGGCCCTAATTATCTTTGATTGGTTAACACGCGGGATTGCCACTGTGTTTATCCTTAGCATTTTGGGAAAAATATTTACAGAACAGTTTTTGAAATATATATACAATAATTAATAGCATAATTATTAAAACAACTTTATCTCAACTTTAGATAAATATAAATGGTTTATACCATCTTGCTCCATCTGAATTTTTGGTATCTAAGTGCGCGGTTTTTATTTTTATTTTTTTTTAAATTTACAACAAAAAGGAGGCAGTGTTTCTAAATGAATATTGTTATAACTTTCCAATATATCTTTGTATTTATTTTCAAAATACTTTACGAAAATGTGATTTAAATTTGTCCTGGTACTTGAGGTCGGAATTAAGCTATAAAGCTGATGGTATTTTGAAATTTGATTTTATGGGATGGAAAAATTGGAGATCATAGTAAGATGGAGCGAGATTACAAGTTTAACTATGGAAGATAATGCCGTGGATAGTCTAGAGATAGATGAATTTTTTTTTTCCTTTTTGTCAGAATTTTTCACATAACAGGGTTATCTAAAAAGAAATAAACACGATACCTTCTACATACATGGTTTCATAAAATAAAATAAGAATAAAAACCGTTTGTTTAATGTTGTATATTTAATCTCTTCTGGCATGATCCTATCAGACGAGAAATTTAATTACTATGAATTCATATCCTTAATGACTAAGCAGAAGACTAATTAAAGAAGATACCGACCAAGTCCAAAATGGAGGGACGGTTAGACTTGGAAAGGGTTATTAATTTTGAAGTCAGCGTCACAATCACACGCATATACCGTGAGAGTGTAAAGATTAGCGATTGAAAATTCATAAAAACGATAACTATAGATGACAACAAAAGCTCAAAGTATTATTTGGAAAACAACACAGATATGCACCATACACCATCAATTAAAGGCAAAGTTATCAAATTCTGGCAATGAACCGGCCACCTAAGAGTTTAGTCAACTTGTCTCACTTAGAGAGTTTGAAGCGCTCATATTAATTTTTTTAAAAATGTACTTAATCTCCTTCACTTTTTAATAATTTTAAGAGTATAAAAATAATTAATACATTAAGAATACAATTTTATTTTTTATAATTAAATAATAATAATAATAACTAATTAAATATTAATTAACATTATCTTAATTAATCAATTACTAAGAAGAGGCTTAGGATAGGAATCAATAACATACATGCGGTTCTAGGGAAACGTGTACGGTGATAGGTTGTGTTGATGAGAAAAGATTGACGGTGTAAGAGGGTGAGACATTAGGGTAGAAATGTCTGGTGGGGTTTGAGAGTTGTCCCCTCTTTTGTGTATCAATTAATTATTTATTGGCCGAACGCAAAGCATGGAGATGCGCATTCCAAAGATGCTCTAGCAGGGCGTGTCAATTAATTAACATTAATATGTATCACACTCCCCCCAAGTATTCGCAAGTCCTTCTGATGCATGGAAACAATCATGATCACAAAAGTCTTCAAAACATTAACTGTTTAAATTTACCTTTACTTCATTTGCTACTACTTTGAAGTTTTGAACATATCTATCTATTATTGTCATCTCTTACTATTTTTTAACAGAAAAATTATAAGTAATTATATTTTAATAAAATACAGCAATATTAACTGTATATTCTTTGAATTTTTTTAAAATTCTATTTTCTATTAGACAGCCCTTTATCTTAGTCTCATTAAATGATGTCCTCTCTTCTTTAATGAGATCAGCATAAAATTGATGATAAAGTATAAATAAATGTGTTGTTATTTTTAAAAAAAAGATAATTCTTCAGTTAGACATGGTTTACTATGGGCATTCAAGGTAAATATACACACTCTCATTCATTTTGAAGATCAATTCATTTTAGAAAATAAAAATCCAATCACTCGAATCATTATTTGACAGATCTAAAACTGTGGAGGCCATGATATAATGTAAATGTATTTAACTTCACATTTTTTTAATATTATATAATGATTTGAGCACTTTAAAAAACATTACTTACATTAAAATTTCTCCAAATTTGTCCATTTTTTTCTCTGAAGAAGACAATTTAATGAACTTTTAACTTGTCTGTAGTCGATATTTGCAATGCGTTTCGTTTATCTCTGCGTGTTTTCTCAATATATTTTGGTAGCCCATCGGCATCTAGAATTTGACTTAAATTTCACTTCTCCAAGCGGAATCCACCCTAAGAATAAATAAATATCTGACTGGTATTATATTTAGTGCCTTCACCTTTTATTATTAATATATTATCATTATAGATAGCGCAATAATTTAAACGACAACAAAACTTTCTTATTTGGCAAGGAAGTTCAATGATAGACGGATGTACATTTAGTTTTTTGCAAGAGTTTCTCATATATACAAGTGACTGGGGGATATATTTAGGTAGGAACTAAAGTAACTTTAAGGTACTGTAGCACAAGAGTTTAGGTGATCTCTACTTTTTTTATCATCCAAATTTTAAATTTGTGTAACATCACGTGCATTTCATTTGAAATTGAAGAGCTTCAAACATAATTATTCCTGGAAAGAGGTATATTTTAGTGAAGTAATTGAGAATTATATAGTAGGGTTGATGCCATTTCTCTATTCAGAACTCTAAGAAGTTAAATTTATAAATCATTCAATATTATTAATCTATGTAACTATGGCGCAAGGATAACACAATACTTAGTCTACACATGAAACGCTACACAAAGTGAGACATCTTCATCCTCAAGCTACAACCGGCTCTAGCAACCTATTTAGTGTATGTTTAGTTTCATATTTACTAATGATAAATTTATATTTAATACTATTTGTTGTAATTTTTTAATTAAATTCATGTTTTTGAGATTTCAACGTGAATTCATTCAAACACACACTATCGTGAGTCCAGAAATGTTTGAATCAATGCTTAAGTTGCCACCGTTGTAGCTGAGGTGCACTGCACTAAACTACTACCATCAAGGAACCCTGCAAAGGTACAGCCTTTTTTTTTTCCTTAAAATTTTAGACGACCCTCTTTGAGTTCGAATTTGCGTACGTTTTACGCAAGACCATAACCTTACATAGAGAAATAGACATATAGTAATTGAATAAAAACATTTTGAGAAAATAAAATGAAAATTTAAGGAAAAGGATAATTTATCAATTTTGAGTAAATTTAATTCATTTCAAATGAAAAAATATTTAAAAAACTAAGAATATTTCTAACAGGATAAATTGGATTGGACTAAAGTACAATTTCAAAACAAAAAGAAGAAAATAGTAATTTAAACATTTTTAAGAGGGTAATTTGTTAAAATTTAAAAAGTGTACGAGCAACGATGAAGCATGTAAATAGTTAGTAATTACAACTAAAAAGAAACGTCGGATGCTTATTAGTTGAAATAATTTTATCTGTATTTTTATTCGTTTAAAATTTCGTTAGGATTAGTTATTTAAACTCAACTTAATTTGACTAAAACTCAATGATGTAGGAGACAAAATTGGGTTAAATCAATTTATTGACATAATATATTGATTTTAATATTATAAAAAAATGATTCCACAAGTTTAGTGCAATAAATAAAAATACAAGTTGCAGAATGCATGACGAATGCCCCCTCATTAAATTGTGACATACAATGTAATAAACAATCACTGTATAATAGTCTCTTGGACAACTAATCCATTCACTACAACCACAGTGAAAAGGCAACCCTTTGAACATGCATAAATCTACTTAATTAAATGATGAAACAAAGAATATTAAACATTTATTAACTTATTTAGCACATAGCAAATATACTATGCACACTTGGATGTTTGGTTTGAGACACTGGATTGAATAAATGGGTCATGGAGAACAACGAAGAATAAATTTGGACTTGAGTGGAGTGGGAAGAGAAAGAGGAAGTGAGAGGGGGGCCTTTCCATGCCCCTCTTGCTTTAATCGAAGCATTTGCTTTCGCCGACCTCGTTCTTCGTGACACCTACCCGTCCCCATCACATTTTAAATTTTTCAGCCCATTTCAGTATTAAAATTAAAATACATGTTTACCAATTTTATTTAACCTTTAATTATTTTCCGATAGTACCCTTCATCTTCAACATAATAGAATCGCACGGTGCAACAGCCACACGGCAGTTTTCGGAATAGAGTTCCAACCAATCTGTGAGTTTCGTGATCACCGGTACTGCAACGTTGACGAAATCGCCCCGCTGCCCAATTGTTTCCAAGCCACAGAAGCGCGGTGGTGGTTTTAAATCTCAGTCTCGGGCCATTCCCCGTTTCCACCACGAATCCACGTCGTGTCAAAGCCTTACCAACACATGTTTCCCTCAGACTTCCCTACTATGATAAAATAGCACTATTAATTTACTACCACGCCGTAGATTAAAGAAAGTATAAAACTTTAGATAAACATACCCATCATTTATCACTTATATTAAAAATATAACAAAATAAAATAAAATCCTACGTTATTCTCTTAAAAAAAAAGGTTTCCAATTTGCTTTTTGAAGAGTTAAGAGAGCTAATATTTTATCTTTCCCCAATTTTAATAGTATTTTTGTCAATAAGAATAATTACCATAGAATAACAGCATAAAATAACGATTCAATCATTAAATTTAATAAAAATTATATCGCGCTCATGTTTTTTTTAACACTACTTGTTCAAATTAATGGAAAATATTTGTTACGACAAAAAATATAATATATAACTTTTCTCTCTTAACTATTTAATAAACCCAATCTTAAGACCGAAGGCATATACAAAGAATGAGTTTTCTTCCATGAGGATTGAAGAGTAGATGAAGTTAAATTTTGCTCTTCTAAAATTCGTATTCGGCAAACCAATTGGCATAACTTAGAAAATAGCAATAATCCCTTACCCTTTCCAAAGGCTTCCGTAACTTTGCATTAACAAAACGTTGGAGATAAGAGAAATGGTTATGAGTTTGATAGGAAATGAATCATAAACAATCAGGCCCACCATTTGGAAGCGAAAAGAAGAAGACACTAATCTGGGCTTTAATTTCCTAGACATCTTTAGTGTATTCCGTTATGTTTCCTAAAATCAAATCAAGCCATCTATAACCCTACAAGATTTGAAGTCGTTCAGCAAACTGCATTCAATATGGGTAGAATGTTCTGAAATTTGCAAAGAAACAACTTACTAATCGAGAGACCATCCAAACCAACATGAACTAATCTCGGACGAAATTCATTAGGCTAGAATACGAAACAGGATTTTCGTTTTGCTTCCATAGATTAAATATAAAAGAAGAGTGGGTTTGTGTGTGTATGATTTGATTGTGGTTATGACAAAACTAACTTCATAAAACCCAAAAACCAAACTGCCATTCCTTTTTATACATTGCAGAGAAGTGATTACTGATTAATGTACAAAATGAAAAAAAAAGAAAGAAATTGGTTTATAAATAAAAAAAGAAAGAAAGGGGAAGGATTAAACCCACCTTTTCTCTTGCAAAATCATTCACTGACCCCAACCACCCCAAATCCTTTCTCCAATGAAACTCACAAACCTTCTCACTGACCCTTTCTCCTCATCTTCAACCCCATCACCGCTTTCACCAACTTCAGCGTCACCACCACCCCCACTAATACTACTCTCTCCCACCGATTCCGACTCAGGAGACGCCGAAGCCACGAACTCCAAGCGATTCGACTCAGAGGGTTTGTTGTTGGAGGCTCTCTTGTTTCTCTTCTCCTTCCTGGTCTTGTTACCCTTTTTTGTGTTCTGAGACAACGAGTCTTCGAAGGCGTCGATGATTTCGTGTATGAGTTGGTGGTTGGGAGAGGAGTTCCATCGGGCCCAGTAACTCATGTAGCAACGGAAGCAGCTGCAGTTGAAGAGAGGAGGGTGATCGCCGTCGACGATAGCTTTGGGGTACCGGCGAGGGTTGTTGCCGGAGGAGGAGCATGAGATAAGATAGGCGAGAACTTCCTTGTCTTGAGGGGAGAGAGCGAGGGTGAGGGTGAGGATGGCGGCGGGGAGGAAGGAGAGGTGGTCGGAGATGGATGGCTGTGGCGGTGGCGGTGGCGGTGGCGGCAGCGGCGACAGCGACGGCGAAGGGTGAACGGTTCCTTTGCGGTAGAGCTTCTTCATGGTTCTTCAAAAGACGGAGAACAACTAAAAGTTTAGACTTTGAAGGCTTGATGCCCTTTTATTGTAATTATTCTGATTCTCCGTTGTGAGAGATAGAGAGAGAATATGAATATGAATATGTGACGTACATTTGGGGGGGTGTTCCTGTGCGATGCGGCACTCGCTACGACCCAAGCGTTTACGTATCTGGGTTTCTGATTCGTGCAGTGTTGGGTCCCTCGCCTCTGATTTGTCCCTGTCTTCGCTTCGACCTTTGTGGGGTTTCATGTCAAGCACCTTCTTACACACACACTCTCTCTCATTGTTATTGTTGTTATTATCGTCTGCAACTACCCCCGAGTACATACTTTGATTAGGGTTTTCTTCTTCTTCCCTTGCCCTTCATATTTCATAATATTATTATGCATATGGCTGTGAGATTCTTGCGATTTATTTTTTTATTCATATATTATGACTTACAACTATTTATTCTTTTAATTATTTATGTTTAATTTAATCAAAATTAAATCATTCTTACTTTGATATATTTTCAAAATATACGTCACATTATTTTTGTAATATGTATTAACAAAGTAAGTTTTAAATTATTATGATTTTATAAACACAATGCATATCATTAAAAACCCTGAATTTTTTTTTATTTTGATTCTTACAAAATATATTTATTTTTAAATAATCTTTATCATTACATATTAAGAAATTATTATGCATCACTTTACCTCGTAATAATAATATTTAATGTATCATAAAACGCATGTCACCTTGTCTTTAAATGAAGATAGGAATTTACCTTTAAATTATTAAAATTTAAAAGCATCAAAATAAAACAAAATTAAGGAAAAGTAATAGTATACTTTTGAAAATTGTTTCATATAAATTGTCTGTATTTTTTTAATATGAATATAATAGCTGTGAGATTCTTGAAAAATTATATTAATAATCTTTCTTCTTGAGTTAATGGCAACAAAATATTACGCTTTATTTATTGAATTGATGTTTGCATAGATACACGCAAATTTTATTCTTGAAAATTTGTTATTTCAATGTAAAAAGGAATTTAAATTGAACGCACTAATTATTCTTAAATTATATCAATAATAATAATAATAATTTTTAGTATTTAATATAAAAATTATATTTTTAATTGTTTTAATTATTTAACATTATAAAAAAACTTTACATTAAAAATGCGCTAAAATTAAATTATATATTAAAAAAAATCTTACGCATTTTAAAAATGCCGCAAGACTTTAATTAGCACAGAATATCTTTGAAGTTGACGAATATCATACAATATGCATGAAAACTTTAACGGTTATATTAAAGTATATGTAAGAATGTATATTAAGAAATTAATAAATAATAGTATTGTATTAAAAATCTTCGTATTTAATGTTAACATTATATTAAATCTTATAATAGTATGTAATTTTTAATTAAAAAAACATTATATATGATTTTTTACTATGTTTTTATGAACACACGTTAAAAAATTAAAATTATAAAAAGCAAAAAATTTTAGATAAATTGATTGATAGATATATGAGTTAACATACTGTCGTATCTATATCCATGGCTATTAAATTCAATAAGTTTTTTACCCATAAAAAAGTCTCAATAAGAAACGTAATTATAAAAGCAATAAAAACAAACATTAAATTACTTGACGTGAGTTAGAAGTTACAATTCAAGCGGAAAAAAAGAGGGTTTTTTTAAAGATTATTGATTGCATTTAACCTATTATATGATTGACGTGTAATGCAAAAGCAACTGGCATGTAATATGACCAATTTGATCGATTAATTTAACTCGCATTTAATAAAAATCATAGTTTTTAAAAAGTAATGTCGGGATTTTAAGTCTACCAAACAATTCTGGCTACGTGTGGTGAACTCAAACCGTCAAATTTAGAAGTTTGTGGTTATTAGCAAATTCAAGATAAGTGAGATTTTGCTTCCTCTTAATTATCGGTGGGGGGGTGGTAAACATGATTGATTGCACAAGTCCGTAACCCCAATCAAACTATTATTAACCACACTGGGTCTTGTGAGGGAGACAGCGACTCATATAAATTCTATAACCTACGTGGAAGGTACAAAACGGTGGCGCCAATGTGATAAAAAGGCATAGGATGCTTGCAACATTATTGCCATAAGATACACTTCTGACATTAAAAATTTATGTGCTTGATATGTGTCAGGTACTTCATCTGTCTTCATCATCCTAAAGAGTGAGCCCCCGCCCAAACCATCTATTGGCTACAGATAGTCTTGAAATCCAATTGCTGTTGGCCGAACTAAACTAAAGAAAAGACGGCAACTGAAGATAACAAAAAACTCACAACAGAGGGAAGTATTCGTGATAAATAAAGGTGGCCGCAAGAAAACGAAATTTAGGTTTTGCATGCTCAACTCACCAATGGTTAGATAATCTATCCTCTATGCAACTAGTATTGGCTTAAAGGAGATTGAGTTCCAAGTGGTTTTAAAATATTAGTTTGCTCATAGAGCGATAAGCTTCTCAGTTCAGGGACTTGATAGTTTGGTCCAAGTGTCCAACTAATAACGATATAATGGGTATATGAATCGACCCCACCAGAAAGAGGCAGCAGAAAATATGCTGCATAAATATAGATGTTGCTCAAGAAAAAAACTATGCAGCGAGTATACATTATATGCTCTCCATGTGGGGCTGTTTCCGTAGTTCAAAAAGGAAATAGGCACCGGGGAACCGCATCACTGACTTTTTTACTATTTTTACAACATCGCATTTCATTTTTTTCTGGTGAATTTGGGCGAATTATTCACCGTCACACTCACCCCTCTAAAGTCAGAAAAGTTCCAACTGCCAACATTTACGCTAAATTTCAACTCAGATTATCTGTCCCAATCATGACCAATGATCATTTTTACCCATGTTTTCATAAATACTAATTAAGTAAAAAGCAGAGATCTGTAGCAATTAGCTTAAAGTAAATTATTCCAGATACTACAGACGGGAAAAGAGCAAAGCTCCAAAGTGAGAGAGAGAGAGAAGAAAATAAAAGCTAATGGTATATCCCACTGTGATGCAAAAAGAGTAAAAGATGAAGATAATTTCAATGCCGGTTAACACTGGGATGAATAAAACGAAATAGATTAACTGATGAGGGAGTCTACACAAGTACAAGCCTATATTCAAATTATATTCCAGGCTGAAATAACTATTGGGAAGAACTCTGTAGGCGCGCATTGATCCATGACTCGAGATACCGCAGCTCCTCATGGTTTATCGAGTGGTCAAGACCAGGATAAGCCTGCTAATACAATAAATGTCAATATCCATGATGGACGGAAGGGCTTGTTGGATAAATAATCGAACTGTTGAGAACTTAGAATTTCACCTTAAACTCACATCCCACACCAATTTTTTCAAGGAATGGGGGACCTGCTTGTCCGGCCTCGAACAATACGGTTCTATCAACCAGCCCATGGGACCATAGTATGGGTGTCTACAGATATTTATATACACTAGGTCAATAAATAGAACAGATGATAATTACATACCGCAAAATTCAGTTGAATCAAATATTACTAGGACAGACTAAAAAATTTGTACAGTCCTACCAATTAAAAATACCCCATCAAATCATACCAAGTTATTCTAGTGTCACGCTCATGGCACATGTGGAAAGCGATTCTATATTCTAATGACACAAACAATTAAAGACTTTGAGGTGTCATTGTTCCAAGGAAGATTGAATTTCAACAACTACATGCCCCAATGAGGAAAACCAACTGAGCTGGCATTCATGCTTGACAGGGAAAGAAAATAGAAATCCATGCTGTTGTGTGTATTTAAAGCCATGGGTATGATTTTCAATGTTGGGTCGGTGTGTTTTTGTTGGGACATACAGCAAATATCGTGTTCCAAAATCCAAAGAACAAAGATAAAGGCAAACTCAATATTTCCACATAATCCTTTGATCCAAGAGGCGGTTAGTACGTAACCAAATCATTACCCGCAACCATTCTATTTTCCCATCCAATGTTATAGATTCAGAGTAATTACTCTTGAAGAAAATGGGCAGAACACAGCTACACTTGACAAAAAGGAAATACGAGAGAAAAAATATTAAGGTGGCACATAATAATATTCCTAAAGATCAGTACCTGCTTTGCCTCTGGTGTAATTTGTTCTGTAAAAGACGAATTGAATGGAATCCAACCACTAAAGACTGCACCTCCACCTAAAGTTTTAGGGTGCAGTAGAACACTAGCCAAAGTCAAGGCACCTGCAAAACAATGTTCCCATTAGCAAACTGTTTACTGTTTATAAATCACATCCATTTTTCTATTAATGAATTGGTAAGAGGATGAGAGATGCACAAACATGCAGAGACACACTCATACAGACACGGGAAATAAAAGAGAGACCTCCTTGACTGAATCCACAGATAAATATATTGTTAGGGTTTATGCCAGCAGCTATTTCCTTGTCTATAGTAGCATGCACATTTCGAACAGCTTTAAGTAAACTACTCTCGTCATTTGGAGAATCCTGACAAATATAAGCAAAACGTTTTGCAACATAAATTGATTAGATCAGTAACATATCCTGAACCGGATAATAGTAATTGCCTAACTCAAGTTGCTATGCCAGTACACTAAGCTTTTTAGTAAATCAAAGTAGTTGAACAAAAGAAGGGGGGCAAAAAACAACAAAAAGCCCCTCCTTAAGCTTGTTACACGACATTTACAAGACATGGTGACATGATGTTTTCAAGAAAATTTATTGTAGAAAACTGATCATGTTCACAGTCACCCAAGTGTTGGCCTGAAAACTACATCATTAAGTTAAGGAGACACACTGGCTCACCGTATGTAAGAGAAGGGTGTAACTTGCTTCACACAGAAATTCGAAACTAATTAGAACCACAAATAAGATAATTTTTTCCTTCTAAAAGGAACATTGTAACTGATCAGATTGAAGGCAGTAAGCATAACTATGATCAGTGGTCAAAAACTTTGACGTATCAATATAAAATTATAAATGTACACGTGAGAAATATGGTTCAATTCACTGCCAATACATGGTGGCATTAGTAAACAAACCAATATTAGGTTAAGGCTACACAGAAGAGCACTCTGCAGATCTCATGATTCTTAATATCGGTTAACAATTAGCACCACTTTCGACAGAATTATGCTTGATGTCAAGTGGACTTTACAACCAGTCACTAACATTTTGTAAATATATTGAAAAAATATGTAATACACATACTCCAATTCACAATCTGACAGCACTTCGCAATACAGAAAATGTGGAAAAAGGAGATATAAAGAATCCCACAGCATTCTAAAAATAAGAAAAGCAGTAATTTGCTGTATTGCTTATCATTTTCCCTTCAAGACTGGTCATTCGGCATCAATATTCTCAAGAAAGAGAGTGAGTGAACAGAAATAATCCAAAACGGAAAAAAAAGAGTTGAACTTACAGCTGTCACAGGAATCTCAAGAATGTCAAACCACGAAGGCATTATATAACCATCTACAAGAAGAGCGAATCAGTATATGGCATTTTCATAGCATTGTATCTAAAATAAAACTGGATAGTAAGTCTATCGTGTTGTTAACAAATGCCGTCATAGGTGAATGAATGTACATTAAAAGGTACGAAGCAGAAAATCAAGACTAAACAAGGGAGGAATAGGAGAAAAGATCAAAGGAAACACTTATACGAACAACATTAACGAAGGCCCATCAATCGGAAGCTCTAATTAACAACGCCTAATTATGAATTCTAAGATCCCCTAAAACCTCAATTTTGTGGACAACACTGGTAAATAAAAGTAGAAGAAGTGAGGCATAGACATACGGTTGCAAGTGACTGGGGCGGAAGGGGCAGAGGGGAAGGACCATTTGGTGTTTCTGAATCGGGGAGAAGTGAAAAATGTTTTGATGGGTTCGTTGGGAGGGCCAGAGTCACCCAAACCGTGAAGCCACAGAATAAAACTTGGCGCCATGGACATGGAGTGTTGTCGTGGAAGATAGTGGTTATTTGGAAAGGAAAGTAGAAACAGAATGGCGCTACTTAATGTGATTGCAAACACAACAGTGGGCTTTATCAGATTCATCTCATCCCTCGATCTTCCTTCGACCCACCCTCCACTCCACCAATTTCTTTTTAACATGCGCCTTCCCTTACCCCTGTTTTCTTAAATTGTACTTTACATCCTTGAATGGTGTGTAATTTTAATTTTTTATTAAGTTCAATGAGTTATTTTAATTACAATGTTTATTTTTTAATATAATTCAGTAAATATATATGTATATAAGAAAATTTGAATTCTTTTTATAAAATTTATCAATTTTATATAATGTTATATTAAGGTCTTGAGATTTTATTTAACTATAATTTAATATTTTGATCGATAAATTTTAAGAAAAAAACGGATTCATTTAATTTATAAAATTTTAAGAAAAATATAAGATTTGAAAGTCTTAAATGAAAGAGAATAATAAGAGAACTGGGTTAAATTAATTTAAAAAATATAAAGGCACATTTAACTCCGAGAAACTTGATGATTGGGATCATATATAATTTTAGAAGGGTGACTCGTGTTCAAACCATTGATTTTGAAAATTTCATTTCTAAGCCTACATCACAACATGAGTTACATAGACTAGTTGTCATTGGACTATTTTCTACGAGATATATGAGAAATTGGATACGTCAAAGGAAAAGGTGATAATTTCAATTTTTAAGCAACTTGTCCACAACTTCTAGGACTTGGAAAGGGTCATAAAACCTTGTTGTAAGTTCATGGTTATTTTGGCCAGCCATGGTCATCTTCTTCTTTGCATGCCTCTTCGTCTACCATGCTGCACATGGCCAGTTGTACTTCAGTGGTTTCTAAACTATTTTCAATCAATCATTTTTTTTCATCACAGCTGCAACCTTTTAAATTAGAATATTTAATAGTTGGAATTAAATTTAATAATATTAAACAAGAATAGAATTCATATATCCTAGTACTTTTAAAAAATTGTTTTTATTAGTTTGTATAATTTATTTTTTTCATAAAAGGACCACAAAAAGGTAATTAAAACATTATATGATAATAGCTCTTAAAAGAAAACTTTGCTAAGGTACAAGCGAAAGGAGCAAAATCTTTTTTAAAAAATGAAAAGAATAAATATTTCTTTTATTTTGAAAAATATTTGTCAACAATTAAATTTTATATTTTAATAAAATCAGCACAAAAGATTTTTTTTAAATAAGTGATTTTTTCAAATATTATAATAGTAGTATAATCACTCATTATAACAAAATAATAATAATAAATATGTCTCACTAAATATTTTATATTTATAATATAAAAATAACAAATCACAACTAAAGATTAAGTAGCACATTAAAAAAATTACTATTTACTAGACAAAGTAGTAACAAAATTTACTTAATACATGTATTTATAATTTATAAACAAAAAAATTGCATAAGTGGATATAAAAAAGTTATTTCTTCCTTTTTTTTTTATAAGAAATAAAATACAACATTTCTTTAGTTCTTATTAAATTTTTTATATTTTTATTTTATTAATATTATTAATTATATAAATTATTTATTATAATATTTAATATTATAAATATTTTTAAAATAAATTTTATATTAATAAAAAATATAAGTGACTTAATTATTTTTTTAATTATAAAAATTTAATTTTTTTATTTTTTATAAAAGAAAATAGGATGTTGTAAAAATTTATTCTTTAATAAAAAGAATAGGAGGTAGTATGTAATAGTGATTTTCGGCGGTGCTGAGCAGTAAAGATAGTATAAATACGAGGCAGTAACCGGTCGTTATTGTTTACCCTCAGTTCTCAAATCTTCTAGGGTTAGGGCTGGTTTCTCCGCACCCTCGCCATGGAGTTTGATGTTTGGCTCAATCACCCCTAACAGTCTGGTTTCTTTGGTGTTTGGTGACTATCTTTTTCGTTTTAACCTGATTTATTTTTCTTTTAATTATTGTGTGAGGCTACATGTACCAAGAATAGGGTGGGAAGCAAAAAGCCGGTACCCTTGATTCTTGAATGTGCCATAGCGGCTGTAGCCAGATCAAACAGACCAGAGAAGCTAACTGGCCGGTTGTTATGAGATCCTTTTTGGGTTTCCGTTAACATATCTGCTTACCGAGCTTCTCACATTTGATTTGTTCTGTACTGTTCCTTCTGTTTTCTGAATTTCTGAAACAAAACATAAGTTGAATTTTGGAATATGAAAACAATGTGGCTAACGTATGCAGGTGGCGTAGTTGGGTTTTCAAAACTTTTAAAACTGGACACTTTTTTGTGATTTGGAACGAAAATACCCCCATCTTTATCCATTAGATCTCCTTCGATCGGGTGTTAAGATCTACACTCTTAATAAATTATAAGATTTTATAAGGATAAAAACTAAAAAAAAAATAAATTAGTTCATTTACATCGCGCCTAATTAAATTGGAAGACACATTTTTATTTTACACTATACGCAAGAGATAATTTTACATGCAGGATTTGGCAAGTTGGACATTTCAGCTACTGTGCCCAACCATATTTATGTGCCGCACATCGCCACATTCATTTGAAGGGTTTTGTATTAGGCAGCAACAGACCAATTTATTATTTACTTTGCTGTGCCAATCAAAGGGGCAAAACTTAGCCAGAGCACAGCACTTCTTGGGCGCACTTAAGGCACTTCTACACCAACATTTTATCAACTGAAATTACAAAAAAGAAAAAAAGTACTTCTATACCTATGCACATGTAGCATCAATGTAACTATAATTGCATCCCAAGGCCCTCTGCATTAAACGCATTAGTCAAATGACCAACTCTGAAAGCATCCTTACTCCTATAATCATCCCTACAATTGTATGATTTCACCGATCTTGCTTCAAACCCCACGGACTTTCTGGTAGAGAAAGTTTCCCCACCATGAGAAAAAGGTGATGATGCCTTTCTAGTTGCAACAACCTCGTTAGTTGTTCTTTCGTAAGAACTAAACCACTTGGCTTGCATGTAGCCATTTCTCCTCCATGGAGGTATGTGCAGATCCATGCTTTTCATTGAGCCCTGAATAGCATTGCACATCAACCTCACAACCAGCTTAAGCTCTTCCACTTTACCAACAAATACTCGAGGAAAAGCACTAAGTAACGAAGCATATTGATTTGTGGGACGAGCTATTTCAAATTCTGCAACAAGGGAAATTTCAATAATGTAGCGATTTCCAGCAATATTCACGTCAACGTAATCGTAATCACCAACAGGGAATCTTCTATTTTTCTCGCACTTTGATTTGCAAAGTCCTGTTATGAAAAGTGAGAAATCATCATAATTCAAAGCAATTGACGTCATTTCCTTCCATCAAAATGAAATGAACAGGTAGTTATGTAAAATTTAGGTGGAAAAAAATTATGCTTCCTTGTTAGATCAACACAGACAGGAAAAAAGAATTTATATGATCTCAGTTATTTTTTTTCAATATTTAATGGAAAGGGAAAATAATTGCATAAAATCAGAGTACTCACCTGCATCAAATCCTCTCTGACGCAAGCGAGCCATCAGGTGGCGTTTGAATCCGGGCGATGAGTAATCCCCCACAAGCCCCAAATCAATTTCAACTTCTCTCCTAATATTTTCTTTGACATCCCCATCTTCGCCAAATATCCCCTCCAACATCTCCCTCTTCTCAGAATCAGACCACTCTGAATCAATCTCAAGCCCTTCCTCTCCTTCGCAACCAGCCACAGCGGCATCTTCTCCTTCCTCCTCTCTCTCCATGAACGATTTCACAAGATCCGACAGATCAATCAAGCCTTCTCGCGAGTGCTCGCTCCCATTGCTCTTGAAGAGCCTCACCCGCGTCACGTCGGCGTCAAAGGCCGCCGCTACCCTCTCAAACCTCACCGGAACCCTTCCCAATCCCATGCCTCAGTTTACAATTTCCTCTATTCGCTTTACACAAAGTACGGATGAGAGACAAGATTAAGTAAGAACAAGAAGAGGGAAACGGCGTCGTATTTGTACGTTATTTTCAAGTACGTTGCGATGGCAGAGATTTACTTCAATTACAGCATGAATGTGGTCCAAATTACGACATTTTTGGATGAACACAAGTCCCATAAGCGTCCAGGTTCACTTTTCCATATTGCGTTTGAAGGAACGGAGTTGGACGATTATTGGTTTCTACTAGTTACAGGCAGTCAAACTGTTCAACAACTCATCATCGTAATCCTATAATTTAGTTTATTTCCAAGTTCCAACTGTTTTCATCACAATTTCTTTTTTGATAAAATACTATTCTAAGGATATTTTATTTAAATTAATATGGATGCAACGTGAATAAGCGTTTGTTTTATTTGAACGTAGATCCAAACGTGTGTTACACATTACAAATTTGGCATGTCTCGAGCTACTTTCTATCCAAATCCAGTCACACACTCATCTCGTGTTTTTCTCTGTCATGCGATGTGGAAATTGGCTGCTGCTCTGTGACTTTCACTCCAAACCCGAGAGCTGCTAGTAAAATGTAATGTAGGTTCAGTGAATATCAAATGAGCGTAGCCATGCATTGATTCTTGGATTTTGTAAAACTAATACAACATAACTCATTTAAAACTTTCGTTTGATCCCTGAATAACATCTGTAGAAGAGTTTCGCATACTTCAATCTCCATTTCTTTAATTTGGTTGACTGGGATACAAACAAATTCACGCAGCCAGTATATAATTAATACTTGCAATTTCTAAACTTAGTAATATATTTGATCAAAATAAATTTTATTTTAATTTATTCAAATAATTTCAAATGTTAAATTTATGTCATGAACTATTATATAATACAAATTTATTAAATAAACGCATTATTGAGTTGCTTAAAAAAATCAAATATTTTAAGCATGTATATTTTGATTTTATGCTTAATATTTTGAATGAAAATTTTGATAATTAAGTGAGTCAAAAAATATCATCGAAATAGATGTATTTTATCTACTGAAAAGGGATATTTTAAAAAGAAAGATATCAAAGTGATCGATTACAATAAATAAATATTATAATTGGTCCACGATGCATTTTTCTTTATGACTAAAAAACTGATAATTAATAACTAAAAAAATATAGAATAAAAATGTTAGACATCAGAGAACTATTAATTGTGATAAAATTAATCTTTTAAAAATATTAGGTGATATCTAAATAGCTCACATCTAAAACTTCTTAAAAGTTTGTCAAACATTCAAAATTCATTTACTACATTTTATAACTACACAATTAGCAAAAAAGCTAGATATATTTCTTTTAGCTCGGAGGAGGGAAAAAATAAAACTAAATCTTCTACCGTCTTAAAACGCATTGAAACCGCGTAAATGCTGCTAGGAATGCAGTGTCGAACGGTGTTAGATTGAGTTGGACTGATTTCGGTCAAGATGCGGCCCAAAGAGAAGTTTGACTTATGAGGCCTGAAGGAATCGTGGGCCAGACGAGATTCCCGACCCGATATATAATATAGTAATATATTATAGAATTTTAAATACGGAATGGCATGTAAAATAACTAGACTCGCAAAATCCAGAGCATAGCGTAGGGTTGCTGCGTTCCGTTCCGATGGGTTTGTGATTTGAGATTTCACGGCGCGCATTATCAAAATCTTGTGTGTTTCGCGGCCATTGCCTCTGCTCGTGGCTTCAGGTAATCTTTCTCTTTTCACTTCATTTACATTCTAAACTATCACCATTTTTTTTTATAAACGCCTCCTGCTTCTATTTCCGGACTTCCTCTCTTTCTTCCCCAATTTCCCTAACCCTAGACCTAATTACTCGCTTCATCTTTGTCACACCAAACGCTCTAAGCTTTTCGACGCTTTTCCCCAATCATCTCTCCGAAATTTTCCGATCGGTGGTTCACTCTGGCTCTTCGGTTTCATTAGTGAGGCACGAATCTTGCTTCCTCTGGATTCCTTGCTCGATACGGTTGCATCTCAATCCGTTTTTATCTCGAGATAAAGGAATACTGCATTAGCATTTCTGACATCGCAGAATTCACCGTCGTTGGCGTCGTTGGCTATTGGAGTTAAAGCATTTTAGGACCATTTGAATTTCATCAATTGCATTGATATAATTTTTTTCTCCTTTGGAATTTTACACATGATCTATAGTCATGGATGCACGCTTTAGCAGTACAACTTTAAAACCGAATATCTCTTCAGCTTCTGGTGTGTATGCTTGTATTATAAATCTTGTGTGAACTTTTCAATAGCTGTTTTTGATTTTCAAGTTTACACTGTGAGGGGTTTTGAGGTTTCTCTCTTGATTTTTATCTGCAGAATTAATCTTGAAATTTAATGTAGTGACCAAACTGTAGATCCTTACATGTTTTCTATTGATACTTTTCAGTACATTGTTATTGAATTACATCCATATCTGCACTTGGAACTAATTTTGTCGTACTGACTCAGTACATTTACCAGGCTTTCATTGTGAATTAACAGTTGTGTGTACGTGATATTTGAGAACTGCTTGACTTGATTGCTTTCACCCTTACAAACAAATATTTTGATTGATTGGATTTTGACATGTTGCTACATGGTTTTGCAGGATTTTTTTTAATTCTGTAGCTCCGAATACAGATAAATCAATAATCAGGTTGTAGAGGAGAATGGCAGAAACTATATCTAGCTTCTGGGGTCCAGTCACATCCACCAAAGAGTGTTGTGAAAAAAATTATGCATATTCATCTTACATTGCTGAATTTTATAACACAATATCCAACATCCCAACGATACTTCTGGCTCTGATGGGTCTTATAAATGCATTAAGACAACGATTTGAGAAAAGATTTAGTGTTCTTCATGTATCAAATATGACACTTGCCATTGGAAGCATGTTGTACCATGCCACACTGCAACATGTGTAAGTATCTCCATCATTTTTTTTCCATTAGTTTAAATGAATTAATGTTTGCTTTTATGAAAGGTTCCATTTTGTTTTAAGTTTGTATGATACAAAATGATTTTGTCATTATATAGATCTGTTAATTTCATAATTGAAGAATTTGGATTTAAGGCGCTCGCAAGGAATAAGTTTTATATGTTTATCACCATCAATATGCATACATTAACATCTTTCATATGCATATGGTTTGCTTGATTTTCATGTTTTTGAACCGTTAGTGTTTTTTTCCCTAGAATCCCAATAATCACTGTTTTATTTATTCTATCTCACTTGTTCAACTTAGTTAATCTATATTCCATACTACTATGAAGGGAGTGTGGACACCTCTGTTATAAATGGTGGATGGGGGAAAGTAAACAATTCACCATGTACTTATGGTGGATGGCACTGTGACCAATGGCATAGTGACTAATTAAATTCTTACAATTTGAAGTAAAATCCTGGTTTTAACTACCTCTTTGAGAGGAAAAGACAGCCGCTAGTCAAAACAGGAGAGAATCAAAGAACAGGGGAAGTGAGAACATGGAAGAATGATGGGGGAATAACATGAGCAAAGAATCAGAAAGAGTGTAGACAGAGATGGCCCAAATCGCAGGAGAGGTTTGTGGAGGAGGAGAGGATATGTGAATGGAGAATGGATTATGTTCAGGTTTACATTTAGATCATTCACTGGAGATGAATGGGGTTGGTCACACAATTGCCAGAGATGATGGATGGGTATGGAGTTCATACAGTTTGATGAGGTTGTTAGTGTGGTTGTTGTTGCACCCTCTGGATTTCATATAACAATTCTTATTACAAAATATTAAAAAAAAAAACCTTTTAAAAAATCCCTGTCTACCATTTCTGCTTGGATCACCATAACTGTCATTGCACCTGAGAGAACACTGGCCTCCGTTTGCCATCATGCAGAACCTTCAATGCCATGCATGTCTGTTGTCTGAAGTGGTTTGCTCAATTTCAGCCCACCATGGTGGCTTGTGCTGCCAAGGCAGCAATTTTACAACACTGGATGACTGAATCAACAGCTCTCGCTCTTTTTTATTAATTAAATAATTTTAAAGAAATGTATGAAATTTATTAATATTGTTAGTTCACGTTAGTCCAACTTTAGGACCAAAGTGAGATACAAGAAGGATTGTCATGTGAGTTTATAAATTGGGAGCTATAAAATAATTCTGAGCTAGATAGTTAATAATTCTGGGGACAAGTTATCAATTTTATTCACTGAAAAACGATGCTTTTGCTGATAACTGAACGATTGTTCATAGGAATTAATCTTCAGTTACATTTTTCTTCCATTGAACAAATACTACTAGGTTGTTGTTTTTCCCCTTGTAAAACTGGGTAGATTGATTATTTAGTTTGCTCATCAATGATTCAATGTTCCTGCTTTGGATGACTATTTATTGTTCAGATGTTGTGCTTTATTTTAGGCAACAGCAAGGTGATGAAACTCCAATGGTATGGGAGGTGCTGCTGTACATGTACATCCTCTACTCACCAGATTGGCATTACCGCAGTACAATGCCCATCTTCCTCTTTGTGTATGGTGCAGTTTTTGCCATTGCCCATTCAGTGTTCCGTTTTGGTATTGGCTTCAAAGTGCATTATATCATTCTCATTCTCCTCTGCATTCCGAGAATGTACAAGTATTACATTTACACTCAAGATGTTTCTGCCAAGCGGCTCGCAAAGCTATTTCTAGTTACTCTTGTATTTGGCAGTTTGTTTGGGTTCTGCGATCGTGTTTTCTGCAAGGAGATATCCCGTTGGCCTATTAACCCTCAGGGTCATGCTTTGTGGCATGTGTTCATGGGTTTTAATTCCTACTTTGCGAACACATTCTTGATGTTTTGCCGTGCTCAACAGCGTGGGTGGTCTCCTAAAGTTCTTCATTTAATGGGTGTTTTACCGTATGTGAAGATTGAGAAACCAAAAAGCCAGTAACAGATATTTGTGGGAAAAGAAGGAAGCTTCTTTGTGATCATACATTTTGGCGAGATAAGTTGTTAGAAAACCATGTGTCTTTTTTTTGTGGTTTAGATTGCCTTAAAAATGATGATTGATTATTTATATATTTCGATGTAGAATTAGGACATGTACCATATTTATCCCGTCGGTACCTTTTTTGAGCCTGGACCTTTCTTAGCTTTAATGTTGTTATGACAACCAAAAACATAATTTTACTGTAGTGGTTGTTGTTGGGCTCTCAGTTGAATCGATCCTCACACTCTACTTGTAATGTCTTGTGTAAACCTATTCAGGTTCATTTGAGTATATTACTAACTTGTTTTCGAGCGCTTTCAAATGCCACAAACAGTTTGCTGTTGCTTCTCATTGGGGATTTACCTTGTTATGATGTCTAATTATTTCGTATAATTTTTCACTCTACTATCTTCAAAATTCTCATTTTAGAGAAGTTAAATTCTAATTTACTGATGCATAAATTAATACGTGACCTAGATGTATGATACTTGATCATTTGCGTACTACGATGACCATGCCATGTAGAAAGTTAATTTATGTCGTCATGAGATGCTCTGCTCTCCGTTTCGTTACATCATCAAAATGTTCAACTCTTCTTAATCCTATACGATCGGATTTCAGCACTAAAGACACGGATACGTATGTAATTTTGACGTAAACGTTTGTTTAAGCAAATTTTACAAATAACAAAGAAAATTTGTAAAATTTGGTTAAGTGAACCTACATCGTGAGCAGTTGAAGCAACTTGTCAAAGACACAACTTTCACTACCCTTTTCTTCTCTTCACACTTGATTCCTTCGAAGGTAATAGCAGTGATCCAACTCCAAAAGTTTACTACTTTGTCTTCAAAACCTTAACCGACACCTCCCAGTTGCAGAACATTCCTCCTGTTCTTGACCACTTTGAACACATGGAGAAGTTTGAAACGCCTTAGTTCATCTTTGTGTTCCTTATTAGGTTCTATGGTCTTGCTAACATGGTCCAGGATGTTGTTGATTTGTTCTTCAGAATCCCTAGGTCCAGGTGTACACCAACTATTTGTTCATTGAACTTGGTTCTCTCCCCGCTGCCATTGCCTTGACACTGACAAGTTGCTTGAACTGCTCACACGATGTAAGCGAATTTTCTTTATTATTTATAGATTTTACTTAAGTGAAATAAAATTTACATAAATAAATTTAGACTATAAGCTACAATTTGCATTAAAATTATAAAGAATCCGTATTTTTAAGAAAGTGAATAATTAGATGGAATCTCAAGAAAAAAAAATAATTACCGGTAAAAAAAAAAATCTTAAAATTACAAATCTTTTGCCCTAATTCTTAAAAAAAAATTAAAATGTATTTTAAAAAAAAAAAAACTTTGACATCTAGTGTCATTTTACCAAGTTTGGTAGAACATTGCTCATAAGCTGAACTTTTATCCAGTAAGTTTATAAATGCATTGTTCTGGAATCTGATTTAATGTGTCTGCGAAGGAGATAACATATTTTGTGTTATATGGATTATAATTTCAGCTAATTGTTGAGTACTTTCATCTTAGCAAGAGTGAGACTCTGGCTTAAAGAGTGGAACAGGATCACAATTCAACGAACGAGTTGACAAATGGTGCCTGTCATTCGCAAGTTACTTAAATATTGTATAATTAATGGCATATCCAACTAGTTATGATCTATTACAGCACTAGGTTCCTTGGCCTTGTTAGCCACCAAGAACAACGCATGATGTTTGCCTATGGCAAGCTACACTGTGTCACTATAGTTAAAATAATAATAATATATTCTTGTTGGTAATTTTGTCCTTTTGTTTTTCCCATCATTATTTTTACCACCAAATTTCGTCACATTTAGATTCTATCAGAAGTATTTGATGGAGGATCAACCTAGAAACCGTCTCGTAATCCTGAAGATAAATGCTTGGAACTCACGTTTCTGTTGTCGCCATACGGCAATCCTAACCACCAAAATAAAATTTAGAATAAAGAGAAAATGATGTCAAATTCCAAAAGTCATGTATTTTGCTAACAACCTTAGTACTTGGAAAAATACAACACCGATAATAACCAGGTAGCGATTATGGTCCTGAAGATCCATTTTTTGCTTTAGGTCACTCCGTCTCAGTCTCATTACCCCTTTATAAACCCTGAAATATACTGAACCAGTTCACTAATCTCATTATGTTCCTCCCCGTGACTTCTCTTTCAGATACATTCATCTGATTTCTTATACGATAATGGGTGCTAACCTTTGCACTCTGTGGCACCCAAAATCAGACCAAAAATCTAAATCACCTAGTGCTAGAGATGGCAGGTCAGGGTCATCAGGCAAAGATCTTATCATAGCCAAGAAGAGTAAGAAGACAGAGAGCCCAGGATGGTCGTGCAAGATTTTAAAAGGAAATATGGAGATGGGGGCGGAAGAGAAGAAGATTCCAAAACTGACACTAAAAGATTGGATATTAGCTTCTCCCGGTTTGAAGCCAGGCTACATGAAGAGTGGTGCACTCTCAGTGGGTGCATGTAAGCAGTCTAAGAAAAAGGTGCACCCATGTTTAAGCCAATCACATGGATCTTTGATAGCTGAAGCCAAAGACAGTTTATGCTTGGAAAGACACTTCAATCGTGATGAAGAAGGTGAAGGAATAATGCCAAGTTGCTCGTCCATAACTACTACAAGCTTAAGTGGGAAATCACACAAAAGGGTCAGTTTCAAGCTTCCTCATGATGTCATATTTTACTCACCAGAAGAGCCTTCTTGCAAAGAAGCTTCGCGAGAGGAGCATGAGCCTAAGCCTTATGATTATTATTATAGTAGTGAAAGTGAAAACTCATTTTCCTCATCAATCTGCGGAGATAATTCATTTGCCTCTGCAGAGGAACCTTTTTTCAAACTCGCAGTGGATGTTCTTCCTCACGTCTTTGTCTCTTCCAAAATTTGAAGTAGAGTTGTTCTTGCTTACTCATTGCTGTGCTGCTTAATACCTTAATCCGTTCACGTCTGTGTCTTCCACAACTGCTTGTCTTCCTAGTTAATTAATATAAGATAATTTGAAGGGAAGGGATAACATTTAATGGAAATGTATGGCTTGAACACTAAGATTTAAGGGGAAAAATTGAATACATAGATGCAAAGCCTCACATTCTCATAAAAGGATAATTTAATGTCCCAATTTTTCTTGGGTTCAGAATGAATTTTTTTAGGCTGTTACTTTCCACACCTCCTAACTCCTAGAATTTAATTTTCAAAAGTTAATAATACCTTCCAGAACTTTATGTTTGGAAGATATAAAAAAAATGTGCGAGAAAAAGAAAAAACCCCTTTTTTTCGCTTATTTAAGTAGTAATGTATCTGTAATATGTAGCTGATTGAGCACATTGGAGATGACTCTGGTATTGGTATAGACCAGTTTCGTTCTCCAAGAACCAGGCCTGTTCTTGTACCTCTCCTATGAAATACAACAAGTGACTGGCAAAATATGCATCACCCAGATTACTCAAACAGAACCGTCTTTGAATATCCCCTTCCTCCAAAGTTCAGTAAGTAGACGGCTCAGTAATCCATCCTTCTGCTGAGACCACGTGGTTTCAGCGCTTTTCTTCTCAGGAAAATCAGGTACCAAACAAGGACAAGGCACCCAAATTCTACTCGTATTACTAATTAATTGCATTGCTGCAACAAAATGCCAATTAAATTTAATTCGATTTGCACTGGATAGGGCCTTACTCGTAGAAAAAGGTAACCGAACACCCCTTGTCAGATTAAGAGATAATTAACCCAATTGAGGGTAATAATTAGAATATTATTTACTTTAATTAAAGGGTCAAAACCAAGGCTAACTCAGCAAGTCCATCAGTCCATAACAATACCTATAAAAGAAAGGTAGGAAGTACAGGTAAATGATTAACTTTTAATTATAAAAATAGTATTTACTGCTCAGAACCGAGATCTGATTTCAGCATTGGAGTGTCTTTTACAGGTACCCTCCCTACATCAGCAACGTACAGAAGGACGTTATCGTACATAGGCAGATGTCAAAAGATTAATGTTTCTCGAACGGGAACATTTTGGCGCCCACCGTCGGGTACGAATAGCCTCATTTTTTTCAGTCATCATGGTACTAACAAGAAGCAAACAGGAGAGACAAAATTATCAAGGACGGAATTCTCGTCAACAGGAAGATGTCACACCCAATCAACCGATGCTTGAAGTTTTGGCCGAAAGGGAGGGAGATGCAAGCCTCTCTTCTGTAGTAAGACAGCTCCAGGCCGAGATGAGGAAAATGCAACAGGTCAGAGAGAGATGCTCTTGAGATGTCGGCTTTAAGGAGGGAGAACGCTAACTTGAGGGAGGAAATTAAAACCCATATACCCTCTCAGACTATCTTGTTCGCTCAAGAGCAAGTAGAGTCTTCGACATTGCAAGAAAAGCCTAAGGGAACTCCACAAGTTGGAATCCCTACTGAACAGGACGATGTCTCGAGTCGAAGCCCTTTTATTTAGCCTATCCTTGAGGCCAAGTTACCCGATAACTGGAAAGGTTTAACGTTAGAAAAGTATGATGGCACGTCTGACCCAAGAGAACACTTAGATATTTTCATAATCCAAGTCGGTCTGTATACAGAAAACGAGGTCTTATAGTGCAGAATTTTCCCCACTTTCCTTAGAGGACCAACTCTTAGTTGGTTCACCCGACTCTCCCTTTCCTCCATTGACTCTTTCGCAACTCTTAGATGACAATTTAATCTATAGTTCACCACAAACCAACCTCACCCCCTGACATCCCCGGCACTCGTCAATATTCGCTAGGAGAAAGGGGAAACACTTAGAACATTCATGGAACGCTTTGGCAAAGTCACCTTTTCAATCCATAATTTGGAACCAGCCGTGGCCATGCACCACCTCACAACGGCTCTTAGACCAGGACCTTTTGTTAATAGCATATGTAAGAAACCATCCATAGACCTAGACGAATTAAGGAGTCAGGCAGCCAAATATATGCAAATGGAGGACTTAACTGAGTACCGAAACCAAGTCCGGATAGATCATGGGGGATCCAATTCGAGAGAGGCAGACAAAAAAGAAACTTTCAAGTCTCGACAAGAAAACAAAGCCAGAAGAAATGATGTTAAGAGGCCGCCTAGAGGTCCCAAGTATCCTTCATATACTACTCTCAACACCAACCGATTTAGGGTACTTGACCAAGCTCTCGCGACTGAAATATTGAGCATGCCCAAGCGTGCTAATACCCCCTCGGGTAGACAAAAGCAAATCATGCTGATATCATCATAATAGGGGCCATACCATAGAAGAATGCACGGCCCTAAAGGATAAAATCGAAGATCTGATTAAGGAATGACACCTTCGAGGATTTGTGCAAACAAATCCCACTGATCATGCTGAAAGAAGTAGAGACTGATATCCCCAATCCTCAAGAAGGTATGAGGATAAACAACCCGAACAACAACGAAGCCAGTTAAGAGAACCTCTTGCGAAATGATATGAGGAACGAGAGAGATACCCGAAGCGGGTTATTAACACCATAGCCGGTGGGTTTGCAGGTGAAGGACCCACCAATTCGGCTAGAAAGAGACATCTGAGACAAGTCTGCTCTGTCAACAATATATCACTAGGTAATAGAATCCGGATTTCCCCCATCACATTTACTAACGACGACTTTCAGGGGATAGATCCAGTGCAAGATGACCCTATGGTTATCAGTGTGAATATCTTTAATTGCACCGTCAGGAAAATACTAATTGACCAGGGGAGCTCGGCCGATATCCTTTACTGGAACACATTCAAACAACTAAGGATACCAGAAGATAAACTCAGAGAGTATCACGAAATGCCAATTAAATTTAATTCGATTAAAGAAAGGAAAAATACAAATAATAAAGGATATACTCTTGAATTCCTAAAATATGTAATTTCTCTAAAATTAATTATATACATATATATAATTCAAAATTTAAAATTTTAGTCTTAAAATTAACAAAATCAGGTTAATTTTTATCATTAAAAAATATTAAAACTAAGTAACAAAATGATAATTTATCATGATAAATGATATATGCCAATTTATTTTAGATATAGTGTTTTATTACATTTAAAAATAATTTATTTTTGTTCTAAATTTTAACATTTTTAGACAATAAAGTCCATTTTTTGTCTTTTTTATGAAGTTTTTTTTCTTAACATTGTTGCAATAACATTTCTTCTTCCATGGTATCTATTTTGCCTCCATGAAGTAGTCTCATATTCTTTTTCTCTCAATAATTCTCTTTTTTATCTAACTCAATGTTTCATCTTTTCTCTTTTAAATACAATCAAATAAGTTTAAGTTCTCATCAACTCACAATTATCTTTTAATCACATCTCTCTCACACTTGTCAAAATTACTTTTAAATGTAACCTTTCTATTGACCCACTCTACAACCCTCAATACACTCCATACAAATCCCATCATTCTTTCAATATTTTCAATAATCTCCCTTCGATTAAGGAAAATTATCATTTTACTTCAACAAAATTAGCATCAACTGTGCATTCTTTCTTATTTAATTTGTTTCAAACATTAATCAAAATCCTAGATAAAACTTGGATATGGTGGTTCAAATGGTAAAAAAATGAAATGAAAGAACTTCATAGCATGAACATCGTTGCATGGGTGACAAGGAGATGTCATGGAAGAAAGACAAAGTAGAAAAAGACGAATAGACCTTATTAATAAAAAATGTAAAAAGTTAGAGACAAAAATAAATTATTTTTCAAAAGTTATAATTAGACATCATATTTGTCCATAATAAACTTTCACTTTTCGCTTAACTTCACATATTATCATTTCGTTATTCACTTTTAACATCTCATCACAACAATAACTAATATAATTAGTTATTACTAATTTTATATTTCAAATTTAAATGATATTTCATATTTCAGGGATTTAAATGAAAAATTATGTAATAAAAAGATTACAAAATATTGAAAAATAGTAGATAGAAGTCAAATACAAATCAAGCAAATAAAAATGTCACAATTACAGTATTTGCCCTTGTTCTAAGTCATGCACTTGCAATTGCTATTGCTTCCATAAACTTTAGAGCAGGGTTGTCAAAATAGGCTTGACCTAACATGTTGGTCTGCCTAATCTACAAAAATGACGAGTTAGGTTAAATGTTTTGGATCCATTAGTTCGCCTAAGCTAACCTCTTTTGACTTGCCAAAATAAGGGTTAATGATAGACCAAAGCAAGTTGATCCATAAGGCTCATTTTTTTAATTTTCTAAATTAAAAAATATTTGTTTATTAATTAAATATTTGTTTTATTAATATAAAACATATTTTTCTTATTTATTGTTATTTTCTTATTTTTTTTAGTTAATTTTAATGAGTTGACCTATTAATTCAATTGCCCACCAACCTTTTTATTATTTTTTTATCTTTTAGTTTTTGACAGGTTAACCCATTAGCCTACCAATTCACTCTTAAACTCTCAAGCTATGAAATTTAGCTCATTTTCAAAATGAGACAAACTCAGGCTAATCTGTTTTTGAATGGGCTTTTGGCGGGTTAGCCAGAGCAAGCTAGTCTGTTGAACTCTTTTCTTATTTTTTTTAAATTAAAAATTAGTTATTAATTAATTAGATATTAATTTTTATTAATATAAAAAATTTATATTATTTATTATAATTTTTTTTAGTTAATTTTCAGTGAGTTGGCTTATTAATCCAATGGTCCACTAACCCCTTTTATTATTATTATTTTATTTTTATTTTTGATGGGTTGACCTATTAACATGTTAGCTCATTCTAAAAATTTAGCTCATTTTCTAAATGACGCAGACTTAGGCTATTCTATTTTTTAATGGACTTCTGACAAATTAGTCAAAGCAAATGACTCATTGGGCCCATTTTTTATTTTTTAAAGTTAAGAAATGATTATTTATTAATTAAATATTAATTTTTATTAATATAAAAATATATTTTTATTATTTATTGTAATTTTTAGTGAGTTGGCCCATTAATGCAATGACGTACTAACCTCTTTATTATTTTTTTCTATTTTTAGTTTTTGACGGCTTAACTCATTAGCCAATAAGTTTGCTCTTAAGTTGATTGAACTAGAAAATTTAGTCTATTTTTTAAATGAAGTAGATTCAAACTAGTTCATTTTTAAACAAACTTCTTAACAAGTTAGTTGAAGTAGATTGACCTGTCAAAGTCATTTTTTAATTTTTTTAAAATTAAAAAAATAATTATTTAGTTATTAAATATTAATTTTTATTAATATAAAAATATATTTTTTATTATTTTTTTTATCAATTTTTAGTAAGTTAGCCTATTAATCTAATGACTCACCAACTTCTTTATTATTTTTTTATATTTTAATTTTTAACGATTTGACCTATTAGTCTGTTAACTCACTCAAAAATAGGTCAAGTTAGAAAATATAACTCATTTTTTAAATGAGGTAAACTCAAGCTAGCGTGTTTTTAAACATGCTTTGATGAGTCGGTCGAAACAAGTTATTCTATCAGGCTAATTTTTTATTATTAAAAATTAAGAAATAATTATTTATTAATTAAATATATATTTTTATTAATATAAAAAATATTTTTAATTTTTTATTATTTTTTATACTAATTTTTGGTAATGTACATTAATCTAATGATCCACCAGTCTCTTTATTATTTTTTAGTTTTTAGTTTTTGACATGTTAACTCATCAACCCTTTAAATTTGGTTGACTAAAAAATTTAACATATTTTTTAAACCAAGCGGGCTCAAGTTAGTCCATTTTTTATTAGACTTCTTTCAAGTGAGTCACAAGAGGCTAACTCATGTTGCTTCCCTACATTAAAGAAGGAATTGTGCCAAATACTTTTACATGTCTTAGATGCTTGATTTTGGTATACAATTTTTTATACTTGTGTACGCATTCCATCAACAGTTTTACTTTTTTATGTAAATAAAAATAATTCTTCTCAAATTAACTTCTAAAATATCATTCCCAGATGCAACATCTCAATTTTTTTCTAAACTCAAGACTTTTATTAGCAATCAATTATATTAAAACACAGAAGAAACACAACTTGATTAATTATAGATAACATTTTTATTCAAAAAAAAGAAAGGAACAGAGGGCTCTAAATCATTGCGAGGAGGGTGGAGGTAAGTGCATCAAAGCATAGCGACAAAGTATCTTTGAGAAAGTTTCCGACGGCATGGAACTCCTGAAGTGCCCTTTGGACACCGTTGCAGCGGAGAAGCTGAGGGAAAAACAACCAAAAGGCAGTTACCATAACAAAGCCGAGGGTGAGAGGCCCCGACACCATTCTTGGTAACCGTAACTTGTTGGCAAGTTTCCTCTTACAAAACACCTCCAGGAGTATACAAAGCCCATGAAGCACGAAGAAGCAAGTTATTTCCCAAGTGGGCTTAGCACGGCCCAAGTAGTAGAATATGAGCTCATGAATCAGCCCAGAGGCAAGAAAAGTAACGAACACTGCAGGGAATGGAGCGATCTTGGGCCCAAGAATAGGCATCACAAGGCGGTATGTGGGCTCGAAAAATGTTAGTCGGAGGATGTTGGTCACGGCAAGGTTCCACCTTCGGCTCCAAAAGTCTTGGAGGGAGGAAGAGAGGTAAGGCTCGTTGAAATGTGGATCGGGCTGAACCCCAAGAAGGGTTCGAACCAGGACCGAAACCAATGCTAGTATGATTTCGAGACAGAGATAAACATGCATGCAATAGAGAGAATATAGTATTATAGTGGGGATGTAGTCACCGAACTTGTAAGTTGTTAGCACCCCTGCGAATATTATTCCCTTTATGATGCAACTCCATGGCGATTTATGGCGGGGCGAGGTGGTTCTGGTGTCGTTTTTAGACTTTATCTTGACGGGGAAGGAGGCCACCACTAGGAAATGTTTGAGGGACATAGATGGATCCGATAGAGGACCCTTGTCAAAGGCAAAGAGCAAGAGCTTTGAGTTGGCAAGCCAAGAGATGAAGAAAGAGAGAATGCCTACGAGATGCATTGTTTGGAGGTGGAGAGGAAGAGTCAGGAAGAGCATGAGGGTTGGTAGTATTGCCAACAGTGTTGGCAAGCCTTTTGGGACATTCTTCCCAATCATGTAACAGTAACACAGAGATGCTATTACTTGAAGCAATATGCTTATGAAATTGCTGATTTCACCCTCCATTGCCTGTGAATTGCGATGTGATATGAATGTTAATTCAGTATATGTTGGGAAGCAGAAGCAACATCTTTATATATAGTAAGGGACATGGGTGATGATATGTGAGGTTTTGCAACTTCGTGCGTGAAACTTGCTGTGTTGATCTTTCAGGTAATAATCTGAGTGCATGATGGTTATCATGATTCGGATCCAACATCCTCCAACTGCTACTCTGTCTTTTTTCTCAGCTCTTTACATGAATATCCGCTAACTGCTTGGTTCTAGCACGCCTTCCATTGCAATAACATCTGTTTTGATGGTTCACATTTAACTTTAATCACTCTTTTGCGCTTAATGATTAATAGTGGAGGATAAAAATGTGAAGATAGCTGGAGTATGGTTACTTACTAACGTTTATTTCATAGGAAGGGTTCTAGAATTCTAGAGAGTCTAATAACAGTTTAAACTCATGGTTCTTGCTTTCTAACAGTTTGAATTCATGGCTCTTGCTTTTTTAATATTTGTTTTGTATATAAACTTTAAAAAAAGATATAATTAAATATAAAATTAAATATAACATTGTAACATCAATTAATGAGAAAATGATTTAAAACATAAATTTTTCCATTTAAAAATTAAAACAAAATAATTTAATCTATTCTTTTTAACATGAACATAACTATACAAATTAATTAATAAATATATTTGTGCATTGCACAAATTTACACAAATATATTTTTATTTTTATTAATTAATTTAAAAATAATTATAATTTAAATGTAAAAATAAATTAACTTTAATGTGATAGAAAGATAAAAAAAAATTAATTATTTTTTTAGATAAAAAAATTGATTATTTTTTTAAGATAAAAAAATTGATTATCTTTTTAAGATAAAAATATTATTTGGAATATGATTTCACGGTAACTAAAACAAAAAATATGTACATATTTTTTTCCTTATTGAAACTAAAGTAAAGTAAAAATTTGTTTTGTATATAAACTTTAAAAAAAGATATAATTAAATATAACACCATTGTAACATTAATTAATGAGAAACTGATTTAAAACATAATTTTTTTCATTTAAAAATTAAAAAAATAATTTGATGTATTTTTTTTAATATGAATACAAGGATATAAATTAATTAACAAATATATTTGTGTGTTACATAAATTTTTATAAATATATCTATATTTTTTATTAATTAATTTAGTTTAAAAATAATTATAATTTAAACATAAAAATAAATTAATTTTAATGTGACAGAAAAATAAAAAAATAAAAAAAATTGATTATTTTTTTAAAATAAATTATATATAAAATAAGTATATCACTTAAACTTAATTTATACATATTTTTAAATATTTTAAATTTTAATAATAATAAATTTAGTTATAAATTAGTAAATATATTTGTATGTTGTATAAATTTATTTATATTTTTTATTAAATTATTTTATTTAAAAAAAAATAAAAAATTATAATTTAAATATAAAAAATATGTAATTATAAAATTTTATTACATTGAATGATATTAAATATAATTATATTAAAAACTATAATAAAAAATTTTTAATATACAATTTTTTTTTGTATATTTTATATATTCTTTATTATCTTCAAAAATTTAAATTTTTATTCTTTTAGTTGATGTAAATATAAAAAATAAATTTTTCAAAATAAATTGAAAAATCTTAAAAGGGAAATTAAACAGTAAATTTTTTTAATTGTTTTTAAATATAAGTAATATAAATCTATTATATTATTATTCTTATTAAATACTTTAAAATAAAAATAAAATACATAAAAAATTTCTAATAAATTTGACAAATGAATTATAAAATTATTAATTTATTATTTTAAAATAATATATTTAAATTTAACTTATAATAAATAAATTTATACTAATAATTAGTGACTCTAACATAAATTTTTTTAACTTTTAAATAAGTATTAATTTTAAGAATATAATACTATAAATGATTATATTAATATAAAAATATATATTTATCTTATCTTACGTATGATTTAGATGACAACTTGAGAATCAAACGTAAATTCAAATCATGATTGAATATTTAAAAAAAAAAATTAAAAGTATAAAAATTCAATTTTAATATCAAAATTTTTAATATTTAAATAATTTTATTAAATATCACTCAATAAATTTATTAGGCTTTTTAAAAATTGTATAACTATTTATATAATTTTTTTAATATACAATCAATTCTAATAAATTTTCTTTAAATACAATTTAAAAGTAATAATTATGAATTATTTATAATTTTAATTATAAAATTATACAAAATATTATAATAATTTCAATAAATATTTATTAAATATAATTAATATATTATTTTTACTTCTAACATGCAATAACATTTGTTCTGAACATTCATATTACTAATCATATAAATGAATTTTAACAATTTAAATTTTAATAATTATAATTTTTATTATAAATATATATTAATAAGTAAGTAAGAAGTAATATTTTTTTTAATAATATAACATTTATATCACTAATAATATAATTGATTCTAAGTATTTTAAATATTTATAATTATAAAATTTAATATAAATATATAAAATAATAAGTAATTGTAATTACAAATATCATAAATTACTCCAATAATTATAAAATTTGTTGAAAATGTATACAACACGAACTACTAAGTTAATTTAATTTCTTTTGACGGTTGATTTTCAAATCAATGCAATTCCTTTTCACCTTTCGGTAAATCTGTACTAGCCCATTTATACAAGCTCAAGCTTATTTTTCCAAGTTCCAACCTCTCGTGGAAGTTGTTAACAAGCTCAAATGAGAGCACCACCTCAAGCTTAAGTTCAAGTCATTGGAATCTTCCTAATGTTTCTAAAATTAAAATAAAACACCAAAAAGAAAGAACTTGGGAAGCATAACAAGACATAGTGGCACAAAGCAAATAAAAAAAAAATGCTCCTTATTAGCTTAGTAATTACAAAGAGCGGGACTGAGAAGAAACAGAAAGCATAATTGCGCACCAAAAGAGGCAAACTAAAATTTGTTGACAAAATTATCTGCCAAATGAATATGAATTTCTTCCTCCAAATCCTCTCGTCATTGTTAAGATTACTAATCTCAGACAGGATTAAAAATAAATAAACAACGGAAAAAGAAACAGGTAAACACTGAAGGAGATCTCAGCTCAAATAACAATGACTATGGATTAAAAACATCACTCATGGAGAGGTGAGTTGACTCCTAAAGCCATTCCTTCCGAATATCAAAAGTGTAGTTGATCTCCAAGTACAACTTGTTGTCATCGTCAACAAACTGAAAACCCAGAAACAAAATACCAAGTCAAGTAATGCATTAATCCAAATGAAAGACTGTACTAAGCAGTAACAAAAGATTGTACAAAAAATATGAACTTGTGAGGGGGTAATAAGTAACTTGGAATTTGAATTTTTAATAAGTGGTTAAATATATGCCCATGAAGTCTGGCAACAAATTTATTAAAACATTTATTGATCGATGCCAAAGTGGCAAAGAGACATTAACTCGTGCACGCTTCATTTCCAAAACAAGTCACAACATCAATACGACAGTTGGACACAGGCAAGAATTTAGGATCAGCTAAGTTTTTTCTTATATAATGCACTAGCACTAGATCTCGTGACCATTGCAGGCTTACATTCACTTTTTCTTGATAATGAAGTCATTAAAAAGCAAGATAAAAAATGTGTAAAAGCTACAGATTTTGAAACCATTTTACGCTTTTTGAAACAGCTTGCAGGAATAATAATCTGTTTTGTGTTAATGACGCATGCATGCATTATATGCTAAACTACCTTAGATCTAGCCGAATATGTCCCTCTAGCAAATAAACCAGATGGTGTTGTCTCTTCGGGCATTTCATGCGTGTAAGGCTCAGCTTGAGGGCTGAATGTTCCAATCATCTCTTTAGTGCTGTCAACTGTAACAAGGCTTTATAATGAGATAAGTGAACTAGAAAATCATCTGTTTAGCATGGCTTGATTTTAGTGTGACAACTTACCCTTTAGACCAGTTTTCCACACACTGTTGGTGTATTTGAGACCTGAAACGATATTATGGCTGACCTGGAAGGTGAACATTAGCCTGTAACGGCTACCTTCTTTCAAAGTAAACCACAACCCTTCAGGATTTCCTGTCTCTGGTATTGGAAGAACAATATCATCTCTACCAGCAGACTTGATTGCAAGGCTCAGGATCTTCACTTCTGGTTCGAGAGATTCTTGATCATTCATAAGACATGCGAAAAGTTTAGTCAAGAACTAATAAATTAAAATTCTATGGCAAAAGGATTTTCATGAGGGGAGCAACAAAACGCAGAAGAGGATTTAATTGATCGCTGCTATTTTCAAATGAAAGAAATAAAAAGCCAGAAATCATCTTTCATCAGTAAACCTTCAAAACAGTATAATCATAAGGAAAAGCCAGAAAATTATAAAAAATCCGTTTCAAATTGTGTTAAAAAGAGCAACTGAAATGACTTATTCGAGTCTAAACAAGATGATACAGAATCTTTGTTTGTCGCTCGAAAATCCATGATCAATTCACAATATAATCAATTCAAATTGAGCAAGCAAAATTATGTTAGTTCTGTTTTAGAACGTATTTGACTATTAGAAAGCTTATTACTAGACACATTCTCAAAAGACTATTCAAAATCTTCACACATGGGATAAAATTCATTAAAAAAATCTGATTTTTCAGCCACAATCTATTCTGAAACTAATCCCAATTCTATGGTATAGCGGTATATATCACCAAAAAGAAGAGAAGAGAGAGAGAACAAGATAATATGGACAAACAAAAATTGAAAGAAACCGAAGCACCAATAAAATTAGCAACTGAACAAGTAATTACCCCCAACAGAATTTATGTCGACACTTCCAAGAAGCTGTTCCTTCCACCTCCTCAAGCTCTCATCATCCTAAGGCCTCAAGCAGAAACCAACATAGATACATAAATGATATTAACAAAAGCATAGATCTTTCAGAATATCAAAGACAACAAAACAAAGGGAAATAAAAAAGAGTAAACCTTATCTTTCTCGAGCTGCTCTTTCAAAGTGAACTGGGGACCCAAGTCAATCTTCTTGTCCACGTCCTCATCTTCATCCTCTGTGGCAGCAATGGAACCTTCGCTCATGTGTCTACTGAGACTAGTCCCTTGTTCATCGCCAGTTTCAACATCATTCACCGTTTTCTCAACATGCTGCTTTTCAGGAACATCTGCACCGTCATTGCATTTGTCATCAAAACCCATGCTTTTGCAATTGGTAACCACAGCAACGGCCAAAGACATCAACAGTGGCAAAACCCAGATGGCAGCTAGCATGACAAGACAAGGCCAGAACCACCACCTAGCTAGTTAGCAAACAAAGAGATTTAAGCAAAGAAAACCCACTAGGTAGAAGCTTCGGTTCAACGAAAAAAAGGTGCTAAAAAAAGGGTGGTGTTAAGAAGACATGAGAGGAAGACGTGCGTTCAAGAATGCCAGAAGAAAGCGTTGATTGAAATATGGAATAGAAAAAATGAGATCATAGGATGAGTGTTGCAGCAAGAAAGGACGCCAAGAAGGGAAGAAGAGAGGTACAAAGTACAAAGAAAGAGAGATAGAGAGAGAAGGAAATGGTCGTGTGGTGATCCGCAATTCAGAAATATTCAACGACAAATAAGGGAGAGCTTCCTTTTCATCGTGAAGGTCACTCTTGTAGCACTAGCTACAAATATTATATTTTAAATAACATCTAAACCCAAGATAGAAAGCAACAAGGCCTCAAGAAAGAAAGAAACCATGTACAAAACTGACGAATAATAAAATTCATATTTGATAGTCTTGGCTTAAAACATATAGATTGAGGTTTGAGTTTGAGTATTCAGGTGAACTAAACATGGAGTTTGACTCCTTCAGTCCTTTTTATGGTTAATATCGTTACTATCAATTGTCATTAAGTTTAAAAAGCTGGTGACCTAAAAAATATTGAAAGCTATATCTGGTATATCGTGCATCCCACGCGCACCAACGTTAAGGTTTCTAAATATTACAAGATCTCGTATTTACCCACCAAAAATATACATCTAAGGGGAAATGGAAACTTATTTAAAAAGTGCATTTGCTCTATTGCAGTTCATTGCAAAATGTCAGATGAAAAATTTATATATTACGTATGCCAACTTACTTGACAATATTAAAATTTTTACATAAATTTTCTCTGTCCTTATATATATTTAGAAGCAAACTTAATTGCTTTCTTAACTCAAATATTTCGAAAGTGTGTTATGCCTCCGTTTTAAGTATATTGAAGTACGGGAAACAAAATTAAAGTGTGTTTGTTTCTATCAAGTAGATAAAAGTTATAACTACTCTTGGTTTAATTTAAAGTATATTGTGATTTTAACCTATTAAATTTTCGTTATTGTTCACATTAGAATCGAATTCATTTTAAAATAATTATTTCCCCTAACTGACTGTGTCATGTGCAAAAGCAAAGTAGAGCCATTTGATTCAGTGATCGAGCTGCCATTAAAACCTATTTCGGGAGGTGAAGAAACATTTGCTCTGATCAACAAAGCAAGAGTGTTCATTAGCTAAAATTTTAACATCTTTGCGGTGAAGTTTTCTTCCAAGGAAAAAAATTGACCCCTTGGTGAAATGTAGGTCCATAAGAAATATTTAACACGTATATCCCCCAATGAAACACGCATATGAGTCATAATCTTCCGGTGGAAGAAAAATATTTTAAACATAAGAATTCTCTTCATTGCAGAAGATTGCTTCGCTTGTATTATCACATTTTGTTGAAAGAATATATATTAAACAAAGTATTGCCAACGATTCAAAGGAATAGAGAGCTCAATAATTATTTTTTAATGGATTTCGTTAACTGTCCTAGAAATTATTGGACAACGTGATTGAGGTTTGGGAACATAAAGTCCATTATGAGGAAAGCACGTTCTTTCACAATCTTCCCACAAATAGATCGTGCCCACTTTTCTCTCATCTAAGAGCATAAGCTAGCTACCAGCTACCCAGCTTGCTGTTCTGGAGCTAGTAGCCTAGTAGATGTTCATGCGGTTCAGCTACATAGGCTGAGAGGTGGTTGACTACAATCGGGTTCTGAATTTTTCTATGATCTTGAAATCGTCGGTCAGATCAATTTTTGTTTGATATAAGTTACATAAAATCTGCTCGATCATGTCGTAATTCAAGTAATTATTTACACAATTTGTTTTTATATTATGCAATAATCAATAGAGCAATTTTTTTGGGGTAGATAATAAATAAACCGTGTCTTCCTTAACAAAAATATATTGCCATAAAGAAAAAAGAACGACAATTCTTCTAAAAAAATAGTTTTATTTGTTAATCTGGTAATAAGAACGAAAAGTCCTATGTATAGCATAGCTGGTCTCAGAGATTGGAGAGGTGATTTCACAACTTCATAATCAGCCAGCAAATTTACATGCTTAGATATATGGAAGGAAACATAGATACAGTAATGCAGACAAACAATTCTAGCACCTACAGTCTTAAAGGGAGTTATAAAATATAAAATTATTCATGTAATTCTTATCTATGACTAACTTAAATTATTGAAAAAATTCACAAATGATAATAGAGCATCTATGATTATGTAATCCAAAAGTAGCATGTTAGAGGGGTATTATAAAAGTAGCATGTTAGAGCTTCATGGCAACAACAAACAAAAAGATTAATTTATGGGCCTTCAATACAACAGCTAAAAAAATACGAATGCCCACGTCACTGAGATATCCCAAAACATTCAAATATCAACTTTCAAGCCAGCTCAACTTGTTGGTATATTCGTGCGCATTCCTAATTTGGCATATTGCTGTTCCCTGTGAAGTCCAGTTGCTGACAGTGACAGCCATAATATAAAGGCAAAAGGTGGTCTTAAATGTTTACATTATGAGACACAGCTCAGAAGAAAATGAAATGAGCAAATAATCCAATAACAGGTCATTCCATGTATAATTGTATTTGGAAAAATTAAGTACCATATATCAAATAAATAAATAAAAGCGCACCTAGCTGGTTTACACAGAACTGAAGACGCACTAGGCATCTTTTTTGGGCCATTTTTCAGGTGTTTGTACGCTACACTAGTGGTCACAGCGGTGAGAAATCTGTTTTCTTACTTGATCTTATACATTCATGATGATTTTGTATAAAATTCGATAAAACAACCACAGGAAACCAATCGACATGCAGTTGATGATAAAATTTGAAAGTTACCCTATTGAAAGTGATAACCCAGTGCTCTCAACTCAACTTCCACATTAACAAATTTTCCTTATCAATTGCATGCTTGTAAAGGAGCATTTTTTAACCCTAACTAAACTCTCAGGATGACAAAAGAGGAAACAAAAATCAACAGCTGTTCAGGTGTGAAGGAAAACAAACTTTTAGTTACAACAATAATTGCCGCACTAAGATTTGCATGGTGCAATAGATTATGCAGAATGAGCTGAGAGGGTTAATATAAATAACATCCTGCATTAGAGGGGTAATGCCAAACCTTCAATGAACGAGTTATTCTCTAGTCACTGCCCCATTTTCTTACAACATTCTGTTTGGCAGAAGCATGCTGATAAACTTTCTTCTTCGACAGTCCATCAAAATCAGGCTGATTGTTGGTAGAAGTGTTTTTCAAGACTTTAGATGTTATGAACCCAAATCCATTTCTTACTACCCGAAGTGCATAGAGCAATGGATTGAAGATGACAGCAAGGATCAAATCACCTTTTGCAACTATTAGATACTGAAATGCAGAGAGAGAAGGAAAATAGAGATTTTATTGTATGTTACTGATAATAAATTATGAATTTATGACTATCAGCAAGGGAGTTGAAATAGGAACGAGGAAAATTCTTACTATTAGTATGATACCAAGTACAGTAAGACTAGCTTGTTTTGCTTCTTGCCAAAAGTTATCATCATTAGACCAGCCAAACCATCGACCCCAACCAGACCAACCTCCTCCACCAGTGTCACCTCCACCTCCCAGCTTTTCTCTTCTTTTAATTTCCTTATCCCACTTCTCAAATTCATTTTTTTTCCCACTCAGTGCACCTTCTAATGCTTTTCTAGCTCGTTCCTGCAATCCAAATTTACTTTTAGTTTCTTTTCCTCATGCTAGCTTTGTGGGGCATTAGGGAATATGCAGTCCATCAATAGATTTTAGTGATAAACTATTTCTGTGGATAACCACCCATGAGACCAAAATGATAGCAATATAAGCAGATCGTCAGAAAATCTTCTCCTTCACAAACAAGAGAGTATAATTCAAAATTTAAAATTTTCAAGAAGATTATACCTACACAACATGAGGACGCCAGCATAATAATTAAGATAAATAACAAACAATCCAGATCAATTAATTAAGGCATCTTCCAAATGTTATCCAAAAAGGAAAACGAATAGAAACTCAGCATTGCATTATGGGATCACATTAACATCTAATAGTCGCGTGACAAGGAATTGTCTATAGAAACTCAGCTACAAGACCAAGCCAATACTTAATAGGTCACATACAAATCACTTCAAAATGGGGACCATGATAAACACATGCACTTATTCCTCGTATTTTATAGTATCATGATCTATTGATAACATATGATTCCCAGAAAAAGTATGTCAATTCGAGATTTTGAGACTACTTGAGTTGGCGAAGGCAGAATGTTGTTGATACATGTAAAATTATATGGAATAATTCTTTTGAGAGCCAAGCCAAGATGATAATTCAATTCGCAAGCATATCTACTCGGGCAAAATGGCAAATAATACGCATAATAGGAATTCAAAAAAATATCAAGTAATTCAATGCTGTGTAAATCATGTAATCCTAACTAAAATCCTCTAAGTTGCCAAAATCAAAAGGTAATTCCATGAGGGAAACTATGTTTGTAGGAACAATGAACTCCTTTAACTAATTTAATCTGTTTGATATGTCTTTCTAAGTCGAGAGTGTATGAGTGTGTGTACACTGACACTTGAACACCTTTAAATCGACAAATAAAACTTAAAGAAAGGAAGTTCATAAATATTGTCATGACAAGATACAGTGTGCAATGGACAGATGAAGCATTATCAGTAAAGAAGATAGAGTAAGTATTATCGAAACTTTTGTTTGGAGCAGCATAAGGCCCCATCAGAAACACATGGTCAAGGCAAGCCAAACAGTAAAAGGCTAGAAATTGAAAGGCAGAGTTGCAGAGAACGAACGAATGTTAAATGGCGGAGAAATAGAATTCCAGAAGCAAAAATTAAAATGACACAAATTTCAGCGATACCTCTTTTCTGTTATCTGAGAAAAGGCAAAGGAATCTAGCGTTACACTTGAGCTTGTGCTGCAAACGAGTCCAATTTTGGTTGATGGAGTCATGCTTCGTCAATTGCGAGTGGGAACGGCATGACCATTTCCTCGTACTTGGGAGTGGCGGGCCTCCTAGGTTTACAATCTCTGCCATGTTCGATCTCTGATAGCCTAACCCGTCGCTTTTTCTTCTCTCTATCACAATGCCCAGCAATTCACTTGTATTTTATTAACTCCAATTATCATTTTTGCTTTATAATTTCAATAAATTGGTAATATATCATCATATCTCACTATTGCATTTTTTTTATCACTTCTATGCAAAGTTCATTTTATATTACAAAATAAAATAATTTCTATATAAGTTTACCTTTTCATAATTACATATTTAAGGATTTTTATATTAAAATAAATATTTGTAATTAATTATCTAATAAAATAGGATTATAACTTGTTTAATTGTTGTTTTAATTTTTCAATCAATATCAAATATAAGAAAATATTTAATTATTATTATTGGAATTAAAGTTGTCTAATAAAACTATTTTAGAATTATTACGTTTAAAAATGTTAAAATCTTGCATTTTATATTTTAATTCATCTCTTGTTATGACTAATAAGAATCTTTTCTAACTATACATATTAATAATTATTTTATTAAATCCGATCCATCCCATAAATTCGACTCCGTCTCAAGTTAATTTTGAAAAAAATAAATTTTTAAAATATATTTTGAAGTGTAGCTTATATGTTTTAAACGAATATATTTTATATATTATACTGTTATATTCCGATATTATTTATTTAAAAAATAAATAGTAAAATATGTTGTAATTCTAATTTTATATTTTATTATGTTCGTGATTTAATTATACATTAGAAATAAACTCTTCAATATCAGCAACAATAACTCAATACATGTGAAAGACTATATAAGATATTTACCTATACAATATAGAAAAAAAAAGAAAACTATATATATATATATATATATATATATATATATATATATTACATATAATTAAAATGCATTCATAAATTAACTTAAAACAGAATTTTTTTATTGAAACGTATATTATTATTTCATTAAAAAGATATGAAAATTGTTTATCTTTAACTTTTAAACATGTCAAATATTTAAGACAAGTATTTCTCCTTACAAATTTTATAATTTGGTGATGTACACTTTACCTATCCGTTTACTTAAAAGAAGTTATTATTATTTAAGGTGCATGTACAACATTTAAGAATAGTAAAAAAGTTATTCATGTGAGGCAAAGAGAAGCATGGTTGGGAGCAAGGGTTGATCTGAAGTTGGACAAGGTCAAGTGACCTGTAGAACCTGTCCTCATCCGGTCACAGGCATCTTTATCACTTTATGGGAATAGAAAGACCTATGTCACACTACGTAATAACATTAGTCTCTCTTACATCCGGGTTATGTTATTGACGGATTTCCCATGTTAAAGAGGTTAGATTTTGCTATTTCGCTTTCACTAATACTTAGAAGCTATAAAGCTGGGCCATGGTTGTTGCCTGGGTTGGGTTCCCATGCGTTGACCGTGTCAGCTGAGTAGAAGATCAAAGTGAAGCCCCACCTATTCAAGAATGCAGAATCCTAATTAGTTGACCAAACTCCCCTAATCCCTAACCACCCATGGATTCCCCGTACAAGCTCCACCACCATACCATTTTCAAAACTTGTCTTTGTTCAAAGATAAAGGTACGTAAATGGCAATTCTGTAATTTCCCGTTGCTTTCATTTTACACCATTCCTCGTTGCCAAAGTCTAAAGAGAAGTAGACGGTTACTTTGGGGTGCTCCAACTTTATTATTAGCCCCATGCCTCGTTTCATCCACCTCAAAAAGAAGCAAGGTCCAACTTTTTTTCCCTTTTTACGCTTCTACCCCCCAACCACTACTCTCACTTATCCATCACGCAAAATTACGCTTCTACTCCTATCAATCTGCGCACTGTGGGTACACAGTGGTCATTTCGTTTCGTTGCAAACCATTTTTGAAACGGACGAAAGGGCATTTTGGTGATTTCGGTGTTATAAAGAGAGAGAGAACTAGAGAGAGAGAGAGAGATTTTAGACAGAGAGGAAGAAGAAGAGAGAAGGTGTAGCCGTTTTTTCTGTTGGTATATGAAGGTGGTGAAGAAGCAACAACAATGGTGTCGGACCAGGATATAGCCAAAGGGGTGGAGTCTCTGCTGCGCCACTCAGACCCAAACTCCATAACAACGGTAAACGGTGTCGTTCAGCAGCTCGAGGCCAAACTAGGGTTAGACCTCTCTCACAAGGCTTCTTTCATCAGAGACCAGATCGACCTTCTTCTCCGCTCACAGCAACAGCCATTTGTTCCTCACCCACCACTCCACAAAGACCATTTTGCCCTTCACCCCCAACCACACTTCCCAACCACCCACTTTCCTCCCCATTTTGCCCTTCATGACGAGATAAACTTCCAGCAACCACACCCTCCTCCGCCGAGTAAAGCTCACACCTTTACTCAAAATGCCGACACTGTTACCCCTCTTCAGGTGCCCAAAGAAAGGTGGCATTTTTTCCTATTCCTTTTTTCTTTTCTTTTTTCAAGTTGTTAACTGGGATAGTGGTTTGCCATTGTCGCGTTATTTAAGATCTTAGGTCCGAGGTCTTTTGTTTGTTTCGATTTAGGGTTAGAGTTGTTCGCTTTCGTCCAAAGCTACTGTTATGATCTTGTGTTTGATCTGCTAGTGCTTAGTTGGAGTGCGGTTCCATTTCTGGAAACTGTTAATGGTTGTTTTTTTTTTCTTTTTTATAAAATTGGAAACCTTAGTTCTTTTGTTGAAATTTTAGTAGCCTTACCCGCTATTTTAGTAAAATAGTTGTAAATTTGCTTATGTCATGTCGTTTTCCTATGATGATTTTATCAAGTTGTAATAATTTTATTTATTGATGTCTCTCTCTCTTTAAAACTATTCTCTTCTTGTTTGCTAGCCTTCTCCTGGCCCTATTGTATGGTACTCTTGTTATTATTATTTATTCGCATTCATTGACCATGACAATTTTTTCGCTTATTGTTTTTTTGTCGTTTTTTAAAAATTTAGAATTTGTTATTTAATATACTGTCCAAAATGCCGCCACAGGTAGAGAGCTTTTATATATTTCATATATACATGAGCAAAATTAGCGTTATGCTCGCCCATGTTATGCTGTGACTTTCTTCACTCTTTAAGCCCGAAGTATTGCATCCAATTGCCCAGATTTGGATTTTAAAGTTAATTTGAAGGCAGGGGTTCGATATCTCTGCCAGGTGTCATGTTCTGATTAGCTTTGAGTATGCTAGATTCTCTCCAATCTGTCTTTTATAAGAATGTTGTAGTGTATGTTATGGAATTAACGGATGACATGATGTGTTGGTATTCCTTATAAATGATTTACCAGTGTGCAAACTGGAGGCAAGAGAAGAGGTGGTGCAGGTGGTCTAAACAAAGTTTGTGGTGTTTCTCCTGAACTTCAGGCAATTGTCGGTGAGCCAGCACTGCCTAGAACTGAGGTAGTTTTCTCTTTCCCAAACTAACTTAGATCGTCATCCTACTTTCATTGTTGATTCATGAATTTTCATTAATCTGAAACGAACCATTATTTAAAAAAAAAAAAATCTTTTGGAACACATTGATATGCTCAATTCAGATTGTGAGGCAGCTGTGGGCATACATAAGGAAAAACAACCTCCAAGACCCTGGTAACAAAAGAAAGATAATTTGTGACGATGCTCTGCGTTTGGTATTTGAGACAGACTGCACTGACATGTTCAAGATGAATAAGTTGCTAGCTAAACACATTATCCCACTTGGACCTACTAGTAAGTTGTTAATAGCTAAATAAAAAGAGGAAGCAATGTTACTATCTTTCCTACTAAGGATTTTGTTGGTTCTTTAATTAGTTAATTAATTTAAATATTCCTTAACTGTTATTGCTCCAGAGGAGTCACAAGCTAAACGAATGAAGGTGGATGCTGAATCTAAAGCTGAAAGTGCTGAACTTGCTTCATCTACTGTGGTAATATCTGAAGCACTCGCCAAATTTTTGGGAACTGACGGAAGGGAGATGCAGCAATCTGAAGCCATAAGACTTGTTTGGGAGTACATCAAGCTTCATCATTTGGAGGTGTGTAGCCATGCTCACTCCTGCATGCCAACATACTCAAACATGATTCAACCATTGGTTTAAGATTCCAATAATTATGTAAGAATTAAGAAGATTATGGACTTCTTTGGTAGCGTTGAAAATGTTGCACAAACAAATAACTGAGATTAATTCGTAATTGAAAGCGGAAAAGCAAAAACAAAATAAACAGTTTTATATTCCATGATACCTGGGTAATCTCCTTCTCATTAGACAAGTTCTTTTCAATGAGCTTTTCATGGCATCCATAATTGTGTGATCTACAATTGATCCATGTTATTTGTAGGATCCTTTAAATGCAATGGTGATATTATGTGATACAAAGCTTCAAGAGCTACTTGGATGTGAAAGCATTTCTGCTGTAGGAATGCCCGAGATGTTAGCACGAAATCATCTATTTAAACAGCCTGACACCTGTTAGTGCTGATCAATTATTGCCATATATAAGGTTAACTTTCTCCTTCATCCTACGTTTATTTACTGTCCTGATGAGTTTTTGTTTCTATTTTTTTAACCTGTTTTTTTCTGAAACAAATCTCTCCTTTCAATTACGTGTTCTTTCTTTAGACAATACTGGAATAACTTCAAACTTGCATGTTTCTTCTACCTTTTATAAGTCAAACAATTTCTACATTAGCTGGATCTCTTCTAATAAATTCTGTGTCCCTATTTATTTTGTATGTTTGAAACTGTGTCCCCCACTTGTACAATATATTTATGTATGTTTCCCGGCCTTGTTTTCCTTTCCTGAGCTGCATGTTCTCTGTTGCTACTCTACTATTAACTGGTAGATGCTCATGAGTTATTTTCATCTGTTATAGCCTACTCATTGAATTTGACAAATAAATGGTTCTTCTGTTTTTCTTTTATTATGATGCAGGGCATGATCCGCATAGAGCCTTAGTCATCTGCTTCTGCTTGTTGCTAGATCATATAGGAACCTTTTTACTTATTCCTGTAACTTCTTTCTTTTATCTCTTTGTTCATTGACATATTTAAAGTGTATGTTGTCTGACGGTATTAGGTTCGTTGTTTAGAATGACAATATATCTTGGGCTAGGCAAGAAGTATATTGTATTTAAGATATGCCCCTTTAGGTTGTTCGTGCATTTTACTTTATCAGTTCTCAATGTCTAACCTCAACTGACTGAAGGAAACTGAACTCGAGTTACTGATACTTTTGTACATTGAGACACACCAACTACTTTGAAATGCACCTTCTTGTTTTACCAAATTTGTGAAAAATCTCTTGGCTTTACACACAATACCCGATTGCAGGCTTGCAGCTATTCTTATGTTTCTCCTTAGACAAGTAAACAAGCTCTACTGTTATATTATTACATCCTCTTTATCACTATTTTAATGAAATCGTTTTACTTCACCAATATGTTTTTGCATGGTGAACTTTTTATTTTCTTGACAATGTAACTGCTAATCTGCTATACTTTTTATTGATTATACGAACTCATATTTGTCATATTGTCTCTATATTTTTGTACTCGGAACGGAATGTCATCGAGCTAGTTTATGGTATTGGCAGAAGTAACGATTAGTATAATTATAGGTTATGATGTGATTTTATTGAAACAGCTGTAGTCTGTACGCGATACATAACGGATCATTTCGATTTTAAAATTCAAAATTACAAGTGTCGGTGGTTTAATGTAGGCTTTTCATATGTTTGGACAGATCATTTTTTTCCCTCGAAGCTGTTAAAGAATATCAAAGTTGTTGATTACATTACTATTTCCTCCCTTCTTCCCTCGTATAATATTTGTTCACGTGTGTTTGCAACTCGGGCAAATTTAGTTGAAAATATTAACTAGGTGTAATACTGCTCGAATTCAAGGTAATGTGTCATTCAACTATTAAATAAACCTTGCATATTAGGTGGCTTCGATCACTTTGGATAGCTTTTCTGGTCCTTATTAGGAAGGATGAATCTCTGGAAGATCCAATTATGGGTTACATGCGAACGACTGGGATGCAAACATTACAATATATGTATAAACCACGTAGAGCCTTCTCATTGCAATCCTTTATATTATTATCCAAAAGATTAACAAATTTCGAACAACAAATTCCTAGAACAATCAGACAATCATTGACGTAAAGATGAGAATGCATTGCATATTTCTAATCCCAAGTCCCAACTAATGTTTGTTGTGTACTCTCTGGCAATTGGCAAAGTAATGAAAAACTGCTAAATGGAAAAGGACACAGAAGTGTATGTTCATTACGATTAGAACTTAGAAGCATTAATTCAAGTGACATTCCGATTAGGGTGTTTTGAGACATAGATTGATAGCACAAGTCCCACCCCGATCTCCATTTTCGCAAAGGAAATGTGGTTGTTGCTAATTTTGGTGACGAATGAACAAGTAAAGGTAATACCCATTAGGCTGTTACCGAACAATAATGAAAGGAAAGTTCCAAAAAATAAAGGTCAAAGGGAAAACGATATTATTGCCAGCACATCGCTTTCCAAAACGAAGCATGTCTCCCAAAAGCACCTTTCACAATGAGCCCTGCTCTTGCCGTTCAAATTCATTTACATTTAGTACTGTATGTAAGAGAATAAGCATTTCTTCTGCAAAACTTCCGACACCTCGCATAAGAATAATCAGATAATTTCTTCACTGTTGAGTCACCACCACACTGTTCTCTTTTCATTTATCTGTTCAATACTATAATCAACTTATTCTTACAAATATTCCGATTAAAAAGTTGAGTAATTTCAAAATATTTGTTAAAAAAATCGACTTTTACTTAAAGACTAAGATCTAAACATGGGGATGAGTATCTAGTATGTGCCTCCCTCTCACCCAAAAAGAAAATAGTGCAAGATTCTAAAAGTGATAAGCAATGAATTTAGACTAATGTTATTTTAACACTCATATATAAATATATCATAATTACTTTTTAATTTAATTTATATATATAATCATCGTATATGACGACAGTTTAAAAAGATATATATTGAATATTATAATAACATTATCAAAAATATTTTTATATATTATGTTGATATATTATATAAAAAATATTAAATAATTTTAGATTAATATTTTACAAATATTATTGGGTCAAGTTAAATGAATTAACAAGTAAGTAGCACATGAATGAGTAAATATTTTAAAATTGTTAAATATATATTTTTTTAAATAATATAATTAAAATTTTTAACTCAATAATTAAATTTATAATCAAACTATTTACTTAAAAATATTAAATATTAAAAAAGCAATGTAAGTTAAACTCCCTCTCTCGTGTATGACTATAATTTTATATAATAAGGTCTACTTGCATTTTGTTGTCATTACAGTTTGGACTGAGTGATTTTTACCAATTAACATTTTTATTAATTTTTATTTTGAATTGGATTAATTAAATAATATTTTACTCAAGATTCAACAACTAAAATATCAAAATTTACCTAAAGTTAAAAAGAAACTCAAATTTTTTTTTCTTTCCAAATCATAATATCAGTTCTTATAAAATATTTCAAATTCTATTGAGTTTTGATTAAATCTCTTACTTCTAAACTTTTAATGAGTTTCTCAATTTCATCATAAACTCTCATGTATTTGAATTAAAAAAATGATAATTTAAACATTTAAGTAGTAAAAAAGATGAAGAGATCGAGTCTACATAATGTTAGAAATAAAAAAATTTAAGTGATGCGACCCTCTCTAGTTTCCATTGGTCTTTTAAAATAATAGAGTTGATGAAGGCCACGCAAAGTGAAGCATTATTTTTGCCACCTATGCTTATGAATAATGCAAATTGAGTTTATTTGCATTTGACACTTCTGTGGTTAGAATTTGGAAAACATTAATGAGAAGCCACTATCACACAGCAGCAATTTGGGGTTCTTTCTTAATCTTAAAGTAATGTGAGTCACCAATATTGCCACGATGGAGATGTGACTCTGTCTTAATATTATGTGTCTACACGTTGGAAGCATCATTATCTAAATTCATCAGATATTTTTAGAGCTGAAAATATGAACTATTCCAGTTATTTGAACTACTTCGTTCCAGGGATGAATTTTCATAAGCTGTAATACGAAATTTTAAATTATAAATTCAATTTGAACTCGGGATATTTAACTACAAAAAAGTTTAATTATTATTTTTTTTGAAGGTGAACTCTACATGAAATTTAATTTAATTTTGTATAAAAATAATTAACATTAATATTTAAAATTCATAATTTAAATATAAAAATAATTTATTTATTAAGAGTGAAGTGATGGTGGTAGAAAGAGAAGAAAATAGGGTAATTACAATTAATTGGATCCTGGAAGGCAGGAATTATAACACAACAGATGAGTGGATCATCGAGGGGTCTACACGTGTTAGACAATTAATTGGTCCGTAACATGAGTATTGTAATTTAACTCTTATTTTTAAATTTTCAATTAATAATAAAAATTGTGTTATTAACATTTTTTATTAATTATAACGAAAGAACGATGTGAGGTGGCATGGAGGGTGCTTGCCAACTGTGTTGTCTTGGAGTAGGTGGGGGCCACAAAGAGGTGTGGGGTTGGTTTGGATGGTAGTCATCGCCACTTGCCCTACACCTTTGGGTCCCACATTGCCACCGCCCCTTCTCTTCCTTATCCAACCAAACAAATTTCAAATGAATATATCTTATATTTTAAAATTATATATCACATTTTTTATTTATGTTTAAAAAAATATATTTAAATGAATATGCATGTATGTATTAAAGGATTAATTTTCACCAACTTTAGGAAACAAAATCTTTAATTAGAAGACAGAACTACTTTCATTAAATTATTAAGTGGCAAGGCCTGGTTTTGCAGGCATATGCTAATGTCTGCTATGCTTGGGTATGGACATTGGACAATGTTCATTTAAACTTCAATGGCTCTTATTAATCAGAGTTTGCTTGATATACTATTCTTAATAAAATCAAAGCATTGTACCTATTATTGTATGGACAAATAAATCATTTCAATATCGTCCCCTTTTTTTTATTGTTTTTGTTTTATTAATAAATGCCATGTTACCCTTAGTGTTCATTTGAAATTAAATAAAAAATTTAATCACATTTTAAAACGAAAATAAGGTTTTTGCCCATAAAATCACATGTACCTTTGTCTTCACCGAAATTTCAATAATAGAAGCCTAATGCAATATTAGTTATGATCTTAATTACTGCTCTAAAGATAATCTTTTAGATATTTAAAATAATATTTTTATATAAAAATTGAATTTCATTGAAAATGATAAAAAAAACAATTAATTGTATTTTTAAATAAAAATATTTTACCTTCAACTTTTTAAACAATTTAAGAAACGCAAGGCGAAGGTTATGATATTCCATAAACAGAGCAAGCACACAAAAATCCAAACATAAAATGATCACAATGACCATCCTAAATCTTTCACCATCATATGAACCGTCTCAAAAGAAGAAACATATATATTTCTCACCACAATTCAACTCTTCAAAATAATTTTAATTAAAATTTAATTAAACATTAAGAAAAAAAAAGATTATATAAGATCTACGTCGTACAGAAAAAATTTGTGGGATTTAATTAATGCCTTTAGGTAGTAATTAACATGAATGTTATCAGAGAAAGGATAATATCAAAATAATTTAATAACGTTTAATTACCATTAAAGACGTAATTAAAATAAAGAAGTAAGACTAAATTGGATATTTTCTCAGATAAAGAAAAAGTAACCAAATTACATAAAATAAATGCACATGTTTTTATTTTTTATTATTATTACTATTCACGGGAAAGGCATAAGATTTTAAACAAGCCCTATTTATTTTCTTTTTCCTTTTCAATTTGTTGGGGATCCAAGGAAAGCAAGTTCTTTTACATTAATCCAAAATAATTACCACAGTGAAGCGCACCCAAGAGAAACACAAGATCCTGAATATTTAATTTGTATACGTACAGCAAAATAGTTGTATTTCTATGTTCTCATTAAAATAGTCTCTTTATTTCTTCTTCTTTTTCTTTTTATAATTTTGAAGGAAAAGAGAAATTAAAGGAAGAAAAATCATTTACAACTGGATATGCCGATCTATTTGTTATTATTATTATTATTATTATTATTTTGGGTACATTGATCTCTTTAATTTCTGTCAGTAGCATGAGGTGTCTGGTTGAAAAAGATTCTTCCAAATGGCCACTCTCTCTCACTCTCACTCTCGTTCACACACACTCTCTCCGAAAGGTGTCACTGTTTTACACTCTACGCCTCTATATAAACCTCTCTACTTTGATCGTCTCAGTCACAAGCACTCTCTCAGCTTTCCTTCCTGGTTTATACATCCCTAAACCTTTCTTTCATTTCTATTATTACTTTTCCTCTTTGCTTTCCAAATGGCCAGTGCTGAGGTAATTTAAAGCTATACATTTAATTACTAGCTTATGGTTTAGTATTTTACGTTATTAGTCCATGCGTAGCTTTGTATCTCTAGGCAGACGATGGAAATCAAAACGTTTTTGACCAAATATGTCAAACTTTTTTTATGCGTTTCCTTTTGTTTACTGTGATTGATTCTTGATCAACAAATCAGAACGCGTTTGATGTTCTCTGATGTGCGATCTATGATTCTATATACATAGCATTTGGGATGGTAATAAAAAAGTCTAGTGCAATAGTACATATAAACAAGCACGGCACATTTAATATATACTCCTAATCATCAACATACAAATTAAACCATTATGTATATATTCGATAGCCAGGGTTATCAGTATCACTGTTTTTCGATCATACCCATCTTGATCAAAGAAATTCACGCAACATTTTACACCGCATCAATATCACTCTGATAAGTATTGGTGAAATGGATTGTGATCAACAACTTTATGTAGATCTCTCGTTTTCATGAATTCCATTACAATGTATTGTTAACACTATATTCTAGATTATAGGAGTTCTATTAATTTTTGAATAAAAGACGGTTCATTTTTACCTCATATTAGTTTTGATCGGCACCCATCAAGTTCTTAGTTTCTTATTGAGAAGAATTATTATACCTTGTTAAGCATGAACTTAGATTCATTAGAATGCTTCATTAAACGAAAATGGATCTTGCAGGTTGCACAGCAAACACCAACAACTAAGAATGAAACAGTCGCGGTAACCAAGATCCAGGAAACAACCCCAGAACAAGCAGTCTCCGAGGTTCCTGCTCCAGAACTGATCACAGAACAGGCAAAGGAAGAAACAACCGAAGAAACAAAAGAAGAAGCAGAAACAGCAATAACTACAGAAACAGCAGCCCCAGAAACGGAAGTCTCAGTTGAAGCAGATACTACTGAGGCAACCGAAGTGGAGGCTGAGGCAGAGAATCCAGCCCTGGAGAAAACAGACGAAGAAGAAGAAGAAGTGAATGAGGAACCAACATCTGAGGAAACTAAAGAAACTAACACTGAAGCAGTGGAGGAAGAGAAGGAAAACAAACAAGCTGAAATCGCTGTGGTGGCTTCTGATGAGAAGACTGAAGCTTAGGCACACGGAAAAAGTGATGATGGAAAAGGTTCCAATGGAGTGTTGGTGTTGGGATCGGGTCTACCTTTTTGCATGTCAGAGTTGAGAAGCTTTTCTTATTTTATTTGTTTACTTTATTTACCGTTAATGTTATTGTGAAGGTAAGTCTTTGGGTATGGCTTTACCATTTATGGAGGATCTATATTGTAGCTACACATAAGCACCGCTGAATTTGCTCCACATCAGCATGCATGCCAAGTCCGAATACGAGAAATTTTATGGGTTATGTATCAAAGTGGGTCATAAAGTTGGGGGGTGATGATTCCAGGAGGGTTCAACTAGTTTGTTCATTACGAGTTACTCTTGGTTTGAATAAAATATATTTGCTTTTTATAATCTTTTCTTTTCGTAAGAGTCTATATTTTTTTTTAGTTATTCCTTCTGCTTCACGTAAAGTTTATGATATTTCTAAGTAATCTACTTCTTGATCAATTCAAGTTATATTACTAACGAACTAGTAGACTACTAGGTTTTACTAAAATTGAAAGAATTTCCGCCTTCCAGAAGCTTGAGGTTTATAAATATAAAACAACCCAGTGGAAATAGATTGGAAAAGGCGAAAAAAGAAAAATTTCGTGTGGAATTGTTTACATATAGACCGAAATTTTTATATGAAAAAATACTTAGTAAAGGGAAAAGAAACTTGATTAAATTTGTTTTCGTTGGTCTATTAGATTCGTAAGCAGAATTTCAACTGGGCCTATATTAATTGTATGATTCATCAATACTAATAAATAAACTCATTAATATAATAAAATTGATAAATCATTAGTGTTTCATATTATTATTATGATGAATTAAACTGGTAGCATAAATTCATAATAGCTGTGCTGACAATTTAAATTCTATACCAATTTATTTATCATTGCTTCTCTGCTAATTTGAATATTTATTAAGAGAGAATGAAGTTGTATCTCAAATAAAATTGTCAGTTACGAAAGATATCTATAGAAATACCAAGAATCAGTAATAAACAGATCTACTATTCCAATTTTTATCCATTAGATTTAATAAAGAAAAATTAATCAGAAAACAAAGTCTCTGGGAACGGGTTCTGATGAAAGAACATTGTTTTAAAGCAGCTAAAAGTGCCTAAAAAACCTCCATATAGTTATTCTTGTATTTTTTTTATTTTTTTTTAACGATTCGAAACAATGATAACCAAAACTTATGACATTAGTTATTATTTATTATTTCTAAACAAATACAATTTATAACAAAACAACCACATAGTTTGACCTAAACTAGTTACGAGGGAGGAGGCAGCAGCAAGCCGTAAGCCCACTAAAACAACCCTTACTTGATTTTGGGGCGAAGAGTTGCTCTTTGAGCACGATTACCCCAAATCCAAACTTGATTGTTATGGCATATCCACCATGTCCATGGCACAACGAAATAAGCAAATTTCATTAGAACAGCAATGCTAGATCATAGAGAGATCGAATTCTTTTTGTTTCAATCCTGTTTTTATTTATACTTTATCCATATAAACATTTGACAAAGACCAATGACACTGCAACCCGTGACTACTTTGAAAAACAGCACTAGAGAATTTTCCCACATTTTCCAATTAGAAGATAGATGGAATACTCCTATAATCTGTACAACGATAATTCTATGTGCAGTCAAAACCACTTCTATCCAGATTGCAGGTGTATTCACCAAGTACCAAAACTGCAGCCAATGTGTTCTTGAGTGATGACATCAAGACGATCTTGCATGACAGCCATAGATGAATAAGCTGGGAAACACAGCCGGTAAAAGCAAGTGTGAGATGAAGGAAGGCGATCACCGGGTTCATGGGATCTGTATATGTAGAGACGGGAAGCTAAACCACGGAAACCTTCGACCGGTAAATATTTTACAGATGTCCAAAAGAATAGAAGAACCTTCCTTTGTTCTGCTGTCATTCTCCCAACAATCTGCTATGTTTTTTTTTTAACAGAAATCATACATAAAAATGAACAAACTGAGCGGAGTCTATTAGCAAATCTTGAAATACTATTTTATTTGAAAAAGATTCCAGAACTAATTAATCCAAGGACACAATAACCAACCAGCTTTAGCTAAAAAGAAATCATTGGTCAATTAAATAAAGACACGGGAAATTAATATTCAGATATCTCAGCAAAAGGTGAAACTATATGCTACCAATTTGCAAAATTCACAACATCAATATATTTTTATATGATATAATTATCAGCATAAGAACGTAGATTTAAAATGTAAAAAAACTAGATGATATGAGAATAAGGTCGCAGACTAACAATCATTACCCACACATTTTTTAATGTTAGAGATATATTTGTAAACGACATGAAGCACATCAAAGGTTGAAGCTATCAGGCCTAAAGGAAAGGAATAATTTACAGTAACGCAGATGAGGACTCTAGCATGTTTGCTGATCAGGTTAGGAAGAAGTAGATTCCAAAAACAGTGCAAGGTAAACAATTCCCTTGTGGAGACGGGGACTGTAAAAGTAGCCAAGACAGTGAAACATCCCCCCCCCCCCCCCCACCCCAAAACACACACCCACACTTTTTGTGAATAAAATGGGAACAGAGACAACCTTAGAGAGTATCATGTATCACTTGTTGCCCAATAGAAAAGGAAAAAAAAAAAAGGAATAAAGATACATATTTTGTGATAGCAGAATGCACATACCTCCCAAAACCAAGATATCTGAATATCTGTCTCTTTATAGCCATTGTACTCGGTGTGTGTTTTCCAATCTTCAACAGAAATGGTATCTTCACTCCCATGCAGCATCCAATCAAGATCTTCAAGCTGTAAACTTTGAAAGAAGTACTGCTGGAGCTTTGAGTTTGAAAGAATATCAGCAAAACCTTTGGCAAAATGTGACACCTGCTCAGAAATAGATGTTACGAAGCGATCCTGTATTAGAAGATCAACATACTTCTCCCTGTTCTTACTATTTACTACAAGGGTTTTCCCATCAGGGCAGAGCTCAACCACTTTCCTGTGTCCTAATTCCTCCACCTCTCTAACAAATGTCAGTCCTAATTCATCTGAATCAACGAAATCAGAATCCATCTCCAATATTTGCTTGAGGCTGGTATACAGACAAGGATCTGCATCCCTTATATCTTCTAAAGTAATATAGTTTCCAGCCAATTGCAAGAAAAACACACGATCAAAAACAATACCGACTTGCACCCTATGCATCAAAGCTAATGCAATAATTCGACCAGCAAAGCTGAAGTACTCAAGGTGCAGAGGATGTACCTTAGAAGCTTCAAACAAGTAGACAATGTATAAGCTAAACTTGATTATCCATAAATGTTTTAACAATTTCAACTCACACAAGATATACAGCAGCATGGAATAATACTCAACACCAATCATCATCAAGCAAAAAGCAACCCTAGTCCCTAACAATACTAGCTGGGAACTCAAGTTTAGAAGCAAAACATTCATGGTTGGACAGGGTGACACCATAAATTTGAATTTCAGTTTGAATAGCCATCAACCTACACGATTATATGTGTTAATGGAACTTTGAGACAAGGTGTCACTGTGTGATTCTCCAAAGGTGACTGAAGGAAGCACAGATACTATTACTAACAAATTGTACCATACAGATTCACTTGGTTGTTTTCACACTCATAATTTTCTTCCAAGATGGAAGATAAACCCTTATGCATGACACACTGACCCAAAAACACCCCCAAATAGTTGAATCATTTAATCTTTAGTGAATTTTAAAGTGAACATAAACAAATAATTCTTCCCATCATTTTTATAAGAAACAAAAATCTATTGTTAGATAATATAAAAAAAAATCTATTGTTAGATATATTAATTATAAAATTCTTTTTATTCTCTTATATAAATGAAATTTATGTTAACACAACACCTAATTATTACTCATTCAAGTGGATACATAATAGTCAATCACGAATAGTAGCTAACCTCAAAAACGCTATAGTGGGATAGCGTATAGCTGGATGACCGCTATTTTGAAATTTTAAATACACCTAATATACATTAAGCTACACATGTAGATATGCATAAAAATACAAAATTAATATACAAAAATGCATAATTAATTATTGAAATTGAAAGTTTATAAGCATAACACATGTCAAATGTTAATAATAACAAAATAAAGGAACCCAACAAATTCAATTCTCTGACATTTAAAAGTTTAAAATCATTAAATATTCAAAATTTGCCATGTCATTTTCATTTTTACTTACATCATTATTTTTATAGAAGTTTTCATCCTCCTCTTTTTCAGAATCTTCATCATCACATTATTCTTCTTCTTGTACATTTTCATTTCCTTTTTCCTTAAATGTAGAGGAAAAAGCAATCATAGTTGTCTTGTTTGTCAATTTAGCTTGCCACCTAGTGGAGGTTATTGGCTCACTAATGCACAAGAAGAAACTGAAACAGAGGTATAGTTATGGTTTTGTGTAGTTCCTTGTGACTAATTGGGAAGAGCAACCATTGCTTTTGTTTTAGGTATTCAAATTTGGATCATTTGGAAGGATTCAGAAAACAAAAACAGGACAAAATAAAAAATAAAATAAAAAAAAAGAGAAGGAAAATAAAACATAGAGTTGTCAGTCACCGGAAAATGTCTAAGTCACGTTAGAAGTTTCACCAAAGACAAAGAAAATGACTGGAAAACATTTGGATCACATCAAAAACAACTTTGGTTTTGCCGTTGATGAAGACGACGAACTGAAACTTTGTCGAAAATGGTTACTTGCACCAGAAAATGACATTGTAGATGGAGGAGGAATCAAGAGGACAACAGGGCAAAGAACTTTCACTAGGGCTCGATTTGTTGAAGATGGAGAACCACAAAAAGTAGCAGTGTAAAAGGGGGGGATGAAATCCAAAGATTGCCCCCTAAAAAGGCTTCCAACCTTCTGGAAGGGAAGGTGAACTTGACCTTTTGCCTTGCATGAAATAGCAGCGACGAGTTGCAATTTGCAGCGTGACAGCTGCTACAGAAAACCACAATGCAACTGACCATGGAATCCTCTACAATAGTGGCCGCCGCCATTGACTACTTTGAGTGGATACATCCATTCATTTAATATATAAAATACCTCCTTTGGTCTTTTTAATAAAAAATAACTAATATTGTTTTTGTCCTCACTATAAGAAATGAAAATCTATTTTTAGATGTATCAACTACTAATTTTTTTATACTCATATTTATAATAAGATTTATGTTAACATTCATAAATTGTAAAAGTTGCTTTGAAAATATTAATATACCTTTCTTCAAAGATATAATCTTGTTTGGGACTTTTTTAGTAAAGAGACAAAGTACTTACATTGTAAAATAATGTCTTTTAATATTTTTTTGTGAATTTGATTATCATAGGAAGGAGGTGAATACACAAATGCTGATCATTAATTTTGTTTTTTTGTTATGTTTCTCGTATTTAATTTAACTTGATTTCTCAGGTATGTATGTGCAAGCCAAGTGTCCTATAGTTTAGACATTAGCCAAGTTATTCTCTGCTGTCCATGTTGGAGTCCATGCTTTGTAGTATAGTCCTCCCTACACAACCAAATAATTTTAAGCATATTGGGCCTACTCTACAAACCAGTGGAGATCCTCCACGGATCTCATCTAATAGGAGCACATTTCATATATGAAGAAACTAACGAGTAATAATTCACAAACAAATGATCTGACTTCCACTAACTATGCGAGTTGTGTTAACACAATCAATAAATCCACACCCTTTAGCTACATTTTGTTAGTTCTTAAAGTAGGGTTTTGTTTTAAGTTTTTACATTTTGCTATTTTTTCTGGTGCATTTGTTTCTTTTGGATTTAAGTTAACTGAACACTTCTTTGTAAAACAAAAGATTTAAGCCTCTAATACAGTAATATGAGCTCAACATATTTTATATTCCTAATAAAGACCATTTTGTAAATACAGTATATAACTGTTTTCATATGAAAAATGCAAGCCCCAGTCCAACATTTTCAAATTGAAACTACTTCCAATGCACAGCAAACTATAGAAGTGGAAAAAAAAGTCCATTCAGAATTTCAGATGATACTTACCAGGATTGGGGAAAAACCTCCTCCGATCATTTGGGCAGGCCACAAAAAGAGCATTTTGTGGATTGAATATTGCTTGACATACCAGGAGAAACCACTCCCTAAGAACACCTGGGCCAGTAGCTTCCTCATTTTTGAATTCCATAAACAGGCCAGCATGTAGAGATTCAGGTTCAGCACGAGCTATGTATTCAAAAGATTCAGCCAATAACTGAGATCTGTCAATAAGCATCTCATGCAACTCCTCATAGTCTTCTTTTACCTCCGGGAACATCATCATGGCCAAATGCCTTCGAGACTCAAAATTGGTCACACACCTGTGCTCAAGAATCCACTGATGCTCATCAGTTCTCTTCGCATACCGAACAATTAGTTGACACAGCACACTTCTTTGGCGTGTCAAAACACTCCAAAGCTTTTCCTCAGCACCATCATAAAGCTTAGAAATTTTATTCAACTCCTTCAAGATGGTAAGATAATGAGACCACGCAGGACAAACATTGTCCCCTTCCGCAATCTCCTGACCTGCCAAACTTTGCTCCATCTTTTGAAGGCACTGTTCAATTTTGTTCAACAAATCAATGTACAAACGATGAAGGTGTCCAATCTCTTCGGCAAGCAAGAGGTCCTTATGACGTTTGTCTTGAGGCATAGAATCCTTGATAGCCTGGAGCTCCATGATTCCAGTTCTCAAAGGTATTAAGAAGGCAGTAAAATCACCAACATCGTTCAACAAAAGCCCGGCAGCAGAGGGGGATTCCATACTCAAATCCAAGTCCCTCAACAAGCTTCTAGCAAGCTCACGAACAAAGGGGAAAATGTCTTGAATCAAAATCATCCCTTTGCCATTATCAGAGCCAGCATAGGAAACCCCAGCTGTTTCCAACAATGACCCAAAAGTACTCCGACAATAGAGATACAAAGGGTCCTGATACCCCACTCTCCTAAGCAATTTACAAAACTCCAACACCACACGCGCACACTGGCCGTGCAACGCCTTACACAAGGTATTACAACAAGAACTCAAAAAATGTCTAACAGAAGAATCAGCACAGTCCTTGTTACCTGCAAAGGGAGACATATAGAGCATAACCAGCACCTCAGGAGCATTAGAAGACATGAAAATCTGAAAATACCCAGACGCAGAATCGCTGTCAATTCTTGGGGTCATGTTCAAGTAACTGGCGATCAATCCCTTGATAGTCTTCAAGGCATCACGAACGGTTTCTCCGCGGCAGAGACGGTAAACGAGAGAGACCATGTCGTTTATAACCTGCCAGGCCTGTGGATGCTCCGTGCTACGCATGCGACCAACGAGTTGAAGGTTAGCGTCGTTTTGGATGGAACACTCAGCAAGAGTCTGTTCCCACTGAAGCTGTTTGCCTCTGTAGATTAACCTCTGTTCGAACACAGGGATTCCCTTCATGCTTTGGATTCGCTCGTGAATCGATTTCACGCTGTCGTCGGGATAAGCTTGCATCACGATTGTGTTTCCGCCGGACATCATTCGCACAAAGAACTGCAGGTGCGATCGCAACTCCGACCACGAATTCACCGCCTCTTCCTTCTTCATCCTCACGCTCACTAAGTCTGACAATTCTTCGTCCTCGCCATCGTCGAATTTGCGTTTGGAGGGGTGACGGTGGTGATCGGAGGCGCCCCCGCTGCGGTGGTGAACGGCGGGGGTTTCGATGACAGACATTTAGGAGGCGCCGCCGCGAGGGGGTGAGTCAGTGAGCAGCCAAGCGGGAAGCCGAAGCCGAAGCCATGGAGAGGAACTGCGTGTGCTCCTAAACTGAGCCGAGTAGAGTGGGAATTGGAGAGGAGTGGAATAAGAGTGTGTGAGAGAGCTGTCTGGATTTTGGTTACCTTTCTTCTTCTGCTCTAGCGTCGTCTCTTCTTCCCTCGTTCTAATCCCCTGTTTGTGCATTTTCCAATTTACCTTATTTTTCTAAGTTCCTACAAAGGTGTCGTGTTCCTCTACGGGAAGGCGCATTGTTCACAATCCAAATCCAAACGGTGTGTTACGTTTCTTTTATTACCATTGAGCTCATGGTGGGGTCTCATGCTTTTGGAACCCATGTAAATGTGTAATAAATAAAAGGTCATTTTTATAAATATAATATATATTATATTGTAATATCAGACCACAGAGAGAATGTTCCCATGCTTAGCATACAAGTGTTAGACTTTTTCTTCGTTGTTTTATTCTTATATTTAAAAAATATACAATAAACACAAACTTTTTATTAAAGCTGTTCACACTTTTCTTTTTTTACTTTTAAACTTCTCTTCCTTTCTCTAAGGGTATTAGACTCATAACTTTAGTTCTGAACTCCTAGATTATTATTTGCAGTTTTCTTTAATTTATTTTTAAATAATAAAAAACATTTCATTTATTTATAAAAATATATTATAGCTCGATTTGAATAAAATTTAAAATCTAATCTAATCATAAGTGTTTTAATGTAATTTGATGATTTAATTTTGATTTTTTAATTTAATTATAATTAGAGATTACTTTGTATATCATATAATTATTATTAAATTCTAGTCATTTTTATATATAAAAAAGTAAAAATATAAGGAATTTCCGTTTTAAAGGTTCTTAAATATTATACAATTAATTTTTTAAATTTAAACAACAATATAAAAAATCAGAATCATATAAGATTAAAAAAACTAAACATTCACTAACAAATAAGGCACGAGTAGGAGACATAATTCTTAAAATTATTCTTGTTTAAAATAAATCCTCAAATAAAGGTAGGTGTGGTAAATAAAATATTTTATTTTATTTTATATTTTTTAAAATTTAGATATTTTTATATAAAATATAAATTGTATATGATAAAAAAAATAGACAAAGTAATAATTTTAAGTTAATCTAATTTTCCTAAAGAATCAAGCTGCAAATTTGAGAGCTAAATTATGAAAAGATGATTAAATATCATATTTTATTAGAATTTGATTAAATTATATTAACAGTATAAATGTTTTTTACGTTACTATTCAATTATAGAATATTATGCATGGTAAAAATATTTAAATAATTAATTTTAATGTTATATTTGTAAAATTAATTTCAGTACAAGTAAAGGACTTTTTTATTGAAATGGACAGTTTCTTTTTTGAAATCAACTATCCTATTAAAAAATTATTATTGTAATAATTAATATAATAATTATTACAATATGTATTTTAAATTATTTTTAAAATTAATGTATGTTTAAAAATATGTTAAAAAATTTATAATATAAATTTAATGTAAAAATTATAAGTAGTAATATTGATATATACATATAGAAGAATTTTGTGTAAATCTAAAAATTCTTATACTCTGTCTGAGTCATTTATTTAATCCGTTAAATATAAGTTAAATAAAATATTCAAATTGAGTGTAACATTAGTGTAAAAAAAATTATATATATATATATATATATATATATAAATTAAATATATCATAAATTCAAAATCTGATATATATTAATTTTATATTTTTTAATTAAATTTTGAATGACATGTTTCTACTTATATATACAAACTGAGTTATAAATCCATAAATAAAAGGAATTTTATTTATTTTTAATTATGTCATGAAACATTTTTTGCATTAAATATTTTTAAAAATTTCAATTCTTCTTTAATTTTGTTATGATTTGATTTAAAATTTTCCTAATTTTTATTTTAAAAATTGTAGTCATTTTAATATTATTTAATATAATAAATTTTTTACAATTTAAATATTTAGTTTTTAAATAAAATTATTAATATAATACATCTTTAATTCTTATTTAAAGAATAGTTTAATTTAATAGTATAAAGCTCGACGAGACGCGTTAGAAAGCATTCCTGTCAAACATTACGAGTCTAGAATCAAACCATGTCTCTAGATTTGTTCTTTTTCTTCTATTCTAATCTTTAAAAAAAAAAGTTAGTAAATCTATCAATTGTACGAAGGAAAGCATGAGAAACAAGTTGCAGTAACCTTATGGGTCGATAACCTTAAAAAGAAAAAAAAAATCAAGTTTTGTGCAAGTGTTCAAGAAAATTTAAGTGGCAAGATATATGGATGAAATGTAAAAATAAAAAATAAAAAAAGCTATTTTTATTTGATTCTATAAAAAAAATTAAGAAAACAAAATAAAATATTTATAATTGAGTTTGAACGAGAAGAAAAATGAAAAATTAAAAGAAATTTAAAAAAAAATTATTTTTTTATCCAAATTCACCTTTAATTTAGAAACATTAAAAAATAATTTAGAAAAAAAAACACAAAACCATGCGAATGACAATTAAAAAAAAATACAAACACAAGTAAAAACAAATTATCATTTGATTATTTTTAAATACTAGGAAGGTGGCTCGTGCGATGCACAAATAAATTATTATATTATAGTATAATATTATAATTAATAATTATAAAATAAAAAATAATTACATAAAATATTTACGATAATATTTAAATTATTTTAAAATTTAAAATTAATTAGTATATATTAATATTATTATTCATAAAATAATTTCATAAATTATATAAAGATTTATAATATATTTTTAAATATTTGTTAATTAACTCTAAAAGTAAAGAGATTAAACTCAAATATAATTTAAATTAATAAATTATAAATTTAATTCTATAAAATTTAAAAATACTCTTATAATTAATTTAAAATAATTTAACATATATACATACATACCACAACATAAGAATTTTTTATAAAAAAATTAAATAAATTTTAATATATTTAAAATATTTTAAGACAAAAATTATTAAAGGAATAAAATTACATATCTTATTTTATTTTACAAAATTATATAGCACATAATTTAAAGATAAAAAATTATTTCTTTTATTAAATAAGCCTGTTTTATGTTTTTGAAATCACTGTTACGTATCAAGTATCATAATTTAATTTCTTATTATTGAATCATATATTTATCAATTATATATATATATATATATATATATATTTATATGTCACAGAAATTTGTTTATATTGTATATTAGTATATATAAATATTATAAATTATAATTTAAATATAAAAAAATATATAATAATAAAATTATATTATATTGAATAATATCAAATATAATCAGATTGAAAAATAAGATAAATAAATTTTCATATACAAATTTTTATATACTTTATATATTTTAAAATTTCAATGAGGATTTAAATAGAAAGTAAAACAGGAGAATAATTTTACTGAAAACAAAAATGAATCCTTATATTAATTAAAATTACATATGTTGATATAATATAAAATTTATGAGTCATATATAAAATATAGACAAATATAATGATAAGAACAACTTTATAATAATATTTAATTAGCATATGTTAATGTTATCATTAATAAAAATATTAGTTATTTGAAATAAAAAAATATAGTATATAACTTTATAAAGTATTTTTCTTTCATATTGACATTAATTAAAAAAGAAAGTTATAATTTTTATAATAAATTTAATTTAAATTTCAAAATATTTTCTTATACACCACATTTGTAACAGTTTTTGTATTTTTTTCATATAATATTTAAATTTGAAAAAAAAGAAATAAAATATTTAAATAAATTTTAAATATTCTCCTGTAATGTATCAATATTATATAGATAGTCAAGAGTTTTCTAATTAATTTTATATGAATTGATTTAATTACGTAACAAATATAATAATATTAAAAGTTAAAGTATTAATAAATTTTATTTATTTAATCCATTATTCCTCATTAATCAGATACCATTTAGCAGTTTCCAATAATAAAATTTAAAGTAAACAATTAATATGAAATTCAAAACTATCGTAAGCTTTGTAAGAATAAATGCATTAATATGTTAATATTAAAGTTACAAATACTAAATTAATTAATTATAATTTATTTATTTTACTATTTTTCATGAATAATCCTATATGTTAATATTAAGGTTAAAAAGAACATATAAATATGTTAATATATATATATATACACTAAATAAAATATAATTTTTTATCTTTATTAAATATTTTACATCCATATAGCTCTTATTTGATTATTTATAATAGATTCAAATGTAACATTTACCTTTAGAATATATATATATATATACTCATCAATTTTTATTCATTTTATTATTTCTTATTAATCATATATAAATTATCAATTTTCAAGAATAAAATTTAAAGTAAATCATTTATATTAAAATTTAAAATTTCATTTAACTGCTAATTAAAAAAGAGGTGTTAATGCACCTCTCGAATATATCAAAATTGCTAATCAATTAGAAATGAATGCATTTAAGTTATTTTAATTAAATAATTTTAAATAGCCTTAAACTTTGCAAGGATAAATGTATTAATATATTAATACTAAAGTTATAAAAAATAAGGTAAATATGTTAATCGCACTAATATAACTTTACTAATATAGATAACGAAGGACTTAAATCAAAGTGTGCTAAGAATTTTTCTAAAAGAACTTAAAAGTTAAATTTATATATTCAAAATCTTGTCCACTCACGTAACATTGGTAAAGAATACCAAGGTTTAGATAGATTAAAATATTAGCAAATAGTTTTATAACTAAATATAAAAAAAAAGGTCACATATAAATAAAAAAGAAATTAAATTCATGAAAATTAAACATTTAACTCATTCTTAATGATGACCTTCTTTAAAGGTTTTATCCTTGAACCTTGTGTTTGTGACTCTTCAACAACTAATGGACTCATTACACCCTTATTCATTATCATCTTACAGGGTTGTTTGGCACTCAGAGCTACTTTAACAGAAACTATTTGAGAATTCTAATACAATTTAAATTATAATCAATATTTAAACCAATACTTTTTAAAATATGATTACTCATTTGAAGTCAATTCATTTACTACCTTCGTAATATCAATTATTTGCTCATCTTCAACATTGTTCATGGTTAAGCCAGCACCTTCATTCAAAGTCTGCATGCATCAAACACAATACAAATTTTTTTTTAGATACTTAACAAGAAATAAACTTGTAAATGAAATTTCATTTCAATTTGAAGACGATTAAATTTATTCAAAATAAATTACAACCTTCAAACTGATAGCATTTTGAGTTGACAAAGTATCTTCTTAATCTCTTCTACTTGATCATCGTTCCACTAATATGCAAGATTTCATTATTTTATTTTGAAATCAAAATTTGACACCTTTATTTCAATCATTAATAATTTTAAAAATATACCTTAATACCATGCAATGACTTAAACTGGTTAATTAGATCAACACTATCAGCAAGTCTGTTAACATTGTATGAAACCCAATTGGCATCTAAATTTACTGGAGTAATTTTAACTTTGAATGGAAAGAACTTGAATAATATTGTATCAATCTCAGGAGAAAATTCATTACTCATATTTGCCTATAATAGAAAATAATTTTAAAAATATTATAGATTAAAACAAATATAAAATATTAAATGAAATCAATATCAACACAATCAATTTTAGTCATCTCTGTTTTCAATTGTTTTGCAGACTTTTCGATGAACTGTGATAGGAGATTTTCAAATATTGTAAAAGAAGCAGAATTCATAACATTAACATGCAGCTTAGACCTAGAAAAAAAAATTGGTCATAAGTTCACTAAAAATTTAACTAAAATAGTTTTAAATTGAATATATAGTTTATAAGTAGTAATATTTATACCTGAGAGTAGGAATGATATATCTTTGATAATTTTCACAAAAAAACTTATGTCTATTTTCTTTTAACTTCTTGAAACATTTGAGCCATATTGTCATTCCTTTTAATATTCAATTTCAAAAACTTGGGCAAGAACAACAACAAACCTAACATTTTCAAAGAGAAACTTCAAATTATGACTTCTATATATTTTAAAAATAATTATATGCATTTCACTTCATTATTTTAATATAAAACATACATAATTTGTCTCAATTATTTCATGTATGATTATGCTTTGAGCTTGGAGCAAATAATCTTTCATTGAAACAGAAGAGTATCCAGACATCTGATTTAATAATTGACTTATACTTGCATTATTCATATTCATCTTATACCACAAATTGGATAGCTTATAAGTTAACAAAAATAGGAAACATCAGGCAAAACATAATGATGTCTTCATAAATAAAAAATAATTAAAATACTTATTTATTCTTGTAATCAAAAGTCTCTTTTATATTGAGATTGATATACAACTTTGTCCCATTATAAGCATTTGATATGCCTAAAGTTTCTGAAACAACCATGAAAAATAATTTGTTGATAACTTATACTTACATTATTCCTATTCATCCTATACCACAAATTGGATAGCTTATAAGTTAACAAAAACAGGAAACATCATGCAAAACATAATAATGTCTCCATAAATAAAAAATAATTAAAATACTTACTTGTGTTGGGATTGATATACAATTTTGTCCCATTATAAGCATTTGACATGCTTAAAGTTCCTGAAACAATCATGAAATAATATTTGTTGATAATAATAACTATCACGTAATTAAAAAGAGTTTAATATAGATAAAGAATCATACCACCAAATGTTTTTATTTTACATTAGAATTTTCATTCTTTAAAAAATCAACCATTTTATGCACTTCAACTAAAGAAATATAAAAGCTTCACCTTTTCATCAACTAAAATCATGTCCATGCGATTGACTTGAGTTTTATTTGGAAACTCATGAGAGAACCACAAATGAATTATCTGAACCATTATCTTCCAACCCACCTTTCCAGGTCATATTTTAGAAAACACTGAAATAGTAGGCGCTATTTTGTAAGAATCTTAGTTCAAAATTTTATTTTGAACAAACAACCTGTATTTTTCTTTATATATATACCTAATAAAATATAATTTCTTTCTCACTTTAAGATATTATTTTTTACTGATTTTTTGTTTTTATTTTTATAATAAACTTAATTTAAATTTCAAGATTTTTATGTAATTTTATCAATTATTAATTTTTAATAATAAAATTTAAAATAAACATTAATAATAAGGTTCAAATCTGTCGCAAATGATACACTTTTTGAATATATAAAAATTGTTAATTAAAAATAAATGCATTTAACTTATTTGAATTAAAACATTCAAGACGGTCTTAAAGGTACTATTTTTTTTTTATAATAAACTTAATTTAAATTTTAAGAGTTTTATATAATTTTGTCAGTTATTAATTTCTAATAATAAAATTTAAAATAAATGTTAATATGAAGGCATCATTTGAATATATAAAAACTGTTAATTAGAAATAAATGCATTTAACTAATTTGAATTAAACCATTACGGCTTTAAAAGTAAAGATATATCAAAACTGCTAATTAAAAATGAATGAATTTAATTGATTTGAATTAAAGCATTCAAGATGGTCTTAAATAGTAATTATTAATTATTATATAAAGATTATTATGTTAAAGAGACAAGGCAAATTTTCCTCCTAAACGCATTGCAAATTTTCTTCAAAAACTCGTATACTTTTATATATATAAAGATATTTTCAAAATTTTAAATTATTAATGACTGATTTTGATTGTCCTCTAAACTAGTTCACTAAATCATCCACAAAATTCATCTTAAAATTAATCATAAAATTTGCTTCTAAATTAGTCACTAAAATATATTTCAAGAATAATTTAATTAAATCTCTGATAGTCACTAATTTAATTTTTAAAATTAGTCATTTTTAAAGATTAGACACTAATATAATATTTAAAATTAATTACTAATTCAGTCTTCACAGTCAATTATTAATTCAATTTTTAAATTTAGTTACTAATTTAGTATTTAAATTTAGTCACTAAATATTTTTAAAATTATTAATTGCTATTGTATCCTTTAATTATCTTAATTTTGGCTGCCACTTAAAACTTAAATTACAAGAAGATGTGCTAAGTGCACTTAAAGAAAGCTAATTGTATGAAGAATAGATTGAAGTGTGAAACATATGTCGATGAGAAGAAATCTGAGGTGAGTCACACTGGTAAATTCCTGATAAATCAGCTTGTTTTTACCCGCAACTCGGTTTTTTACTGCATAAACTTTGCTTGTCCCATGTGTTAAGCTCGTCATACTAAATATAAATATATTATTTTTTAATTCAAGAAAATATTTTTAAGAATTTAAAAATTGATTTTTTTTACTTTTTTTAATTTAAATTTCATTTTTTCTCTCTTCCCATTTCCTTTTTATTTTTTAAATTTAACTTTTAAAAAAGCAAGTTTTGAGATATTTTGATGTATAAACATGAAATACTTTTTCCCTTTTTTATTCACTTGTTTAATTAAATAAAAAATAAAAGAGAGATTTTTAGTATAAAATAAACAGTAGTTAAAGAATTAAAAATAATTTTTTATTAAAAGATATTACAATATCTTTCGTCCATATTTTTTAGTAGATTTTCTCTTTACTCGATTTCATATCTTATTTAGTGTTAACATGACCCAAATAGAAAAAATATACCTATGCGATGAGAAAAATTCTTTGTCTATAAACATAATTAATCTTGATGCAATTCTCCTCCTTACAAACAAATATGTAGACGTAAAACATACGTCAATTTAAACACTGTTACAATAAAAATTATCAATTTAGTTTGGGAGGGGAATATACAATTTCATACGAAACCAAAGATAAAGCATTTAAAATACGTGACGTGATACACAACAAAAGATGCATAGTATGGCTTAAAATCATGGAGCAAACAAGGTTCTCAAATGTATTGAACAACATTCTTTACATCGAGCATCCTGTATATACAACATGTCTAGTTGCTTGAGAGCGTAAGCCCGTCTATTGAAATAAATCGTAGGTCAGAAAAGACTACCCATATTAAGAGAAAACATAACAGTCACTCTCTTTGTTTCTCAACAAATATAAATCAGTCAAAATATTCAAACTTGCTTTGACGTGCAGACATTGAAGTCGTTACATATTATACCTTGATTGCTTCTCGTGTTATCCCAGCTATTCTTATACTGAATTACATTTCAATTTAAAAAGACATGCATTGATAAACAAATTACCGAAGCCACATTGAAGTACAAGTAAGATTGCATCTAACGATACCATTGGAGATGAGAATAGATGATTGCTCAATCCTGATGGCCAGACATGCAAAACTGAAGATCAAAATCATCCTACATTCATACATAATGCCGTCTAAGAGCTAAGCATGGTAAGATTATTTAACATTGTTAAGTCATACTGCGATATATTCTATTGTTGATCTCTGTCCATTTTCATCTTCTCCTTTCAAGTACTATGTTTTCTTCTACCCGTTCAAGCACCAAATTCGGGCAAACCAAACTCCCTTCTCTTTGGATTTTGACAATATTAAGAGACCCCATCATCAAATCATACCAGATCAGTGTCAAGTTTTTCCCCGCCGTTTTGATTCCAATCTTTGGTATTTGATCTTGTTAATTAAGGGGATCAAATATTCATGATGATCTTGTGCAACAGTGAATAGGATCAACAAGGACTCTTTCCCTCTATATTCCATCATTACCCCACATCATGAACGTCGTTGTTCATATACAAAACACAAAACAATCCGTCCAACACAGCTGCATTTACGTAATAATGATAAAACATGAAAAATGATTCAGTCCTCCAATGTTATACACCTTTTATAATCCACACACATATTTGTGGACTTCTTTTAATACATAACATTTACTTATACAAGCAACTATCTACTTTAATACTATGCAAATTCGTGAAAGATTACTAGCGTGTAAATGATGGTCCTCTTGTCATACAGCTTTAAAACGTCTGAGATTTATACATCATAGTGGTTTGTATAAGGATGGCTACAACCATTAAAGTACATACATGCATGCATAACCACCCAATGGGACAATCAGAACTCCAGTTTCAACATTAGGAGCCTTGGAGTATATCAACTTAGTACAATAACAAACAAAACGAAATATGGCGCATTTGCTCTTTGGTTGGATGAACAATTTCTAATGTAACAAACAGAATGAAGCAGCATCTATTTTCAATTCCTTTTCTTGATCTTGAATATCGTGAACTCGAGCACCTTCGGCCATTCAATCCTGAGAATAACAAGAGCAAACTCAATGCAGAAGTCTTCAAGGCGACTAATTTCAGCACAAATGACAACTCAAGAAGGTAACAATTCCCACAATAAACCAGTTTCAGCTATTTATCGTTTACTCTTCTTTGCTCGCCTACAACGTCAATTTGAACCCCTGAGACAAGAAGTCATCCCTGCAAAAAAGCGAAGCATAAAACAAGAACACAGAAAGAGGAGGAACGTTGAAAATGCAAATTGGCCACTGATTGAAACGGGAATTAGATTAAGCATTTTATAATAAGATGCATACCGTCAGATCCTTGCCTTAAATTTTCATAATACACAGTCCAACCTTGAAAACTTGACTCTGGCAAAGAGAACCCAACTGTGGTAGGATATAATTTAAACCAAACAGTACTACATTGACTCCAAGTTGACTCAGGTATCCCTAGACTCTAGTCATAAACATTAAATCTCACATTTGCACTTTGCTTCATCAATCATTTCAAGTTGTAAGGTGAGCTGGACTTGGTTCGTTCAAGTCAACGTCAACTCACTACGAGACAGAGCCACACAGCAGAAAAGCACACTAAATCCAATGGTAAAAATGAAATATTCTGTAATCAACTACTATATTTTCCACTCACTTTCTTTTGTATTGTTTTCCGTCCTTATTTTCTTTCTATCTTTTATTTATATATATTACTTCTTTTGTCATATTTTCTTCCCATTTCTCTGTTTCTGCCGCTCATGCCGCTCCCAAATGCGTGTAAAGGGATTATTTTCCTTTTATGTTCCAACCATGGTATCTTTTATTTTTATATTTTCTTCCTATCTCTTTCTGTATATCCATGTAGTGAGTCTATAGTGATCTTTTTTCATAATAAAAATTAAAAAATTATAATACAGCTATCGTCCCTCATCTTGAAGGGGACAACCCATAAGTGAATTTCTTTCAATATCAAACAAGTCAATGGGGATATTGGTACCTTTTCTTCCTAGACTTTTGATCTCTCAGTCCCTGGCACTTGCTCTCATCACGTTGGTTCAGTAAAGTTGGTGGGACAAGGCTTCCCACACAAACCGTGGCTTCAATTGAATTAGGCATTCCCGATATTTTCACGTAACTCACATCTTCACTTTTCAGGTTATACCAACAGAGCTTGCGACGATCTTGTTCAAACAGAACCCTGTCCCCATCACTCGAAAAACCCAAAGGCTTCAAAGATTTTATGGATCTCTTGTCATAGCTCTCTGTCACCGTAAACACTTTACACCACGACTCTTGCGATCCATAAACTCTCATAACCCATACATCAAACCCACTTCTTCCTCTATCCTCCACCATGCAAAGACACCCTCCTAACACTGCCACGTCCATTTCGAAATTCCCCTTCACGGACACAGGTAGCGGAACTTCTCGAAACTTCTCGAACCTTAGGTCAAATGCGACGATCAAATCCGGCTGATCCGGTTCGAGTTTCCGAGTAACGACCCAGTGCAAAGCGCCGCCAACGAGAACGCCCATTGTTCGTGCACAACAGAGCGCGTAAGGCATGCTGGGAAGGTCTTTCCACGCATCGGATCTCATGCTGTAAAGCTGAACCAGAGAATTGAAGGTGCGCTTGTGGAGATCGACGAAGTAGGAAATGCTCACGACTTTGTAATCGTTAGTGAAGGAGTCGTAGCCGAAGCCGTATACTCGAGCCGCGAAGAGAGAGGATTCGGCGTGGTTGAGTCGATCGGCGGGGAGAATCCGATGCTTTCGGAGGGAAGGGTTCCAGAGGGCGAAGTCGTCGGCGATGTTGGAGATGCAGAGAAGGCCGTTGCAGGAACCCAAGACGTTGATGCTGCCGCTGTAACACATGAGAGGGTGGTTGAGCTCCACGGCTTGATCAAGCGCGTGGAGGTCCACCTGGTATAGGTGGGAGTGGTGTCGGAGAATGAGAGCGGTATTGGAATTGTTGTTATGGATGGATTTGCAGATGTGGAAGAAGATGAAGTGAGTGGAGTCGATTAGGGAGCGCCACCACTTGCAGGTGACGCGCAAGCGGAGGAGCGTCTTCACCGGCAAACGAGCGACTATGTCGGTAATTACTTCCGGCGGAAGATCTGTCATCATTGAGGTGCTGATGCATCCACGGGATTCCGCAGATTCGCACTATCTTGATTTGGTTTTTAGGGTTTATTCTGGAGAATTCGACTTCTTACCGAACCGCAAACCTGTAACACACTCCTCCTATCATGCACCGCAATTTTTTTATCCTTTATTTTACATTTTATAAATATTTTTTTCCTGTCTATTTCTTTTATGTTGATGCAGTAAACGTGAGATATTCCTTTTTTTTTTTTTTCCAAACGGTTAGGGAGACAGAGCAATGCAGGGTTCTAATTTTTCAAGTTGCTTTGTCATATTCTTTTTTCTTGTAATTATCAAGTGCCATTGTGTGTAAATATTCAATTGGCTTTTATTCTGTAATTATTATAATTTAGATAGTGAAAATTGAAAACAAAAGAAAGGTAGAAGAAGTTTATTGGTGATTAATTAATCTCAATTTCAAGTATGTTTTTCTTTTTATAAGGTACAGAGACCTTGGACATATTTCAAAATGAGAAGATAAGAGATTAATGAGAATTTCAAAATTGACAACAAAATAAATATTTATTGTGAGTCGGTTACGTGAAATGGAATCAACCATTGACGGTGGGGGCTGAAGGCATACAAAATCAGGGAAATCAATCTCTCGAAAACAACGAAAAGGTTTCCACTTTAAGGAAATCTTCACGGGGCTGAAAGACGCATCTTAGTATTATTTTTTCTTTTGCATCTTTGGGAAAGGTTGGCCTTCTATCTCGTCCTGATTCCCGTGTTACGTTACGCATCTCTCTTTTTCTTATAAAAGCTCTTTGGACTGGATCAGGAAAAGTAAGCTACTGAGATTCGTTGGGCCTATATCCTCAATCTAACTACTCAACCCTTATATAAAAGTAACTAAGGGCCCTTTAAAGCATCTCTAACCCCCAGCCCTACAAAAATATACTAACGCTAGTAACATATTTCTCTCGAGCCATTGTCATAAGTTCAGAGTTTTGAAAATTATGCGAAACGAGAAAGTGGTTCAAAAATAAATCTATTACTTTTTTTTTTTTGCGATTATTTTTTCTTACTCTTATTTTTCATCCTCTATTTCTTTTTCTCTTTTATCATATTATCTATCATCTTTTTTTTTATCTTTTCATTTGTCTCTTCCTCCACTTATTTGAGACCCCAAAATAAAATGTCAAAAATTCGTTTTCTTTTGCTATTATTAAGTGTTTGATAAAAATCTCCACCGGATATCTGTATCGCAATGGATATATGAATATAAGAGAGAAAAATGAAAATGCGATGAATAATATGATGTAATAAAAAGAAAAAAAGAACATGCATGTTAAAGGAGTGTGGACATTGTTTGAATGCTTATGAATAAGACTGTTAAATATTTACTAATTTTCACCTACTGAATCACAAGAATAAACAACAACAAAAGCAACATTTTGGTCAGTTTATCTCATGTATTTATTGTAATAAATGCAAAAATCTATTTGATTACTTTTGAGAAGACTAGTGACTTTTGCGCTGTGAGCTTGATACATCATTATAATTATTAGTCATGTTTCCTGATTTCAAAACCACCATTGTCCACTGGGCTGTACTTAAAACGAACATGAAATTATCTTAAAGATCACCTCACCAATTTTTCATGTGTCAACGATAGCGACTTTCTCTTTCTCTATCCAAGTGGATAAGTATAATATGAACGATTTGAATTTTTTAATTTAATTCTTGGTCCTCAAATCCGTAAAAGAAAAACAATTTTGTCCACCTCATTAGCAATTTAGTTTGTTCCCCTTACTATTAACTTTGCAAGTAGCAGCAGCTTACAAGTAGGATTTCTTTTTCATTTTTGTGTTCTCTTTTGCGGGTTAGACAGAAGTTGATTTGTTTGTCATAAGCTAGTGCAGATAGTAGATACAACCCATTCACGGATAAGAAAATGCTGAGTAATCAAATGACAATCTTATCCAATGTGACGCAATGATGCAGCATGCCTCCAAATTATAAACAGTAAGGTGAAATAATCACTATTAATTTTTAAAAGAGCTGCATCTTAATATATAAATTTCTATGTTGATGGGTTAGTAATATATTAAATCATATAAAAATAAAATTTTTATTTTAAAATTATTTTAGACATTTTAGATAAAAAAACAAAACAAAAATTTACAACACAGACACTCTCTTCCGCTGTTGGAAAGCTATTAGATGCATGTTAAATCTTAATATTATACAATGACATTTTATTCTAATATGCAAAAAAGTATAATAATTCAAAACAATTTTGACTTGCAGAGCGGAATACTTGCTTGTTAAGAGGAGTTTTTTTTTTAAATAAATAATTCGTTAATTTTTAATTAAATTCAAGGTTTCGTTGTGTTATTACTTCGTAATTATTTTTATAGAATAAATTGATATTCTTTTGTTTATTTCTTATAATCATGTGTATTTTTTTTAATTTTACATCACGTATATTTAATTCAAAATTTCTTTTTCCACATACTCTTTATTTCAATTTTTAAATGCAGAAAAAATCCTTCGTATTTGTTTTAAGGAAGCAGTTTAGACTCGAACTTATCGTCAAATTGTCGTCGTTGACTTCAATTGCGCATCTTTGTTGGCCCCCCTGCATATTTGCCTGGGAAAACAGTTTTTGCGGTTTCGAAGAGCCACTTCCATTTTCCGCGATACATTGTTATATATACATAATATTTTTTAATGTGTGTGAAATTAGGCTTGTTTATATAAAAAAATTATTAAAATACAGTGTTTTAAATATATATATATATATATATATATATATATTTATTTTTTTAAAAAAAAAATATTTATATTCCCTGTTACCTTCTAAATAATTATATTAAGTTATTATTATTTTTTAACAATAACATCCTCTGACTCAAAAGATTGGCAGAGTGATATATAAAATTTTATTACATTTACACGTGCAAAATTAATATACTTAATAAAATATATTATATTTGGATCCTATTATATGATATATAAAAATATTGTGACTCTTTAATTGAATTTAACTTTGAGTCAAAATCTAAATTAAACACGAATTGTTGTTTGGTTTAAAAACTTACAACAGCATATTTTGTAAACACGCATAATAAGTTTATTTTCTCACCGAGAGAGAATATAAATAAGGTATTCTACAACTATTAATCATCGATATTTAAGTTGTATTATATTATGCAGGACTATTTTTTTTAAATGTTTATTTATTGTTAATGCTCAAAACTATAATTAATTTTTTATTTTGTCATTAGCAAGATTAACAAATTTTTAAGATGTGTTAAATTTGTTAAATTTTATCATGTTCTTAGATAAATAAACCAGAGTACTGATTATTTGACTAAATTAAGTTTTGAGCTTAGAATTATTTTCTGCTATTTTTAGTGAAACTCTCTTTTTTTTAATCTTTTTTCATATTGGACTCTTTAAAATCTTTGTGACATAGATCTATAACTTAGTCTTATTTTGTTTTACTTTTTATCCTGTTTAATATAAAAAAAATGCTTATTTAATTACTATTTTGCTTTGACTGTATATGTCGCATCATTTGTAGCTTAACAACCTTTAAATCTGTAGAAAGAAAAAAGCAACGTACTTAGCTTATTTTTTTTACTTTAGTTGTTTATAACATTCAACTAACTTCTTATTATATCTTTTTAAAATAATTCTTAAAATAATGAAACATATACATACATACTATCACCAATACAATCTTTTACCAATTAAATAAAACTTTCAAAATTTAAAATCTCAAACGTATAGACTTTTACATTGTAATTATTTCATTTCAAATAGTTTTTATATTAATTAAACTATTTTGTGAAATATTTTAAATTTAGTTTAATTTTAATGCCATATGAATATAAAATATTTATGCGAAAACATAACAAAAATTAACATTTTTGTTAAATTTTTCTATTTTTTAATATGCTACCAATATTTTCTAATAGCAACTGACGTACGTGCAATGTGTAATTGTAATATATATAATACAACTAAAAGAAGCAAATTTGGCCACTCCTTCTCCGTGTTATGCGCAAATTCAGGGATAAAAGCCCACACTCACCATTCACTCGCTCCCCTTCCCCGCATAGTAGCTAGCTGCCCATCTTCTTCCCGTCCAAAATGACCGGAGAACACACTCCAACGTCTACTTCCGGCGACATCAACATTAAGGCCCCACTTCTTCCGCTTCACGACCAAACCCAATCATCACAGAGGCAGAGCCCCCCCTTCACCCTCAAATCCATTCTCACCCTCAAGAACTTGTACATCACCCTTGGACCCTTACTGTCCCTCATCATATGCCTCTTTGTGAAGCTCGATGCACCCCCCAGCAGCCAGAAGATGCTTGCGGTGATTGCTTGGGTTTTCTGTTGGTGGGTCACCGCCGCCGTACCTCTTCCGGTGACATCCATGTGTCCCCTGTTTCTCTTTCCTCTCTTTGGTATTGCTTCCGCTGATACCGTTGCTCACTCTTACATGGACGACGTCATTACGCTCGTCTTGGGAAGTTTCATTCTCGCCCTCGCCGTTGAACGCTACAACGTACACAGAAGATTGGCCTTGAAAGTGAGTCCTTCCCTTTTAGTTCTCCAATGAAGTATTCCATGAACTAACAGATTCAAAGTTTTATTTTGGTGAACCAAATTGTCAGTTTTATTGTTAAAAAATTTAATAAAAAGGAATATACTGTATGAATTATTGAAGCTTGGACAATTCTCTCATTAATATTTTTTATATATATAATTTACTTCCTGAGGTGGAAAATGAGGAATTATTGAAATAGAAAAGGAAAAAAACGTGGTGCTGATAATTAGTTTGGTGACGTGGCACTACAGGTGACGTCGGTGTTTTGCGGTGAACCGCTGAATCCAAGACTTCTGCTATTGGGGCTATGTGCGATTACGTTCTTCGTGAGCATGTGGATGCACAACGTGGCAGCTGCGGTGATGATGATGCCGGTGGCGACGGGGATCTTGCAGCGACTGCCACCGGCGGAAGAGCAATCGGAGGTGGTGAATAAGTTCAGCAGAGCGGTGGTTCTGACGGTGGTGTACGCGACGCCTATCGGAGGAATCAGCACTCTGACGGGGACAGGTGTGAACCTGATATTGGTTGGAATGTGGAAGAGCCTTGTCCCTGGGGCCAAGCCAATCAGCTTCAACACTTGGTTCTTCTTTGGTTTCCCTGTCGCTGTTCTCTTCCTCTTTTGCTTTTGGTTCATCGTTTGCTTCCTCTATGTCCGACGGGACTCCTCTCGGGCCTTGTCTTCTTATCTGAACAGAGCCCACTTAAAGAGGGACCTCCAAGCCCTGGGTAAGCAAATAAAATGTATAGCCAGTATCATCGAGACGTTAGTTATAGAATTAAAGGTAAAATATTTTTATTAATTAATTATAAATATACTTTTACTATAACTTAATTTTAAATAAGAATTTTAGTATTTAATATTAACCAGTACCTTACCTAAGTCACCGAGAGGCAAAACAAAATAGAATAAGTCTAGCGGGTTAACCTTCTTATTCTTTGTCGTTTAGTTTCTGTTTTGTGTGGGAACATCATTGGTGTTCCTTATTGGCCCACGAAATATCTCGGGTCCACTGTGGCCTCCTGTTCAACCTCAGTGGTATCATTTCTTTCTCTTTTTTATGGTCAGTGATGCATGCTATACAAACTTTTTGTATATAAAATTATAAACTGTACGAAACTAATTACCAAGACATCAAAGTGATTAACAACTTCTTTTTGTATAAATAAGTTTCTTACATCTTGGATAAGCTAGTGGTGGCGGAAATTATTATTATCATTATTTTATACAAAACCTCTGTAGCCGGCGCCATCTGAGATTCATCAACCAAAGTAATAATAATAATAAGAAGAAGAAGCTGTTGAAAGAGACTGCAACGGACTTACGTGGAACTGATGACTTGTCGCATTCAAATTGCTCACAGCGTCTATACAATACGATACGTTGCTTTTGTGTTTTTATAATATAATATAATCTGACTAAACAATAAAGTTGAAGCTGATAATTCAGTTATTAATCAAAATCATTTGGACAACGTGTTCATAGTATAATTTAATCCTTTTAAAAATCCGAATCGAATAATTTTCCCTAACAATATGTAATATCTAAACAATTCATATTCCGTTTATTTCAAAATAAATTAATATTTATCAAAGGAACATCTTTTTAACTATTTGATCCAAAACTGTTAAGCTGATGTGGTTCTAATTTTGCATTTGTTATACGCAGGTCCCATGTCTTTTGCCGAGAAGATGGTCTTGTGTGTATTTGGGGTGTGTATGTCCTACTACGGTTTAAACTTCACACGTAATCATGAGGAAATTTATTTTAGCACAGAAACATTAAATAGAGGTGTTGTGAATGCAGTTGCTGATTATATTATGGATGACAAGAAGAATCACCGATGACATTCCAGGATGGGGAGCTTTGTTCCATGGCCTTGTTGGCGATGGAAGCGTTAGTGTGAGTACTGCATACCCTTGAAGATTTTATGTTTATTTGACCAAACTTTGACCCTTGTCTCAATCATACAGAAAAAAAATGAATAATTTTGTATGATGTAGGTTATGGTGGCTGTGTTATTGTTCATAATCCCAAACATGAAACAAGAGGGGGAGAAGCTAATGGACTGGAATGAGTGCAAAAAGTTACCTTGGAACCTTATTTTGCTTCTTGGAGCTGGGTTTGCTTTAGCTGATGGAGTCCAATCTAGTGGCCTAGCAGATGTGCTTTCCAGAGCCTTAGATTTCTTGGAAGATGCCCCATATTTGGCTATTGCTCCTGCAGTTAGTCTTATGAGCAGCATTATTACTGAGTTCATCACATCTAATGATGCCACCGCCACGCTTCTTATCCCACTCTTATATCACATAGCCAAGACTATGCATGTGCATCCTCTTCTGCTTATGGTCCCCGGAGCAGTGGCAACTGAATTTGCTTTCTTACTTCCAACTTCAACTCCTTCAAATGTAGTTGGATTTGCCACTGGCCATATTGAAATCAAAGACATGCTCAAAATTGGAGTGCCACTTAAGGTTGCTGGGATAGCGGTCCTCTCAATTCTGATGCCAACTCTAGGTAATTTATTGTATATGATCTTGTACACATTTTTAAGAGAAAACCAATCTGATTAAAAAAATATTCTGACTTCTAAATTTTGGTGTTGCAGGAGCTGTTGTTTTTGGAACAAATGTCGATATTCAATGGCTGCCAAGGATAAAGTCTCCTTGATTGCGAAATCGATTTCTTCTCCAAATCCCATGTTGCTTTATAATTTTTTGGTGTTGTCTGTCATTGACAATTCCACACAACCTTCCTTCTTACCCCAGTAGATCAAAGCATAGCAATTGTGGGATACCTAGTATATATTTAATATCAATACTCAATAAGCAAAGGAGGAGGGTGTTGAAATATCTGTCTCTCTACTGAATTTTCTTTTTGACAGCTTGAGGGAAAGGTTTTTTTTATCAACTTCTGTTGTAATCATTTCATCCATCAACTATCTATAAGGAAATATGGATTGGAGATGTCGTCACTGGTTAGTTTGCTTGCCAAATTGTTTATAAATGTTAACTTTCTACTCGCGCACACAAAGTTTATCTCTTTCGTCTTGATTACAGTTTTGAATGATCACTGTAAATCTGTAATTTTTCTTAATAATAGCAGAAGAAAAATGATCTAAAAAGTTTTAACTTAGTATAATTAATTCATTTTTTTACTTTATTTTTGGTGTGTAATAACAAAATAATAAGAAGAATTGTGCCTAATTTTCACTTAAAGATGATATCATTATGTCATCAAACAATTGGCCACTTCAATGTTGAGTTTGTGCTTACTAAGAAGAGGATCTAATTCAAGTTGAAAATAATGGACTACAGTATTACAAGACTGTAATTAGAATTTGGAAACAGAATGAAAATGATTGAATCAAGAGGTAAAAACTATGATTAAGCCCGATTTTCACGCTTATCAATTTTTGCTAGAAGGCATGTTATTAGACCGACATCTCAAAAGTAAATGTAAGTTTATGTTTTCATGAATTCATCGTTGAAAATTAATTATATTTTACATTTAGAAAAAAATAATAATAATAATAATCAGGATATATTTGGTGTTATTATGATTTAGGTGGAAGCCAAATGCTTACACAGCCGCAGCTCGTGGATTCAAAAGTCAATGCCTCACCTAATTTTGCATTTTTTTTGTCTGCAGTTGATTGGTGTAATTCGATACCCCCCTTTGTGGGCTACAGCACAGCACCCTCCACCTTCAACCTAACTCCGTCACCTTCTTTTCTCATCCTTTGGGCTCTTTTATGGGCCGACCCATAAAAAAACGATTCCCCTTCGACGCAGAGCTATAAATGGAAGGCAAACCCCAGAAGCAGAAGCAGCACGCATAAACCTCGTGAAAAGTTGACAGCATGATGAGATTCGAGTACCTTGTTGTTCTCTTTGCCTCAGCGGTTGCGATGAATGCAGCTGCTATGCGATTCGGTGGTTGGAGCCCCATCAAGAACATCAACGACCCCCACGTCACGGAGATCGCGAATTTCGCCGTCACGGAGTATGTCAAGCGATCTGGGGCGAAGCTGAAGTTGGAGAAGGTCATCAAGGGTGACACCCAGGTGGTGGCCGGGATCAACTACCGCCTCGTCCTCGCCGCCAACGACGGTTCCTCCTCTAACAACTACGAAGCCGTAGTCTGGGAGAAGTGGGAGCATTTCAGAAACCTCACTTCCTTTACTCCTGTTCATGCTTAGTTAATAAGACAGAGTCTATCGTATTGTTATCTATATATGTGTTATTTATTTGTGCCAATAAAAGTTATGCTTAGTTAATGAGAATGAATTGTGAATCTTAATTTATGGTTGTGTCTTATATGGGTATCGGTCTTCCAAGATGACGTCGATCAAGTCTCTACTTTTGAGATGTTTGTGTTTTGGATATATTTTATTTTCAAGGAGAAAAGAACAGCGAGAAGGATGATTGACAGAACAGAAAAACGATTCTGCGTTACGATTGACTTGCTGTGTGAAGGTTGACCGAGCAAATTCATGGGTCCACAGAGTCTAAGAGGAATGCTTGCATGCGATTCTTTAATACACTTCTGAATATCAGATAAAATTTATTAAAAATATAAATATAAAATAAAATATTAAAAAGTCTTTAAATGCATTTAATTAGTTTTGTTTTGTATGCCTTTTTCTCTTGCTCATTCTAACAGGTCTTTTTTTTTTTGGGAAAGGGTGTTTAAAAAGTACAGTATCATCCTCTTTATTTCTGCAGGTTTTGTTCCGGTGATCGTGTTGTTTCCATTTTTTGGGGGAATTAGAATGTATTTTAAATTAATTACGACCTTTTAATATTAGTAAGTGTATATAATATAATCACATTGAAACACTATAATTTTTATTAAATAAAAAATTACATTAATTAAAAATAATAAAAATGTATTTATTTTAACAAGACTGCACAAGCAACAATACAAGAGAATTCAAATCTTTTGACCACACATGATTGCCTTTTTAATTTACTTAATACTTTTTAGTTTCTTGATGGTCAATAAATTAATAGTCAGTGAATAATTACTTAATTAATTATAATAAATATTTAATAATTTCATTAAAGGATAGATAATAAAAAAATAAATATAGTTGAATGGTTTTTATTTAGTGGGTGAACCCACTAGTTAATACGGTGATTGATTGTCCAGTAAGAAAAACGAGATAGCCGGCAGTTTAGTTAAGAAATCATTTTGTTAATCACAATTTCTAATTTGTATTTTGAATAAATAATTGGGATATTGTTTGATATAAAAAAAGGGAGAGGGGATATTTTAATTAAAGAGAAGAAGTTTTATTCAGTTTATAAGGGAAGAAAAAGAGGGGGGAAAATCAAATGTATTGTATATTTTAATAATTAAATGAAGTTATAAAGTTGAAAATAATTTTATTTTATTATTCTAAAAATTTGAAGGGGAGCTAGTGAAGTGTTATTGGTGAAATGAAGGTCAATAGAGCCTAGAAGCCATCAACTTATTTAACTGTATTCCAATAAATGACAGTAAAGAGATGTAGGAATCGAAATACTTTAGTGACAATAAATTAGAAGTTGGGTGAGCAAGACATGGGTATTGAAGAGGAGCACTAACTCAAGGTGTTCCTATGTATATATGGTACTTTGCTACGCCTACATAAACATAATCAGGTCTGTTTTAGGAACCAAAGTGTTTATCTTTGATAAAATTGGGAAAGTGAGCAATGGTACGTGAAGGGAGGGAAATTATTAGAGGTGGAGGTGATTAAGAGACCAGTTGTTAAGCCAGGGAGAGTGAGGGATAAAAGTAGGTGAGCATCAAAAGTCGTTGGATGGGTGGTTGCATGTAATTTCAAAAAAATTATTCTCTGTTTGTTGAATGGGGTGAAAATATTGTAATATATTATGTCTTTCTCTTTTTAATGACTTAATTGATAAATAAATATATATTTTTATCTAATTTTTACGTGACATAAAATAAGGGAGTTTAATGAAAATAAATATGTTAAAAGAAGTTTGTAAATAAAAAAAAAGTATACAATAACTTTTTTTTCGCTTGCTATGTGAGTAACTAGAGTAACAAATCTTCCCGTAAAAAAAAAATCTGATCCCAATATTAGAAAAATAAAAATATTAATGGAGAAAAATAATTATATCACAAATTAACACATATGTAATATTATGATAAATTTAATATATCATTAATCGAAATCTCTCAATCATAAAATATTCTCTCGTTATTCTTTATCTTTTAATAAGTATCTGTACCTTGATATCTTATATTTAATAGGATAAAATATGTTTTTAATTTCAGTAACTATAGCCAAAATTTGTTATAGTCATTCAAACTTTGGTTTTAATTAATATAAAATATTAAATGAAAAAATATTAAATTTTTTATGCTTTAAAATAATGAAAACACAGATATTTTATATAATATTTATTTTGTAAAAATTAAAATAATATTGAGGAATGTGAAAAGAAGAAAAATTCTTAAAATATTTTAAAATAGTCCATGTTATATTATTTATTGATTGTGTAATATGTATCTAGACATGTCATTATATTTGATACATCGAGTCATAATAAAAAACTATTTTAAGAAAAGTTATAAAGACTAAAAATAGCAAGAATTAAAATCAAATTTAAACATATTTACGTCTAATTAATATTTGTAATGTGTCCGGTTTAGTTGAAATGTAAATAACTCATAATAACTTATTATAGACCGCTTGTTTAATAATCTTAAAAAGTTAATTTTCAAAATATATAAAAGTATAATTTGATTTTACAAAAAAAAAACTTAACATTTTATTCAATTATATAATATAAATTTTGTATGTAAAAATAGTTATAATATAATTTTTTTACAATTATGAATTTTTATTTAATCACAACTAACATAAAAAAAATGTAATAATTAATTTACATAATTTTTTTTCATTTTTATTGTCAATCTTAAAAGTTAAAGCTGCTAATTATTGAGTTTTTTTTTTATATGATGATTTTAAATGTTACATCTTTTTAAAATATGATAGTAAAATATAATATAAATTTACATTTTTCAGGATGAGCACAATTTTATCGTATGCATATTTTCATAACATTTTAAAAAGATTGGGAGTGAAAATATAATCGCGAAATAAGAATTAAAAAAAGAAAAAGAGAAAAAAAGGTTATTGGCTTTAATGCAGTGTGTTGAGGTTGAGTTGCGGGAATCGGCTGGGAAAGGAAATTAACGAAAGAGACATGCGTTAAGGACATAAAGAAAGGAAGGGAAGGGAAAGGAACTTGAAAGAAAGGGTAGCGTTGTGGAAGACGAAACAGAAAATGAGAAGCGCGTGAAGAAAGGCAAAGAGAAGCAGAGATAGGAGTGTGCGCGTCGAAACCGAAGGGGCTTGGAAGAGGCTCTTTATCGGAGGTGGTTTATTCACCTCCGGATTCCCCCAACATGAAGAGTCTCTTCAAGTCGAAGCCCCGAACTCCCCAAGATATCGTTCGCCAAACCAGAGATCTTCTCCGTCTCCTCCAAAACACTCAACGCGATGACAAGGTTTGTCACAAACTCAGTTCGTGCCATCATTTCTATTTCTAATGCTCGCGTGCTTTCTTCGATGCAATTGCAGATGATCGAGTTGTGTAAGGATATTAGGGAGCTTAAGTCAATCCTCTATGGGAACAGTGAATCCGAACCCGTCCCTGAAGCCTGTGCTCAGCTCACTCAGGAGTTCTTTAAGGATAACACACTGCGACTCCTCATCCAATGCCTTTCCAAATTGAACTTGGAGGTGACTGGAATCTTTTTCAAACGCGGATTCCTTTGGTTATTTTTTTTTTATTGTTTTATTATCTTTCAGCTGTGCGGTTTTGCAGGCAAGAAAGGATGCTACTCAAATTGTTGCGAATTTGCAGAGGCAACAGGTTCAGTCTAGGCTGATTGCGTCTGATTACTTGGAGACAAATATGGATCTTATGGATGTTTTGATATCTGGGTAAGCAGAGCAATTGTTGGATGAACATTTTGGTTTTCTTGGTGTTTGCTGGTGAACTCACCAGCTTGATCAGACTGCACAATGGTGGCAGTCTCATGCACTTTCTGTCCTCTTAGAAGCAGTTGGTTTTAATGTCTCTATGATGAAACAGAACAATTGCTCTTGATTACTGAATTTTATGTATTTTAGGTGAAAATCAGCCATGTCGTGTTCATATCTTACTGCCTGCATGTGACTTTTCTTCTGTTTCTTTTTCTGCTCGTTGTCAAGTTATGTTTTCCCTCTTATTTTTTCTTGTTTGGTATTGACTAATCGTTGTTTCTTTTTAGCTATGAAAACACAGAGATGGCTTTACACTACGGTGCAATGTTGAGGGAGTGCATAAGACACCAGATTGTTGCAAAGTAAGGGAAAAGGAGAAAAAATAAATCCAATTTTGTTTTTCTTGTTATTTCAAATTTTAAACAGAAAATTTTGACAGGTGGTATAAGCACAATCATTTTGGTTATGGTTTTAAATCATGTTAATTAGAATAGTTTTATATCTTGAATTCATACATAGGTGCTATTGGTTTCTTTACTTCCATAAAATCGCACAACTTTTGGGAGTTGTGATGCTGAAATTTTGGGTTTTATATCAGATATGTTCTGGACTCACCTCATATGAAGAAGTTTTTTGACTACATTCAACTTCCAAATTTTGACATAGCTGCAGATGTTGCAGCAACTTTTAAGGTAGATTTTTTTTTTGGTGCCAATGCCATATACCTTTTTCAGACATAGTTGGCAGTTATATCGTGTCATATCATTGCAGGAGCTCTTGACAAGACATAAATCTACTGTAGCTGAATTCCTTTCGAAGAATTATGAATGGGTAGGTCCCCTTCCATTCTCAATTTATATCGAACATGGATGTTTTCATACTTGTCTATTGACATGCCACTTTTTGTCCTATTTTGCCTGTTCCTAGCATGGGTGGTGTGTTTGATTTGTATAGGTTTTTACTGTAGTAGTTTGTTGCTTGGTGCTAATGAGGGCACTTATTTTATGATTTTAGTTGTGTGGTAACTCTTAGATTGGTCTTCTGGTTATCTGATATAAATTATGTTCTGAGAAACATAATTTTATAATATATTATTCTGATTTCTGACTATTATTTTAATCTTCCCATTCTTATCAGTTGCTATGGTCCAAATAGATCAATCTCTTTTTGTTTTTTTGCTTTCATAGATTAAAACACTGCACTTAGAAAAATTAATGCTTAAAATATTGTGGAATTGAACTTTTTTGGCTAGGATAGAAGGTGGATGAACACATTTTCCTTTTGGCACACCTGTAAATACATGATCACAACTTTTTATGACTATTAACAACACAAGGGTGTTTACTCACTCTGTTCTTGGAATTAAGATTAAAACAATCTAACCCCTTTTAACGGTTTTTTGGGGGGCTAACTTTCTATTACTTGCATATATTTTATTAGTGTGGCTATCAGTTTATCTTGACATGATTTATTTTGTATTGGCTTTATCTTGTTATACGTTAGTTACCAATCATTACTCATTGTCTTTGTTGTCACTTCTTTCAGTTTTTTGATGAATATAACACTAAGCTGTTGGAATCTTCCAATTATATTACAAGGCGTCAAGCTGTCAAGGTTTGTTATAAGTTTGGGTATTTATCTCAATTGTAAGAATATTGGATGAATCAATATGGAGCAGTCTGAGATGCTGAGATTGTCCTCTTGAAAATGTTTTAATAAATCTTTGTTTCTTTCTTTATAATACATATGAACTTGTATGACCTATAACTATAAGCGTGAAAAATAAACAAACCATCACAAGTATTGTCTTGTTTTTTCCCCTGCTGAACTTGTTTTCATTGATCACTACTATTAGTCTTTGCCGTCCTATGCTATAGTATGTTAATGCAATGTTATTGCTGCTTTTATTATATTGCTTATTTGTTGAATTGATGCATGTATATTTGATTAGTGTTTTCCCCTCTTCTACAGTTGCTGGGTGATATGTTACTTGATCGTTCAAATTCAGCTGTAATGACACGATATGTCAGCTCAAGAGACAACTTAAGGATTTTGATGAATCTTCTACGAGTATGGTCCTTTCTGTAAACCTTCATGATGTGTCTTGAAACCTGTCCTCCCCCTTTCCTTGCTTGTATCCTCCCCCACAAAAGAAAATGCGAAAAAGATTATATGAAATTCAAATACATCTTTTGTATTAATAATGTTAAACTATTCATTTGCTGTTTTTAGCGCTGGAAAATGTATTAGTTCTGTCAAAATGCTTGGTTGTTACTGTACCAACACTGATATGCCACATGTTCAGTGTTGAGTTTCTGATGAGCCTGCATTTTAACGTTGAACAGAAAGTTCAGTTGTTAGATTTATGTTTATACAGGCATTTAATGGTTCATTGCTAATATCTCTCTGCAGGAGTCAAGCAAGAGCATACAGATAGAAGCATTTCATGTTTTCAAGGTACTGTAATTACATAATGGCGTACATTTTGAAATGGTTATTCTCAACCTTGTGTGTCCCAAATTTTGCTTCGTTCTTGTGATGCAGCTATTTGCTGCTAACCAAAATAAACCAGCTGATATCATCAGCATACTTGTTGCAAATAGAAGCAAGCTTCTGAGACTGTTGGGTGACTTAAAAATGGATAAAGGTAAGGAGGAGATGCTATTCTTCAGAGTCTGCACTTTTATTTTTTTTATGGTATCACGTTCCCATGATCACATATATATTGGGATTGTGCAGACGATGAACAGTTTGAAGCAGACAAAGCTCAAGTAATGAAGGAAATTGCTGGGCTTGAACCTAGGGACCGTGCTTGAGCTTCAGGCTGTGTGAAGTAGCAAGTTGCATTGCGACATTTTACTTTATTTAATTGTCTATTATTATACTTCTGTTACTCTTCATCAAGATGAAGCTAACATTTCACCCAAATTCCAATATTTTCATTCTGTAATTTCTTTTCGGTTCTGTAAATTCTTTGGTAAATAAATTGCTGAAAAGAGCTACATGCAGTAGCAGTATATAGCTTTCCTGATGTTAGAAAGCTTTGCCTAGTCAGCTAGTGTATAAATTGTACGAGGTCATGCGTTAGTCCTATTACCTACAATTTGTATGACTTATTTGTTCTGTTATTTCTTCATGATGGCCTGCTGGAGCGCAATGTTCCTGTACAGTTTAAACTAGATGCTGTAATAAGTTTTGGTCCTAAAACGGCCATGCGCGCACGCTCAGATATTGAAGCTCTCTTACATTGTGATATGTTAGCATGTTGTTAAGGTGTTCCATGCGGAGTTCATCTAAAATGAGAGCAGATTTTTTGGGAATTGCTTAACTTGTTTTTTCAAGTAAGCAATTGTTTCTTACAGTACACCAATAAGAGTTCCAGGAGTAGGCACCAAACTATCTTTTGCAAGACGCGGCTCCAAACCAGAGAATATGCGCCCGGCATTGTAAGACCACCACCCTCAACAAATTAAAATTGCAAAAGGCCTTGTAAACTATAATCCTTTAAAGAACTAAAATTTTTAAAAAATATTGAAGTGTATTAAAAAAAATTACATAGAGAACAATGTTTGATCACCATCACCAGCCCCACTCCTCCACGTCATTGATCTCCTTTGCGTAGTCGAGGATCTATGCAAGAATGTTGTCCGAAGATTGAAATTGTTGCCACCCCAAGATCAAAAAATACTGACGTGGCTTAGTAATAATAAGACTTATTATTTCAATAATAATAATAATAATAATAATAATAACAGGAACTAAAATTTTAAAAAATGCTTATATTAAAAATTTTAAGCATAAATTGTAAAAATTTTATATCCTCCCTTGCTTTATTTTCTCTGAACCAAAGCTAAGACTCGTTGAGTTGAAATGGAATACTTACGGACAGCAGTTCACTATTTGGGATTATTACTTGCCTATTATCGAATCTAAGGAATACATAATATGCGATTTTTCTTCCTTTTACCAAAATAATTGAGGGGAATTCCTTTTTCATACGTGGCTATGAGGAAGCTTCGATGGACAAACAAAAGAAGAGGAGAGGAGACAAATGGCTTTAAACCATCGTCTGATTCACGGGAATATGTTTTGGTATATACTGGAAGCATTATGCTCTCCAAATTCGCGAACCCGGGTACCTTAGGAATAGAGGATATTTCCTCTATCTTTTGGAGGAGGACATGAAAGGAGCCTGAGCTTCAGTAACGCATGCACGACTAATTCTATCAATCAGGACGAGCCCAGGGCTACCAAAAATACATTATTTTTATCAAATATAAGAACTAAAACAAATAATTTTATATAAAAAAACATTACAAAAAAAAAAAAGAAAAAAAAAAGAGGCAAGCTTGCGAATGAAATATAAGGGGCAATTTTGGGTTTGTGTAAAATAAAATATCAAAACAGAAGAAAATAGAACTTAACATGATATATGTTGGCTTCTGATTCTCAGACAGACTGCGCTTGAATTGCGAGGGAGAAAATGGGCGACAATGGTAGGGGTAGGAGTAGGATTGAATAATGTTTTTGCGAGTGTTAAATGTGATCGTAATGGTGGTTTTTATTGCAAATATAATAGATTCGCTCTCCGAATTCCTCGCATCTGCAGTCGACGCTGCTCGCAAGGCTGGTGAGGTCGTTCCCTACTCTCACTCTCACTCTCTGTCTCTTTCGTTTTTTTAGCTTCATGTTTTTTGAACGTGAAATCCTTCAAAATCCAGATTATTCGAAAAGGTTTCTATCAGACCAAGCATGTGGAGCACAAAGGACAGGTTTCCACCCCACTCTCTCTTTTTCTTTTAAATTTATGTAAAGTAAACGACGAAAGGTATAGCCCTTTTACTTTTGTTCCGATGCACAGGTTGATTTGGTCACTGAAACTGATAAAGCATGCGAAGACCTCATATTCAATCATCTCAAGCAACTTTACCCCACTCATAAGGTTCAGTTCATTCATCTTTACTTATACTCAAGTTTTATCGAAGGTCATTTTATAAGTTGGTTTTCTTTTTAGTTCATTGGGGAAGAAACCACAGCTGCTGGTGGCGCTGCTCAACTTACAGATGAACCCACTTGGATAGTTGATCCTCTGGATGGAACTACTAATTTTGTGCATGGGTAAATTTCCACCCCATTTTTAATTGATTCACTCGTGTTGCCATCATCATTCACTATAACTCTACTTTCTTTAGGTTCCCCTTTGTTTGTGTCTCAATTGGTCTTACAATTGCAAAAATTCCTACAGTTGGCGTTGTTTACAACCCAATAATCAATGAGGTGAGGATCTTTTCTCTTGCACAACTGGGTGAACATTAAACCATTCAAAATTTCCTGACGTTTAAAACACATTTTTGTTTGATGGTAAATATAATTATGCACGTATTGTTTGTATTTTTGGTTGCCGTGTAAATGTAGAATCAGGTCCAGAATGAGTTTTGTAGGCAGCAATAATCAATTGATTCTTTCTCTTCATTTATCATTATTATTTTCACTGACCTTGATGTACCTATGATGGTTTGTTGAAGGCTGAAGACTATGATGTAGTTAATTTAGGACTATGACAGTCTATAATTTGTTTTCTATTAGTGATGTTACATGTTAGCGTGGAGAGGTGCATTTTTCTAAATTCATTTTTTTCTTCCCTTGCTTAACTTAGTATGCGAGCTGAATCTTAGATTGCCATGTGTAGCTTTTCACTGGAATTCGTGGAAAAGGTGCTTTTCTGAATGGGAACCCTATAAAAGGTGTGTCTTCTGTTCTCTCTGTCTCTTGATTGTTCTTGTTAATTGAGTTTGGTTACCTCATGGATAAGCCTTGAAATTTTGCAGTATCATCACAATCTGAACTGATAAACTCTCTTCTCGCAAATGAGGTATGTCAAGTTTGTTAGAGTTGATTATGTGAAACTTTTTCTATGGATCAATATATTGTATTATATTCCTCTCCCACCCTTTATTGAGCATCAGTGAAACAGTAAGTTTGGACAATAATTTGCTCCAAAATATCAATGGAAAATAACCACATAATTCTTTCTGTTAATGAAAACAGCTGCAGACTAACTAGATGACCAGGAAGAAACCTGACTCATGTTTTGTACTTGGTGTCCTTGTCAATCTACATATAACATTTTTATTTTCAGTAGCTAGCATCTCCCACCATGAACTGCATTATGGAACCAATTGAAATCATGATATTCACCTTTTTTTTTTTTTACAATTATTATCAATGTGTGTACCATGGCATACATAAATGGTTTTGTTGGTTTTTCTTTCATTTCAAATTTCAAACACTGTATGGAAGTAGCAACTGGCTATGAAGAGACTCTTTTTCAAGCAAAAAATAACACTCATTAAATTTGCACGGCAAAGATGCTCAAACTCTGTATATGTGTAAATTGATCATTTGGATTTATAAATTTTGTGTACTGTGCTCAGTTTTTATTTGCTTTGAAAGCATGCTCTGGTAGGCAAATTAAGAGCCTTGTGTTTTTATTGCTATTTGCCACTCAAATATTGCAAATTGTTAAACACATGTCTGGACTATGCATTTCAAAACCTTTGTAGTCTTGACTTCTGCAAACTTGAAAGGTGAAAAATCTAAACATTTCCTTTTATTCTGGTGTTAACTGGGACTTGTTGAAGAAATTATAGGAAAGTACTACTGGAATTAAAGATTTTGACGTCATTACTAAGTCTGCTTCAAATTGTATCCCTCCCCTCCGTACTTGCCTCTTTTGTCCCTGCACTATTGTTTTTAATTTCATGCAAGTCCATCCATCGCTGCAGTTTGTTAGTTATTTTATTTCCTGGAATACCAACTTGAGATGGGATTACCCAAACTCAAAAATTCATATTTGTTGCACTTGGGGTCATGTTTACTGCAAATGTAAGAAATCAAGATGGATTTGAAATTAATCAAGTTTTTTACTTCTGAAAGAGCAGGCTGGAACGAAACGTGACAAGCTAACAGTAGATGCCTGTACAAAAAGGATTAATAGCTTGCTTTTCAAGGTAAAACAAGGTCATCCTACTGGAATCAATTGGGCTGAAGTTCGATATGACTGTGCCATAACCAATTAACCATGCCTTTAATATGATCAGGTGAGATCCCTTCGAATGACCGGCTCCTGTGCTTTGAACCTTTGTGGAGTTGCATGTGGAAGGTTGGATGTATGTTTTGAACTTGGCTTTGGAGGCCCTTGGTAAGAGTTTCACATAACTCATAAATATTGGACATTATGATAATATGATATGGCTGTTGTGGTTGTATTATGATAAGTGATTGGCATGGTCTCTTCCTTTTATCAGGGATGTGGCTGGTGGAGCAGTCATTGTTAGAGAAGCCGGAGGTGTTATGTTTGATCCGTAAGTGGCTTTAATAAGATACCCTTGTTCTTAACGAGATAACATGTTATGATTTTTTAGTGTTTGCAATGTGGTAGTCTAGTTAACTAGCATGGATCTTCACCTTATGGACATCTATATATATAATGTTGGATGAATATGGAAAGTTTTAAGCACTATTTGGCAAGCCTTTCTATTCATATGAAACTACGAAACACAAACTGGCATGGATATGCTTAGAAGATTTTATACTTTTATCAAAATCTGATGGTTCATTTGTTTCAGGTCCGGTGCAGATTTTGACATCACAGCTCAGCGAGTAGCAGCTTCCAACCCTTTCTTGAAGGATGCCCTTGTTGATGCTCTGCGCCAGATCGAGTGATGAACCTGCTATTTGATCAATAACGGGGAAAAATTGCCATATTGGGTCAGCTTATGTTAATTCATTTCCGTTTTGTTAAAATGCTAGGACGTGGGATGCATGACGTAAATTATTTTTCTATTTCTCTTGTGATCTTGCTCACCAAAATATTAGTATTATATTCTCTCTCTCTTTTTCACGAACCTCACATGGTTAACAGTGCAACTTGCTTTCGAATAATTCCATTAGCGTAGCCTCTGAGCGGCTGCCAAGAAACTTTCAACTTGACTGTGTTTTTTCTCCTTATCGCAACTCCTTTTTGAATTCCATTTTATTTAATCATTAGATGGCCGAGTCTTTTGGTAGTTGGTATGATCTTAAAATAATAAAAAAAAAGAGAGGCAGAAATAAGAGAAAAATTACAAGTCTTAAATCGACTATCATAAAGTGAGTTGGCGTGCGCGTATGCTTCCGTGTGGTCGTGTTTGGTGTACAAACTCTCATAATATATGAACTTCAGAAGATTAAATAGAGCAAAATGATTGGTACGGAACAGAGAAAAGTTCAAGAGAATTGTGCCCAGAGAGGATGTTTGAACAAGCCAAAAAGCACAGATGATTAATTTACACATTTAACTGCACAAGTCAATGTGCAGCTAAATGTACCATATTTCAGGGTATCTGAGCTGTGAGCTTAATGTTTGAACTTTTATTTACAACTATACTACAATTGAAGCTAAAGCAATGCTATTAAAATTGTAATGGAAGAGTTGGTTCGGTTCAACCAGACCTTCGTGTTTTCGCTTTGGTCATTTCTTATTATGTTGTTCTGTTCAATTTCAGATGAACCATCAATTTGGTCAGTCGAACCAGTCAAATTTTATTAACATATTTGGTATAATTTATTTCAATTATGAGAAAGAAAATACTTTTTTTTAAATAATGAACTAACAAAAATAGGTTATTATTTTAAAATAAGTTATATTAATTGTGTATATTAATCTTTACAATATTGGGACTACGTTCCTGAACCAAATTTATATTGCTTCAACTTATTTGTTATTTTTGGATGTACTGTAATACAATTTTCATAGTAAATTTTCCGCCTTTTGCTTTGCCACAAGCGGAAGACAGAGAAAGGTTGCTCCCACAGAACGTAATAGAGATATTTGAAACTCAAGGCATGTAGAAAGAGTAAGAAATAAGTAAATAATAATAAATACAAATCTGAAGAAATAGAAACCGATACAACGTATATCCCGTAATAATAGTGTGGAGAAAACAACTAAACCACTCCTCTTAAAAGTTATTATCCTATGAAAGAATTAGCTCAAAAATGAGACTCTGAGTAGCTGAAGTACCCTAAATACCCTCAACATATACGAGAAAATATACAATGGAGTCAAACAAACAATAAAATCAACATATATAGAAGTAAGAGGCAGAAAATAGCAAAAGAAAGCAAAATCTATCTGGCAATCCATCCCTACACCTGCTGTGTTCTAGAACCATACCCATTAACACCATTTGCACCATGAATGCCGTGTGGCATCTTGTTCTCTGATTGCCGCCTCTTCAAGACTATGATCCACGTGTAAGCTTCCAAAAAGACAGCAATGCCACCCAAAGCTCCAATAATACCAATGTAAGCATGCTTCCAGTTATTGTAGCGATCTCCAACGTAATTTTCCAAGGCGTCGAACCCCTTAAAAATGTTGACGATACTGATGATTATGGTAGCGTATCCGACAGAGTGGTGGTACACATTCCAGTAGAATCTGTACTTATGGTCTTTGTTAAGCCTCAAGAATAGAGCGAACACCTGAATCCAATCACATAGGTTTCTGTCAGAACAGGTAAATTTAATGCATCCCTATGGTTTCATAAGCAAATCATGAAAATCTCGCACCTGAAGAGTTCCTAAGCAGAAGAGAACAATACCAAGTGCCCTATGAGTGTCATAATCAACACCCTCTGAATCACTGCCAAGTTTGAGACCCATACCAAATCCAGCAACCCCAACTATGTAAGCAGAGGCTTGGCAAGTGACATGAAGATAGAACCAAGCAGGGTCTGCGGATTTGAACACCTTCAGATACCTCGCGATTATGGCACCCGTTGGCATCAAGACACCCCAGCTCACGGCATTTAGCACACCATGGGTCTGAAATTAACAATCTTCAAGGTAAGCAAAAAGATCACGTAGTTATTACAAAACCAGAAGCTAGAACAGAAAAGTGCTTACGTTTCTTCTTCTTTGACGTGAGTTCCCACTTGCCTGGGTGGAACCAGAAACAAGGTCCAAGAGCTCCTTGGAGTTTTGGTGGGAAGTCTCATGGCTATGCTCTTGAGGGGTACCACCAGAGAGAGGACCATCTTGCCAAACGTGGACGAAGGAAGTGGTATCGTTTGGAAGGGTGAGAGTGGCAAAAATGGTTACCTCGTTATTCTGATACGTGGCCGTTAAGCCCGAGACTGGATAACTGATACTTCCCTCTTGCAACTGTGTGTCGGTGTTGGCGATGGATGAAGTATAGGCTTTTGGGCTTCCACTTGATTGTGGAATAGCCACCAGGGCTTGGGCTCCAACCATGGCTCGACCAAGGTCGTTTTTGGGATTGATGGCCCAAGCAACCCACCTATTTGTTGACGTGATTCCGGCATGTATGAATGCTATGTCAAGCTTGCCACTCGCCTTGTCATAAGTCCAGTGGAGGTAAGAGGTCAACTGTGGAAGATCACGACATGTGGAAAAAACCTTGTTGCTAGAGAACGTTTGGCTTCTACATGTTTGAGCAGAGGATGTCAAAACCACAGTACTCATAACAAACAAGGCCAATACTAGCCTCAACATGGGAGCCATTAACGTTGATGGATGGATGGATGGGGGTGTAATATCTTTGTTATGGGTTGGTACAATGCAAGTCTGTTACCAAATGCGTTTTGAGAACTGAATGGAATGGATGGTTTGGCGTAGCGTTTGTTTCTTGTGATGTAATCAAACGCTCTAATTAAGTTGAAAAATGAAAAAGGAGGAGCAGGTAGTAGAGGCAACGATGAGAGAGACGGGGAAGGGAGGGTTAATTTATTTATAACCTGTAAGAGTTGGTGGGGTTTGGTTGTTGAGTTGTTGATTTCCAAGGATGAGGACGCAGGGAGGATATAAAATCTTTTATTTTTTTTTTAATTTTAAATTATTGACAAATAAATGCTTAATAATTATGTTGTTATAATATCATCCACTAATCATAAGAATAAAGAAATAACCTTCCCTGCCCATCGTTCGGAAGCTTCGGTTCCGTGTGAAAGTGGTTTGATTAATTCCTCTTTTAAGAATTTGAATTCCTACCTCCCCATGTTGACGGGGTTTCCCTACTCTTATTTTAATCAACCATTGCCTCTTATTATTGATGATTTCGCTAAGTTAACATCAATTTTAACATGCTTCATTCTGATGCGTGATTCATGAATAGAAGAATATCCTAATTTTGTTGGCCTGTTAAACCAAACTTGAAATGTTACTTCATACATTTTATTTTCTGTAATGTTAGTCTACATAAATTCTTACAACATTCTTAAAAACAATTATTTTGTGCTCGCTTAAGTACAAGGTTATTGTTAACCAATGTTTAAAGGTACATATTAAAAAAATAATAAAAATAATTTAGCATTAAAAAATATATTACAATGCATTATAAATCATAAAAGTGTGTGGCTGTTTCTATTTTTTTATTTTTTTTATTTTCCTAAATACAATTACTAGCTCTCATGTTTTTTTTTCTTTGACATGTTTTTATTGTCATTTTATAAAATCAACAAATAATTATTGTTTTTATATTTTCAACTTTAACCATTAATGTTTGTTTAATAAAAATTTTATGAATAATTGATATATTAATTAATATAAAAAAATGATTAACTAATAATTTTATAATATAAAATATCAATATTTTTAAATTTTTATACAAAACTTTAAGCATGAAACAAAATTGAACCACACACCCTTTCAGTTTATATAATTATTACAACACAAAATATATGTATAATATTATAGATATTTTCATGTTATTTTTAATATGAATTAAAGTTTTATCTCAGTTGAATACATAGATTTTATTAAATTAATTATTAAAATAAATTTTAATTAAAATATATTTAAAAAATTATAATACTACTCAAATTTTATTCATTATTATACACCTTTATGATACAGCTACCTAGCTGGTTAGGGCTGTTATTGCAACTACTCCACTCCCTTACGAACTTGCTTAAATACCAAGGGATTCGAAGTTTTTTCTTTCGATATACTCGATACGGTATCGTAGCGATAATCTATAATTATATTGAAAATCAATTATTTAATAGGACATTTTTAGCTCGTGCTTTAATTTTTAATTAATACACGGGGAGTGATTTATTAACATAAATTTTATAATGAATACAAGTATACAAAGTTCAATAGTAAGTGTATATAAAAACAGTTCTTTATTTTTTATAATTAAGAAAAATATTATATTCAAAGTGTATTAATAATGTTTTTAAAATAATGTTAAATCTTCTTATCTTTTATTCTTACCAACCATCTTAATCATTAAATAAATAAATATTAAGTATTTTTATATTTTCAAGATAACAAATATGTTCATATAGTTAATAGTTATTTTAAATTTTAATATATATATATATATATATATACAGTAACTTTTAAATTTATATTTTTTAATTTTAATTTTTAATAAATACTCACGAACACACGTGGAAATTATTGGCAAGCAAATATTACTTAAGACTTTGATTACATTTGCTTAATACCAGTAATTTAAGGGTGTGTTAGTGCTTAATTAATCAACAGAACAGAAGAAGATGGTTTGCATTGCAGACTCGCAGTTGCAGAGAGTGAGTCCACAAGTATTGGCGCGTGGAGTTAAAGTAGTTGATATTTTCTTTGTGGGACCCACACGGCAAATCATTCCATTGCTCCCAGCCTGCCATTTGTCCGTTTCTTATGGTAATTAAAATGAAAATCAATGACGGCTAATTAACATGTATATTAATCAGTCAATATGTATTAAAATAACTGCTTAATATCATTTTAAAATATAACTGCTCCGAGGATTTTAGACAAGCAATGATAAAAAAAACATCACGTAATTCAATTGACAAACAGTATTAGAATTCACACCAGATAACAAATAAGTGTAACATTAGAAACTAATTAATTCTTCGTCAATAATTTTCATTTTAGTATACATTATAATTTTTTAAGTATAAACAAATGACAATTGTCATATTATATATTTATAAATATCCATTCATCTAAATTTTTTTATATATAATTTTTTAAATATAATATGACATAATTTAACATTTTCATTCATAATTTATTAAAAAAAATTAGTATTCCAAGTATATATTTTCACTTAAAAAAATATTACCAGCTAAATTAAAGTGATAGAATAAAGCATTAATTAGTTTTTGAATTGTATCAAAATTTATACGCATAATTAACTTCATAAAAAATTTTCAATAATCAAATTCATTAAATATAAACCTGCATTTGGCGTCAATAAACTTTATCTTTGTTGCTGTTGTTATTTTTACATTTCGAAAACATATTTATTAAATTATTTAAAAGATTAAACCTAATATTTTAAAAATTTTGCTGTAGTATTTAAATATCTTGTCAAATCGTCGAATAAAATTAATTCCTATGAAAATATATTTCTACTTTTTATAAAATAAAAAAAATTGATCATGTCTAATTTTCGAATAGGCTAGTATAATCTTTATATTAAAAGACAACATAGAGATGTTCAAGATATATTTTGACCTAATCTAATTCATTTTTACCTTGTTTTTTTACCTCTGCTTTTTCTCCTTATTTTATGGTCGAGCAGTTGAAGAATTTGATTTTCTCATATTAATATCCATCTAATGCAATGTTTATATAGATTTCAGACGAGATATGTGGTGAGACATACATGTGTTTGTGTCCAACTATAATTAAAAAATTATCAATAATAGGAATTTTATATTTTGATATTTAATAAATGTGTGTGGTGTAGGTAGAGTAAAGAGAAAAGAAACACATTAAAAAAGAGAAAATAAAAAAAAATAAAAAATTATGAATGTAAAATATAATAATTGTAATATTATTAAGTTAAAAGTTTAGTACTTGCCAGGCATAGGATAGTACAAATTTAAGGGATAGTACAAGGTTGAAGGAATATTTTTTTAAATAACAAATTTGCAACATAATTTTCTTCTAGAGATACAAATAATTAAGTTTATCTTTTTGTCCGCTCCAAAAAAGTCCTGGTCATAGACCACGTCACCATTCTCTGTCTGAGGTAATCTGATTATTACCTTTTCTTTACAGTGAAGTCATACACTGCGTGAAAGGCTAGGTGAGATAAAAAATAAAGATCTCAGTTTCTCTCACTTTTTTTTTTGTTTGACCTGCAAACTTCAAACAAGGCCCAATTTTTGTGGAACATCCTTATCAATCCATTTCCAGTACCTGGTAGCCCTTGTTTTATATTACAAGAAAAAGCCATTTTTAAAAAAAATTCTAATACCCCTTTTTATATTAGTTTCTATCAATCCACATTGGCAAAAATATAAGCTCGACCTGATTTAGGCCTGCTTCTTTTTGTTCGTTATACTCGTGACAAAGCTTTTACTAACGAAAAAAAGAATTATAAGATTTTGTTAATATTATTTTAGTCCTTGAAAATTTGTATCAACAAATTAGTCATTCAAAACTTATTCTGTCACCGTTTTAGATGACCAATTCAGTGAAAAATTAAGGGATTAATATGGAGAAGAAGAAAAAAAAAAAAGCTTTGGATGACAATTTTAGAATATTTATAAATATGTAATTTTTTAAAACTAAATTGAGGATTTACTCTTGCTGTAAATTACTGAAATGGGACCTAGTCCAGCTAAACAAGTAATTAGCATGAAGAGAAGAAAAGGATGAAAAACTCAGCACCACTGTGGCTTGGACTAGTTCACGCTCAACCAGTAATGTGAATTTGACTTGTTCATTTTGGACTCTTTTTTAATGTAAAGATACATGACATGCATACTGGATGAAGTTGAATTGAAAGAAGAGGTCCAATAAACACAACGTTCCTCCAAAATTCACAAGCAAGCTTTTCAGCTTATTATTTAAATCGAAAACAAGAAAGGTTCGTATTCCTTTGTCTGCGCATGCAAAGATACTCGATTGAAACTTGAATAGCTTTAAGATTTGTTGCGTAAAAGGAGGAGTATAGCTTAAGATCTCACAGATCACTTTTACTTCGAGTCACTGTGGATCACAATTGCACATATATAGTAATTATTTGAAAATATAGAAACAAATGTTAAAAATCAAGCCATTCGTATACTTTTTTTTAAAGCCAATTAATTAAATAATAATTAGCAGTTGATAGTGAGTTGGTAGTATTCTTCCTAAGTGTTACCTACTTCACGAGATCGAAGACCAATTTTGAGGAAAGCATCTTGAAGGAATCAAAAGTGCTGAAGCAGAATACTCGAATATGATGCTTAAAGGGTAAAATTTCGAGAGTTTTAAGTTGAAGTTTTAAGACAGGAAGTTATAAATTTATGTGTGTGTAAAACTCTTAGGAAGTAGTCCTCATTAGTATTTGTCTATAAACAACAATTTATGTAATGTTATCAGATCGGATCTGATAATACTCAAAACATTTTTGTTGTGCCTATTATTATGTCTTTACATTGACTGTTATCAATTGAGATCGAGTATCCGTTCGGTTATTGTTCTTCATTTAATTCTTCTTTAATTGTGTAATGTTCATTTTCTTTTGTTTTCTGTTATCTTAAATTCATTTATTTGTGATTAATTGAATTTGACGCATTCAAACGCGACAACTCAAGAATCGACTGGAAGAATTAAGTAATATCCGTGAACCTATGTTCTCAATCTCACATCCTACACTCATACTCTTCTGAGGAGTCACTAAAAACTATTTTATATACCTCTAATAAGTCCTATGATATACTTTACAGCCATTGAATCTTTTTTACCCAAATTTTACACTTTTTCATGAAAAATTGAAAAAAAAAAAACTTTCATAACGTTAAGTACTTCGTTTCCCATCTAAAAAATATTCATTCCCATGCCAGCCTATTTGCAAAATAAGATTTGCAGCAATATTGATGTTCCATCGGCGACAATAACACTAAAAAAGAATCCGTGTCTCAACCTTAACGCAGGTCTCATCTTTTTTCTTGTTATGATGGAATGATAGATAGTTAGATAAAACTCACATCACCACATAAATTTGTGGGCCTATAGTTATTATGCTTTTATTTATTGATGGTTGGCAGTGATTTGAACCGAAGCTCTTGGTCACGTAAGCTTTTAATAACTCTCATCTGATCTGAATGATTACTAATTGTGTGATAAAAATGTGCAAATGTTCAAAGGTCAATGCAGCTTCGTTGTCCATCTTCCAAATTTGCATGTCCTGTCCAATAGCCATCACGTTTTTTCATTCAATTAAATTCTTTTAAGGACTTATGCTCAATTAAAATAATTGTACTGCTTGACCTAATGAATAATTAAAATAATTTAATTTGTTTATTAACTTCTTGCTTTCATAATTAGATGAGTTGGTTAAATTTATGCATAAATGAATTGAATAATTAGTGAAATAAAGGGATTGAACTGCTATCCCTAATTGTTTGTGACTAAAATTTGATTATCACACTTAAGCTTTTGCTAAGAGATAAACTAATATGGTAGGATAATACTTGGTAGCATCGTAAAACGCTGGGAACTAAATAAATTGTGTCGCTTGAGAAGGTTTAGACAAAGCAAGTTCGCAAGGTGTTGTTTATATTATGAAGGAAGCCTTCATGATATACGTATACAATAAATGAAGACGCTTTTAATACTCATATTGCTTTATAAATCTAATTCAGTCTCTAAAATTTATGGCACTCTTAAATTAGCTGTTCTCAAACCTGTTGACTTTCTGATCAGCTCTCATACTAGCCCATTCCTTGATCTCCTCTTATAACTCACTCTTATTTGATACAAAATCTCTATATACTTGAGATATACAGAGTGAAAAATTATTAATTCCTTCCATTATTTGTTCATTATTCCTTAAAAAAGATTACCGTTTTTCTCATTTTCAGAAGAGGTTAAAACTAAAATATACATGAGATATGCACATTGGTAATACTTACACAGCCACCACGTTGTCCCCCGAAAAAGCGAATGAGCAGAACGTAGAGTGTGAGCTGCAACATCGGTCTCTGAATGAACATCCCCATTAACAATCGATATATCTTATTCCCCGACAAGATTTAGGTGCATGCACGCTCAATTCGCTCCATACTTGATTTAGTTATAATTTCATTTTCATCAAGTTGTCGTTCTTTTCCGTTCAAATGGATATCTAATTATATAATTATTTTTTTCCATGATTGTTGCGTAATGAAATAAATCTCCCAGAAAAAAGAAAACGAAGAAGAAGAGACAAGAATGCAAATAGGAACAAATCCAATCTTTGGGATCTATATATATATCATATTGCTGTTAGGGTTGTGTACAACTCATAATGTTATATCTTTACACTACATAATAATTATAATTATACTTAGTATTGAAGAAAAACTATTCTTATTTATCTATTTATGTCAAAGTTTAGGATAATAATATTATTGTTCTTTTATTAATATTTTTTTTATTTATATAGAATATTTAAACTATTTATGCAGTAAAAAGTTATTATAAAAAATGAAATAACAAGTTTAACAATCAATTCAACAAATGATTGAACTTTTTGGACATGCGTAATTTATTCTTTTTTCAAAAGATAAATAAGAAAAAAAATACTTTTTAATAATTTTATATATTAATTGCACATGCAGGATCATTAAAGTTGTTATAACTTGATCAGCTATACATTACATACTGCAAAAACAGTATTTATTTATTTTTGTCTCTCTCTCCTTTTCTATTTAAGACTTTTTATATAAACTATGTTTGTCTAGAAAACTACCTGACACTTACATATAATATACAATACCAACCTCCACCTACCCGACCATGTAAAATCCATCAGCTATAAGACCATCCACAGACACAAGATATCCAATTTAATATTTCTGCATTCTTTTGTTGAGTACATTTTGAGAGCCATTTCTCTTAAAATTAAGTAAACTATATACACATTTTCGTAAACAAATAATGAACTCAAAAGTTTCAGTAAAACACTAAATTTTATGTCGAAATTAAGCATTAACGAAGAGAGAAGAAAAAATATTTAACAATATTGCAAGTATTCCTTGTCATTATATTTTGCAAGTAATCAAATCCCTTTAGCTGTGACAGTTCTATAAACTCACTTGGCACATGCATGCGGCGTTGGATTTTGGTGACGGCAAGAAAAATTATAAAATAAAATAGAAATAAATATTGGTCATTAATTATGAATAATACAAATTAATTTCGAAAATACTACAATTCTTACTTCTTATTATCTTTTGAAAAATAAATGCATCTTTGGTGAAAAGTTTAAGTGCAGTGGAAGGGTCATTATCGAGGTGTGAGGCTGTGATCCATGAACGCTCATTTTGACTTTGTATAATCGTAATAAATAAAATTCAGATGGGTGGGCGTAGAGTGGATAGATAGGGTACGGTAGAGTGCAGGCATGAGACGTGGAAACGGGAACACGTGGTTCTTACTCTCTCCTTTTGACAGCCCTAATTGAATCTTGTGGTCGCACACAAATCTGAACGGCGCTGTGATTGTACCGAAACCACCCGTTCCTTAGCAAAAACCAGCCTTTTAATTATTTATTTTTAAAAAATTGCGTTCTATAAAGGCATTCGCTGATATCATAAATGCGCCGTTGGTCTCATTCTGAAATCTCAACTTGAGTCACTCACTGCGAAGAAATATCAAATGAAAAAATATCAGTTGCAGTGCTGAGAGTCTCATCAAATTCAAAAATGGTTTCTACGGAGAACGATTCACACGCCAATGCAAACAAAACTCAGCGCCGCGTCGGAAGGTCCATGCGAACCGTACGCACCAATTTATCGCAACCCGACCACGCCACGTGCGTCTCCGACAACTTAACCGATTCACTCATCGAACTTGCCTCGCGAAACAACAACTCCGTTAAATCTTCCGTTATTGAGGAACAACTCCTTCAACTTTCTCACGCTTTCAGTGATTTCTCCGCTTGTAGCAGCGACATATCCGGGGAGCTTCAGAGGCTCGCCACTGTCTCATCTTCCGAACCTCCTGCTCACGTGGACAACGAACCTCAGCCCGAGCCCGAACCTTGCCTAGGGTTCCTGCAAAGGGAGAATTTCTCCACCGAGATTCTCGACAGTATTTCGCCGGAGGATCTTCAGCCGACGGTGAAGATCTGCGTCGACGGCCTGCAGTCGCCGTCGGTCGCCGTGAAACGATCGGCGGCGGCGAAGCTGAGGCTGTTGGCGAAGAACAGAGCGGATAACCGTGCTATGATCGGCGAGTGCGGTGCGGTGCCTGCTTTGGTTCCGCTGCTCCGGTGCAGTGACCCGTGGACGCAGGAACATGCCGTAACGGCATTGCTTAATCTGTCTCTTCTGGAAGATAACAAGGTACTGATAACGAGTGCGGGTGGTGTGAAGTCTTTGATATATGTGCTTAAGACGGGGACAGAGACTTCGAAGCAGAATGCGGCTTGTGCGCTTCTGAGCCTGGCTTTGGTGGAAGAAAACAAGTGTTCCATCGGTGCTTGCGGGGCGATTCCGCCGCTGGTTTCGTTGCTGTTGAGTGGTTCGAACAGAGGGAAGAAGGATGCATTGACGACGCTGTATAAGCTGTGTTCGGTGAGGCAGAACAAGGAGAGGGCGGTAAGCGCTGGAGCGGTGAAGCCGCTGGTGGAGCTGGTGGCGGAGGAAGGTAGCGGCATGGCGGATAAGGCGATGGTGGTGCTGAATAGCTTGGCGGGGATTGAGGAAGGGAAGGATGCGATTGTGGAACAAGGTGGAATTGCTGCGCTTGTGGAAGCCATTGAAGATGGGTCGGTGAAGGGAAAGGAGTTTGCTGTTTTGACTCTTGTTCAGCTGTGTTCTGACAGTGTTAGGAACAGAGGATTGCTTGTGAGGGAGGGTGGGATTCCTCCTCTTGTTGCTCTTTCTCAGACTGGGACTGTTCGTGCTAAGGACAAGGTCTGTTCGTCACTTCCTCTTGGTTGCTACCATTCTCTAAGCTTGTTTATGGCCTTTTTCTTCATTATGCTACATAATTTGATGACCGTAATTTGCTCTCAGACACTAAACTTTCTTGATATTCTCTTTCTGATTGGTTTTGCAGGCGGAGACACTCCTTGGATATTTGAGAGAATCAAGACAAGAAGCGTGCTGTTCAAGTCCTTAGAGAAGAGAACTATTTAATACATAGGTAATTATATTATGTAATTTGTTGTTGTACATATAGTGTTTATTTGATTTGTAATTTTGTACAGTTTGTATTTTTTGAATTAGAAGCTAGCCTGACATTCAAATGATATAAGCTGGGTTTGTTGATTTTGCTTCCTCTTCTTCAATTTGTTATGTTTTCAGGATTTACATGGTTATCTTGGTTTTAGTTTATTGTTTTTAAAATCTTTTGTTTTGTTTTTGTTTTGAAAACAAAAGGTTAGCTGTTTTTTATGCCCTCCTTTAGTTGAAGTGTAAACCCCTGATTGAAATATGTTAGGATTCATAATTTTTTATTATGGTCAAAATGGAGCTCTAATTTGGTTAGTTTAATACTACTAGTAGTACTAAATATATCGCATAGGCCATTAACAATCACCTTCATCTGTTTCCTCTGAATTTCCCTTCGGAGTCATTTGCACCGGCTATCCGGGATTTAACATTCAACCAAGGTGACGTTTGACATAAATTTTTCACACAGTGGAGTTCTTGATTTCTTGCTTGCTTACCAGCATCTCTAAAAGTGGATATTCTATCTTTTCTTTCTAAGATTGATATGTTGTTGGCTGGAATGAAGTTTCGGAAATAAAATTTCTTCTTGCCAAGATTAACTTAAGCGGGTAAGTCCCCAGATGCATGTTTTGTGCAAATTTACAAGACCTAGGCTGTGCTAGGATGGATTTTTGGGAATCTAAGGACGCTATTAAAGTGGTGGTATTTTACCATTGGGAATTATGTGTAGGGACCAAGTTGGAGGTCATGTTCAAAGAATTTATCAGATGCAATAGAAAATCGTGAGATTTAAAAAAAAATTGACCTAAAATAGTAAAAAAAAATTAAAAAAAGTGCTATTCTGATAACAATTTTCATTTGGGCAAGGACTTGTAACAATTTTCTGAGAAGAGTAAAGCACGAGTCTTGAAACTTCAAAGTTAGATGGGCTCGGAAGATACATTTAGCTTTCTTTTTCCAGCTGCTGAACGGCTGTTTAGATTGTTGGCGTTAGCTCTAGTGAATAAAATGCCATACTCAGAAATGTTAGGTGGGTGTGAAATTATGTGCATATAGGATGAGATAAAGACGTGTTTAGTCGGATGTTTACTTGAATACAGTGTTATGATGCTGTAGGCCCGTGAAGCTGCTAGTCCTTGTTGTAAAGCGGCTTACCAGTCTCATACTTTCTCATATGCGATATCCAGTTGATCTGTATTGCAAATCAGTGACCCACAGCCACCATTGAAGGTCAAATGGTCAATCCCACCACAAACTACATCATCTTTAGTGGTACCTATTTTTTCCTTATAAGACCATCTTATATCTCTCGTTTTTATTTTTTCTTCCTTTTCAAAACTTCTTGTCGGTTATAATAATAATAATAACAATAATAATCAATTAGCTGGCACGGCAGGTATGGTCTGTCCTGTTTATTTGGATTTTTTGAAGTTTCCCATCATCAGGTGTCGGTGTTGTCATTCATTCATAAGCATGGGTTTTATACACATTAGGCTGATGTTTGCATCGCAAGGCGAAGCTGTTTGGTGAGAGGATGGTGGTTTCTCTTACTCAAAAGTATGAGTTTGCTGGGGCATACAGAAGTCCACAAAACTTAGTGGTTGGTTGAATTCTCGCTTCTTCCCCACTAGGCGGGTGCGTAGTCGAAAAGAAGAAAAATAAAATTAGGTTGTTGCGTATAGCTAATGTTTGTTTCCAGATTAATGTTTCTTACATCAACATGATCACTAGTAGGTGAAAAAAAATGAAGCAAACCAAGAGAGAAATCAGTAGGTAGCAACAATCAGTATTGGACATGCATTTTACGACGATAACAACTTAATTACGGAATATAATTAAAATCCTTATTTATATTAAAATCATTTTTAACTTTTCAAAATGACCTTTTTTTCCCTCTCATTTACGAGTAGTATATAAAGTATTTAAAATTTGGGTAAAGATAAACGTATATTTGAAAAAGTAATATTTGATCAATATATTATACATAGATAAATGAAAAACAAAATCTTGCGAAGTAAATATATAAAAAAAAAAACGGAGAAGATTCTCTTGGCTTAAACTTAAGATTATATGACGTCTTTAAAGAAGTAATTAAAAACATGTAAGGGTAACTGTCAAGGTTTTAGATTTGATTTTTTATAGTATATTTAAATTTATTCGAATACACTAGAGTGATTAAAATTTAAACAAAGTGAACATGAATCAAAATTAAAATAGAATAAACAATGATTTTTAATGTGGATAACATAAAAAATTTTATGCTAATATTGTATACAAATTAAATAGATTATACTAGTTGAGTTTTAAATAAAAAAATATCAAAATTAATTTGGACTTCACATTTAAAAAGTCAAAATCTATGTTTTAAGGAGTTTAAGTTGGCTTGGTAAGGCCAACTTATGTCATCGTCTCTACATAAATTATAAAAACAAACAATATTTATAGTTTGATTTTATGAGTGTTTTTTTTCTTTAAATTTTTGTAGTGTTTGTTCCTCACATGATTGCTTAATGTTAAGCTAGAGGGACATAGAATGTAAGAAGCAGGTTCAAACTCTTTCACATGCAAACATTACGTTATATCATCTCCTTTAAACTAAAAAGATAGCAATTTTCTCGCTCTTGTTTTTTTTTTAAACTTTCAAGATTAATTTTAAATGAATAATAATAATAATAATAATAATAATATATTACAAATTATTTTATTTACTTTTAATATCATAAATATTTTTAATAAAAATAATATTTTTAGATGTTTAAAATTAATCTTAAAGACTAAAAGTTAACAAAAAAATTGATAAATTCTTTATGTCATGAAAAATTTTAATATAACCTTTGTATTACACTACAAAAGTTAGAAGTATTCTTAGATTAATTTGTTTTATGATTACAAAACATTTAAATAAAATGTTATTTAATATATCTTAATTATATTTTTAATCAAAGTAAAGTAATTAAAACATATGAATTTGAAAATGACAGTTGCAATGATCTTCCATTATTTAGTTTAAACTACTTTATAATAAATTTAGTTGTACTAAACATAGATCTTCCATTATTTTGCCAAATACAAGACAAGCGATAATCATTTTCATGAACTAAAGAAAAATGATTATAGCAGTAATGCTATTCTTACTTGTTAATCTCCTCTTTCTTGTTAAACGGGAAAGGTCTAAAGCCTTTTTGAAGTAACTTCTCCACCTCTTCGAACTGGAGGCCTTTGGTTTCAGGCACTAATGCATAGATGGCGATGAGGGAAATCATGGAGAAACCGGCAAAGAGGAGGAATGTGCCAGAAGAGCCTAAAGACTTAGTCATACTTAAGAATGACTCACTCACAATGAGATTAGCACACCAGTTGGAAACTGCAGCAATACCTCCACCTAGTCCTCTGAATCTCAATGGGTATATCTCTGAATTCAGAACCCAAGGCACGCTTCCCATTCCAGGAGAGTATGCTACGATATACACTCCAAGCATTATAACTGCTAAGAGTCCAATTTTGCTTGGACAACCCTGAGAAAACCATACTCTTTCTTTTGAACGACACACGCTTCTTATGCTCTTTTCTGCAGTTAAGCATGCTCCCGGGAGAAACTGGATAACAAATACAGAGAAACACACTGAATCATTTTTTGTTGAATCAAGCTTTGTATTCCTTGCACCATGTTCTGGTTTAAAAGAATTCTTAGAAAACGTGAGGGCATATTTGAGTATCTTAAATTCTTGTATGTCAATTGTCAAGTGGAGTCAGCGTGAGCTGCATCCCAGCTACTTAACTATATTAGCATATGGGAAAATTGGAAAAACTCTGCTAAACTAAATATGTTTATAAAGTGAGAAAGTAAGGAGTTATTTGTCATTCAATCTTTATGGGTTAATTTCATCATATACTTTAAATTGAATCAACCGTAGATCACTCATTACTTTCTCATTTTACAAATATAGTCACTTTAGAGAAGCTTTATGCCCATAAATTTTGACACCCTTTTTGGGATATGAATTGGGTGGAAGAAAAAGAGAAATAAAAAAGAACAAAAAAAGAAAGTAAGAGATGTGATCAAGGATGTGATAGAAAAAGAAGAGATAAAAAAAAGAGAGAGGTGAAAAATGATTGCTAGATAAAATTGGTTGGAAAATATAAAAGTTGTAGCATACGATAAGAGGATGTTCGAACAACATACTTCACTCTGGCTGTTGGCACAGAAGGCACACTCTGCTTTCAAACATTGCATACAGTTCCATGATGAGAAATTTGGGGCTTTTGTGTAAGGCTGGCATGTAGAGTTGGCACCGAAAGTGAGGGTGTCCGCGTTACTAATTGCAGGAGCATGGCGAGCTGCCTCGAAAAATGTAACACTCAAAACCAAGAGGCAAACAATGATCCCAATCATGGAGATGAGCATCAATCTTCTCCTTCCATATCTATCAATGAAAACCATACTCAATATAGAGCCAACCGCATTTAGACCAGATGTAATGAGAGAGAGTGCAAGAGCTGTGGAGTTTGAGGCAATGCCAGCAAATTGAACAATGGTGGGGCTGTAATACATCACGGTGTTAATACCTACAAATTGCTGAGCAACTTGAACTGTGATGCCTGCATACAAAGCTCTTCTAACTACATCATTGGTCAAAGCACCCTTTAATTTCTCTGCAAAACTCTGCCCCATCAACCCTTCCTCCTCCTTCTCAATCTCAACGGATTCTTGCATGGCTCTCATCTCCTCTTCAACTTCACTCGCGCGATAGATTCTTAACAAGATGCCCTTTGCCTCCTCTTCCATCCCCTGAAATATGAAATGCACGGAAATGGTTCCGAAGACAGATTATTTTAGAAGGTAGTAAACCTCACAAGAGGATCGAAGGACAATCAATGAAATGTACTTGTTTACAAAGTAAGGTATATTTATAAAAACTTTAGACATTACTTTATCATTTATAAATAGAGACATGAAATAAAAAAACAATGATGAAGTTGCTAAAAATCACACTTTCTTTGTAGATTAACAACTTCATAAGCAGCATCTAGAAATTTCAATCTTGATTGGTAGGGGGATTTTTAGTACCTGCCTATAGAGCCATCTAGGTGACTCAGGGAGGAACAGCATTAATAAGAACTGAACCGCAGCTGGAACTCCTGCCACCCCAAGCATCCATCGCCAGGTTCCTGGGGCCTGAAACACTTACCATTGAAGAGTTAGAAAAATAAAAATACTCTTAAGGGTTATGTTATCCAAACCAAAAGTTTCAAACTCGATTTACTAAGTGTGTTTCTTGCACACCTTTGTGAATGCCAAATTGATAAGGTAGGCAACAAATTGGCCACTTGTGACAAGCAAACTATTGATACAGACTATAGCTCCTCTGATGCTATGAGGGGAAGCTTCTGAGATGTACAGCGGGGCAGTCATGGATGCCATACCAACTCCCACACCAACGAAAACTCTTCCAATAATGATGACCCATGGAACTGGAGCAATAGCCATAACAACTGCACCAACGAAGAACAAAACATCAGCAGTTAAAATAGACTTTTTCCTTCCTAGCTTGTCATTCATCCATCCTCCAAATGCAGCACCAATGATAGCTCCAGCAACAGCCATACTCACAATGGTTTCCTGCAAAGCAACAAACGAAATCAACCACCCATCTAGAAATAGAGAGCATCACTTGTTTCAGAAGGAAGTTTTCAAAACCTGTAACCATGTTTTCTTGTCAACTTCATCAAAGTCCTCACGGATGTATAACAAGGCTCCAGAAATCACACCTACATGTGAGAATTTGGTAAAAAAGAAAATCAATTTCATGAAATGCTAATGTTATAGCGGAAAATTGAAAAGGGATGTATCAGTTAATACCTGTATCATAGCCAAATAGAAGACCTCCAATGCCAGCAGATAAAGCAAGGCGCATAATGTAAGGTGAACCAGTTGCTCTGTGCCAACATTCTGTGAATTCGGCCTTGCTTGCACTTTGGGGACCCCCTTCCATACTTACACGTTCCCTAGCGACTCTGAAAAGGGCATCAATTGGTTAATGGAGCTTCAATCATTCACAGGGAAGTGTTTGTGCGAAAATCAGCCCCAAACCAAATCAATGCCCCTCACTGCTATTAAAATTATAAAACATGTCACCTTGATTTTCGCTTTCCCTTACCTGCATTCCTCGCTTTTCCCCTTTCGAGAAATCGGATCTGCTATAAGTTGCAGTGTGTGTGCAGTTCTAAATTCTACCGTTAAAATAATTGAATTTGAGATTAAACAATAAAATTCCCATTTCATAAAATAAATCAAACGACTGGTTTGATGGAATTTTTTGTAGAGGATCAGAAAATTACATTCGAATCTGTTCAGCGACTGCTGCTATTTCATGTCATCGTCTTTGACAAGAGTTTGTGTCTCTGATGAATAAGTTGTGTACGTCATAGCACAAACATAGCATGCATGCCTTCAAGATCGTGTCATGACTGTTAACTATTAATTAATTACATCGTCCCTTAACTCTATATTTATTTTATTCGTCTTTGTAGAGTGTGCCCGGCGTAAATTTAGAAACAATAAATATACCTATTAAGTGCCTTCAATTCTAATAAAAATATATACACAAAATATTGTTTTTATTCAACAACTATCTTCCACTTGAGTAGTTCTTCCCGGGCACCATCCCTCTAACTCGGAATATTTAAAACAACTCTAGTTCCACTAAATTATACATATATATATATTTACTTTACTTTTGAAAATTATTATAATATTTTAATTTTGTCTTTAATTAAAGTCAAATTATATTATTAAATTTATAATTTTATATATTTTAATTATTCACTAATTAAATGTTGATATAATTATATCATTACTGAATTTCAGTTTTAATTAAAAAAAGTATTAAAATATTTATAATAATAAACTTAAATTTTATTAATATATCATTCTTGCAAATATAGATTTAAATGATTAAAGTTATAACATATCATCTAAATTTAGAAGTGTAAGGAAGTGAAACCTTATAAACTAAATTAAAAAATGAGATACATCATACACGATATATCGAAATTTTCTCCGCCGCTAGCGTGGGTATCCGAATTTCCACAGTGAAAGTAATAAATCTCTAAATTCCCCCCAAACACGAAAGAAAATGGTTATACTTACAGCAGAAGCAAAAAAAATAGAATGAATATGGTGAGGCTGAAGGTGATTCTGTTTACAGAGAAATAGAAACTGAAAAAAATTCAATGAAACTTAGCAGAGATGAAAACACTTCACCTTTACTATGGTTCTGTGAAACGCGGTTTTCAGTTCTGTCTCTTTCGAGTCTACCGAGGGTCAAATTTATGAGAGAGAAGGTTGCTGGCTGGCACTGAAAACAACATAAAAAGGTCGTCACAGCTTTCAACATTATTGTTATTATGACAATACTACTCTCATTTAATCTTATCCTATCATTTATCACATTTTTGTTATACCTTTCAAATTATTACGTACATAATATTTTTCCTTTTTAATTTCTGTCTCTAGCACTTGAGTTTAAGCTTGACAGGACAGGATACACGTATTATGATATATTATTTTTTATTTTTTATAAATATTTATTTATTCATGTAACCGATTACGATACTATCCATTATTATTATTTTGTTTATATAAAAAAATATATACTATTTAAATAGTTTAAGAGTAAAAATAGTTCTTTTATAAAAGGGCAATTAAGAAATTAAATAATTAACTCTGATTAAATACATAAATAAAATAATATATTTTGAAGACAAAATTGAACATCTAACAGGGACACTTCTAAGCATTTATTTGTATTGTAAAGTGCATCTACTAGATGAATGCAATCAACCTTCTTTCATATAGAAAAATAGTATATTGAATGCATACTTGTGCGTTAATTGACTGATTAGTGAGAACATGATGATGCCAAGGCCAAAATGGTTATGAAATCAGAAGCATAAAACACAGATAAGGAAGACATTTCAATTTCTTTCCTACGACAAGAAGCAGAGCATGATGGGCAATGACCAACTTTACTTCTCTTCCTTTTGATGATCCAAGGTTTATTTTTCACTGCTTCAATTTTTGTCCTGTAAGGCCCACATAATAAAAAGAAAAACTCTGTAACGAGGACCCCACAACAATTTCCTTTTCTTCTCCATTTTCATTTACTAATGATTGCATTTTTAGACAAATAACAAAAATGGCTACAATCTGTTTTCATATTCTTATAATTTATCTAATACAGACGCATCGCGACAAAATTGCTGTTCTCCTGTCTTTTAAGGTAGACACGGATCCTCGGAAAATTTGCAGGTATTCTAGAATGTATTTTTCAATATAGTTTTATTTGTATATAACACAGTTATTATTTTTTACATTTTTATACACCCAACTTAAAAACACTCTTTTAAAAATAAAGACCCCACACTCTAGCTTTTTATCCCAGTAAACAAAGTATTGATAATTCTATTATTTTTCAAGAAATCTTACATTCTTTTAATAAATTAAAAGATAAAAGTAAATATATCGTTATCAAAACTTTATTTTGAAAAAATCTATGATAAGTTTGTATTTTGTTAAAAATACTTTTTAAAAAATAGGTCTAAATTTTGAGCTTTTTGAACTTATTTATCAATACATATCTTTATCTTCTATTTACATTATTTGAAATAGGATTAATAATTTTAACCCTTTTAGAAATACAGAAAAAGAGATTTTATATTTTCTTATCTCTTTGTCTTATGTATTGAAAAGTTAGCTCACTTAGTTCAAGATAAAGTTCTTAGTAAGAATTGATGTCCTTTTGCTTTTAGTATTTCATGCTTCATAATTTTTCACCTTTTTTTTTTTTTTTGCTAATAATATCATTTTGATGGCTAAAACTAATATGTATAATTCCTATGTAATTAAATCTATGCTTCACGTCTCAGTATCAATTATGCTAAATCTTCTCTTTCTGTTCTAAAAATATTGATCCCTTGTTAGTTAAGCAGATTGGTAATAGCCTGGGTATCCAATATTCAAACTAATTTAGTAATTATCTAAGAATTTCTCTCCATTCCCCTAAATCTACTAAATAAAATTTTGATTTCTTAATTAATAAGATTAGGAAAAATTATCTGTTTAAAAGATGAATTCCCTTTCTCTTATTGGTAGAGTTACTTTTACCAAAACTAGCCTTATGAGCATACCATCTTATGTCAAACAATCTGTTTTATTTTTTAAATCTGTTTGTAATGAAGTGAGTAATATATGCAAAAGATTTATTTGGAGCTCTTTGGAATTAGAAAGTATCACCTTATTAGTTGGAATAAAATTTGTAAGTCTAAACAAGAAGGTGGCCTTGGATTTAGGAATATTCACTTATTGAATGAAGCTTTTTTAATAAATTTTTTTTGAAGAATAATACGATCTTCTAATGATTTGGGAGCTCAAGTTGTAATTAATAAATATAGTTTTTTAATTGGTAAAAATTCTAAATTGTATATTCATTATAAGCCTTCTTATCTTCAGAATAGCTTATTATCTTCATGGGATGATTTTTCTAAAGGTCTGGGATGGATAATTGGAGATGCTCTATTTACTAAATTTTGGGATGACAATTAGATTCCTAACATACAACCCTTATCTCATTATGTTATGCAGTCTATTCCTGTTGTTAATATGCATGATCCTGCTAAACATGTCTAAAAACATTTTATCTTATCTAATAATTGGGCTCATTTTTTTAGCATAGGGCTTACTCACTGGGTCGATTTTAATTTGTCTAAATTTGATAAGAATAATTTTCCCTGCTAGAATCACTTGTTTGGTTTTGTTATATGGCATTTATGAAAAAATAGAAACTATAGATTTTTTTAAATTCTGCTATCTTGATTGATATTTTAGTTAATAGAATTCTGTGTGATTTTGGATATTTCATGTATTGCTGCAGGAGCATTCCTAGAGCTGGCTCTGTTTCCATGAATTTCCATAATTGTATCAAGTGGTCTCCTTCTCCGGTTGGACAATTTAAACTGAATCTGGATGGTTTTGTCTCTAAATCTGATCTTGCTGTGGGTTATGGAGGCCTAATTAGAGATGCTAAGGGTAATTTTGAAGTTGAATATCAGAGTAGTTTGGAGTCCTGTTCTCCCTAGAGGCAGAGATTTGGAACATTTTTTGGAAAGGCATTGATCTGATCTAGATAGAAAATAACTCTAAAAAAACTGTTTCTCTGACGTTGAATGTCTAAAATTGTAATCATCTCCTCTTCCCCTTGATTAATAGTGTTAGAACTATGCTAAAAAGTATCAAATTCATTAGACTGAATTATTCTTTAAGAGAGTCTAGCTATAGTGCTGATAGGCTTGCCAAAGTTGGATTGAGTGTTTGTCATTTTGCTAAGGCTCCTTTTTTGTGGCCTATCCTTAGGTCGGATGCTCTGGGCTCATGGCTCCCTAGAGGAGTTGGATAGTTTCTGTTTTGTTGTTTTGAGTTTTTAACCCCGATTAATATAAAAAATAAAGACCCCACAGAAAGCATTTTTATTTCAAATACTGTCTTAAATTTGTAGTCAAACTAGCTGATATAAATATAAATATTAATTTTCTATTCCTGATCCATGTACAATTGATTATATTTTTCTCTAAATTAATTGCGGATTTTATAAAAGAGAATATATATGTTAAACATGTTACTAGCATTCCTCATGTGAGAAATGTGATTTGACCCCATTCCCTGTCGGACCTGAACCTGAAACTGGCAACTTAGACCGACTGGGCCATCTTAACCCTTTTAAACTTCCGGTGCCTCTTTAATAGTTGATCACTCTGTAATTTATTATTGCAATGTAAGCTTTAAGGTTTCACAAAAGGTAGAATCTTAATGTTTCATTGATTTAAAACTATCGTTACCGTTAATTTAAAGATGATATAAAATACACTCACAACTTTTATAATTACGTAGCAAACACTGTCTTAAAATCCACTCACAAATATTCCATTTACACCTCTCGTAAATCGGGGAAGAAATCGTTTGTTATGTGGATACATAATAAATATGGAAAAAAATTTGAATTTTATGTCCACATAATAGTACCTTATTCGCTGGAGATACTGCATTACAATATTTGAGCATCGATGGCATAACGATCCTAACCAGCAATTCCAGTAGCAAAAAATGTTCGATAGCACATGAATACATTAAAACTTTGTGCGGTCAAATTTTATGATATATATAATTTCACCTTAATTCCCTTTATATTGCAACCTGAAGCACAGGTTAAGGAAATCAATTCAACTACACTTCAAACTATGATGCAGACATGACTCAATATTACCTCGCAGCACCATCGTGAAATATTGATTATGATGGTAAATAAAATGGTAACCATCTGAGGATTTTATACTTTTAATTTATTTTATTTTGCTTGGCATAGTACTGCATTTTAACCCAGACCTCCAGATGCTTTTATGTGTCGTGACAGAATCAAGTTAACACCTAATTTAATGACTTCAAACATTTACTAGTTAAATAATTCAAACTTGAAAGTTGAATTTCAATATTAATTGGCTATTTAAACCTTAGAAGAGAGGTGTCAGGGTTACAGAAAAGTGAATAACTTCCCCTATCCATTGGAAGTGTATAGTCCATGTTTTTATGCTAATGAGCTTCTGGTTGTTTTGAAGCACAGTGAATTGGGGCGATTATAATCCTTTTATTTCAATAAAATTTTCAAAATAATGCTAACATGAACTGAAGAGAATATCTTCGCATCCCTTTCGCTGACACAATGACAACAATTCCCTTCATGATCCATACATCATATAGAAGAGAACTATCGCAATATACATTTTTTCTCTCTTTCATCTTTTCTTTTGTTCCCTTAAAGAGGTGTTATATATACTTGTACACCTCAACTGAGTCGGGTGCTCTACTAGAATACTTTTCAACTGTTTAACTACTAATTTACATTGAATTATAAGCAACACAAATCTTTGTTCTGTCAATCTAACATAACAAGATATAAACTATCTTGCTAGTTAATCTAAATCCGAACTTATTCATGAATAAAATACCAGTTGACACATGGTCGAGCATACGAAGGAATTGATTGACTTCACAGAAACATTGAAAAGGCTAATTCTACTACACATGCAGAATTGTATCAATTGAAAACAATGACATACAGCCTCAGAATCGCAGAATTACAGCAAGGCATAAAGGCCATTCAGTCCCGAAAGATGGTTTTGGTAACTGATATCATCATCGGCTATTTCTTTGTTCAAAGAAGGAAAAGCACATCAAACCAAAATAAAATTGGATCCATAATTTAATTTGTAAGCACGGGGTAAAAAATATGCATCTAAACATAGACATAGTAAACATACATTCACACACTTCCCTATTTTTCTCAATGAAAAATAGTTCTACCACTGAATGTGAGCAAGTAATTCAAAACAACGTTATCCTTTATAATTTGCCAACATGAATAACAAACATGGGGATATTAATCTATTAAGATAACAATAAGACTTAATAAATAGTGTATCCAACACAGATTGCCTATGTTTGTTTATGACAAGGTTTCGAAGGCAGAATTTCCTTACGAAGGTAGATCCGTTAAAATAATATATTTTGCCAGCCATTAAAACATCCAAGGAATCCATCTTTAACCTGTTTCTGCGCCTTAGTTCGAAAACAAAAGAAAATCAAGAAAGCACTACCAAATAAGAAAATATTTGGAGAGCACAAAGAACATAAGTAACCGAGGGTCAAAAAAGCACTTATCATAAATGAAGGAAAGAAGAATCCATGATCCTCATGAAAACGAAAACAGAAAGCCTCAGAATTGCAGAATGATAACAGCAAGGCAAATAAGCCATTCAGTCCCGAAAGATGGTACTTGGTGACTGATATCATCATCGGCAACATTTGGGAAAAACAAGAAAAAAGGGAATAGAAACGAAAAAGAAAGAAAGAAAAAGAAGAAATGTGAGTCTCATGGCCAGTCCCAAGAAGTAAAGGCAGCAACGCTGCTCCACAAGGCGATGGAATATGAGACAAGAATCGACGGAGGAATTCCCTCCGAGAAGGAGAGAGAACCGTCAACGTCAATCAACATTTCTATATGACGTTAACTTGGGATTATGCAAACACAGGGTAAGTTTGCCCCCAATTAAGTTAGGAATTTCGACAAATTCCCCGTCATAAAATAAGATGAAACACAGTCACCACAAAGATGTTCGCGAAGGACCTCATCAACAACAATCGAGTGAGGGTAAAACCCTAGTGGAGGAAGAACTGAGTTATGAGGCAGCACAAGAAACACATTTTATACTAGTTAGGACTCTCGCTGCCGCCGCCATTCATAAACTAGGTTTTTTAACTGTTTCAGCGTCAAGCGTTGGGCTTTTAATCTTTAACCCATCAAGCCCAGCGATAAGGCCATATAAATTAGCATGACAATCTAGTCTGATTTGACAAAAAAAAACACACAATCTACATCTGACGAAAATTTTAATGTATTCTTCTTAGGCCCCAAGTAGTTGTACGCCCTTTTCACAATGTTTTTTCAAATTATATATTCTGTATAAAAATTAATCAATATTTAACTAATTAAAAATTATTAAAAAGTCAAAAAAATAATGATTTTTAATATATTGTAACATTATTAAAAAAAAAATTGATTTACTAATTTCTTAACTGATATTGTTAGAATAAAGATTAACAAAACTATTCTTTTATTCCAAGATGTTTAAACTCTTTGTCCTTCCTTACTTAAAAACCTGAAGTCGTTTCTTTAAAAACAAAAGGTGCGTTACAATTTAATTATTTTAACTAAAACGAGCTTTTGAATATATTTTTTCCCACCCTCATATTGTTGTCATTGTTTACAACTAATTTTGAAAATTTAATATCAACTTTGGGGCATTATAAGATGTCATGAAGATTTTGAATAAAATTCTGAAAGTTGTACAAAAGAAAAATGTTTCAGAAACTCATTTATAGTTATTCAGTATGTATTAAAAGTTTTGTTTCTGTGGAAATAAATTACAATGTAGCATTTTTCTCTCTCTCAATAAATAAAAGATGTAATTTTTAAAAATAGAGGGTGTACTTTTTAAATACTAAAAACAAATAATTGTAAGAGCAGAAGTGTGTTGAACAACATATGAAGCGCGAGAAACGTTATGAGCAGCTCTACGCTTAACTATGCAATATTCAATTTTTATCATTCCCAATACTTTACTTTGAAGGTTCCAGATTATTCGAGAAAAAACTTATAAAAGTATATTCTACATACAATTTTTTTTTGTACTAATAAAACTAAAAACAAGTCATACGTAATTGACTAATTGAGTTCCTGCTCAAATATACCCATAAGAAATAAGGTTTTAATCCTCTATCGCGACCAGAAAAAACTATATTTATTAACGAATTTTTGTTTGATTAACTTTCATTAGTATAACTTTTTAAAATACAATATATTTGTTTGGGATTAAAAAAAAATTTAAGTTATAAATTTCTATTAGAAAATTACTTTTTGAAGAGTTTTTGAGAGTTGAGAGAAAAGTCTTCACATGTTGAAAATTGCATCTTTTGAGGAATCATGAAAAAAGCTTCATATTTCATCAAGAAAAAAAATCATATTTTGAGTAATTTTATATATAACATGAAAAAGTTTATTTTTGCTCGAAAAATAGATCAACAAAAAAATATTCTAAGTCTACAGACTTGAGACTTTTCGAGGAGTTTTTGAGGAGTTTTCACATCTTTGACATCCAAAATTGCTTGAAAAATAAGATTAACAGAAAAATATTCTAAATTCACAAACTTAAGGCTTTCTGAGGAGTTTTTTGAGGAGTTTTCAAGTCTCTGACACACAAACCTAGTTGAGCTTCATATTCTTTCCAGAATTACTCGAAAAAAATGAATAAAAAAAGGAAATATTCTAAGTCCAAAGGATTGAAAAGAGCTTTCAGATTTTCCAAAATTAGTTAAAAAGTAGTAGTTGAGAGGAAAATTATTTTAGGTCCTAAATGAACCTCTCAGATTTTTCTTAAAAACTGTTCAAAAAATAAAAAATAAAATAAAAAGATTCTAAGTCCATAAGACACATGATAAAATTTAAAAACTATTACAAAGCTCAGGAATAGTTACCAGTAGTTACTGGCAATTAACACCAGGCAAAGGTTCAACAACACAAAGCAGGATCATAGGCAATATCAATTATAAAAGAAACTATAACCGACAGCATGATTAGAGTCAGTTACTAAAAAATGCTTGCAAAAGTAGGAGAACTGTGGTAGTCCTTCTGCCTATAAATACTTCAAAGCTTTATTTTACAAATGACGACTTTTTGTACCCAGACAGTATACTTAAAATTTCTACATGCTGAAACTCTATATTGTGCGAAGCACAAGCTACGAAGAGACTCACAGTGTTCGTGGTTGTTAGGAGTCGTACGTTACATTTATGTACATTTATGTTTTTACATTTTAATTTTAGTTTATTTTGCTTATTTCTTTTTATGCAATTTAGTTCCCGTTACGTTTCTGTAAAACTTTTATATGTAATTCAGTTCTACGTGTTTATTATGTCGTCAACTCGAACATCACATTTAAACAACATATTTAAAAGAATTTAAGAGTATTTAATCTAATCTCTAAATTGCTCTTAGAATATTTGTTTACAATTGACATTTTTTATCATAAACAATATTATCCTAAAAAAATAATATATCACTATTTCTTAGTTGTTTGTTAAATAATTAAACGGCATATCCTCCCCCTAATTACCAGTCAATTGCTAACTATGATTTTATCTCTATTTGCCCCCGCCATACTGCATCCAATTCCTTCAAATTTAAACACATTTCGCTGTTTTCAACCGAAGTATTACAAATTTTTCATGTGATGATAAGCTTGGAGATATGATCACACTCATTTATTGGTTAACCACAGAGTTTGCTTCCTTCTCAAAAATCGATGCATTAAGGTTTTACCTTGACGTGCATTATTTCTTTTAGGGTTAAAAAAAAAAAACTTAGGTCCTGAAGATTAATCGGACATCAACGAGATAATTGGACACAGGACACCATTCCTGTTGGTTGTATAAAGTCTAATTAGTGATTGATTATATTATTGTGTGTATTGTATTCTGTTCCTCATTATCTGAATATGAATGGGAATATACATTAAGAAACCAACGGTGGTAACTGCTAAATTACAGTATCTGAAACCGATTATCGTAACCAACTAACAATTAGTAGCACTGTGATCCTTCTGAGCAGGAGTGTTTTGGGAAGGAAAGCTTAATGATCGAGCAAGGCGCTTGACACGAATTAAACTCAAGGGTTTTGTTGTGTTACCTGAATCAAAATGTGTCAACTGTCAACTACATATGTTTTCACACACTAAAATAACGTTTTTTTTAACTACTGTTCAACTTACTCACCATCCCCACTTGGACAGGGCATCAACTCTGCCGCGACTTGGTGATTGCCAGGTGGCACACTCATCGGAGTTACTAGGTTTCGTGCGAGACGTTTAATGTTATTTAGACGCATTCTTCTTGGTACACCTTCCACTTGAATTGATGTTCCTGTTTGAGGCATATATTGATTATTAATTGCATGAGCGTGAATAGTAAAATCAAAGAAAATGGAACGAGTATAAGTTTCAAATCAGTTATTGAAATTATGTTGATAGGATATTTTAATTTCTAAAATCTTAAAAACCTTTTGTTATTCCTTGTTATTTTGCATTAAAAAATTAAAATAAATATCCTTTCATAAAATTCTGTACTAATTAAAGATAATTCAAAATATTAAAACCCATATTATTTTAACTATTAATTTAGATGTTTAATTGAAAGATAATGTTAATAAAATACTCTTATAAACGTACATTTTAATATATTCCTGGTGATTGATTTATTTATAAAAAAAATTAAAATAATTAATTAACGGACTGATTATTTTTACTTTTGAAAACAGTGTGTTGCTAATATTTTTCTTGCTCGCAAGAAAGTATTTTAAATTTAGAAAAGAAAAAAAAAAACTAGAGATGACCTTGAAGAGTTTGGGATGTTTCATGGGGATGATGGAGGAGTGTGTGATCTGACGAGGTAGAAGGAGTGTAGTATTGAAGGTGAGCACTAGTAGTGGCTTCACCGGTGGTAACTGATTGAGGAAGAGGAACAAAAGGAGCATTTGCTGCTCTCTGTCTTCGGAGCTGGTAGTTTCTACGGCGTCTAGCAAGGTGGCGTTCCCTTTGTTCTTCAGTCATAGATTGTCTCCTTTGCCTGTCACGTTGACGGCGCCTTTCCTTCTCTTCCTCCCTTTGCATTCTGCAGATATTGATTCTTAATTGTTTACCCTATCTTCTGTTGTAACCACAAAATCTTCTATCAAATTTTCTCTTCTTAAATAATAATAACTATCTTCATCCTTTATATGTTCAGATCTTTCTTCCTAAAACACACGCCCCTATATTGGAATGAAAATCAATATTACGTTTCATATGAAATATTTTATGTAAGGAAAGACATCTGTGGAGAATCTGGCCAAGTGAATCGCAATCAAGCACATGCCAGACGACAATCGTGCAAAATTGATTTGGAATTTATTTTATTTCAGATTCTCGAAGGTATTTGTATTTGGATTAATTAATGTCAATTACAGATTACGAGTATTTGATGCCAAGTAACGCGAGGATCGTTGGATTAAATAAAACATTAATTGGAATTTCACTCTTAAAAAATATAGAAAAAACGCAATTAGAGAGTGATAATATAAATTATCAAATGTTGAAAGTGGAATGGTTGCGTAACTAGGAATGGACAATGAGTTGAAGATTGAGTTAGAAGACAATATACCTGCCACTGCAGATTCGATAACTGGAGCGAAAGCGAATCAATTTTCGTGTGTGTATGTACAAAGCAGGACATAAAATAAAAAATAAACATCATATTCAAATAAATAAGGAACACTTTTACTATAAATAAATAGTAATAAATGTTTTTCTATTACGTTTAATGAGTTTCCATTTTAAGTAAGATTCGGTTGCGGGTTAATTAAATGTGAACTAGTATTTACGTGCAGGTAAATTATATTTTTTTAATTTAATATTTTTCATTGCAATATTTTTTTTATGATATAAAAGTTCTCATTAAAGTTGTGAAATTATTTTTTAAAATTAACTTTTTTAGACTTCTTTGTATTTACTGCTTTATTTGATACTTATATTCATTTTTAACTTATCATATATATATATATATATATATATATATATATATATATTGAATTTGTGTTTTCATCTATCATTTTTTTAATTAATTTTCTAACCTAGAAAGTATGTATAACATGAAGAAATTCAAAGAGGAATATAAATATTGAAGGTAGAAGATCAAAATATAATTAAAAATTAATAATAACTAATAAATGTTATGTGTATATATTTTTTATAATTTGCTAAAAAAATAATGGACTTTAATTGATGTTTGTTTACAAAACAAGAATAAGTATAACTAAAAACACTATAATGTAAAGTTTTAAAACATAAAAAAATATATATACATGAAATAAATAAAAGCTAATAAAAAGTAAAGAAAGTAATTAATTTTTTTTTTGTTAATTATCTAACTTGAGAATTTTTTTAAAGGGAAAAAATAAAAGAATATTCAAATACCAATGTATAGCATTGAAAGGGAAAGGAATTTATAAATAAGAAAAAGATAACTAATAAATATTATATGGATAAGATTATATATATATATATATATATATAAGATTAAATTAATAATCAAATAAGATTTTTTTCTAAGTAATATTTTTTTTTGGACAAATCCTCTTAGTTTAATGTTCCCCGTTAGCAGATAGATATTTTTCTTATAAAGTTAAACTAACAACAATTTAACCAATAACTAGTACAAATATTTGATTTATAGAATTATGTTATTTGAGATGCAAGTATAATACTTCAAATTAATTAACAAAGTTGATTGAATTCAGGTATACAATATTCATATTGAAGTGATTATTCATATATTTACGAAGGAAAGTTATCATCTGTTTCATTTATCAGACAAATCAAATTAAACAAATTAGCACAATTCGTTTAATTTATTTTTTCAATCAATTTTAAAATTTGATAGTTTGACAATTTTGAAGGGGTTACAGTGTAACTCCTAGTTGAATACTTGTTAGTTGTTTTATTAAGATTTTATTATTCTATAGAACGAGATATTGATCTTTTATTAAAAATTAAATAAAAATTATTATATTAAATAAGATAACCATTTAACTACTAATACACTGATTAACTAATATAAGATTATTTCACTTTAACTCGCAATTTTATATTAGAATTCTAATTAATGCAATTTTTTCGTGATTCACAATTAATGAAAATAAATTTTTACTTTTTTTTTACTGATAAGTTACGTATAAATTATATTAATATTAAAAAATATTTATTTAAATATGTAAGATCTTAGACACACCATGCTAATATTATTCATGTAAATAAAATTTTAAATTATTAATGAAACTTACAAAATAAATTAGTTGCTTGAATATTTTTTCATAATATTTTTAAAAACAATTTAGACTAGATAAATTTCGGATCTAAATCCTCTCTCGATTTACTACAACTACAAGCATGACGATACAGTCGAGATTTTTTAAGCAAAAATATTGGCTTATAACAAATCACTAGAGCAAATCGGCTGAAATCTGTAGGTGGAGGCATGGGTGTTCAATTGAGATGCTTGAGCTTGACGCTCTGAAGAAAATCTGGTAATATGTGTCTGTCGATGGGAATGGGAATGGGGTGGGAAGGGAAAGACATGGGAATGAATTGAATTGGGGATTTGGGATCTGAATTAAAAGAGAAGAGGGAGTGAGCTAGGGTTGTTGCAACTCTCGATGGATGCGTGACAGTCAAAAGTAAAGAAGCGGCCATATGCAACAGCACATTAAGTCACAACACAGGGTTTTCCCCTTTCATTTCAATATTGACATTTACAACAAGTTTAGACACTCTGCGTGAAGCCGCATAACCCACAAAAGTGCACGTGTTGGAAAAGAAATCTAAAGTCCTATGGAGACACTAGGGATATATATAGCGTGAACTATGCTAAAGTGAAGAGGTCAAAAAGGAGGCCAAAGCTGGAACCAGTAAGTTTCATCTCCAAGCAGAAGAGGTGGCCATAGGTCTATTCATCCAGCCAAGATAAAGAGCACCATCTCTATGTTTAAGCCTATAATTTTGATTGAAGTCCTTCAAGAGATTTTGGGTAGCACCCATCACTGAAGAACTCAATGGGCTCTGTTTAAACCCAGCCATGGAGAGTCTTGACCTCCACTTTCCAAAAAGTTCATGCCTTTCAACCCTCTCAACCCCCTCACAAGCTATCATGTTGACAATGTCACGTGCGACACAGTGCTGCTCCGCACTAATCCGCTTCTTATCATCTCTGGAGGAAGCCACGTCAATTGATTCAAACATAGCAGCATAATAGTCCAATGTCTCAACAAACCTGTGAAAGAAAGGAGAAGTGTTGGTGTTGGATTCTTGCTCAACAATGGTAACAACCCTGGGAGACAAGCTCTTCACCAATCTCAACAACCTATCTCTGTGGTTCTCAGTGCTCACACTCTCATCTGGCATGTGATGCAATACATAAGGAAAGTTCACAGCAAGAGCCTCCCCACGTCGAATTTCAACGTTTCCTCGCACAACCTCACAGCCAGACATTGCAGCACTGTGGAACTCAAATGGAACTCCACAAGATTTGGCAAAATTTGACAACCTCTCCCCTACAATCTCGAGTCCTCCACCTCGAGCATGAAACGATTGTGCATCATCAACACCTGTTACACGGAGAGAAGGGGGTCCCCCAGGCCTGTTTGCAAGATCTTGGATAAGTAAATGCCACTGTGAGCCCTGCGCAATTTGGAAATCAATTATGTGAATTCTTGTTTCACTTGCCATTGCTTCTTCAATGACAGCATTTGCTGATCTGTATGCAAACTTCCAGTATGGGCAAATCTGATACAGGATGCTCATGTAACTCATTAATTCATTGCTTGTTGGTTGTTCACACTTCAAGGATTTGTAGATCATATTCCCTGATGATTCCAACCTTGCTCTTAGCCCCTCCAGCAAGTAAGCACCCAACCTCTGGATTGGATCTCCACCAACTGATACCATTTTCCCCAACACATTATCCATCCAACCTCTTGCTGTTGGAATATCATCATCAGACACAGCTTGTGCACATAGCTTGAGGACTTCTTTCAAGTCAAGTTGTGGGATCTTTTCTGCCATCTGATCCCAGTTATATTCAGCCAATTTAGGTGCTCCATGGAGGCCACTGTTGATGCAGCAGCCACAACTGTCAACAATGTCTGATTCATCAGGTCCCAACAACGAAATCTCCAGTTCTTTAAGTTTGTGCTTGAGTTCATTTCCATCATCAACACTAGACAACCCGCTTATTGGTGATCCATAGGTGTTGTCAGATAATGGGTGGGGGTCTGAATAACATGATTGAGAACCTTGTGGAGAAACTGGAGTCCTGTTAGATGATACACTAGCATAGGATGGAGAATCACAATCCATGAAACCAGTGGATGCAGGGCATGATTCAAGGGTATAGTATTGCTCCTTGCAGGTTTCAAAAGAAAGACTAGTGTCCTGGCTGCTGCTATCGCGACATAGATTGCTTTGCAATATTTGGTACATGCCTTGCACAGGTTGGTGATAGAAATGCACACCAGCTGAATTAGGGTGTTTCTGGGACGTTTGCATCTACAAACAATTGTGATTGTTGTAATTGTGAGGTTCTACCAACTGTTTCAGGTCACTCGTTGGTCATTCAGAACGCGAGCATAGCAACATACAGTTATGCGGACACGGTCACCTTGTTGATAAGCTACTATATGCAGCAGTTATACCAACAAACGATCGCAGATGTTTTGAAGAAACACAACCTGCATAATATGATAAAATTAATTAGAACGCTTGACTTTAATTGAACAAAGCAAAGAAACAGTTAAAGATCTTAATAATGAAGATGAGCTGAAGAAAGGTGAATTCAAGCATCAAAAAATGATGGCAATCGATAAAAACGTGTGATCTACAAGCACTGATCCTGAGGACCATAAACCTTCTAAAAAAGTCATCTGATGAAACTGAATCTTATATGGAAGTAGGATTTATTTCTGGGCAGAGGGAGGTGGTGTTTTCAGAATCTAAAAATGACCAATAAAGGATCCGAAATAAACGTCTCAATTTTTTTAGATGTACATCAATACGCTTAAAAATATCACCAACTAATAACCTATTAAAGTTCCTGACCGCGTGTTCATCAAGTAATAAAATACGTAGGATTTCTGATATTAATTATGGAACCGAAAGCACGGAAAAAGGAAAAAAAAAAACAAACGAGTGAAGCAGAAAAAACGAAAATGTTAATATTACTAATAAAGATGGCAACAAATATACAGGACGGAAGGGCTCTGTAAAAATTGGAAGCATTTGACCCGTCAACAAAATAACGAAAGAAGAGGAAAAAAAAGAATTGAATCTACATGGCAAGAAATTCAATTCCTTCGGCTGCCAAACTTGCAAATCGTCAATCTCTTAGGAAAACGAAAGGTTTTAATTCCCCTCGAAGCTTATCATAAAATAGAATTTTAACGAAAGAAGTTTTCTAATTCATCTTTTCTTTGGGTTCCTTATCGCTAATATAAAAAATCAAAGAAAACCCTCCAAGTCGTACCTGAAACCCCCCACGAAAATCGAAAACTTAGATTCTAGCATAATCAGCGCACACCCATTGGAGACGGACGAAGGTAGAAACTATAAACAGAAAGCAATATAGAGATGAAGGCTTAAACACGTGTAGTTGAAATCTAGGAAAGCATACCTGTGTGTGTCGCAGCAGAGAGAAGAGAGAAATGACTCAGTAATGCATAAGATAAGATGAAGATGATGATAGGTAAGGAGGTTAGCGAATAGTTGTAGTATTTGTAAGTGAAAATTACACGTTGCAGAGATTCTGTCTCTGTCTCTCTCACTCGGTTGGGTTGAACACTGTTATTGGAAGGAAGGAACTAGGAAAGTCAGCACAACTGCAACACCGAGTAGTATAATGTACGGTAGATATTGAATTGAATACTATGTTACTAATATTCAATTTTTCTTCCCTCTCTTATCCCATGTGCCCTCTGACACACTAACACTTGGATGAATTCGATGCTAACCTTGTTTTTTGCAAAACATTTCTTTACTTTCAATAAATCAATAAAAGTATATCATTTAAAATAACGACTTCTATTTCTTTTAAAATATATTTTTTACTAAAAAATGAACAAAATAAACATTCTTAAAAATTTATACTTAAAATCAAAATTTTTATGTAAGAATAATTATAAATGCATGTGTTACCTGAATCTTTATTTGGATTGTCTAAAGTTGAAAAAATATAATATCGTGGAGTTGTAATTCAAGTTTTTATTTTTATCTAAATTGTACTTATGATTTTATTACAGTAAAAAATCTAATTACTAAAATTCCTAAGGTCTTACTGTTGATTTTAGATTTTCATGATTTTTTAAGAAAATAGCATTAAAAGAATTAACTCTGAAAATTAGAGGAACTCAGTTTAAAGGAGTATTTAATATGTATAATTTTTCTATGAATCGAAAATTTGAAAATATTATAAATGTTGCTTAAAAATTTTGGAAAAAAAAAAGAGAACTGTATGAGCATAACTAAAATTTTATACTTTTATGACAATCATGTATTCTCATCGAGCATATTTTCTTTTAGAAAATATCACAAAAAATATTCATTTTTTGGAAGTGCTTTTGAATATATTTCAATTAAAAAAATTTAACTTAAAGTTTCTAAAAAATTTAAAAGAACTTCTGACTCAAGCATCCAATGAAAAGCAGAGCTCCTATCTGTCATTCTTTGTTTAGACCAGCAAATATTATTATTTAAAATTTATTCTTTATATAATAAAATAAAATTATATTTGAAATGAGAAATGTTTTTAAACTCCCGCTTCTTGCCTCAATTTTAGTTGTTAATTGAAATGTGCATGTTTAGACTTTGGTAAGTTCTTGAGATTCAAATTTACTTAAATTTTGTATGATAAAAATAATTAATTAACTTATTAAACTATATATTTTCTTTCACAAAACTTGTATTAAAACTTTCCCGCGAATGCCTGTCGATCTATTGCACTTCTTGTTGTTTTAATTCATATAAATTATTCGACATTAATCCGTATAAGTTGCTTAAGCTACAGTTCTAAAACCACCACCACCACCACCACCATATAGCTATCCTTATTATAATACTGTATGCGTTGTTTTCTCGTTCAGATACAGTCAACCTAAGAAAAAACAGCTATTTATAGAAGAAAAGAAAAGGAAAAACATAACATTAATAAAGAAAGGTTACTGTTGCATTTAATAACATATGTCTCCACACATGAATGTGATTTAGAATAGAACTTCAGAAGTAGAAATAGAATATATCTGCATTAATTAAATGTTTTAAATAGTTTAAAATTTTGATAAATTACTTATTTAAGAATATATATTGTTAAGAATGTTGATTAAAAAATTAATAAAAAATATTAAAAATTATAAAAAGTGTAATATTATATTTTTAATAAAAATTATAATTCTTAAATGAACATTTTAAAATATTAATTAACATTTGATTAGAAAAAAAATGCATTTGTTAATGGAGTGAATTAATCAAAACATTTTTCATTAATTACCTACGTATTCGACAATAACGGGTGCACGTGATTAGATTTGAACATGACAATTAGCAAATCGATCCCAAGCCTAATATGATTTATGTATAAATTGAAAAAATAACTTTATCAAGATATCCTTCATGTTACATTCAAAGATATATCTAAGCATGTATTTGTAAATGAGTTAAGGGCGTGCATTAAAAAATTGGTTTAGTATATTCGTAATATAATTTATATATGTTATTTATTTAAGCGAACGTAGTCAGTTAGACTTATATCGATATATGAATAAAATTAAAATAAATATATTTTTAGTTATTAATTAAAATTTATTAAAAATATATAACAAAATTATTTATTTATTTTTATACTTTTTATAATTTTAAAAATAATTTAACTAATAATTAAAAATATTTTAAAAAAATGTGTAAAAAAAACATATTCATAACCTTCTTAATTAACATGTTCAAATAGATTGTTTGATAAAGTAGGGAAACAAAATGCAAATAAAATAATCAGAAGAAATGTAAAGACCTAGTATATGTTTGGTAATATTTAAATATAAATAAATAATTGCTTCTTTTTAACTTTTTTAAAACATAATATTTATTTATTTATTTGAATAAACTGAATGAAATACATATTAAATAATTTATGTAGTATTTAATATGTTATCTAGAATTGAGAAGGTCAAATTTGACGGTATGATTTTGACAATAGCAAATTACAGTTACATATATATGAAACATGAAGTCATGTATGGGGACAAAATTCATGCAAAAATACTAACAAATGATAAATACACATAATACATGAAAAACTAATATACAAGTATTAAGATAATTTTGTTATTCAATTTAATCTGAATTTAATTTAAGTTATACAGCTAAATATAATAAATAAATCTATTATTAAAAAATTTTTTACATATAAAAACTCAATTTCAACATATCAAATCACTTGTTACTCAAACTAGTGATATTATTAAGTTATGAATATAATATATTATTAATATATTATTATTATGTGTTAGTATAAAATATAATTTGTTAATATAAATCGTTACAAGCTACAACAGACATTTACTCAAAAACAAAAAGAATTATTCATAGCGTCAACTAACGACAAAACAAATGAACATTCTATAGGACTCTACGTGACTTCGCTTACTAATAAAAGTTAAATATTAGTAATTACATGATCGTATTATTTAATAAAAAATATACTCATTAATATCATATATTGAATATATTCAATTACCACCTATAATAAATCAATAAGCATGCAAAATTCTTACAGTAATGAAATAATGGCCCACTTTACTAGTAAAGGATATCATAACTTGACGAGGATGCTGATGAAATGAAAGAAATGTGTCGCGAGCTTTCTTTGATGCTTCGAAGAAAGAACTAGTTATGTCACACGTTTTTTTAATTAATCCCATCCTCACCATAGAACGCATTTAAAATTCATTTGATCATGATCGAGATAGGACACGGTGATCCATTAAGTGCGTATTTAAATTCGTTTCTTAATATCTTGAATACTGAAAAAAGAAAAATAGAAACATTATGGTACGTCACAAAAATGTGGGGCGGGGCAAACAACGTCAGCTAGGAGTAGGACGTCACGTGGGGGAGACCAAATCAGCATATTTGACCCATATTTATGCCTTATCACAATGATTTATTTAACAAAAGAATGATTAAGGACAGAGAGTGGGACAATACATGGATAAAAAAAGAATGTGGTGTGGGGATACACCTTATCTTCCCAACTGAACAAAAGAGACTTTTCTATTGGCCTCATCGTCTCCAAATAATTTTTTGTCTCATTCTCACATCAACTCACAACTTCTCAATCTTTACCACTACCGACTTTGATCTTTCCTTCGACCTCAGTGCTTTGTGGAATCGCCTTTTCCTTTTTCTTTCACCCAACCAAACACATTCTAATTCCAAAATCCAAACATGCTGTTGTACCTATCGCTCCCCTCCTTTCTTTCTCCCTTCCTATTTCCATCAATCTTTCAATTTGCTTTCTTCTCCATAACTAACGTTCTATGAATATAATAATATAAAATCACAAAGGTCTGTTGTGTTACTTATTGCACAATGATAAAACAGATCCCATACATGCACTTGTACCGTGTGTTATACATTTATCAAAATTAGACTACGAAGTATGTTCTTTATAGTTTATACAACAAAAAATCCTGTTTTAGAAAAGTATTTTAATATTGCATTCTTTTGTTGCTGAATCGGAAAGATCCTGGACGCTCACGGATTCCAAGAGTAAATGGACGTCTCCAATGGCTTCTTTACACCAGTTTATTATAACCTTTTTCTGTAACAGGCAACAGCCCCACGCACTCAACAATTCTTTATCTTTTGAGACAAAAAGGAAAAGCACAAGTCACGGTGACGGCAGAGAAAGAAGGACATTTTTATTTAATTATTACATCTTTATTCCTCAAGTCTCTTCCACAAGGACACGAGTCATGAGTGTGTACAGATGCACAAAATGATTCTATTGACATATTTAAAGTGAATGTTATTCTGCTTCTGGTTACATAATATGCCGAGGATGATAAGCTCATTGGCCATTTCATATTTCTTTACTTCATAATTTTCTAGTTTTTATTTTCATCTCGTCTCATTTTACATTTTAGTGTAGCAAGTTACAAGGCCACGTGAATAATTTAAATCACATAGGAATAAAAAATTGCACAAGTATCTTGATTTTTCACTTGGTCCGTTGGTACTTGATGACATTATTTCCTTTATTTTTGTTTTTTAAATTTTGGATCTGTTGTTCTCTGCCTCAATTTCGTGTTGCTATGTCACGGAGGCTGAATATCTCGCGTACTGCACAATCTCTGTTGGATATTAATGTAGTTTATTAATTGATGTAACAATAGAGAATTCATGCACCACTGTTGACACTCCAAAACAGGACAATCCTACGCTGAACCTAAAACGTTGCAATAATACCTGCTGCAATTTTGAACTAAGCATCTATTCTATCCTAAAGGGACAAACAATGTTTCAACTTACAAACTGAAATATCTGTCCCTTATTTTCATTTATCAAGTAACCAATACCCATTAAAAACACGGGCAAGGGTGATAAAGATAAAGACAAACCACTCAGCAAAACCAACTAATAGTGCATGCTAGTTTAACAATAAAAGCCTTATTGCAGAAAAAGGAAATGATCTTCAAATGCCTTTGTCAGATAAAACGGGAAATCAACTCCAACCAAAGGAACAATTTTAATGTGGCGTGTGTGGGTAGGGAAACTAATTATCAAGTGCTTTTACTAGCAACAGATCCTCAATAAGGCCAGAGCTGAAGTAGGACTCAACAGTAAAATTCTTTCAACAAATTTCCAATACCTAATCGCTTTTTGGTGCAACCGTATTCAAACGATTAGGAAGTGCTTTTATCTTAACAAATTAGGACGTATAGTCGAGGCAGAATATAGGATTCGTGTTGTCTACTCCAAAATTCTAACACTAAAATCTCACTTTATCCTCCAATGTGATTATTCTCAATTTTCAAATTCTCATTGATTGAACTTGGCCACCAAAAATCCTATCTACGTGAGGCTCCAATTCAAGAATATTTAGTGTAGCTTCTTCTGCCGATTTCACATTTTTGTGGGTTCCACGAGCTCAAGAAAAGGCCCTTAGCCTCTTCAAGCTTTCTCGTCCCAATATATAAACCATATACCCATAACGTTGTCCTCTGTTCAATCTTTGGAGTTACTCCGTACGTAAACACTAAAGCATTCCCATCCATTGTCAGTTGTCAGGCACATTGATATTGTAATTTGCCTCTATGTTTTTGAAGAAAGAAAAATTCTTTCACGGGTAGAGTATGATGGCCACACCCAAAATTCCTAAACATATGTAAGATCTATTTGATATAATGTTGGTCCCATATTTGTGTGACTGAACGCTGTTGGCACTTGACACAAGTATTTCTTTATGACTTCCAGTACCTCTCAATCCATTATTAATATGAAAAGTGATAAAATTTGGGTCATTGACCAAAACTATTAGTAGCCATTGGCCTTACATACCAACTCATTCAAGCAAGTAGTTCAGTGGGGGATTTATTCCATTACCAATAATAATCTGATTGGGGGAAGTATTCATCATACCGTTACAAATGATATCCTGATCATGAGAAGCATTCATCTTTTGAAGTCTGCTGAGAATTCTAGTAGAAAAGGTCAGATTACCTCATGACACCAGTGAGAAACACTCAACTGAATCAAGTAATATTTGTTTTTTTGTATACTGAATCAGTTCGTATTGATTGCTTAACCAAGTCATAAACGCAGCCAAATGCTATTGAATTTACATGCCTATTCGTGCATCCGCTATATATATGTGCATCAAGATAAGTTTGCTATCTGTTAAATACTCTAAAAAAATTATGTAAATCAGAAAGAAAGTTGTAAAGAATGACAATACTTCTGTCAATATAATTTGAAAAGTAACTCCACACAACTGATATCTAGCAATATATGTAACTATGGATTGGATTCAGAATAGTAAACTGGGGTTAACATGTTGACCACATGTGTGGACGTGGACTTAAAAGAGACATTCCAATCACATTCAAAAGCATCCCCAACAGTGTGCTCAAATGAGCATCATGAGCTGTGGAAACCTTGAATAAAAGGTTGTTTGATTGCTAGTGGCATAGTCTTTACTCCTTACTTAGGCTTTGTTAGAAATATAACGCCTTTTACCCAAAAAATTGAAGTCGTTTACCTCTTCTGAAGTTGCTACGTCCATTCAAACTGAGACCCAATTGCCTTTTGCAGTTTGCTTTATTGGGCACAGCGCGGCACAAGTTATATCAGCACTAACTAGCACTCAGTGTTAATAATCAAATATAGCCCAGGAACATGTATAGACTCATCAACCTTTTATCCTTGTATGTTACTAATTTGGCGTGATTGTATTAACTTAATGGGCAATAAAATATAATAGATTTGGAATGCACGCCTTGCCTATATTTGAGTTTAATATAATCTCAATCAGCCAACACGTGTTTCAAACTTCAAAGACTTAGACGAAATTATGGAGAGTATGGTGCATAAAAGAAGCATCCAGTTCAAGCATTGCAGCTTTCGTTTCTGCATGCCATACACATCCAAACACTTGAAGACAAACAACTTGCATAGATATGAAGAGAGAGAGAGAAAATGTTGGTATGTTTGTCCTTGTCATACACAATTGATCCATCAATGCTTGATGATCTGCCCATATCATTCCTCCTCCCGATAGCCCTTGTCCTTTTTGCTCTTACACTGCCCCCAATTCTTCAACTTCCCCTTCTTCCAACAAAAGGAAAAGGTTAGAAGAGTATTAAGAAGAAAGAAATAAAATATATGATATCCAAACAAAGCCCACCAAGAAGACTCCACCAACCCCAAAGTTGAGAAGAGGGCTTTTGGACATGTTGACAAAGCATTACTCGACTTATTATTCCTCCAAACACATCCTTCCATGTGCTAGTTCCTACTTTCTCTTGGACCATTCAGCGAGTCCTTTTCTACTGTACAATGCTTTTGCCTCTTTGTACGGACAAAAAAGGAGAGATATGCTCATGCAATTCCCCCACATACACTGGTTATAAAATCGGTTAGATTGACCAATCGACATCTTCTTTATGGATTTTGCACCTTCGCAGCCGATTCGCGTTTCTTTTTTTAGCCATTAAGAATTTTATTGAGGGACAAAAAGTGAATAATTTATTGCATTGCATCAGAAATCCTAACCATATCATCACTCTATAAATACACACGTAAAGCAAGTCATTACTCCTTGGACCTCCTCTACCATCCAGCATTTTGAAGCCACGACCACAATATACTGCTACGTTGTAGTTATGAGAAGGAAAATCCATAACCCCACCGTTGTTCACTCTTCCGTTGTTTTGCTACAAGAGAGGTTTAGACAGTTGCAGAGAGTAAAAGAAATGAGGAAGGAGAGAGAGCTGCTGAAAATGCTAAGCACTGAACCTAAACATTTGAAAAGCTCCAACCCCACCACAAATTATGGCCCAACAAGACAGTTTTTCCACCCTGAACTCATCATGCCATCGAAGTCACCTCCCCATGTTTCTCTTTCTCTATGGCCAACTTCGCAGCGCATGCAGGATGACAAAAGAAGCATTGTTGAGACCCCAGTCTCAATGAACTTGCGCTCCTTAGAGTCTACACACACACAGTCCTTGAATGCTTCATGGAAGAACGTCTATGATTGGGACTCTGCCTCTGACTCTGGTGTTGATACTTCTCTTCACCTGTAACATAGTGATATATATACTTGTCTAATTTTGTACCTTCATATATAACCCCTAATGATGTGTCACACAACGACCTTTTCTTGCCACTAAGCTACTAATCAGCATATCATAATTATCTGTTATGATAACTAGCTACAAGCTAGTATTACGAAAAGACTCAATGGTTGGGTTTGAAATAACATGAACTGGAGGGTGTTTGGAAATTTTGGTGAGTCCTTGAGTATCCGTCAACTATATGTCTCGTTTTCTTTGTCGGTTTTAGGTTTCTCTGGTTCGGTCTATAATCAAGTTTAGTCTTTTTTTTTTTAGTTAGCATCTGTGCTTTACATATTGTTATCAATCTGCTAAGTGACGTTTTTTTTTTAAGGGAATCAATATATGTTTAATGTAACGAAATTGTGCCAAATTGCAACCTTATGTATTGGAAAGTAGCAAACTGGGAATCCTAGCACTATGGCTAAATGATCATTGATCATGGACATGTATAATTAATACAGACAAAAATTTCCCTTTGAACTTGTATACGGTTTTCATTCAACCAGGTTTATCTAAATTATAACAACAGAAGATGACTTCAAAGCTCAACCAAGCCCATATTGTCTTTTCTGATGTTTCGGCATCGTACGAGATAAGCGCACTAATTCCAGTCAAATATACTTGTAATAATATTGTTAGCGTACTAACTCCTAAGCTGGATTGTATTTTACATACATATATGTAAATTGCATAAGCGATGTATCAAATGACAGATTTTTATTTTACATATATGAGGATGAAATTAACAAATTTCAATTATTAAATTTTATTATGAATGATTGATATCAAAACATAAAGTTAAATATGAAATGCAAGAAAAGTCACATGATATAATAAGGAAGAAAATAATTTTTTTAAATTATCTTATTAATTTAAAATACCTTCTAAAAATATAATCGTCTGATATGCAGAAGTTAAATTACGTGATGTATTATCAACCCTCAACTATCACTTTTTCTTATTCATCTAGTATTATGTTCTATTATTGCATCAACTCAATTCCATGGCATTTGATCACAGAACCAAAGCAAACTCAACGGTTTGTGCCTAAAAGTTAAATCATGCCTTGGGGATTCTCGTCCTAATCCTAATCTTTTTTGCAGATAATCCCTCGGGCAACATGGGCCCCAGTGTGTATATGAGATAAATCATTGAACTAGAGGAACATTGGGATGGAATGGCTTATTTTGCTCAACTGAACATTTATAAACAATGAAAAAGAATCACTTCTTTATTGGCAATTCCTGTAGCAATCCTGACTTCTGCTTTTTCAGTCTCATAGCTTGCTTGGAAAATTGGTCATCAAGATTCCTCATTACAAAAGAAAATATGCTAGGAATGGACCTACTGAACTGTTTGTTCTTGATATCTTGTACAATGAACACTAGAAACAGTATCTTAACCAAAACTAGAATTACATTAGATAATTTGTTTGATCCTACACCACACAATTAATGATCCCTGTGGAGCTTCTCTTGATTAACTTTATGTACCATCTGCAATTGTCCACTCTTATTAGGCAAGTTATCATCGATCAGTGGTTCTAAAAAATTTCTAAATACCCTATCTGGGATGTCCATATCTAACGTTTGGCTATAAGAAAAGTGAAAAATTCGGTATGGCAATATCATGGCGATAGAGACACTCTCAAAGGCAAAGATAAAGGCAAAGATAGAAAAGAAAGTTTCAAAGTTATCGTGACACCGAAGGAACGGAAGTAGGACCATAACTTGGTGTTTCAGCCTTTGAAAAAAGTGTATCTACTATGCTCTAACCTCTTTCCTCTTCAGGATGAAACTATATAGACAGCACCACTTATAAGAATATTTATCAGCCATATATGAAACATACAGTTCAAGGCTAGATACCAAAAAGCTCCTCAAGAACAATGACTTCTCCAGTGCTCAAAATTTTGATGGTTCTGCTTCTTTTGACCCTATCTTTGCAAGCATTTGGTAAAATGAGCATTACCCTCCACATGTGTTCTACTAAATTTATTAATTTCTGCTAGAGATTTTACTTGGCATTGTTTTAAATGAGTTATAAATTAAAAGGATAGATTTCATTGTGCCTTATATGTGGCCGCCATTATTGAGATTAAACTAAAACCATTAATTTATTTTTATCAGTTAGAAGCCAAAGCCAAAGAATCCTATGATATCTTATTGCACTCTGAGTCAATGGAAAATTTCAGGACAATTTGAGGAATGGTGCATAGCAGATGAGCAGACCCCAGATGATGAGCTGCAGAGGGCCATGGATTGGGCTTGTGGAAAGGGTGGAGCAGATTGCAGCAAGATAAAAGTGAACCAACCCTGTTACCTTCCAAATACTGTGAGGGACCATGCCTCTTATGCCTTCAACAGTTACTATCAGAAGTTCAAGCACAAAGGAGCCTCTTGCTATTTCAATTCTGCTGCAATCACCACCGATCTTGACCCGAGTAGCATCTCTAAATTATCTCCCATAACTTAACTCATCTTTAGATATTATGTCAAATTAGTTAGTGTTGATTTCTGTCTCAATGCGTCATCCTTTTTCATTCATAGCAACAATTAGTGAGACATTGAATACCAAATGGGGCATAAATCCTTTGAATTTAATTATTTGACATTATCAATTGATGCTATTTATTTATTCTCACTTTTAATATACACGGCAAATAACTTCTTATCTTTTTTGTCCAATGGCAGGTCATGGCTCATGCAAGTATGAGTTTCTTCCTTGATTGAAGTTTGAAGTAACTTCTTTTCTGACATTAAAGATAGTAAGATCATATTTTAGAGTTGAACATTGGAAGCAGAAGTGAAGTCAACGTTTCTAGTTGTCTGGATCTCATAAATTCTTATTGTTCTGTCTCTTAGTGAAACAATACCAGAGCGAAACAATCTTGAATTCTTTCTTTTATTTATGTAATTTTAATGATCCTGAATTATACATTTTAAGTACGTGAGAGAGCAAAATACCATTGGTTATTTGGATTCCCTCACTTTTCCTTTTGTCGAAGAGAGTTGGAGTTTGGAAAACATATTAGATCTCAATTAATTTGAGTAAAGCCATCAATCACGCACACTAAATTAAGGGAATATATAACTCTCCTAACACTTATTTTCTTTGATTTATCTTTCTAATGGGTGTCTTTTTTGTGAGCTTTTAATGGGTGTCTAACGATATACAATAATAATTTATATAGATTAATTAATATTAAAATTTATAAAATATTAGTAACTTTAAATGCTGTATTTTTTTAATAAAGATTTATTATTTGTTAATTTTTTTAATTGTGTGCCTTGAAAACATATTAAAAATTGAGTTTTGGACACATGTAAAAGAAATTCAATGCATTAATTTTTTTTAATATCACCCTTGGATATATATTTAAAAAATCTGTATTTATTTACAATATTTTAAATTTTTTTTTCTATATCCTATGACTCCTTCTAATAATCTTTCTATGACTTAATAAAGTATTAAATAAAAAATACATACACTTTATTATCTTAAAAATATAAAAATATTGAATAGTTTCTCTATTTAATAATTAAGAAAATTTATAGACATCAAATATAAGAAAATTTAAAATAGATCTTGCTAGATATAATGTGTGTAAAGTAGAAAAAATAAAAGTGCATCAATTATTTAAATTGGAATACCTTATAAACTTTATACCAATTGTAGATATATTTTTATATTTTATATATCTTTTCACTTTGAAAGCAATAGGCTTTTAAAGTGGGAAAGTGGAAAGGTGGAATGCATGCTTTATTGTGGAATACAAGGGTCTATTTATTTATTTATTTTAAATACTTATATATGAAGACAAAATGATCTTATTTTTATATTTTTAATTAATATTTGAAACTAAAAAACAATAAATAACATTTTTATAATTATCCGTAAAAATAGAAACATTTTTCCAAACTAAATAAATTCTAATATACATGGAATGGAGAAAAGGTTATTTAGAATAAGCTGGATACCAGGCACAATCTAAATAAAATATATATAAACATAAATTTGGGCACATCCAATTCAATATAACTTTTGACATTTAGAGTGTGTGTAAGGTTTTGAAGAATTATGATTTGGTCGCTTATATTGTATCATGCTGATAGACAGACTGACATCAGAAAGCATTATATGAGGAAGAATTATGCATTTTGCATTGGAAGGGCTTGAAACCCTCTCCCTTTCACACATGTAACCACAAACTAACCACTTTTTGGAGGTAGGTTAAGAAAGTGCTGTGCTTAGTGGAATGAAGTAGTTGCCACCTTATGGCTCCTATATTCAACTTTATAATTTATTTTTAAAATTAATTGAGTTATTTAATGTATAAAAAATTTACAATTTTTAAAATTTAAAACTTTATTCTAAATATCATTCAGTTTATTATAATTTTATTGCCAATATTTAATTTAATTTAAATGCACTTATAAATTACATTATCATCTAATCACGAATTATTATATAAATAAAAATTGTTTAATTTTATAAAAAATGAATAAAAAATCATATTTATGATATATTTTAATTAGACGATACACTAAACTTGTTCTCTTATAAATTTAAGCTAATTTTTGTGGCACAAATAAATATTTAACAAGCTTTGCAATGCGCGTGCGAGCTTTCATTTTATGAGACTAATAATAATAATAATATAAGATTTTGGGTAAAATGAAGCCACATGGGAACTCAAAACCACAAACACAACCCAACCATCACATGTCCCACCATAACATGCAAATAAATCAATCATTCTAGACAACATAAATGATTGCTTCATCAACTTTGTCTCTTTTACGCTCTTGCTTAGTATTTCAACGATCAATTTTACACTAGACTAAATAAAGGAATCACTGTTATTCCACATCTTCAAGCCATTTTCCACAAAATGAAAATTATATTTGGCGAGACACCATCATATTCACTTCCCAACCCCAAAAGAAATCGTGTAAAATAGGAGGCGTGTATGTACGCGTTCAGTATTCAGTATTCACTTGCCATGTGTTTGGTATGGCCTTGGCAAAAGAAATGGGTATCATAAAACTGAACCATTCGGTCCTTAAATGCCCTCCTTACCTTGTCAGACACACAATAGGGACGAGAAACTGTTCCTAATTTCTAGAAATGACAAAGGAGCTCTAAAAACCACACTTTTCTCGCTATTTAGAACTCCATAAATGCAGAACCAGAAATGACAGCAGACTCCTCAATGACCCTCTTTTTTGTGTGATAGCTGAGTTTCCTTTATCAATACGTGTTCTCTGTCTTCTCAGCCTTAGGCTTTGACCACTTGGCACACTCTGTAGCATTTGTACTAGCTTCGATCATCACTACTATTTTGGAAATTCAAGGACAAATTTTGTGTTATATATAATAACAGTGTAGAGCGCAGGGTTGTTCACCCTTTTACCTCGTTTGTCTATTTAGTCCAATCCTTCTTGTTCCTAAGTGTTGATATTAAAAGGGAAAATGAGTTATATGGGTGTCGGTGTTAGTCCTGGTACTGTCCCTGTGTATCATGGAACAAACCTCAAAGTATTGGATAGGAGGGTGAGGATAGCAGAGTTGGTGTTAAGGTGTGTGAGCCTTAGTCTAGGACTTCTTGCAACTGTTCTTGTGGTGACTGATGCCCAAGTTCAAGAATTTTTCTCCTTTCGGAAGAAAGCTAAATTTACAGACATGAAGGCTTTGGTGTAAGCTCTTTCATTCTTCTCTTTCAGTCTGAAAATGGTATATATGCATCTCCTAATATTGATTGCCAAGACTTTTCAGGTTCTTGGTTGTTGCCAACGCACTATCTGCTGGGTACTCCTTAATCCAAGGATTGCGCTGTGTTCTGAGTATGATTAGAGGAACTGTGCTCTTCAGCAAGCCCTTAGCTTGGCTCATTTTCTCTGCTGATCAGGTACACACATATTTTTACTCTCCCCTGCTGCCATAGAATATGTACACACGCACACCCCTCAGCACTGTACCAGGGACAAATATACAACTAAATTACTTATCGGTTCCCCTATTGCATTTTTCATTTGTTGACATGTAGCTAAATATGGTTAGTGCCTGAGGCTGAATCTAACCCATGTGGCAGTTTTTTTTTTTCCTTTTCAAGGAGTTAATCCCAAGTTCCCGAACATTCTTTAACCAATGCATCAAATTGATCATGAAATGGAATAGAGAACTCTTATTAAATAGTAATAGGCAAATCCACCCCAGGAGGGAGTGGCGATTCATTGATTCTTTTGATAAACTTTCACTTCAAACATTTGATTCTGTCCGTAGCATGAGTTTTTTTTGCTTGCACTCGTTTGATTCTGTCAGGAATCAGAATCCGAGAGTGTGGTGGGATTGGTTTTGTTTTGAAGTCAAGGCTCGTATTTTTATAGCAATCCATAATGACCTCAAATTTGCCCCATCAAGCATGTTAACTGGTGCTGCGGGATCTCAAGGGAACCGAGCAGGATACACCCTCACCACATGCCATACTTAATCCCACTTGTATAGAATATAATATTATTAAATTCTTTAAGGAGGGGGTTACACAAATAGACCTTTCTTGAAGACAGGTTTTTTAATTTATTTTAGTTTAAAGAAATAATCTCAAAGAAACGTATTCTGGACCAACATTAAATAAAACAAAATGTTAATCTCAACTTTTTATTTGTTGATTCTTAAACTTAACAAAGCGTTCAATAAAAACGTAGCTTATAAGTTTAGTAAGCACTAGACAACATTAACACAAGGGCAAGGCCAAGAGACTAATTGAAGATTCGTATCTAATTATACAGGTGATGGCATATGTGACGGTGGCTGCTGTGGCGGCAACATTGCAATCAGCCGTGTTTGCAAAGGCGGGGCAACCAGAATTTCAGTGGATGAAAGTATGCAACATGTATGGGAAATTCTGCAACCAAGTGGGAGAAGGGGTAGCCAGTGCTTTTGTGGTTAGCCTTAGTATGGTGGTCCTCTCTTGTATTTCCGCTTTTAGTCTCTTCCGTTTGTATGGCTCTAACAAAAACAAATATGCGAGTTGGTAGGTTATGAACTAACGTGGTTTCATGCCATACATACAACCTACTCCTCTTACCAATCTTTCTTGGTTAATATAGTACTTCTGTAATTAAAGAACGATGGTGGTGATATGAGAATTTCGATTATGTTACTAATTTACCTTTCAATGATCAAAGGAATTTCTGATGCATATGCTTTGCATTCAAAACCAAAATACCGGACATGTTAATACAATCAGGGAAACCAAAAAACTTCTCCTCTTTAGAAACGGACTTTATTTTTACTTACTTAAAAAAATATTGGGATTCAACCATAGTCTATGCCGTTTGATCTATGTTAGAAAAGTGTGCAACATTAAGAATGCTTCAACCTGTGTTTTTAACAAGTAAAAGACAAAAACTAAGCGTTGGGATAAAAATAATCAATGATGCTCTTTTTCTTATGTCTGGCTTGAAATAAAAGTTAGAAAGAAATCCAAAACACAGCGAGTTTTGGACGAGAAAAACGTACTTAGAAAATCTCTATAGTTTAAACAAGTTTTTAGACTCGTAAAAAAATTATCTCTAAAGCAAATAAGAAAAGTGAAAAAAAATTATCCTTTAATATTTTTAATATTTTAATTTATATCTTTAATATAATAAATATTTTTTTCTAAATATTTACGAATTACACACATTTATAGCATATATATAATTCCCTGAAAGTTTCAATAACATTTGGCCTGCACCTGTGATTGCGCGAGCATAACTTGTTTTTGTTTCCTTTAGCTCATTCGAAAAAGAAAAGAAAGAAAACGCGGTTACGCAAGAATGTTCTTTATATAGATAATAATGATATGTTAAGTCATTAGTCTTTAGAAATCTTAATGAAAAACAGGAGAATGGTTAATCACGTAATTGCGACCCACCAAAGTTGATATTATTTGGTGTCTAATCCAAAACCTACTGCTACTGCCAGCAAGTCACCGGCGAAGGGAACATAAAGCACACGTGCCTGTGCCTGTGCCTGTGCCTGTGCCTCCTACCACCGCCTAATGCCTAATTCTATTGAACTTTTATTTTACAATAGAATTAGTGTGTTAAAATCACTCGTAGACAATAATTCAAGATCCTTTTTTTAAACAATTTTTTTTCTATTTTTTCAAATTAATTTTATTTAAATTTAAAATTCCTTTACATTACACGTTCAACTTTTTTTAATTATTATACCATGTCACAAATAGTTGTTACTAGCTTTTTGTACTGATAGCATAATAATATTAACTTTTACATTATCAATTGATTTCACAATATTTTTTAATAAACTTTCATTGATAAATTAATAATATTAAATGAGTTAAATTAAAAATTTAATCTTTAAATATTATTTTTCTTCAATTTTTAAACAAAAGAATTATATTTTAATTTTATGTAAAACATTTATATATTATCCTGACAGTTTATCATGTATTTTTTATTTTAATCTATATAAAATTTTATTTCGTTTTAATTTCTTTACAACTTTTTTTCTATATTTTAATTTTTACATTTGACAAGATTTTTCTAATTTATATTTAGAAAAAAATTTATATTGTTATAATATTGGTAAGTAATGGAAATCATTTTTAAAAAAATGATATAAATTAAAATATTTTAATATGAGAACTAAGAAAAAGTTAGAGTTAATTTAACCTATTAAATATTGTATTTGTTTGGAAGGGAACTATATATGTTATTTTGGAAAGGGCAAGAGGATACAAGAGACGACCATCGTTGGTAATCGCAATACCCTGGAAACCCGAATTCACTGTTCACAGTGTTGGATTTTCTGTTGTTTGTTTTGTTGCTAATGCTTTCATCTCCTTTCCCTTCTCTTCCTTTGACTTAACGTCGAAACCAAACCCCTATTTGGGGCTGTGTTCCAATTTCCTTACCTTCAACACTTCAACTCAAAACCCTAACTCAACCTTCGATTCTTTGTTCATTAACTTAGTCACTACTATTGCAACCTATTCAATTGTCAGAATCAGACATGTCGGAGAAATTCTCGCCAGCGCTTCGAATTGGAGATCTCAACGATTTCATCGCGCCATCGCAGGCATGCATAGTTTCCCTGAAAGGATTTAAAAAGCCCGATAAACCTGAGGTAGCTTGTTTCATTCTCTATATCTTCATATGATTTATTTGATGGCTTAAAAGAATCATAGTACCTTACGAAGTAGTTCTGAAACCCAAGGAAAGTTTATTTTAATATATATATTTTTTCCACTGTAGGTGTCAGTTGCTAACAAGCAGGTGAAGTCTGAACCTGTTAAAATTTCGCTTAAGGATTGTTTGGCATGCAGGTTAGTCTTGATATCAGTGGCTGTGACATGTGTTCACTCGTCTTGCAGCATATTGTCTTGAATTGCATAACTGTGTCATACTTTTCTGATGTTATCACATGGGGCAATCCTGCAAACTTTTCGCTTGAAAAATAATGAGAATCTCTTTATTTGGTGAATGAATTCAAATCTATAAGATTTTGGTTCTGTGGCATTATTATATTCGACTTATAATTATGTCTGGGCTTTATTGGGATTTAAGAATATGACGTGCTTAGTTTTCTTTTTTACTAGTTGCAATCATTTGAGGAGAGTGCTAACAGAATGGCAGCTTGCTAAAAGCTTTAATATCAAAGTGCCCTTAAATGGTTCATTAAAAAAATTACATGGATTGTGCTCCTTAACTCTATCACATAGTTGATGATCTCAAAATGTAAGTTTTATTTCGAATCCTAATTTATTTTTCTGGTAAAGCAGTGGATGTGTCACATCGGCGGAGACAGTTATGTTGGAGAAACAAAGTTTGGATGAGTTTCTGTTCAATATTAATGCAGGAAAGGCCGTGATTTTGTCTCTTTCTCCCCAGTCGAGGGCCTCTATTGCTGCTCATTTTGGCATTTCTCCACTTCAGGTGACACTTTGGATATTGCTTTGCTCATAATAACATTTTTATAAGGTTTTTTTTTTTTTTAATAAGGTTCTCATTTGAAATAAATTTGGAAAAAAAGAAAATTACTACCTTCTTGTTCCCCCTGGCTGACAGTAAATTCTTGGCATTCCAGGCTTTCAAAAAGTTGACAAGGTTTTTTAAATCCTTGGGAGTGAAGGCAATATTTGATACAAGTTGCAGTAGAGATTTGACCCTTGTCGAATCTTGTGTGGAGTTCATCACGAGGTATAGACAGAATCAATTGGTTGATGATGAGAAGAGTAAATCTAGCCTACCTATGATTGCATCAGCATGCCCAGGTATAAAAGTTAAACTTAACAAAATTATAGCTTTGGCATATTGTGTCTATGAATCACATAGACTTTGATGATGGACATGACTCATGCATAATGAATCAGAAAAATTCATAATATATTGACTATATCTGTGTTTCTCACTAACATGGATCCTTGTTTCTGTTATGATTGCTTTGTACTGTTTCATTTTTAGTGTTAGAAATATAGGGTTGGGGAGCATTATTACTTTTCAACATGCAGAATAGGTTTTGGTTATTGATGTGAATATATTTGTGCAGGTTGGATATGCTATGCAGAAAAACAACTTGGATCCTTTGTTTTACCTTATATTTCGTCAGTAAAGTCTCCACAGCAAACAATTGGAGCTATCATAAAGAATTGTGTGTGCCAAGAATTGGGACTCAGGTTTCATGTTAACTCCAAATTTTATCATGAGATGGAATGACATAATACCTTGAGGTTGTGGGGGGTCACCAAATCTTTTGATGATGATTTGTGAATTGTGATGCCCCAATTGTTAGTCATATGATGTCTTTTGGCATGATGCTATTTCCAGAATTATATGCATAGTAAAATGCTTGAATTATTGTTTTAACAGGCCAGAAGAAATTTACCATGTCACTGTGATGCCTTGTTATGATAAAAAGCTTGAGGCTGCTAGGGATGACTTTGTTTTCCAATTTGAGTCCCATATAGAAGGGCATGAAAGTGAAGTTAACATGATTTCAGAGGTAGATTCAGTATTGACCACTGGAGAGGTTTTGGAATTGATTCAGGTTTGAAGTTTGATGCATTCCTTCATTTTTTGTCAATCCTTTTACTTTTAAGTTAACTAATGATATGTATATAATACATGTTTGGGTTCAATCTTACAGTCAAAAGAAATTGATTTTAAAACCCTAGAAGAGCCTCCTCTGGACAAACTGTAAGAAATGAACTTTTGCTCCATTATTAAATTTCATTTTGTCAAACAATAGTGTTAACATGCAGTGTGGTGCTTTCAGGCTAACAAATATTAATGAAGAAGGAAACCTTTATGGTGTCCGTGGAAGCTCTGGAGGTTATGCAGAAACAATTTTTCGATATGCTGCTAAAACACTTTTTGGAAGACAGATTGATGACCCTTTGACCTTTAGAAACATTAAGAATTCAGATTTTCAGGAAGTTACTCTGGAGGCAAGCTCTTGTAAACTTTTAATATTGATTTTTATGCTTTTGATGAAGGGCATTATCGGAATCTAGGGTCTGCAAATATCTGATTATAGAAGGGTTGAGTATTTTTTGTTATAACAAATTGGACAATTAGTAGTTTTAAGAGCCATTTCATGATGAAGTAAATTTCCAACATTATTTCCAGAGACGTATTATTAAATTTCTCTCGTTATTTCCTTGAAACCATCGTTCTTACATGAATAAGAGTATATGATTATTCTCTTCACCTGCAATGCTTGCCATCATGAAGCTTATGGTAAAAACTGAAGATAAATATTTAATGTAATTTGGTCTCTAAAAGTGGCATGTTATGTTGCTTTTGTCCCTGAAAGTTTTCATCTATACAATTTATTCCTTTGAGGGATGAAATTGTTTACAGGTTGACAATTTGGGAAGATAAACTTGTTTATCAAGTTGACACTTTTAGGGACCGATTTGTATATATGTGCTTATTCAAGGAACAGGCCAATGCTACTGCTTTCAAGAATGAAATCATATATTATATATGGGACATAGTATCCTTAAAAATAATAATGCAGGGGACATGCAAAGGTGGTATGTGTAATTTCTGAAACAAGCATGGTCTTGTTGTAATTACTACTAACCTTTAAGGGGGAGGTTCATGCAATTATTCCCACAAACACACAAAACATGATATCATGATGTAGAATGGGCTTTTAGTTTTTGTTATTTTATCTAGGATTTTAATTTCAAAATTAGGGTTTTGATAGGGATTATTTGTTACTTTGCATTATCTTATTGTGGCTTAGAATAGGATTATTTCTCAGTTTTTGTGTCATTTGGTATAATCAGTTGAGTCACTTTTTGCATGATCTTGATATTTTGTTTCTTTCAAAGAGTATCTGAATGCTAAATTACTAATTAGGGGAGTACCCTGCAAATAATACTCTTGCTTACTGTTTCACTGTTTCACATCATGTTGTCTGTGCAGGCGGAGGGAAAAACGGTGTTGAAATTTGCTCTCTGTTATGGTTTTCGGAACCTGCAAAACATTGTACGAAAACTTAAAACTGGGAAATGTGATTATCATTTCCTAGAAATAATGGCATGCCCTTCAGGTACTGTGCTTTTCCCTCATCTGAAATTTAATTTATTTGCTGGTTTTTGTTTGTTTTCCATGAGCCCCATAAAATTGGTGGGCATTGAACTGAAAGGGAAAGCTCTTTATGCAGGTTGCTTAAATGGGGGTGGTCAAATTAAACCAAATCCAGGGCAATCTCCTAAAGAACTGAGTCAGCTGTTAGAGTCGATTTATATGGAAAATGTAAGTATTATCTCAGAGAAGCTAGTATTTTAAGTTGCATTTTTTAAACAAGTTTGACTTGCATAAAAATGAGTAAGTGTTAGTGTATCTTTATTAAAGGGAACATTAAAGGTCTGATCATAACTCTTAGATTCTGGAGAGACAAAGTGCAAACAATTATTACTCTTTTATTCTGTATCCTTATTGATGCTATACAACATTTGCTTCCCTGCCCCTTGGCACTAAACAGTGTGTCATTTATGATTTTACCCCATTTTTGTTACTGTGGAACATAGTTTTGGATATTGAAAACTTTTTTTTTCCTGGTTAACTGTAGAAGTAATTAATTGAGGAGTTTGTTGTTCTGTATTTCTACTTTCTGCAATCAAAATTTTAATTATGGGTTGATCATGTTTCTTTATATGCCAGGTTTCGGTAGCATCACCATTCGATAATCCCATTATTGAAGGATTATATGATAAATGGCTTGAGCAGCCTGGTTCTGAGAAAGCTAGAAGATACATGCATACACAATATCATCCTGTTGAGAAAAGCATCACTTCTCAGTTGCATAATTGGTGAGGCGTTGAAACTGAACAATTCATACTGTTTCTTCTCAAGGTAAATGTATTATTAGGAGGAAAAAGTACTTGGTCTCTATGCCCTGGCTCCTTGTGGATATGTTGCAATTTGGAGTCACCAAATTTTGATAGCGAACAAAATTTTTGATGTATATAGACCTTGATCTGCATCCATTTAGGTAGAAGAAAGAATCACACACACATTTGTAATTACCTTCTGGACCTGCGGCAGGACTTCTATTGTTTTTAGGATATAGGTTCTCAATAAAATATTCCTTCATTACATTTGTTAGTGTGAATGATTAGGTGAGAGAATGAGAGCCCAAGTGCCGGTCGTTGGAGCACAAATTGTAGCTTTACATTTCTCAACTCTTGAACTCGAATGAAGTAACAAAATTTTCTCTGATTTCCTGTTTGATGTAACATATTCTTGGAATATTTTTATTGCCGTAAACATATTTCTTGCATTTTACCAAATTAGAATAAGATACTGTCCCACTTTCAAAACAATCACATGGTATATGGTAGCAAGGGGCGGAAAAAAAAAATCTTCATACGGAACAAATATTGAGGTTATCTATGTAAGTTTACGTTTCTTTACTTCATAGACCAAATTTGTCGCATCTGCGTTTGCGGTTGTTTCCTTTCGGACAGCCCTTAGAACTCCTCTATAACATCTTGTCGTAAGAATTATAATCCAGGGGATATTTTGGAAATTACAAATTCACCATTCCCCAATCAATAGTTAATGAAGATGAGCATAGATTGAGTAATTTGGCTAGAGCAAACTCAACATTGGCTAAACCGAATGAAAGGCCTGGACACATTCTCCTTCCAGCCCCAAAGGGGATGTACTCAAAAGTGTATCCCTTTAAAAATCAATAGAAGTTCCATTGAACCTTTCTGGCATGAAGCGCTCTGCATCATGCCAATACTCAGGATCTCTTCCAACTGCCCATGCGTTTATAATGACTTTAGTCTTGGTGGGTAAATCATATCCATCGATCTTGCATGCTTCCACGCATTCTCCTGGAAGCAACAAAGGAAGTGGTGGGTCTAACCTCAAGGTTTTCTCTTATTACTTCCTTTAAGTGGCCAAGTTCCCCTAGATCACTCATGGATTGTTTCCTTTCCCCTCATAGTTTCTCTAATCTCAGCTTGTGCCTTCTCTCTTACTCTTGGGTTTCTCATCATTTCTGACATTGCCCACTCTAGTACTTTCGCTGAAGTATCCGTTCCAGCAGCAAATATATAATGTGAACATAGTTTTCATATACATTTCAATTCATAACAAGGACAAAAAGATGCCATTGATTTATTATATTAACACACTTGTTTGAATTATCTATGTGGATGATCTCAATCAGAATTCAAAAATCAGATGAACGTTATGGCAGACATACTAACCCAAATCACAGCCTTGATATTGTTGGTTGTAATTGGGGTCTCAAGGTTGCCATTTTGTTGGACTCGTAAGAGTACCTCAACAAGATTTTCGTTCTTTCCTTCTCCCATGCCTTCGTTTTCACTCGTGTACTTTACTTGATTCTCCTTTACGATCTTCTGTAAAATCTTGTCAACTTTCTTATGCATCTTATCCAATTTGGCTTTCAACCCGGTTATGAGGTGTATAGGTTTGAAAGAAGGAAACAAATCCGCAAGATCAAAGCCGTCTGCCACTTCTATTGCTTCCTTTACTAACAAAATAAATTCTTCATGATCCTCAGTTATGTTACCAAATGCAGCTCTAGAAACAAAGGTACTTTTGAGTTAATCATGCTAGTGAGGTGGATTGGTGCACCTGAAGATGACTGACGAAGGCATAATAAGGATGGGACTTTGTTCTGCAAAATGAAGATTAGATTGATTCGTATTTGGACAGAACAGCCTGAAACTTTATCGAGACGTATACCCTCCACACACATCACCGTATATTTTATTAACCATATCTATTTGACTATTTACCTTATAAGTTTAGCTATTATTGTCATTATTTATTCCTCATCGTACCCATGGACTTCTTACTCATTTACAGACGATTAATTAATTATTTGCTAGGAAGTGATGTAAAGTGTTTCTCTGTCTATACTTTTAAATATGTTATGAATAATAATTTTAAAATATTGATAGTTAAATAAATATAATTTTTTAATATGTAGTTCAATTAATTTTTTAATATTTAATATTTTTTTCTAAAATATTTTCTTTCAGTAAAATAATTTAACCTCAATTAAATATCATGACTTGAACGTTTTTTGCTTCATAGAATAATAAATAATTATTTTTAGCAGTATTTTATTTCAAATTCCCCATGCTTTTATTTTATATATTCCTCAAAAATAAAAGAAAAGTGTAGTATAAACACGCAAGCCTCTCTTACTCCCGAGTTCTGAGCTACCCGCTTAGAATTTTTAACGCAAGATTCCTGAGTCACAATTGGAGGCACAAAGAATGCTTCCTTGAAGATACAACAACTCATCAAATCCTTCAAATTAATAATTTCTTAATGAAAACGAGTTACTTGAATGATTTAAACTAATCGTCCAAAAAGCTTAAGATTGTATGAGAAGGATATTGAATGATTTCACAATTTTTATTTTAAGATAAACTAGGAGGATAAATCCCTTAATGGAGAAAAGTTCTAACCATAGGAAGGAAATGGAAAAAGATGGAAGAAATAAGGACAACTAAGATATATGAGGGTCAGTAGTTATTGTAGGGAGTTGGAATCAAATATAGGTTGTCTCTCCTTCCAACAACAGCTCCAAAGACTTCAGTCATATCCAAGTCCTCTGGTTTGATTCCATTGGGTAGTTCCCAATCAAAGTGATAGAGTAATGAAGCAAGTGGAAGCTCAATATTAGCTATGCCAAGTAATATGCCAGGACATATTCTCCTCCCTGACCCAAAGGGGATGTACTCAAAGTTATTACCCTTAAAATCATAACCGCTCCCAAGAAACCTCTCAGGTATAAACTTCTCCGCATCAAACCAATGCTTAGGATCCCTTCCAAGTGCCCAAGCATTTACTATCACCTTAGTCTTCATTGGTATTTCATATCCACCTATCTTGCACGCTTCTCTACATTCCCTTGGCAGCATCAAAGGAGCAGGTGGATGTAACCTCATGGTTTCTTTGATCACTGATTTCAAGTACCCAAGTTCAGTTAGATCTTCCTCGCTTATCATTTTCTTTCCCCTAAAAGCTTCTCTTATTTCAGCCTGTGCCTTTTTCATCACTAGTGGGTTTTTCATCAGCTCTGACATAGCCCACTCTAATGCTGTTGCTGATGTATCAGACCCACCACCGAACATGTCCTACACATAATCTTATATACTTAAATTATACCGTCTTTGTAACAAAAATCACAACACATATTATGCATACACCATTGCATTTAATTTGTAGCAGATAGTACACTTCACGTCATATATATATATATACATATATAAATATATATATATATATATATTTTTTTTTTATATTTAAGAGTGAATTACTATTTACTGACCCATATCACGGCTTTGATGTTGTTGAGTGTGACTGGGATCTCTAGGCTTCCACTTTGTTGCACGCGCAAAAGAACATCAACGAGAGTTTCTTTTGCTTCACTGTTGTCATGGTTTGATTGGTGCTCCTTGAGAATGTGTTCTAAAATCTTATCCAGCTTCTTTTGCATGTTCTCCAATTTAGCTTTCATCCGAGTAATGAGATGAATAGGTTTCATTGAGGGGAACAAGTCAGCGAGATCAAAGCCTGCCGCTAGTTCCACTGCTTTCTTGAGCAAAGTCAAAAGCTCATCTTCATACTCAGATTTCTTGCCAAACGCTGCCTTTGTAACAAAAGCACTTACCAAAGAGAAAACACTTTTAGTAACATTGACTGGTGAACCCGCAGATGCAGACAGATGAATGGATCGTATGAGCTTAGCCACCTCATCTTCTCTGACATAGGAGAATGATTGAACCCTTTTGGCACTGAGAAGCTCTAAGGTACATATTTTCCTCATCTGTCTCCAGTAATCACCGTAGGGAGCAAAGGCAATATCCGTTGATCCATAGGCCAGAATTTGAGGACAAAGGAGTTGTGGTCTATCAACAAAATTAAGATCATGTGTCTTCATCACCTCCTTGGCCATTTCGGGGGATGATACAACCACTGCAGAAATTTCACCTAGTTGAAGGTGCATTAAGGGTCCATATTTGTGGGCTAGATTTTGAAGAGTATGATGTGGAAGTGTGCCTGCTGTTGCCAGTTGTTGCAGGTTTCCTATTAGAGGCAGCTTCCATGGCCCTGGGGGCATCTTATTACGAACCACACTCTCCCCTTTGATTTTTTGCTTATAAATGTTTGCAAACCAAAGCAGCAAGAATAGGAAAGATGGAATAACCAAGAAGGAAGGTTGGAATTCCATGGTATGAATGAGGGAGTTGGGAGTTTGAAGTTGATCTTTCTTTCAGTCTTCCCAGTGCCGAGGATATTACTTAAATTAAATAATAAAAAATAATTACTTGGAAGAAAAGTATTGATGAACTACTGCATATATAAAAAAAATCAATTGTCATATAGTAAACGAAATAATTATATAATAATGAGATGCTTTCAAAATATATTTATCTAAGATGGTGCAATACTAGACACGGTTGGACAAATAATGCTTACCACTTAACAAATTTCTAAATGAAATGTGAGGTCAAATCTATACCTCAACATGAGATCATGAGTTGGCTTTATGCTATATCAAAAGTAACCCATAAATTAAAGTGGTAACTACTTCACACCAAACCTCATTTCATTTTGTTCCCAAACCACGCCATGTTTGCTTTTGCTGCCATTGTCATTTCCCTGCCAAAACCCAACATTTCACCATTCGCGCCACTGTAGAACAAAGCTCTTCACCGTGATCGTGCGACCGCATTATCACTGTGAGTTCCTCTTTCACTGATTTGCAGATAATCATAATGCGAAGAGAATGTTGTTATTTGCATATTGTTCCTCTTTTTCCACTTAGATTACACAGTTCTGCAATTACAACTTTTACTTTAAATTTTTTTTTTCTAGGTTGAAAGTATCTATTGGTACTCGGAACCATCTAATTTGCGAGAACTTAATTTTGAGTAAAACTTATGCATAAGAAAGCTCCAATTTGCAATGGAACTTTAAAATCAATGACTTTACACTTGTTGTAGGTTTTAGCTAACGTCATGGTGTGTTCTGTTTAGCTAGTTATCTTTTCAGACATTTTAAATGTATCTAAAAGTGATATTTTACTATTTGCTACATATCTATTGAACTTAATTGTATTTTTATTTGGTTGCACGGGTTGAAAGGGTTTTTGAAGAACTAGTGTAGAAGTTTTCAATTAAAGTGAGCCTGTAGAAAAATCTTTATAAGAGAAAAAATAATAATATAAAAGATAAATAAATTCTTTTTAATAAATTAAAAATAATTTATCTCTTCAAATTTTAAAGAAGTTAAATGATAAAAAATTTTAAAAATATAAATTAATTTTAATTTATAAAAATATATTTATTTTTATATGATTTTTCTTGAATTTATCTAAACAATCAGTTTCTTTTCACCCAGTAATTTTCACTTGTGGAAGAGTTTTTGGACAACATTTGGAGATATGGACTCTATGCTGTCACTGTGAGCACAGGTGCCCATTAAACTGTATTCCGACCTATAATGGGCCTTCTCAAGAACCCCATTTCTGCTATTCTCATCCTTTGCTCTTTTCGGGGCAGCATCTACATTGTTTCTCAAATGCTTTCTGCCATGGTTGGTGATAGTATGTATTGTGCACGTAATTAAGTACGCATACTATACTACTCATATCTATGTTATTTTGCAAGTATTTATCCACATTCGTATCCACACACGTTGAGTTCGTAATTACTAATTATCATTGTAAGTATCTATCGAGTATAATTATACTCGTTCTCATCTGTAAATGTGATAGAAATAAAGAAAGAGATAAATATATAGTAAATTTTTTAAAAGGATAGAAAGAAGTAAATGCGACAAACTAAGAATTTATATGAAAAATAAAATTCAAACTCACGTAACTAAAACAACTTCTATATATATATATATTGTGTGTATAAATTATTAGAATATAAAAAAGTAACATTTTATTATCTTTTAAAAATAAATAATTTTATATTTAAAATTTAATTATTAAATTTTGAAAAAATTATAAATAATTTTAAATGGAATTGTAAAACATCTTATCTTAAAATTTATTTTATACCTAAATAAATATTGAGCCGATAATAATATTAAGAAGATATTTATCCGTAGAGTCAAATTAAATAGTCCACAACTTTCAATAAATTTTAGACGGTCCTTTATCATGACTTGAAGTTTGTATGTTTCCTAAAATATTAAATATTTATAGTTATCTGTCTCTTTTTTATTAGTTTTCCCATGTTTAATGTTATATATACCTAAAAAATAAAAGAAAAGTGAGTAAACACACAAGTCTGACTACTAGGATTGAATAAAGTGATATAAAACTATATGATATCAGTCACTCACGTTCATAAATTATCCCTAACAAAATATTAATAATTGAGATCATATGTTATCTGATAAGGTCTATGCTGCCTGCTTAGAATTTTCAACGCTAGATTCCTGTATAGATGTTACAGATCTGCTTCGAGTATCCAATGGACCAAAATAATTGTGTAGTACACTTATTTGACTAATTCAGTGATTTTGAGCCCCGAAATTAATTCGAATTAAGCACCACCAACAATTTACATGAATGTTTTATTTTTTACTTTAAGATCACTTGGGAGAATAAAGATAAAATTTGTGATCACTTAATGAAGGAAAGTTCTACACCATGCTATTTAGTTTGTATTTATAAACTTTGGCTTTTAGGAGTAAATTTAAACATTTTAAAGTAGTATTTTTTTTTATTAAAAGAGAATGTAATTATTATATGGGAGATAAAAAAGTATGATAAATACTTTATTTTAAATAAATAGTTTTGTTACATATCTAACTCACAAACTGATAACAATGAAATGAAAAGAGAAGGAAGAAATAAGACAACTAACATAAAGAGGTCAAAAGTTATTATAGGGAGTTGGAATCAAAAATAGGTTGTCTCTCCTTCCTGCAACAGCTCCAAAGGTTTCAGTCATATCCAAGTCCTCTGGTTTGATTCCATTGGGTAGTTCCCATTCAAAGTGATAGAGTAATGAAGCAAGTGGAAGCTCAATATTAGCTATACCAAGTAAAATGCCAGGACAGATTCTCCTCCCTGCCCCAAAAGGAATGTACTCAAAATTATTCCCATTAAAATCAACACCGCTCCCATGAAATCTCTCAGGTATAAACTTCTCCGCATCATACCAATGCTTAGGATCCCTTCCAAGTGCCCAAGCATTTACTATCACCTTAGTCTTCATTGGTATTTCATACCCACCTATCTTGCACGCTTCTCTACATTCCCTTGGCAGCAACAAAGGAGCAGGTGGATGTAACCTCATGGTTTCTTTGATCACTGACTTCAAGTACCCAAGTTCATGTAGATCTGCCTCGCTAATTATTTTCTTTCCTCTACAAGCTTCTCTTATTTCAGTTTGTGCCTTTTTCATCACTAATGGGTTTTTCGTCAGCTCTGACATAGCCCACTCAAGTATTGTTGATGAACTATCAGACCCAGCAACGAATACGTCCTATACATATGTTATAATAACTTGTAACAAAAATCACAACTCATTAATCATTATACATACACCATTGCATTTGATTTGCAGCAGATAGTATACTTCATGACCATATGTTTATAACAAAATAAAATAAGTTACTATTCTACTGACCCATATCACGGCTTTGATGTTGTTGAGTGTGACTGGGATCTCTAGGCTTCCACTTTGTTGCACGCGCAAAAGAACATCAACGAGAGTTTCTTTTGCTTCACTGTTGTCATGGTTTGATTGGTGCTCCTTGAGAATGTGTTCTAAAATCTTGTCCAGCTTCTTTTGCATGTTCTCCAATTTAGCTTTCATCCGAGTAATGAGATGAATAGGTTTCATTGAAGGGAACAAGTCATCGAGATCAAAGCCTGCCGCTAGTTCCACTGCTTTCTTGAGCAAAGTCAAAAGCTCATCTTCATACTCAGATTTCTTGCCAAACGCTGCCCTTGTAACAAAAGTACTTACCAAAGAGAAAACACTTTTACTAACATTGACTGGTGAACCCGCAGATGCAGACAGATGAATGGATCGTATGAGCTTAGCCACCTCATCTTCTCTGATATAGGAGAATGATTGAACCCTTTTGGCACTGAGAAGCTCTAAGGTACATATTTTCCTCATCTGTCTCCAGTAATCACCGTAGGGAGCAAAGGCAATATCCGTTGATCCATAGGCCAGAATTTGAGGACAAAGGAGTTGTGGCCTATCAACAAAAGTAAGATCATGTGTCTTCATCACCTCCTTGGCCATTTCGGGGGATGATATAACCACTGCAGGAATTTCCCCAAGTTGGAGGTGCATTAAGGGTCCATATTTGTGGGCTAGATTTTGAAGAGTATGATGTGGAAGTGTGCCTGCTCTTGCCATTTGATGCAGGTTCCCTATTAGAGGCAGCTTCCGTGGCCCTGGGGGTATCTTATTATGAACCACACTCTCCCCTTTGACTTTCTGCTTACAAATCTTTGAAAGCCAAATCACCAAGATGAGTAATGAGGCAATAACCAAAAAGGAAGGTTGAAATTCCATGTTATGATGAATGAAGGAGTTGGGATTGGTAGCAGTTTCAAGCTGGTGTTTCTTTCTATCTTTTGGTCTTCCACTGCCCAGGCTGAACAATGAACACTGATGAAATAAATAATTGACTGAAAAGTAGTCTAAAAACTCTTAAATCAAATATGATATAAAATATATTAAATATTCAAATTTATATAAGAGTTTTTAGACTTAAGATTATTCTTTTATATATATATATATATATAAGTGTGTTGTAATAATGAAAATAATTATATGCTCTATTATATAATGGTATTAGTAGTTTATTTTAAAAAAATATAAATATTTTTAATTTTTAAGATATTAAAAAATTACACTTTTTAATTTAAAAAGAGTATACAATATTTAAAGTGTCAGAATTAAGACATTGGATTTTTATTTTAAGCAAGTTTCTATCTTTTTTAAGATTGTATTTCCTTCCATTTTAGTATCAATTAAACGATCAGTTCTATTTTTATTCAAGTAAAAATTGACTCACTTAAACAATAATAAAAAAAATAATTAAAATTTTTTATTCAAAATTAACTTAAACGAATTATGCATCTACATTATTTTCTAACTTTTTACACTTTTTTTTCTCCATCTTAACACTTACTCTCTCATCTTTACTTTCAACCCTTTTTTTTTTTTTCATATATTTAACTCCTCACTTTCAATTTCTTGGTCCTTCCACTCTACTCTCACAGGCAATTCTCCTTCTTCTTCTTCTCATCCTCACTCCACTCTATATCTATCTTTTCTTTTCTTTCACACTCAAACTCTTCCATCTTTACCCTATACCACAATCTTTCTTCATTTTCACCTATCTCAAGTCCTCTCTTTTTTACAATCTCATTTGTTCTGTGTTGTTGCTTAAGTGAGTATTTAAGTAAAAAATAAAACTGAACATTTAGTGTATCTTCATTTTCAATGTTAACTATATTTTGAACTTCTTTTTTTAAAATATTTTTATTTAACCAAAAAATTTTTACTTAATTGAAGGTAAACAAATAAACAAAACTATAAGTTACACTTAGTGTAAAAAATCCAAAGTATTTTTTGTTTAATAAATTTATCAATTCCATTAATCTAACACAACCTAAATTATAGTTGATAAGATTTATATTTAAATATTTAGATATGTTTTTTAAAATATAATTTTTAATAAATAATTTATTATTCAAAATAAATTATTTTTATATAAATATTATTTTTTATTTAATAATAAATTTGATAATTTCAATGTGATAACTAAATTTTAAACATACACGCAAAGATCATTTATTTATATACAGTGTTTAAAAATTATAAATACTAAAATATGATATTTTTAGAAAAAATATAGAAATAGAAAATTTAAAAATTACCAAGATGAAACTCCAGACATTCAAAAATAAAATAATGAAGTTATAATATTTCAAAAATTATTAATGATAGGTTTTTAAAAAATTTAAAAAAATAAAAACTTGTCAACCGTAATTTGACAAAAATAATAAAATTTTTTAAAAATAAAAAATTACTAATTACAAATTTTAAAAAAGTAATAATTTATTTTAAATTTAAAAAATATTTAATGTGATTTTTAAAAATTTCTCGTATTTTCATTAAAAAAAATCATATTTTGATTTTTTTTCATATATATTAAAAAGGCCAAATTGTGATGTCCAATCTATACGTCCTCAATAACGTGATTCGTGATATCTTGTGTTGGCTTAATGCTATGTCAAGGTATGGCATGAATCATAGTTGTAATTATTACTTCACTCCAACACAGATGAGAAAAATAAATAAATTATGATTTTCTCGTACAGCGATAAAATATGTAGGTAGTATATTTGTTCAAATCCATTTCTGTATTATTATATTAGAATTAAAAGTGTATTACTTAGTTTTTAAAAAAAAAATAATATAAAAGTAATTTATATTAGTTATTAAGTGTTATGTAAATTTCATAAAAAAATAATTTATGATTTTAATAAAATTCATATCAAATTTATTCAACAATATAAAAGTACGTTGAAAAAATTATGTCCATAATTTTTTTTTTTTTGTGGTACATACCTTTTTAATTTTTACTCGATATAACAAGTGAAAAGTATATAAGATATATATAAATTACAATTTAAATAATGAAAATATAAATATATTTTTAAACCAGTTTACAAACTTTGAAAGTTGACAAGAAACTTCACCATAAGGTAAATGGTTTTTATTAAAACAAAATTGATTTACATATATAATAAATGTTATTCTAAGGGAGGAAAAAGACTTTGAAACTTGGCATAAAACAATATTGGAAGGTTTAAGCTTGAAATTCAAAGTTGGAGAGAGATGGCAGTGAAGATAAGGTATCAATCAAAATATGAATAGATAAAAAGATAAGGTGTATAGTGGGGATTACATTTACATCCACACGATCAATAATAGCACAAAGGATATTGCTATCACATTGACTTTAGAGTGGTGTGAGTGAGAAAAGAAAGATGAAAAATCTAAGCCTGAAACCAGAGCTGCACCTCCACATCCCAAACCCCCCCTCTGCTTCATTTGCCAAATTATCAGTATCATGTCGGAAAAGCCTCAAACACCCACCTTCGAAATTTACACTCACTCTGAGAGAACAAACTCCAATTCGTGCAATTAACCTCAACCTGAAGAGGCACCCATCAATGAAACCTCAAAATGGGCATTCCAAGATTGTGATAATGGGAGCTGTGTCAGTGGGAATTTTGGTGGCGCTTCTGAGTGGGATGGATGAGCAAAAGGCCTGGGCTTTGGGCCCAGAAGGCCCACTTGTGGAAGAGTTTTGGGACAACGTGAGGAGATATGGACTCTACGCTCTCACTGTGAGCACAGGTGCCCTTTACACCATATTTCGCCCTATAGTGGACCTTCTCAAGAACCCCATTTCCGCCATTCTCATCCTTGCTCTTTTCGGGGGCAGCTTCTACCTTGTTTCTCAGGTGCTTTCTGCCATGTTTGGTGTTTCTGATTTTACTTATGATTTTGGATACTAGCTGCTGCTACTACCAAAGTAAAGCCATCATCTATACTTTCATATTCCTTTTCCCCTTCTTATAATCTTATTGGTTGCTCCATGCTTCGTAATTATCCTCTGCACCCTGTTTAACATTTTAGGTAGCTAAGCCTGTGTTTTGTAGGCAAGTTTAGCTTCTTCTTTTTTTTTTAAAAAAAAAGTTTGTAAAATTATTAGATAATAACAAATAGAAGAAGCTTATGATTTTGTTTTTGAATTTTTTATTAAAATAACATTCAGGTAATAATTATTAAAAAATTTATCTCACATTTAATATTATATTTTTAACTATATTTAAATTTAATATCTCTTCGTTCAATTTTAATATTATATTAATATAATATGACATTTATTTTAGTCATTTAATGTATTTTAGCTAGTTTTATTAAATAGTTTTTATTCAATAACTATTTGTAAAGATATATTGCTAACATTTATCAGGTTATGTAAGATACTTGCCGAGTATGGTTAACAACGATATTCTTGATCCTTTTGCTTGTTTGGTACGATATTAATTGAAATATTTTTTAATTTATGGGCTGAACTGAGATGATAGTAAAAGTGTAACATGAATTGTACCTCAATTAAGTATTTATTTAATAATTTTTTATTAAATAAAAAATTATAACAAAGTCAATTAAAAAAATTATTAGAATAAATTGATGAAAATTTATTTTAATAAATTATTTGGAAAATAGTTAAAAAATAACAGATCACTGTATTTGAAAAGGAGAGGCATAGCTTTCAACTAAAAAGCTCAAAAAACTGCAATAGAGTAAGGATTTAAAAATATATTTTAAGGCAAGTTTTATCTATAAATATTAAAAGAAAGTTGTTATTCATTTAACACACTGTTTGTGTCTCTCTCTCTCTTTTGACGACATCTTATTATGTGGTGTATGTAATTAACAGTAAAAGTAGTCTATAAACAAACAACTGATGCAACGGATAGAGGGTAGCTGTAAGTGTTGGCATATTCAAATTGGATGGTTCTTCCTGGGCCAAGGGGTTGCCCATCGTTGACAAGGCAATCATCGTATTTGAGTCTACGAAACACTTTGGGGTTTATCACACGTGCTGAGCTGAACATTCCACAGTGAAGGTGTATTTGTCCTATGTTGCAATCGCTGGGGCACAGGTTCGAGATTTCAACGGCGGACGAAGGAATACCACTCGGAAGAGGAGGCACTTGCGCTTGAGATACCCGAATGTCGTTTCTTGAGCATCCGCCATCAAGGTTCTTGTCCCAATCATCTATAACAACATAGTTAGTTAATAATATATTAAGGGTTCTCAATTCTCATGCCAACAGATTAGTGTTGCAGTAACTTACGATGGGTGATCACTGTTCTGTTGCCTTCGGGAAAAAACATGTCTTCAATGCCAATGTCTCTTCCAGCTTCCACGTGAATTACTGAATCCCTCGCTGAATTTCAAACAATATCGGTGCCTCAGTGCACATATATCAAAGTCAAGAACATAATTGAATGGATTAAGAGGCGAGGAAGGAATAGTCTCCAGCCAATCTATAAAATTTGCAATTAGCACACAGTATGACATAAATGATTTTATGAGTGTAGCACCCGAGTATTGTGCATTCTTACGTGTGTGTAACGTTGCAATCATAATGGTGCAAAGACATGTGTCAATAAAGTGAAAGGCGTTACCCAAAAGCACGGCTAAGACAAAGGCCACCGACACAATGCAAAAGCTTTGAACTTTGGTCGTCATTCTGAAATGGTTTCAGTCTGCTCTCAAGTAGTAACCTGCAAAAGCCGAAGAAGATAAAAGGAATGCAATGCAAGTTAATTAATGTAGAGGGAAAGAGGAGCTAGAAAGAAGTAATAAGAAAGCGTTGGAAAAGTTTAGGAAGACGAGGGTCGAAGCTTCAGAGTTAATGCAGAGGAAGAGAAGATAAAAGAATAATAGGTACTTGACCCAACCTGCTAGTTCAAGGATGTATATGCCTTGCACAGAACCTACTTCAATTTATAGCTCAAGCTCTACGCTCCCTGTTGCTATAGAACTAGCAGCTGCCATTGCATTTGGAGCCGTCATTGCATCTTATGCCGGTTAAAATAAGCAAAAAGAATAAAAAAAAAGGGGAAAAACAGGAGACTTCAAAACAATTCATTATGCATGAATTATAAAAGACAAAACTTTTACACTTTACCAACGGTTTTAGTATTATATTAAAATATTATTTTATTTTAATATTTAATGTAATAATGATCCATATTAAAAGTCAATATTTTTAATATAAAATTTTACTTTCGAATAAAATAATAATAATAATAAATTGTGTATTGTATCTAAATTTTATCTAATTATAAATTGAGCTTAATTGCATTTTGATCCCATTAATTGACTTATGTGTAATTTTAATTTTTTATTTTTTTAATTAAGTTTTTCTTATATTAATATTGTGTAAATTTAATTTCTCATCATTTTTTTTACTTTAAACTCTTAAAATTTAATTATTTATTAAAAAAATTTACAAATTAAATTAACAAATTTTTTTATTATTTAAATTAATCAATTAAAATATCAATTTTTTTCAAATTAAAAATAATAATTTCTACCATGCCTTATAAATCAAGAGAACATTTTATATTTTTTCACATGTAGAATTATTATCATCATTAATTTTAAAATTAGTAAATAGAAGAGTTGATAGTTTATTTTAAAAAAACATATATATCATTTACTTTTTGAAACATTAAAATAATCATAACCATTAATAGATAGTAGAGTTGGTAGTTTATTTAAAAAATATAAATATTATTTATTTTATAAAATATTAAAGTAATCACAACCATTAATTTTAAAATTAATAGAAGTAGCGTCAACAGTTTATTTTAAAAAACCCATAAATATCATTTACTTTCTAAAATATTAAAATAATTACAACCATTAATTTAGAGATAATACATAATATCTTCTCAAGTTTATAAATATCATAAAAATAACTATTAAAAAATTTTAAAATCCTAATCTCGTACCTTATGAAACCTTTTAAATTTTATCAGTTGTTGGTTAATTTTGTTTAACTTTTAGAACTTTTAAAATCATTTTGTATTTCAATTTTATTACAAATTGCAGTCTTTAAATTTTTTTTTAAAAAAGTAGAAGAAAACTGATAACAACTAAATTTTCTAAAAAAAAATTAAAACAAAAAAAGAACAGGAATTAATTTAAAGGACCAAAAGTGTAATTAATATTTTAAAAATCAAGTAAATATAACTTTTACTTCCTTGAAAAAAAATGAAAACGAATCAATTTTAATGCTTTTTTATAAGAAAAAATTAAATGAAAAATAATATATTTTTAGTATCATTTTTAATTAAATTAAAATTTTGATTTAATAATGCATAAAAATCCTTATTATGAAAATTATTGAAATAAAATTTTAATTTTAACTAAACAACAACACTAAAAAAGACAACACTTAAATTTGTTCATCTTATAATTACTTGGCAATATGATACGGTCGGTGGTCTAAATTTTTAAGTTATTATTAGTAAAATAAGTTGAAAGTTATAAGCTTACAAATTTTAATTAATGAAGTTAGTTAAAAATTATAAACTTGTAGTTACAAATAATTTATAAAATTAAAATTTTAAATAAATTATTTATATAACTTTCTGATTTATATTAAATAATTTAAAAATAAATATAATATTATATTAACATAATATTTAAATTAGTTATTATTATTTTATATAATTAATTAATTATATAAAAAAATAATATTTTTATTTATATGAGCCATTTTTTAATAATAAAATAATTTTAATTAGGGGAGACAAATGAACAAATAAAAAAAATTAAAAAATAGAAAAAAGTGACTAATAAAAAATAAATAAGTTTAAATAACAAGAAGTTTTAATTATATAATATGTAATTTTTTATTAAAAATAAAACATAAAAATTTAATAAATATATTAATAGCTAAATTTGGAAAGTTAAAAGTTATTTTAGATAATTTTTTAAAAATATAAAATAAGAATTTATTTAAACTGATATTTTGTATTTTAGATTAAATTTGAATATAATACATTTTATTAAAATCGTAATATTTATGATATATAATGATAATATTAAATATTTATTTTTTAGTAAAAAATATTATTTATTCATATTTTATCGTTATTGAACTTAACCTCCTTAAAAGAAATCTATTAATGGTTTTATTGGTCTTTATATTTAATTTTGAGCATCTAAATATAATAAGATTTTACTAAAAAATAATATTATTATATTAAAAATATAAATGTGTAATAAATATTTTTAAAAATAAAATTTTAACATTTTTAAATACTTAAAATTAAGAATATTTACGGTTCAAATTGGATCAATTTAAGAAATATCAAAATCAATTATAAAATAAATTTAAATTATAGTTAGGATAAGCTTGAGAACAGTATCAAATCGAATGAATCCAAACTTATCTCTTGCAATTTAGCTTGAATTGATTATTTTGATTTTTGTCTTATTAATATTTTAATTTTATAGTTAGAAAAAATAAAAATTTATTTATTAAAGTATGAATAAAGTATTAAATTAATATATTTTTTAGTGATTATTTTTTATTTAAGATACAATGCTTATTAAAAAAATGTTAAATACATAATATGTAGATAATGCTTGTTTGAGTAATTTTTTTAACACATTGATCGTAATATTATATTTAAAAGCCCACAATTCAGATTTAGATTCATTAAAAATAAAATTTATTAATATTATAATAATATTTAATAGTATTGTATTGAAAAAAAATTAACTTAAGATGAAAATAAAAGTTAGAGCACTAAATTTTAAAAAAAAGTTGTAAGATTAAATCAATAATTTTTTTATTTATTAGATGTAATTAAATTATATTTCTACAATTAATGTGCATATTATTTTTGTACAATAACTAAAGAAATAAAAATGATTTTATGAAGAATAATGGTTAAAAATATTGGTGTGGAACAATTTGAGGGTAATGTACCAAAATGGGTGGAGAAATGGTGCACAGTGAAACTGAACTGAAAATATTCTTTGGGCAATGTCTATGAAAAACAAAAAGAGTTAATGCAGTGAAAAATTGCATGCATCGTGTCGATGAAACAGAGGGGTCCTCAACCTCAACCCTCCCCAGTGAGACCAGACAACCATTTAATTTTTGAGGAAACTACAACAGCAGAGACATGGCTACTGCCTTTTACTATTCGCCCTGATTTAGTGAACTGTCTCACCCTTTTCGTTTCTCCATTCATTCAACCACTCAAAAGTATATAAAAATTGAACCTTTTCAAAGGGGATCTTGGGATTGTGATACAAATTTATTTATTTTTTCGAAAAGAAGATTCTGTGGAGAGAGATGAGAGCAGATGATAAAAAGGTCAGATATTGTCACATAAAAATGCATATGTAATAATATTTAATAGATTGTAATTAGCTTTTGAGGATTTAATTTTAATTATAGAGACTTAATTAGAATTATTATAAAATTATAATAATTTACATATATTAATTTAGCCAAATTAATACATTGATAATATATTAAAATTAAAGTATTTTAATAATGAGTTAATTAATTTTATGGTTGTGAACAAACATTTTTCACGATCATTTCGGTTTATTAATTAAAAGCTGCATAAATGGTAGAATAAACACGCACGTAATGTGTAGTTAAACACAAAGGCATGCATCCAAATACTAGTTTATATATATTATTTTCTTGATTACCGTATTTGAGAGGGTGCATGTACGTGTGGCGGGGAATGGTGACAGCTAGAAACTTCACACAAGTTCTTTTCTAAAGGACACACAGTATCTCCTCCCATTCTGTATGTTGGATTCCTTCTCCAGAGAGATAAGCGAAATTGACATAATTTAATTTGTTTTGGTTGCTACTCGTAATGGTTTACTTGGAAAATTCCTCTTGTTCATATATATATATATATCATCCCCTTAATTCATAGTGTAGTGCTTATCCGTATGATGATAAAAACTAGGCCATTTTGGTAATTTGACGGCAACACCCTAAATTATTAAAGACTCAATTTTATGCTTTCTACAAATACAAGTATGTTTAGAGTTCTTTGTTCACTCAAACCTCAACTCAACCCAAGCAAAATAGCCTTACAATAAATTTGAGACTAGCTAAGGCAAGTATACAGCTGCCCCACCTTAGATGGATGGAAAAAAACATCATCAGAGTCAGAAGAAATACAAGTTTTTGAAAAGAACCGTGCAGTTTGTTATATCACTTTCTGTATTTTCTTTCTTTGTGTGGTACTCTTCTGGTTTTTCCATACTCCCTCAGTCTTTTAATGCCTACTTCTCCACGTTCCCCTTCTCCATGCTTACTCGCACTCTTGAAAGGAAATACATGTTCCTCATCTGCAATGCCATACTTGCTCTTCTAGCCAAGAGTTCAGTCCTCACTTCCTCTTCACCACCCATGTCACCTTTTGACTTAGAATTTCAAGTTTCCACCAATACAAAGGCACAAGTTTCTGACGTGGCAGTCTTCCCTGTGGGAAGTTTTCGGTGCCTGGAGAATGCTCCTCTTATAGCTGAAGAAGAAATTGGACAAGTGAAAAAGCAAGAAGAATGCTATGGACAAGTTTTAGAAGCTGAAGGAGAAGAAGCACGTTGTTTGTGGGAGGGATGGAAGAAGCAGATGAAGAAGGAGGGACAAGAAATGGGGTTATGGTGACACATGATGATGAATTAGCAGATACAACATTAATGGCAGCAAACGAAGAACTAGCAAGTACAGATGAACTGAACAGAAAGTTTGAAGAATTCATAAAGAAAATGAAGGAGGAGATGAGGATCGAAGCTCAAAGACAAGCAATTGTCGTCTAGTACATATATGCATGAATATCATGCATCTAATATATGTAAAAGAAGAGTAATTATTTAAGTTCTTGAGCCTTATTTTTAAAACGACAAAGCCTTGTATTTGTGGAACTATTTAATCATTTTCATTTGTATGTTAGCATGTAGATCTTCCCTCACTCTAGCTTCTTTCTTTTTCAGTCTTCTAAGCTCTGTGGTGCCATTTTCAGCTAGAATAGTCAGTGTAGTTTAATAACCTGCTCCCGCTTCTCAGCTCTTGTTGCTTTCTAGCTTTATTAATTGCCCATTCACTGTATATATATTTTTAATATTTACAATCACCTCTTTGAATGAGCCTTACCCACATGTGAATAAATTGAAGATCAATGTCATTCAATATCTTAACAAGGAGAGAGAAATTGACGCACAAAGAAAGTGGAGCACTAGAGCGTATAGATTCCAAGCATACGTGAAAACAGATGAAGAGGCAACAACGTGTATGTGGAAAATTCTAGACAGAACAAGATTTTACAAAGTTCACGCACAAACTTTTAGCGTAGGAGGCTGAGGAGCAGATATTAAAACTTACAAAATTCAGAAAACATGTGCTGTGCTTCACTTGTCCTCGCTTTATAAGGTATTTTTAATTATATACAACTTTTTATTGCGTGGAATGTTACAATAGTTTAAAAAACGATTTTATAATATTGTTTATATTCATTTGCATAGATAGACCATAAGCTTAAACAAGGCTAACAGCCTTTTTTTCTTTACTAAGTTTATGTTAATTAAAATAAATTGATCGTACAAATAAATCCGTAAGAATCTTGTAACACACACAGTTATTTTTTTATTTAAATATATTTTTATCCTTCAAAATACACTAAATTTTAATTTTATTTTCTATAATTTTTATTTTTTTAGTCTCTTTTACTTATATAACTTCACAAAAAAGTAAAATGTGACTCAAAAATTCACAAATAACAACATTTGAGTTGACTACATCATTATTTAACAATAATTGGGACCAAGAGCAATAATTTTTAAAAATATAATAACTAAAACAAGAACATAATTTTATATACAATTCAAAAGGTCAAAAGAATTTGTACAATTTCTCTGCCCAAATTTGATCATTCATCCTAAAAAGGCACTTAACTTTTTTCCCACCCGAATCGCAACGCTAATGATTTAATTATTGTGTCATGCCCGTCTCTCTTTCTTGCAAAGTTTTGCCAGCACTAACAGAAACAGGATCGAGTTTTCAATTTTCTAAGTCTTTATTTTTAAAGCTTAAGATCCATTCCTACTCCCTCCAGCTCTTCTAGTACTGAAAGTAAATCAACCATTATTGAATTTCTGTGCAAAAATGGAGCTCAGGTCCATCTTGAACTAGTGAAACAAACTTTTGTTATATCTGGATGCCAATGGAACTTTGATTATATAAGATGTATGATTTACCGTAGAAAGATATATATAACATATCAGAAAAGAAAGCACGATCTTAAGCAGATCTTCCAATAGATTATGGCTTTGAATTAGCTTTAAATAGATAATCTCTCGGTCTTAATTGTAGAACTACCCCAAATCCCCCAGACATAAACTTTCCACGTGGTACAATTTCTATGCATCCAAAAGCTCGCGATTGCTACATGACTGTCATGATAACATACCTTCGATCTCATAATGAATGTAGTGCACCAAAAATATCAATTACAGGACTAGTAAAGTTGAATAGAACATCTATCATGGAAACATTGCGTTGCCCTTTAAGTCATCTTACTGTGTTGAATAGCATCAGGCTTCCGCATCACTGGCTAAGAAATAAGAGAACATCACTTATCAACCTTTCTAATCTAATATTAATGACCATTGCTTGGACACAGGGTTTCCCCACCCAAGAGGGACCCTCTTCTAAGCGAGCTAGGATCAAATTTAATGAATTGTGTAATAGTATCACCTACTAACCTATAGTTAGCACCCACAAGATAATTCTAGAAGGGCCTTGCAACTTGGAAACCTAATCAGATCATGTCTAATTTACCCCTCACAAGAAAAAATCATGTCTGTCTGTAACTTAGAACAAATATACAAGTGTTATGTAATTGTCAACAGTTCTAGTACGGCATATGATCGTTAGAAGGTAAGTACAAAAGCACAACTAGTCATCCTTAACCCTGTTTGTTTGAGTTAATTTGGTAAGAAATTAAATAGCCAGAGGTGAATAAGGATAGAAATAATGCACTTCAGATTATTTAACTCGTATCTTTATTTTAAGAAAATCTTTTTTCTTTATCGAAATAAATAAAATATTATTTTTATCTAATTGTAATTGTTCTAAATGCTAGGCGGTATCATCTTCAAATTGTAAATGTTCACTTATATCTGGTTTTGATGACATTAACCTAAAATGATGCTCATCATTTGGTACTATGGTATTATTCGTTATCATTATTGTTGAATGAAATTATTGAATACTTGTATTAATAGATGAAAAACAATCGAATACTCTAATTAATTGAATGATTTTTTTGGGGTCAAGTAATAGAATAATTTTGATTACTTCAACGACACTTGGCATTCAAGTGGATCAGAACGGCCACATTAACTAGGATTTTATGGAATGTAAAAGGGTAAAATAGAAACTAGGTGTTTAATGGTTTTTAAAATGTCCATTTGGAAGCATGAGAGACATTATTGGCTGTTTTTCACGAATTGTAAACTTCCTGAAATGGGGAAAATAATAGAATAGTCCTTTCTGGTTAATTTAACTGAATTTGAAGAAGTGTGATCATCAATTTCCTTTCTGAACAAGTTGATCCACTAGAAACAACCTTCTCAGGTAGCTAAAAACTTAATCTATTATGCATTTATTCTTGTGTCTATTGGTCGTTAAACCATTTCTTTGCGTACATTTTAAAACCTGAATGATACTTTCCCCAAAGTTCATTTGGGCCCAAAATGATGATTTAACATTTAAATGCCATATGTCCAGTTGTGCAGTTTTTCGAAGAGAAAAAGGGAAAATCGTATCAGTGTTTTCTTGGACTTAATATTACCTAGAACAGTACATCTTAAGAACAATTGCCTTTGTATAGTTTCCCAATCAATCAAATGAATGTATTGGTTATCCTCTGTTCAAACTTTAAATTGATTTATAATATATAGCCTACAAGTAATATAGACAGAGGAACAACCTTCATTTCAGCCCCTTGATTTGCCCTGATGATGAATTTAGTCTACCATTATAGCACAAGAGAGTTTTACAATTTATTATATTTCCTATGTTCTTTGCGGTAACCTAGGAACAATTAATTTCGAAGTTTTGTTCCCAAATACATAGAACTATCTCAAAATAAAAAACTATTAGGTAATTAGAGAGGAAGGAAACTAGTTTGGACACTTATCAAATAAAATATGAATAACCACATAAACAAGAATTTTAAAACTTTTAAATAGATTTTTAACTGAAGGAAACCTACTATTACTAGTTTAATAAATCAATGGTAGGGAACTTCCTTTGTTTGAGATTAGAAACATGGCAGGAAAAAAATCAAGTCTGTCACAACTTTAACCTTTCAGGTGGTTTGCTAACACATGAGGTTCTATCAGTAAGTTGATGGGTAGTGATGAAGCTCGAGAGTCATTGCTTTCAGAATCAAGAGATCATTCTCATGTCAATGAGAAAAGTGACCTCCAAAGAAGAAGGCCACGGCGTGGCAGTGCTTCAGAGAAAGATTTCAATCACCAAGAACAAAATATTGTCCAAAACCTTTTACACTCACAATGTATAGGTGCAAAACCACAAGCAGAATTCCATTTCAGGCCAATGATCTTGTTGTTAGCTGCATACCTTGGTGTAGGTACCCTATGCTTCCTTTTGACAAGTCATCAAATAAAGGGAATAAAAACCAATGGGTTTCTTGATGCCATTTACTTCTGTGTTGTGACAATGACTACTGTTGGATATGGAGATCTTGTGCCCAATAGCCCATTGGCAAAACTTCTTGCTTGCATTTATGTCTTCACTGGCATGGCTCTTGTTGGGTTAATTCTTAGCAAGGCAACAGATTACATTGTTGAAAAACAGGAAATCTTCCTAGTTAAAGCCATGTACAGGGGTGAGAAATTTGGTCCAGAAGAGCTTTCCAAAGAGGCTGAAACCAACAAAGTTAAATACAAATTCATGCTGGCGGCATCCACTTTCTTGGTGCTCATGGTTGTAGGAACTATTTTTCTGTATTTTATTGAAAATTTGGATTTTGTTGATGCCCTCTATTGTGTTTGTTCCACAGTCACAACTTTAGGTTATGGGGATAAAAGCTTCTCAACTATTGTTGGTCGTACTTTTGCTGTGTTCTGGATATTGAGCAGCACCATGTGTTTAGCACAGCTTTTTGCATATCTTGCTGAATTATATACTGAAGAAAGACAAAGATCACTGGCAAAATTGGTTCTTACTCGAAAGTTGTCACTTTTTGATCTTGAGGCAGCTGATCTTGATGGAGACCAAGTTGTCAGGTAAGGTAGACGAGTACACTTGGTAAAGTTCTAAAATAGCGAGAGAAAAAAAATTGTTTTAAGCTCATACGGATTCTTTTTCTCTCTATCATTTTGCATTGGGAGACGCAGTTTAAGTTCAAATTTATAACATCCAGTTTCTAGCATTGATAGATAGCTCCAACATTTAGTTGAACTAAGACAATTTTTTATTTTTACTTTCCAGCGCTGCAGAGTTTGTTTTATACAAGTTGAAGGAAATGGGAAAGATCAAGCAAGAAGATATTTCACTTGTGATGGAGATTTTCAGAAAACTAGATTTTGATAAATCAGGAACTCTGACAGAAGCTGATCTCGTAATCTAAATCATCTTAATCCTTGACTTGCCTCCTATTTCTCCAATTTCAATTTATATTGTAATCTTTGACCTCATCAACTTGGGGTCACTTGCATCACTCCATCAAATCCTTGATACATTCAAAAGAACTTTGTTTAGTTTGCCATGTAGCTAGTTGACCGTACGACATAAAAGGCTGAACTGAGTGCCAGCCTCTGGCTAAGTCTCTGTCTTGTGACTTATATTATCCACTTTAGTTCATTTTCCTCCTAAGAATATAGCTGTATTTAATAATATCTACTTCTCTCAACCAGATATTGTGTTTAAGGAGATTCATTCAATTTTCCATTTCATATTTAACTTGTACCTAATTCTGATAACACTTACCTTTTTGCTGTTAAACCTAGCCTCCACACAATCGGGACACTCGTTGTACAGGATTGATAGAATTGTCATTTGAACATAAATCTAGACATAGAGTATATGATAGCATTGATCATTGTTCTGAACATCGAAGGGTTCTACCTATCGAAACTAAGCCTGAAGCTGAACAGTGAAAAACCCTTTAGCGTTTAGAAGTTTTGAGCATCCTCAGTATGTTCTGACATGCGTGCTACATAATCCAAGAGCCCTTCACCAGCCTTTTCTCCATGACTTTCAGTTGAGGATTTGGAAACACCTCCAAAGGCTATTATTGCAACCAAGAACACAGTGGTGGAAGCAAACAAAGGCCAAAAATATGCCAGAATGGTCAGGATTCTCGGGGCTGCATATGACAACAAGGAAAAGGACAGCGAAACTGCTATTGCTATGCAGACATGGTATCTATACTGTAGAAACTTTTTTGGTACATCCATGGCCCCTTTGGATGAATGCAATAAGTCCTAAGGGAGAGAGGAAGCAAGGGAGAAAGAGAGAGGGAGGGAATAGAAGTATGGTTATATCTCCAATCCATTAACGAGCTAGACGTTTATACTCTGAAGAGATTCTCAATCGGAAATGATGTCTCAATGATTCTCATAGCTTGCTTGGCCCAGCTGCAACTTATTCTTCTAAAAGCCAAGATGTTTCCTAAACTATCCTCTAATTATTAAATGAAAATCTACCTAAAATTGGTAGCCATGGTAAATATTTATTTTCAGCACTATAGTTCAAGTACTCCAATACATTTTACATAAAATTGATTTTACATTAAGTAAGCAAGATAATTTCAAAGTTACCTAAATGTATAGAAGCAAATAAGAAATTCTTCTTTCCATGGCCATAATTCTGCCACAATTTGTTCACCTCATATTAGATATACCGATATCATTGGCATTAGACTAGTGACTGTGAAAGTTTGCTAGTCACTAAAACAAGCTGACATGAAGCTTTTGGTAACAAACTTCCTAGAGAAATCAATTGAAAATATGGAATGAAGACTGAGTGCACAGGAAACGCATAGATTCTTATTCTTCTTAATGGTGATGTCCTGATGAGTATCAACAAGACAAGAACACATGAATGAATCAATAACATTTGAGACTTGAGAGTCCTATGGACTAAACTTATTCTTGCTTTGGATTTAAGGTTTCTTTAAACTAGACATGGACACTGTCTCCCCCACACGTGGCAACTCCAGGCCTTGAAATCATTATTTCATGAAAGAAAGCAGATAAAAAAATATTATTTAATGAAAGAAAATTCTACAATCATACAAATTCAATTTTAGGAGCCTAAATTCCGATTTCAACATCTGCTTGATATCCTGAAAAGTCGAATTTGCTACTTCTGTAACTCTTAACACTGGTCGTAGAATTTGCGAAATTGAAGTTACAAGAAATGCAAACAAAGTAAAAATCATTAAAGTATGTTAAGATTAAAAAAAATAACTAATGTGATTTTTTTATTTATTTTTTGGGTGAGTGAGATTCTAGACAATGCAACAATTCAGCTGTTAGTATATATTCCATTATCAATTTATTGTTCTTCAACAAAACTACAACTACCTTGGTGACTTTTGATTTACAGAATATGAAGCACTCAGTTTGAGATCACTTTTAATCCCCTTTGAAGGAAAGGGAGAAGATAGGTGGACAAATAATTTATTTTAAAAAATATGTTTAAAATTAATATTTTTTTTAAAATAGAATATGTAAATTAATATATTAATAATATAAACTAAATGTATTAATCATGTATTTATTATTATAAATAATAAATAATTATTTTAATTTAAAATTTAAAAATTTTGACCAACAAAGATTAGTCTAAATAATAAGTGGCTTAATATTGTTTATGTAAAATTTTGGATTCAAATTTTTGTGTAAGTAAAAAATTTTCAGTGATAAACTTACTGTATGACACAGATTGAATCTGAATTAAACTGGATGAAAAAAATAATATTTCTTTACTTTATTAAAAGAATAAGTGATAATAATAAGAGGCTGGGTCCTTTAATCTTGTTTTGTTGTTTTTGGTCAACTCTTGAATCTTGTTCTGTAGTGATGCTTTTGTAACCCATAGTCCACCCTCTCTATCATTATAGTATGGATGCCATTTGAGTCCGTTTCAGGAACCTTGGATTGGATTCAATATCATTATCCATTGCATCATGTTGAATGCATAGTTCCATAAACAAGAATGGTTGCTTACAAAGTGAGAATGAGCTCAACTTACACATCCACTCTGGGTTGGATCTGTTAAATCAGCAATTGAGCCCAATTTCTTATGCAAGAATATATATTAATGATAGGTCAGAGGGTGAGTACAACTTGAACCGTCGTAAAAATATTTAGAAAAAGAAAATATATTTAATGATAATGATATTCTTGTTATATATTTTTAGTTTGAAATTATATTCAACGTTCAACTAATTAGTAGAATTGTTATTCGTAAACATTTTTCGTTTATAAATCGCTTCATTTCAAGCATTGAAATATATTGTCCTCTGATTTTTACCTCTGATGCTAAACTTCACTTTGAAAAAATGTAAAGCGTACACAAGCAATTTAAAATAAAACTAGCTAATAATAAACAAGTATTTAAAGCAAAACACAATAGGGTAGTTGAGGACATATAGGCATAATAATCAATGGATAAGGATAGAAAACATCTGGAATTGTTTTATGCCTAGAAGCTTCTATTATTTATCATCTTGAATCAGTACTCTTAAATCCTTCACGTTGAATTCGATAAAAGAAAACCTTCAGGTTACATTATATATTTGTTCATCCTTATCCATTGTATTTTTATTTTTCCGAGTGTGCCAAATTATTATGTTCATTCTTAAAAAATATTGATATTTTTAAATATAAGTGTTAATAAAATAAACAAAGTACCAGAATATTTATTGGAATTTGGTCAATTTGGAGTTTTATATAATTTAAACGGTGTTATTAATTTTTGGTTTGTTTTGGAACCTTATATTTTTATGAATGTACCAACTCAAACCAACAAAAAGCATACGCCATATGGAGAGGACCACCTGAAGCTTAGCTTGATCCCACTTTCGTTACATCACTACCAAACAGTGATTAGTAATTGCAAAATTCTAACATGAAATCATCAAGTTCAATCAATCATATTTCATCGGAAAACTCTTTCTATATGCCCTTGTATTGTGTTGTTGGTAAAGCCCTTCCTTCCCTTTGTCGCGTTTCCTAATAAAAATAAAACATACCAACAATTGCCATTTGGCTTTGGCCTTGTGTACCAAAACAGCTGTAGCTACGAACATTAAAAAATATTGTTTTTTTAATAATTGTACTTATAAGCAAAGACGAGAAGTTCTCTAAATATTTATCCAAATTTATTGTTCTTCCAAGTCACTTTAGTTCGTCGCTTTCAAATTCGATCATCATCAAGATTACACCTCATTTCCTTCGCTGTAGTCGCAGTCTTATCCGAGTGAATTCCACCAAGTTATAGAGAAATGATCTCGTAACGATTTTCGCGGTTAAGCAATTCAATAGTCCAAAGTGATATTTTTCTATCCACACAGATAGAACATGACAACTTCAAAGAGTTAATTTTGGTGAATAGTTTGGTTACCAAGTCAAAAATTTCGTTTTTCTAACCCCTATACCCTTTCAAGAGTTAATCATATCTATTCTCAATCACTGTTATGTTAGCCCTTGTAATAATGTAAGTAAGGATCCTGTTTATCTGAATACTAATTAATACTGAACATTGAAGCAAACGGTGTCAGCAAATTGAAAGAATGTTTTGCTTTGCAACCTATGTCACCAACTAATGCAGTAACGCACTACTCTGTTACTCTGCAATATGATTGATGCCGAACTTTATTGTTCCCCAGCGCAATGAATTGATGTATTAGGTTGGACAAAATAATTATTATTATTTTCATAAACCAAAAGTAACTTTTTGATTAACCTTATTTAAATCAAGTAATATTATGCTATGTTTTACCCCAAGATGGAAATGGGATGGTTACGAGTTTAACTGACTAAAGAAGTCATTGTTAGTCCCATTTGTTTGGTACATTTGTTTGAGAATAAAACGGCATGAAACATCCTTAGTCCTTTATCCATTTCCCTTATAACAGCCTAATAAAAATAAAGGTCATTGATTCATTATCCTAACAACTTTTGTTTTAAATTTTTGAAATTCATCTAACAGAAGATATATAGGAGTAAAAGTTAGTGGGACACATAAAAGGAAAAATAACCGTTACAATCAAGTGTTAAGGAGTAGCCGGCTTGGCCGGCCTCTTATGCCTATGATTAGTCAAGTTTGCTTCACCAAAGGGGAAGATCATCTCATGCCTCTCTTTGTGGTCAATTCCTTATACGAAACGAAGTCTTTGAACAACTCTAATTATTTTATATGTTGTCATGAAAACCTCCATTTGTTGTTGTTTTTGGACTCGGCCTACTTTGTCATTTAGCAGCACCTAAAATGGGAGCCAAAGTACCAAACCAAAGCATTGTGTATATATAAGCCACTAAGTTCTCCCACCCATTTGTTGTTGAACTTTGGTTATTCTATATTTGTGCATTTCCCAGCGCCAAGAAGAAAAATGGTGACCTTTGAAGAGCAATATGGAGAAATGCTTCCACTTGTCCAACCAGACCCACTAGTGTTGGAGATTAATCGTTTGCAAAACCAACTCAAAGGTTCTTATCTCTATTTGTTCTTCTATCTTTTCCTGTTCAGGTGTGGAACACTAAACCAATGGCATTGACGTTATATAGAAATTAAAGTTTTATATCTATTCAACTTAAAATGGATTTGGTTTGGTTTTATGTCAAACCAATCCATGCACAGCCCTACATATTGATATGCTTTCTTTTTTATAGATTGCCTTTAATATTTCGTTCTCAAGAAATCATAGTTTTCTTCTTGCTCATCAAGATGAATAAGTTGAAAATAGTTTAAGAATATTATGGCATCCTCATATCAGTGGCTCATCTATAAACCTTGTGATGACTCAATTTGGTCGTCATTGCAGAGAAAGTTAAAGAACTAGAAACTAGTCAGGGTGAAATCAAAGCCTTAAGGGCAACTGAAGCTCTGAAGGATAAGGCCATAGTAGAGGTACTTCTTTTTAAATGCAGTTATACAAACTCTCCCTATGATACACGTACTCCCCCCTGATAATTTTTTCTCGAAATTTAAGTTGGAAACTCTTTATCTAAAATAATGCACATGACGTATCACAAGTAGCTTGATGCCTTATGGACCATTATACCATGCATGTCACAACAGAAAATTATTTAATTATATATTTAGTTGCATTAAATGAAAAAATTTTAGAACTTTCTTCCAAGTCAGTACTAATATTAGCTATAATTCTCTTTTCTCCACTTTCAGTTGAGAAATGAAGTCAGTAAACTAGACGAGAGACATGGAGTTACAGAGGATCATCTAAAACAAAAGGTACATTCATCTGGTACTAGTATTTCTTGGAAGTTGGAACCATGTCCAACAACACAGGACACAAAATCAAATGCATATTTTTCAAAATCTATTCATATGCAGAATCTAGAAATCAAGAAACTGATAGATGAAAAGAAAGGTGCATTGGCTGCACAATATGCTGCAGAAGCAACACTTAGAAGGGTACATGCAAATCAAAAGGAAGAAGATTTTGTTCCAATTGAGAGTGCCATTGCTCCTCTTGAAGCTGAGATCAAAATGTATAAGAATGAGGTAGAAATGGTGCAATTTCCATCAAGGATGTATTAAAAAGGAAATAACAAAATGTAAGTGAATTTTGTGCACTTGACAATACTAACTAACAAGTAATGTTCCGATTTGGCTTCATAGATTGCAGCACTTCAAGAAGATAAGAAAGCTTTGGAACGGCTCACAAAGTCAAAAGAGACTGCATTGCTAGAAGCAGAGAGGATTTTGAGAAGTGCACTAGAGAGGGCTCTAGTAGTTGAGGAGGTTCAAAATCTGAACTGTGACTTGAAGAGACAGATTGAGATCTGCCAGGCATGAGTTTCTATGTTTGCTTTTTCATATTTGGTTTCCATAGTGAATTGTAAGTGTCTCAGCCAATTACAACTACCAAAAACAGGAGGAAAATAAAATCTTAGAGAAAAACCATCGGCAAAAGATTTTGGAAGTTGAAAAGCTTAGCCAAACCATTCAAGAACTTGAGGAAATCATCTTAGCTAGCGGAGCTACTGCTAATGCGATTCGTGATTATCAGCGACAAATTTCTGAATTGCAAGTAGGCATATCTTAGGGAGTTGCTAGCATTCTGAATTTATTGTTGGTTGATCAATATTGTTACTTGGTTTTGCATAATTTTTCAGGAGGAGAAAAGGACATTAGAGAGGGAGCTAGCAAGAGTAAAAGTCTCAGCCAACAGAATTGCAAATGTTGTGGCTAATGAATGGAAGGACGAAAATGATAAGGTCATGCCTGTTAGGCAATGGCTGGAAGAAAGAAGGATTATGCAGGTATGTCTTTATAAATAAATTTTTATTAAGTTTCTAGTTACATTTTTTAAAAATTTTGGGACAAAACTGAATATTTTACTTTATTTAAAAAATTACTTCTTCTATCTCTTTAGCCAATTTTATTTTAAAAAAATAACAGTCATTTTTAATTTTAAGGTAAAATTAACTTTTGTATCTCTATCTGTTTATTTATTACATAATACTTTTTATAAAATAAGATAAGTAAATGCTTTTTTTAATTTGTGTCACAATCTCACACAACTATTTTTCAGAGATAAATAGAATAGTAAATAATTAAACTAACAACTTAGTTGCTAAATTATTTGAAAATTTTTAATTAGGTTTTTGTACTTAAACAGAATCTTAATAAAAATATAATGAGACACAATTAAAAATAATTTATAAATGTAAGGACCTAATTACCAACTTTAAATTAAAAATACTTGACCTTTATAAAATTGAGCAACAATTTTCTATAATCAAGTACGTCCCTGCATATGTAGGCAGAGATTCAACGCTTGAAAGAGAAGCTAGCTACATCAGAGAGAACAGCTAAGGCAGAGTCACAATTGAAGGTACTTATCCCACTTATTTTTCTTCCATGTAAGCACCTAAATCAATTTTTAACGTACCACTAAATTTATCTGCTGTTTACTCCAGTATAAACTGAAGCTGAGGCTAAAAACAGTGGAGGAAGGCTTAAAGCATTTTTCAAGTTATCCAATCATTTCAAATATGTCTTCTGGATCTCCAAAAGTAGAAAAGTCTAACATCTTAGGTTTCCTAACAACAAATGGTGGACTGAGAAAGAGATCCGCATCACAACCAAGGGCATCCACTGTTGGAAGCTCTTTGTTCCCGCAACCAAATATAAGAAACAACACAGACAATGTTGATGGGAATTTAAAACAAGGGAGCCCTGCTAAGAAGAAATACAGTTCCACAGAAAATATGTTGAAGAACGGAATATGGGCATCAAGAAGTAAAGTTGCTGATAATGGTGAAAAGGAAAATGAGATGCAGGTAAACACAGACGTTACTTTCAACAGGTGCAATGGTGAAAGAGAAGCAGCAGAGATTAAAACTACTGTTAGTGTGGATGAAGACTCTGAAAGCAAGAAAGCGGATGATTCAGGCAGTGACGATGTGGTCTCAGGTTTTCTATATGATAGGCTGCAAAAAGAGGTCATCAATTTGAGGAGGTCTTGTGAAGTTAAAGACAGTAGTTTACATGCTAAAGATGAAAAGATTAAGGTAATAGTACTAAGTACTAACAGCTGTGCCCCGCCTTATCCCTTCTCACATTGAACTAAAGGTATAATATGTGTTCTATTCAGATGCTCATAAAGAAAGTTGATGCACTGACAAAGGCCGTGGAAGTAGAGTGGAAGAAAATGAAAAGAGCAGCAGCTTATAGAGAGAAGGAGGGTTCATCAACAAAATCAGATGATAACAGAAAAAACAACAGAAGCACAAACTCCTCCAAAAGGTTCTGTAACTTGTCTTTTTGGGTGTGGCTGCCACCTCTTAACTGTCAACTTAGTTTAAGACTAACCGTAACAATGTTATAAATTTGGTGCAGGGGATGAAAGAAGGTCGACCATTCTTTATGTGGAGATGGTTAAAGACAAGTTATTTGTCAATGACATCTTGTGATATTTCTTTGTAAATACAGAAAATTGGTGAGGTGGTATCATGAAATAATTTCCGCTGGGGAAAGGGAGCTTGGGAATCTGATTCTGTACAAACAGTAAACACAAGTATTCGGTGTTTTCCTCTGTATTTTGATAAATAATATCTTTTGTGATTGTGAGTTTTACACACTAGCCAAGTTTGCAAAAATGCTGCAGGGACATGAAACACGAGGAACACTTGTAAAACAAGTTTTAATTTTCCAACAAAAAAGAGTTCACCTAAGACGAGTACAGAGAATTGTTCTCCAGTGATTTCGAGACTTATACTTAAAAATAGTAAATATTGAAGTCATTATTTTGACATAACTATAGCTCTCTTCTGGTTGAGAATTGAATTGAAACATCTACCAGCGGTAGTCCTGGTTGACTACATGTCAAACTTCAAATCATATTTCTGAAAACAACTATGCAGTAACTGATTTCATGCTATCATGTAATATAGAGAAGTAGACTCGATGAATTCTACCACTATATCACATAAGAAATTGAAATGTGTGGAAGTATCTTGCACTCATTGGCTCATTGAAAAGATGAGAAAAATTCAGCATTTACTACACCAATGGTCTGAATGCAGAAGTCTTAGACTTCACAGAATCAGAAAGAAAACAAGCAAGTATCAGTTACACACATAGGTGCTGCATTTCAAGAATCAACGGGTAAACATCACTAATTTCTTGAGAAAATACAACTTAATATCTGTGAGGAAATTTTAAGAAAACCAAAAATAATTAGTTGCACAATTTGTCACAGAAAAGCTTAAACTCAATTCTGCTATTTAATATTTCTGCACCTATAAAGGCATTTGGTAAAGGATGCACCCTCGCAACCCAGAACATTCCCTGAAGCGAGCAACTAACTATACTTTTGGATTTGGAAATCCACTGCTCCAATTAACAGCAATTGCAATTGCTCCCTAGTCATAACAATCTTCACTTTCCTTGCTTTCACATTTCTGTTGTCAGTTATCCAACAAGGTACCATAGCCTCAAGAGATTGTGTCAGGTATGGTGCAAGACAGTAAACCTCCCCAGTATGCAGCTTCCTGCACACCCCTACATAGCGTTTATTAGAAGCACAATACATATTTTTAACCAGCTCTGAGGCATTGAACTCTTTCTCCTCCTTCAAGCAGAGGACCTCTGCTTTTCTTCTTTGGTTCAAACTGAAAAGCCACACGGTTTCCCATTTGTGCAGGATCAAATGAACTTGAGACTCTTAACATTACATATAGGAATATTTTGGTCAACTAAGTTACAAGAAAAATTAACGTGCAAACCATCACACTGCTTTCGTTCTGATTGACTTCCTTAAAAAATAGTTCTTTTCAGTCAAAATACTCAATGTCATGGCCATACACTCTAAGGATGAATTCAACTACCAATGTCATGGCATATGAGCTCCATAAGACCTACCATTTTCACTTTACTAATATTTTGCAAAAGAATGCAAATTTTAATAAGACTCAAAGTCAAACCTACTACTCATAATTATTCGATATAAGGATTAAGGAACAACTATTGTGGCCATAAAAAGGTCAACCTTAACCATGCCTTCCACTCTTTCCTTTTTTTCTTTAAATTGTTCGGAAAAAAGAGAAAAAAAAACCGAAAAATCACTTGCCCTATGTTGTTCATTATAGAACACAGAACGGTGTATCGTTGTGTGTGTGTGTGTTGGGGGGGGTGTTCTCCGGCGCAAGTTTGTTGCTCTCGACCATCTCACTTGTGGTCCTACAACAGATATACCCCAGTTCACTAAATATTGGCTGGTCAAGGTAAGTTAAAAGTAGATGCCCCTTTACTTTGTCTTTACCCTCTACCTGGAAGATGTGCCACATCGATCTTGCCATTAAACTAGGAACACATGCAGCAACATGTGTAAGAAGGAAGACCCCATTTTGCCTTGTGTACTTGTCTCTGCCAACTATCACTTCCATTAGTTTGTTAATTCAATCAACACTTCTACAGTCTTCAATAAAAGGAATCTGAAAAAACTCCTGAGCCAAGAAGAATTTACATTTATCCTTTCATGTGTAAATGATATTTTGCAGATGCTAGCAGTTACTTTAGCATCCGCACATTTTACATAAATTGATGAAAGTAACCTTAACAAGGTTGACGCCAAATGGGGTTTGTATCGCACCTCAAAAAGGAATATTTGGCAAGAAATGCGTACGTATATTTCAAAGAAATATACAATTTCCTAGATCCATTAATTGCAAAGAAACCTAGCCAGTAGCCAACAAACTAGATAATATATAGCAGTATCAGCTCTTCATTTACTCTACAAGACATCCAAAATTAAATAATTATTATATATGAATCTAATACAAAAAATTTCCTCAAAAGACAGAAAATTGCATAAAAACTGCATGGCGTATCATTCCCTGAAATAACATTTATCAATGGAGAAAAGCTGTTGTTGGAATCCCTTAAGACCATGGAGATCAGAAATCATGTTGCAACTAATTCAGACGAACCCCTCGACTCCAGCCATGACTTGGCTGCGGCCTGTGTAGTCAAAAACCAGCCAGCCTTATCCGGAGCCTCATGGAATGGAGCATCAAGTTCCATCAAATGTGATTCAACTACACTCGCCAAACCTTTGTCTGAATACCTGTGTTTCCCATGACCAGTATTAATTCCAAGCAGTGGAGGAAGATTCTCTCCTGATTCCAAAGCTTTAGACAAATCATTTATCCAAACATGTAATGCAGTCAGCGCAGCTCCAAGTGAGAGACTCTTTAGATGCAGAGACCACTGGGTTTGAGACTTGGACTGTATGTCTGTATATATCTCACGGGTCAACCCCAGGTCCAGAAGCTCACATGCTCTGTCCAACAAATTCAGGTTGACACAAAGATCAATCAGAGAATTGCAAAAGGCCTTCGTTACTTCATTGGCAATTGAATTGAAGAGTTCAGATGCTTCTTCTCTAAACTCTCCATCACCCTCCTCTAGCCCTTCCACCAAATATCTTACCACTGACCCAAGCCTTGGATTTGCCTTCTCCACACAATCAATCAGCTTACCAAGTTCTTCTTTTGGTGTCTGGGTCATTACATTCAGAAGACAACCACAGAAACGGTCATCTGGAGTGATGCCCAGATCCAAGAGTTGATTAAATGTCTTCACAACATCATCAGTGCGCTTGGCTTTTCCATAGCACTGGACAAGTGACGTCAGAACAAAAATAGTAGGCTGAAATCCAGATTCAACCATTTCATTCAACATTCTTTCAGCCTCTGAAACGTTCCCACTGCAGGAATATACGGTAATCAAGGACGAGTATGTCCAACTGTCAGGAAGGCAAGTTGAAGCACTTCTCATGTCTTCAAAAATTTCAAGTGCTTCTTCAATGAGGCCAAGATCAGCACACATGGCTAAAAGGGTGTTATAAAGATGGGTATTCATTTCCATTAGCTTTTCCTTCATTTCCTTATAAATAACGAGAGCATCTTCGCTGTACCTCCCTCTACCATAAGCTCGTAACAGAGATGCATAAGTTGCCCAATTTGGCGAAAATCCATTATTCGTCATCTCTATATGTATAGTCTTAGCCTGCCAGGGCCTCTTAGCTCTCCCCATTGCATCCAACAATGTGTTATAAATAACCATATTAGGCTTAACACCAAGAACCTTCATTTCTTCGTAGACATTTAAACATCCATCATAATTCCCCGCCACCCCATACATCTTAATCAACGTCGAGAAGGTAACAGTATCAAGGCGCCAATTCTCAGTCCTGGCACGATCATACAGGTTCAAAGCCATATCAATATTACCCGCCCTGCCATAAGCATCAATCATAGCCGAATAGGTAACATCATCAGGCTCACAGTCGAAGGAGGGCATCTTTTCAAACCACTCCACAGCCTTACTCGGCAAAGAAGAAATCCTAGCACAGCTAATTATAGTCGAAAAAGTAACATTATCAGGCTTGACCCCTCTCTCAATCATTTCATCAAACAGCTTCTCCATTGCATCCAAATCCCTACATTTCCTAAACACCTTGAGGGTGACATTGTAAAGAATGACTTCCCTGGAGGGTCTAGTTCTTCGTTGAAAGTATTGAAGAACGAGGGGGGCAACATGGGAATTGGTCATGTTATTGATAACAATGACAGCGTCTTGCTCTAGAACCTTACCCTCTAAGTCCTTCAAAACTTGAGAAACATCCTCTTCAGTGGGATTGCAAGAGTCCAAAGAGTGGGCGAGTTTGGCAAGAGAAGTGTACCTGGCATCATAAGATTTCCTCTGAAGTTGTTTGGCGCGAGGGCTTCTGGGATTGACCCAGATGTAACTACTTTTCGAGGAGGAAGAGGACGAGGACGAGGATTTTGCAAGTGGGTCATCAAAAGTTGCGTCTTGTGGAATGGGTTCGTGCAAGGAGACGTGAGTGGCACGGAGAGGGGTTTTGGGTTGTGGGGTGAGAGAAGAAGAGGGTGAATTTCGAGGTTTGAACTTGCGAGAAGAAGAAGGAATGGAGGGTATGTCATGGAAGAGAGAAGAAGGTGAAGAGCAAAGATGGTAAGCCATTTTCGCGCACTCTGTTCTGCGTGCCTCTCACAGGGCAGCCTTATCGCGCACCGGAGACAGCCCCTTCGACAAATATCTAATTGAGAAACAAAACCAGAGAGAAAATCATAAAATAAAAAATAAAATAAAAACATTTATATTCAAAATTAAAATAAAATTCAAAGATGATGCTGGCATTCCTCTGTCAGTGTGTGTCGTTAATCTGATGTGTATCTTTAATTTATTTATTTTTTATAAGTCAATTTAGTTAAGAAAATATGCACGCATAAAAAATATACTTCATTAAAAAAACGATTAATCAACAATATTTTCCTCTTAATTATTATTAGTTTTTTAGTAAAGTAAGAACACTGATTTTTAACGATGCATGAATATATATATATATATATATATATATATATATAATAAAATAAAAATGTTGTAACCAATAATGTTTGAAATTATTGGTTTAGGGTTATAATATTTAATCATAGATTAATTCATTTGTCTCAGGATTTGATTAGAAAATAGAGTGAAAAAAATATTTTAAACATTGCACTTTATATTACAACACTTCTAAAGGGATTGAAAAAAAAATGACACAAAAGTTAATGTTATTTATGAATATCAACAAGTTAAAGAAAACATGAAAAAGAAATTTGCCTCTACTTTGACGAGTTAAGCATTAAATAAAAGTATATGAAACTCAATATTTAAATACCTTAAAATTTTATATATACGAGAATAAGACAATGGGAACAACAACGCGAGCAAATTCTTCTATCCCTTTCTCCAAACTTTGTTCTTACTGGTATTATAAATACTAAACACATAGTTTATATTTGAGTTTTATTTTAGGTTATCTTCGTATTTATAAGAAAACTTTGATATAGTACTTCACTTGGCTTCTTCTTTTTTTCCTTCTATCTTGAGAGGGTATTACTTGAAAAAGGTTTTCAAAGAATATTAGGGTTTGAACCTAAAGAGGACAATAAAAGTGAACAACTTTATTTTAAATGACAGGTACCGAATGTAGTCTTGGGCAGGTGTTTGAGATAAATTTATTGAAAAATTTACCGTAAACAATACGTAATGAACATAGTTTTGGGTTTGCATTATCAACTAGTATAAATTTGAGAGTTAATATTTTTTTTTTTTCCTTTCGATTTTGTATGCCAATGCATAAGGGTGTATTCATCAAGTAGCTTTGGTATTTTAGTAATAAAATTTCATAAATTGTATAAGTTTCATCAAGTCAATCACTTGTTACATTTAACTGACAATTACTTAACTAGTTTTGTTTTTGAAACATGCAAAAATTCAAGGAGCCAAAACTCAATTTAACCCATCATTCTTATTTTATTTTTTTTTAAATCTTAAAATTAAAATTATTTTTATCTAACAAAATTCTTGGTGTAGACATTGTAAATTTATGCAAACAATATAATATATTATATTAACAAATTATTTTGTTGATATAAAATATTGATATATACTATCATGTAAACGTTAGCATAATTTTTCTAAAGATTTAATATTTTTTGTCCGTTAATAACATTTTTATAATCAAAAGGTAATAAAAGGTCTCAATTATTTTAGTTGATAAAGTCATTTGTAGTTAACTATAACATTTTAATCACGCCTTTATTTTTCCCCCTTTTATAAATAAAATCATAATAATATGTAACCTTACTATCGTTAAATATTAATAATTATGGTGCATATGATCAGCCGTACCTATTTGAAAGTTTTTATGGTTTTGCTGCTTTGCTTTTAGGCAAAAGCCAAGAATCCAAAAAAGCTTTGTTTAATGGAATCTTTTGCAAGTGTTCTAAAAAGAGAGAAAGGAAAGGGAAAAAAGGGCTTCCACTTCTTGAGAGTACGGTTTGGAACAAAAGTTACTTATTTCCTTTTTCTTTTTACGAGGAACACCAACACGTATTGGTGTTATCTGAGAGTTCGCAGTTCACAATGAGATTTACGAATATATATATAGTTGGCACTAATTAAGAAAGAACAGGGAAAAGAAATTATATGCATTTTGGTGGCCAATAATTTAATGATTTGCTATAAATTGTATAACATAAACTAAACATTATCTTCACCTGAAAGCAACTGTTATCTCTCTGGATTGGGATTGTCAAGTCCTTTTCAGTTTTCACTTCTGCCATAAGAAAACCTTTCTTCAAATTTTACTTTTCTTCTTCTTTGTTTGAAGAGGCAGCATTAAAGTGAATGTCGGCTGGATCACTCTCGACTATGATATAACGTTCTACAGTAATCAAATCCATATAAATTAATGAATGAGTTCATTTTACACTCCTTTATTTTGCTCAGTTTTATCTCTTTACTCGTAAATATTTTCGATGGATCTTTCTTTTCAAATGGAGGTTAGTTTTTGTGGAAAGTTCCTTTTGTATATTATTAATTCCCCTCGTATTGTGTGTGATTCCGTGTATATGGATCTAAGAAAGGTGGTGTTGGTAGGAAAGAAGAGGGTGATGGTTGTCAACTTGTCGTTGTCTATTGAGGTTACCCATCAATGACTAAAGCATTGGCAGGCAAAGTTTATTCAACTTTGTCTAAATTAAGACAATATAGATAACCAAGGTCATTTTTACTTGTCTATTAGAAAATAAGAAAAAAAATATAGTGTAATCAAGTAGTTTCATACGAAAATGAGCATAATGAGTGTCTTTTAAGTACAAAGTTAATTTGTACTCAATAAGTATGGTAATAGGACCTTTGTAGAAACAATAAATTGAGGGTCATTATCGTGACTCATGAGCTAATTAACTAATATTAATTGGTGGGGTGATTGCGGTTAGAAAGTTGTTTTATTTTGTGAGGAAAATAAAAAAAAGTGCAATTCAACGTGTCACATTGATAGGGATTAGCTGCCCACCATTTAAAGTCCAACCAAAGCAGTGCCCTTTTCAGCAAATCCAACAAATCCACTTCTCCCCCCTTCCTTAGAACCAAATGCACTGCACAAAGATTAGTTAGATGATCCATTAATTGCAACTAATATGTATGCAAATAAACTTTACTAACTTGTCAAAATGTAAGATATGATGGTATATATTATTATTAGTTACACGATTAGTATAACCTTTATTCTTTATAGCCCCTCCTATCATACATATTGCTCCCAATTAACGAAACACTGTAAGGTACTAACAAATTAACAACAAAGACGGTTCCTGGAATTATTGAAGACATGGGAATAGGATGGTTGATGAGCGTGAGAGAAGGCCCAATAATAACGAGACCCTTGCATGCATGGCGAGAAGTGACAGGTTCGATGAATTGGAGTGTGCAGCAGTGAACAATAATAAAGGGATGATCCAGAATGAGATCACATAATTGTGCAAGAAGAGGTGTTATCTTCACAGAAATACTCATCGCAACGGCTCACGTAACAAGGCCTGCCCCCACCGTAACTATCATAAACAGGCCTTCCATAATACGCGTCATAACAAGGTGGAGGCCTACCATACCCCTCAAAGCATGGCCCACCAGGCCGACCTTCATAGCATGGTACACAGCACACCCCAATTGGAACCACTGGCGGTGGCGGACACGCCGGAGGTGGAGGACACACCGGAACTGGAGGAGGGGGTTCAGGCTTCGGCTCCGGTGGCGGCGGGGGTGGGGGCTTTTCTTTCGGCTTCTCGGGCTCCTTCGGCTTCGCTGGCTCCTTCGGCTTTTCGGGCTCCTTCGGCTTCGTTGGTTCCTTGGGCTTTTCGGGTTCTTTCGGCTTCTCTGGTTCCTTGGGCTTTTCGGGCTCTTTGGGCTTCTCTGGCTCCTTCGGCTTTTCGGGCTCCTTAGGCTTCTGTGGTTCCTTGGGCTTTTCGGGTGGTTTTGGCTTGGGAGGTTCCACAATTTCGATGCTTTTGATAAGACCACAACCTTTGCAGCAAAGTTTGTCCCTGATCTTCTCAGGATTGCAGCATACCACCGTGATGGTCACGATGTTGTGCTTCTCGTCGTACACCTGGTCTCGGATTTCTCTTGTTCACAAAAATTCAATCACCCCAAAAATCAACTCAATTTGATATCTCTTACTATATATATTTATATATATAAGTAAGTTATATATGCATGCAAGTTGATTTTCGATATCAGAGCAATAACAAGTGAATGAAAATTAAGTACGTGATCAGAGACTCACGAGGGAATTTGCAGAGAATCTTCTTGACCTTTTTGTAGCATTTGTCGCACTGAAGATCAACCTTGAGCCTCATTATGGTCACCTGATGAATTAACGTGATCATAAGAGCAGGATCCACCAATTAAAACAACGAAATTGAACTGTACATATATATATATATATATCGAAGTGATCATCTAATAGAAAGAATGACATGTATATCTGGAGTGGACATGTGACAATATAATCAGATAGAATTAGAAGAGTACCAGCCAAGAATGAACACATTCTTATTTAATAATTAAAACAACAATAACCATAAAAATTGAATATTTATCAAAATGGGCATTTAACAAAATTGAAGACTAACAAGAAAATACAATAATTTGGATTAGAATGAATATCCTCGAACCTTTTCCGCCATGGGTGTGGTGTAGGAGAGTTAAGATCTGAGGCACAGAACAAAAGAGATATGGAAAAAGAATAAAAATAAAAAGGAGTGAGGAGTAACGAACGAAAGTGAGCATTGGGGGGAAGAAAAGAAGAGAGAAGGGCGGCTTAAGAAGGCACCAGCTCAAAGAGTAGAACCAATAGAATGGAGACACGTAGCGTTACGACGTTGGATCATGTAAAGATTGTCGTTACATGGATGAACAAGGTGAAGGTGAAGCAACTCGAAGAGTGTCTTGCGTTGACACGTAGCATTGCCTACTCTGCAATTATTTGAACTTTAATAACACGTGCTCCCTTCATTCACACGCTTCACCGTCAAGAATTTCAAACTATATGTCCAAACAAATTAATAACACTAATAACTAAATCTATATTTTCAAAGATATTTCATATTTTTCTTTCATTTATAAATGTGCTAACCACTGATCACCTGTTAATTTTATATAAGAGAAATGACTTTTTCTTACCACTAATAGTTTTCACTAGCAACTTTAGTAGAGTTTAAAATATATGAAAATAAAAACGAGAGAAATATTGGATAAATTTTGCAATAATTATACTCTGGGCTTTATTAATTAGTTTGGTGATGTGCAATGATGATAACGCACTATGACATGGCCACCGTAACGTGTCTCCAAGCCTAGTTTATAGAACGTATCCTATCTTACAGTACAGAAGAGTGAAGAATGAATTTGTAGGCATTGATTACTGATTTATTCCACGATCAAAGAAGATGGGTTCGTTTCATAAGTCGTATGCATAAGTGGGAAATGATAAGAGCAATAATTAAGCAATAAAGCAAGTCTGACTTAATTAAATTAAGCACATTTCTATCTCTAAATATAAATATTGTATCCATTACACATTTTATAGATGATGTATCTTTTTTATTTAATGTTTATTAAGAATTTAAGAGAGATATAAATTTCAATATGGGACGATTCATTTCAAGTTATTTGGGCCTTTTTTATTCATTACTTGGGCTTATTTTTTGTTGACAGGAAACGATAGTGGTGTTAACAATTTTGTGGATTCTGATTTGTTACTAGGCCTACAACTGGCCAATGGTCCTCGGCCCGTGCTGTGTTGGGCTCAACAAATTCGGCCTGGCCCACAAAAGGACTCTAAATATCTGCTATTTTCATATTTTTTATTGTATTTAAATTAAATTATATTATTTGCGGGACCACCATGCAAAACATCTAGAACTAAAATTGACAAATTGACATGGTCTTTTTAAGCTTTCAGGGTTCCATAAGAAATCAAATTTCAGCATCACCCTTTTCATTCAGTGGAAAGCTCATCCATATTTAGCTGCTGCTCGGCACTAGCACTGGCAACTTACTCCATTTGGTTCAGCATTCATCCATCACCTCCTCATTCTGTTCCACTTCATTTTTCATTTAAAATTTGATATGTATATGTTAATTTTAATTTACTAGAAAACATCTATTTTATTCTTTTTGGTACACATCTTAAAGGGAGAAAGCGAAACGATTCATAGAAGTAATTAAAGAAGGAAAACCCATAATGTTTCGATCCAAATGAGCAAAGAATTTGAGCTACACATATTTTCTTGGCCACGGGATATCATGTCACATTTCATCCAATTGATTAATTGAATCCACATAAGATGCTCGGCAGCAAAAAAACAAAAGAGAATATGGAATTATAAAAGGAGGGTAAGTGACAGTGACAATAAATTTGGTAGAAGCAAGTGGAGTGTATTTTAATATTTTGAGTTTGTACGTACGCGTATGGCTTGATTGAGATTCTTTAGGTTAAGGACATAAAAGACATCAAATTAACTTTATTGCTTTGGTTTATTTATTCTCTTTTTCTCGTACCATACCCGTGCCATACCATTAACGCATCACTGTGTATGTTTTTTTCAACCATTTTTATTTACTTTTTGGTTATATAGATATCGATTATGGGCTCAAGGCCAGCGTCACCTTCTAAGACCCACCATCCTTTGGATTTGCGATTCCACAAAAAATCATAATCTTCCTTCAAGCTTCATAAATCTGACCAAAAACCTTCATAAACGGTGGTCTCCATTTTCTGTCTTCGTATAATACTTATTCACAGTCACATATTCACGTTAGAGTTGTTAAAATGGGTTGACTAGCCTCACCTTGTCCTGTACAGAAAGCCAAGTAAGTTCTGTAACAAGACATAAAAAGAACAATTCCATTTGTAAGAACGTGTGAGGAGTAATCAACAAAAAGGTACAATACAATGTACATGTCTTCAAGACTAATAAACCAGTTCCACCTATGATTAAGAAAAGGGTACAAATGTGTCTCAAACAGGTGCCAAAATATGCTAACAATAATTGAAAAAAACTAAGCAACAATGCTTATTACTGAGAATCACTTAAAAATAAAACTACATTTTGCATTGAATATCTCGGCGAGTATGTGAATTCATTTTCTCTTCTCTCTAGTTGGTTGTAGTTCTCTCTCAAGAACAGGCTTTCTAGTGTGCCCTAATTTCAATTTAGACAAGTAAGATATTAAGTGGCTTTATACATTTGAGTCCTTATTCACACAGGAAGGAAGAGATTTCAACACTCAACAATAATATTAAGTAGCCTCGCATAATTTTGTATGTCACCTAACTTCTTCTTTTAAAATTTTACAAACTATATTTCCTCATTGCTTAAAATGTGCATTAACAATTTCTCAGTCAGATATTTTTCAATTTATGCAAAAATGGATGTCCAATTTTATTTTTATTTAAATAAATTTAAATTTGTTTTAAAAAATGGAAGTAAATAGTAAATTTACATAAAATTTTATAAATTTAGTTAAGCCAATTAAATTTGTTTAAACGAATGTTGACCTTTACGTACAAATATAATAGATATTTTAATTAAAAATTATTATTATTAATTACTTAATCACAAACCCGGAGACTTGGATTATATATTATCTTAAAAAACAATATCTTTCTTGTGCGAATGTCAATTATAGATATTGCCTTAATTGTAAAATTAATTCAAAAGTCATTAGTAATAATTTATTTTTTTCAAAAAGCTGGCAGTTCACTATGCAGTAAAAGGTCCACGTCAGATTTGCAGAATCCCTACAGGTTCCTTAAATAAAATTTCTCATGAGCCCAACAAAGCATTGCTGCTATGGAAAGAGAGGGAGGGAGAGAGAATGTGTGTGCGTGTGCATAAACAAAACAAAGAGAGTTTCAAATTCATTTGCTATCAGTATCTTCCACTCCACATAACCACTAAAAATCTCTGAAGCTGAGGGCATTGTCTACTGTCACAGACATGGGTGAAGTAAGACTTCTACACTCAATTTCATATATACATTCATTCTGTCTCTTTGCTGCTTCCAAGTTTTTTTCTGTGTTGTCTTTTTATTGACATGGAGATTTTTAAGCTCGTGTTTTTATAAGAATGTAAATGTTGTTTATGCAAAGGAAAAGAAGGAAGAAGGAAATAAAGAAGAAACCAAAGAGGTAAAGAAGGAAGAAGAGAAAAAGGATGAAAGCAAGGACGAGGCAGTGGAGATAGTGCTCAAAGTTTATATGCATTGTGAGGCCTGTGCAAGGAAAGTTGCAAAAGCATTGAAAGGATTTGAAGGTAATCTCTATTCAACTTTCTCCCTCTCAGATCAAAGATGTATTCTGTTTCTTGACTACTTAACTTCTAACTACGAATGCACATGATTATCATCTGAGCTGATATGTATTGAATATATTATAGGTAGTTCTGTGGTTTAGTGTCAACTAGTACTTCTAGTTTCTTACTTTTTAAGAGGGATCAATTACCCACATGAATACTTTTGAATTTCATAAGATAATGATGAAATAAATTAGTCTTAGAGGGGATTCATGTAGAGACAAAAGTTAATTATTGCATCATAGCTAACAAAAGTAAAGGTGCTTAGGTGGTGGAAAAGGTTAATAAAGTAGTGTTAACGTTTCTAATATCTTTGGTGAAACAGGAGTGGAAGAGGTGAGTGCAGATAGCAGGTCAAGCAAAGTGGTAGTGAAAGGGAAGGCTGCAGACCCCATAAAGGTGTGTGAGAGGCTACAAAGGAAAAGTGGCAAGAAGGTGGAGCTAATTTCACCGTTGCCAAAACCCCCAGAGGAGAAAAATGAAGAACCCAAAGAACCACCCACAGAGGAGAAAAAAACACAGGTAAATATATAAACCATTCTCTTCTTGCCTCTATCTGGAAGTTTCCAGATTTATAACTTGGCTCAATCATTCTCTTAGTCAAACATTGGTTAAAAACTTTCAAACCCAATAACATGAAGTTACTTACAAACAGAGTCAAAATCACAGGGGTTTATTAGCCTTGGAGATTAAGAGGCACATGCTTGCACTGTGAGTTCTTGGAGTGTAATTTCTATACTCCTTTTTATGTATATACGGTCTCTTGTTCCGGCTAAAGGGGTTAAAGTTTTTGAATACACGGTGGGTGCTGACATGAAAGTAACGAAACAAAGTAAAATCCCTCCAAAAGGCACACGTAACGAGGGCAACGGCGGTGACAAATGAGAGGGTTTGACCCCACCCCTTTTTCCAAATTGCAACTTGACATGCTGCCCTGCTGCAAAAATGGGGTCACGGGTGCAGTACACCTGGTTTTACCGTGTCCCACTTTGTAACATTCACTTCCACACTAACACACACATAAACCTGTGACGTATGGAGGTTAAAAGTTAAAACAACAGGCCCTCTTGGACGAGATTGACAGGGTAATAAGATAGACTCTCTCAGACTCATCTACTGCTACTCTGCTATGCTTGTACGCTAATAAATTATCGACATGTTTTTAATAATTAATCATCATACTTTATTTGCTAATGTTTGCTCAACCCCATGCCATGTCCCATATCTGAATTGATAAATTATATAACTTGTGGGACCATCTAGGTGTCCTTTTCATAGTCTACGTTGTGACATGGCTTAGACATTTAAGATTCAAGAGAAGATCTATTTATTTTTGTATTGAATGTTTGTTGCGTTTTTCTCCAGAGCTTTTAAGTTTTGAATAGTGTATATGTTCCCAATTGACATCGCTTTAGATGTACTTAACTTCATGGTGCCTAAGCAATAATATTCCCTTAAAATAAATTTAATGTTATTTTGATGGTAATCTAATCCCTTTCTTGTGGTTTTTTGAATTGCTCCTCAGCCTCCTCCTATGGTAACAGTTGTCCTAAAAGTTCGAATGCATTGTGACGCATGTGCTCAAGTTATACAAAAGCGAATCCGTAAGATTAAAGGTGTGCAAATATTCATCCTCTCTTTCTCTATTGCTCCTGCCTACTGTTTCTCATTCGTGCCCTTAGCCACTTGCAAATACAATAAACCAGTTTTGGATCAATTCAGCTAAGTCACAGGCCCCACGTTATTAGTTCCTGTCTTCCAATCATTATTATTTATCATGGTTTCTAATGACTAATGACTAAACTCTAAAGAGAATCCCAACAAAACTGCGGTGCATGATTAAAAGAAAGAATTTACTGGCCCTTTCATTTGATTTACTTCTCTCTTTTCTCAAGTTAACCATGGAATATTTAGGTTCTCGAGAAACATGCTAATATTATACTTTTCGATACTTTCTTTTCGACACATTTTTATTGTCTGATAAAAGCTTATGATAGTGCCCTTAATACCGAGTGAGCCCACGTTCTTTAGTATGGCAAGCATGATCTTTTATAAAAAATATGGAAAGTATTAAAAAAGAAAGAAACAATTTGTTGCTAATATTGTTTATAACCATAAATTTTATGGTTATGGAAACCATTATTGCCCTCATAGGGATGTGATAAACAAACGCAATATTTTTAATACTAGGTTCACGAGCATGTTATAACGTTATGTTCTTTTTTTAAAGTAAGGGCATAAGAATCCTAATCTTTGGCGCTAATCGAGTTCCTTTTAAAACCGTGTGAGCTTACAAGGTTCTTGACTCATTCAAAAAGGAAAATACGAGATCTTATTATTTTCAAGGGGATTTCGATATATCGATCCCAGTGTAATATATATTAACTTCTTTATAAATTAGTATTTTTAGCTCAGAAAAGAAAATGCATAAAATTATTATCAGACAAAAAATTAGAACATTACACATATCTTTAACTAACTTATCTTGAATCTTTAAAAGTTCCACATCAACCCGAACAAAAAAATTCCTTAAAAGTATATCAGATAAAAAGAAAAAGAAAAAGAAACAACACTTTTTAAGAATGTAGGGTATTGTATCTCGATGCTGAAACATTGTACATAACCGCTATGGTTTCAGCCGCATATTGTATTTTAAAATGCCCTTGCAGTTTATATTCTACTTCAGCCGACAAAAAGTAGAAAAAAAAAAAGAACATTAGCCATTCGTATAACACGTGTTATTGAAAGAAAACTATTTTCAATGCTTCGACTTTCAACTAGTGATTTTGTCTTGTACTTTAATTTTGACGCCTATAGAAGTATGTTGGCCTCTATGTTTCGTTGGGTAGTCATGTAATAGCACTTCCTTCGGTTAGAGATTATTAAAAGATAACTTCATTCCTTGCACCCTTGATTCCATGAATAGCCTTTGAAAGATGATTTCTTCATGGAAAGATTTCCATGTTCTGCTCCTTTAACACCATTAACAATTGTTACGTAATTTGAAGCATACTAATGTGTATTAATAATTGTATGTGCAGGAGTAGAATCAGTGCAAACAGACTTGGCAAATGATCAAGTCATAGTAAAAGGTGTTGTTGACCCTGCCAAACTTGTTCATCATGTGAACAAGAGGACCAAAAAGCAAGCCTCTATTGTGAAGGACGAGGAAAAGAGGGAAGAAGAAAAGAAAGAAGAGGAGAAAAAGGAAGAGAAAAAAGAAGGTGAAGAAAACAAGGGAGAAGAAGATAACAAAACTGAAATCAAGAGAAGTGAATACTGGCCATCGAAAAACTACATCGACTACGCTTATGCCCCTCAGATTTTCAGCGACGAGAATCCAAATGCTTGCTCTGTTATGTAAATTAGCAAACCGTGCTGCTAAATCTGTATTAGTTAGAATGCTTAATTAGCTGAAGTAATTTTCTTTTTCAGTGTTGTTAGGTAGCGGTGTGAGTATTTCGAGGTATATTCCTTCCTTTCCATGGCATCCCTCAGAGTTAGATGTCTTATTTCTTATGCTTATGGGCTTTCATGTAGTATAGTCCTTGCCAAAAGGTGGGTAGAAGCACTTCAGTTGGTGTATGTGTTAACATGCTTCACTGAATTTTGGCCCAAGTTTCTTTACCTATTAATGTTGCATTAAAATTTGCATGCATGATGCAACAGTAATTACAAGTCACAACTAGCACCTGGGAAGCCATCCAAGCCTTCAATTCATAGGATTCAATAAATTACCTTCTCCTCTAAGGTCTCTTTAGAATCACAAGAACTCCATCATTGGTAGACTACGGTTCTCTCATGAGCGAATCTGTTGCTTGAGAAAGCATGGACCATTGGTTTTTAATTTTGGCACTCAAAAAGGAACTGTGTCATCAATCACTAAACAAGGTCACCGTCTTATATTAAGGTGCAAAGGAACTAGGCTATCCAAGGTATGACACGGCTCCTACAAAAATTTATGTTGACTTCCACCAAGATGGTTTGGGTGAGATGTTGACTAGACATTTCAGCTATAAGGCGTTCAAAATGCTGACACATAATTGGCAGAATTTATAAGGCTTTGAACATGCGGCCTAGCTTAGTCTCAAATTCAATCAGCACATTCCCGAACCCCTTTTTGTTGTGGCCCATTAACTCATCTACTAAGGTTAAGACACAAAGACAAAAAGGCGTACCTTATTTCTGTGTGTGGCCTGAGATTCCAAAATCCACTTCTCTCACCTAGCTGGATCCCTCAAAAGGAAATGGGGCTCTTGCATGCTCTAGAATCAGATTGAGAAAACAGAATCTTGACACTTTCTCAGTCCTTTTAGGCAAATACTAACACCTCTATGGCTAAACCCAAGTGGTGATCGTGTGATCACAACTTTTTATCAGCTTCATTCATAGTTCATATACTAGACTGCTTAACATGCAGTGCAGAGTGATATTTGGTGCGTGGTACAAAGGAATATATGGCCTGATAACGTCATCAGAGGAATCTTGTGCTGCTTATCTCTTGATTTTGGATAGTGGTTTGTGCCAGCAAATGTATATTTGGACCACAAGGCAATTGTTGAACTACATTTACAATGTAGAAAATGAAGTCTAAGACAAATACGGGCATACAAAAGGAAAAAGCTGAGGGAGACTGGCTCAGGTCCTAATCACAGAGATATTGGAGTTGTGGTACCGTGACTCAGAACTGAATAATGCCGAAAGCACATCTTAATGGGCTTTTTTTTTTTGGTCCCATCTTGAAGCACTCTTTAACTTTAAAGATTGAGTCCCTTTAATTCACTCATTCAAAAATCTCTCTTTTTTTAGACCTACCCGTTATCCTTTTCAAATTCTCAGTGATATGATAATCACGTGGATTTGAGTTCATTAGATCTAACTATTATCACACATATAAAAGAAATAATTATGTGTATAACGTTAGAAGTTAAGTATAAGTAAAGAGATCGCAGTTATAATAATCGAGAAATTCAGTAGCATATAAGTGGGTGGTGTCAAACAAACCCTTTGCCTTAAAGTTTTGATATGATGTCGAAATCCACTTGTGTGATTCTCACAATGACTTAATGTAAGTGATACTCCCCATACAATACAAAATATTCTTCATACATTGCTTGTTCAATTTGACTTATATAATCAAAATAATATATAATTATAATTTAATAGTTGAGTAGATAAAAATTATATTTTATATAAAATTATTAGTGATTTAAAACTTAATATAATTTATGTGTAATATAATCCTTTTTATATCTTATGCATTTCAAAGAATTAAAGATGTTTACAGATATAAAAATAAGATTGACTCTTCCGTGTTCGAAGCAAAAGGGGGAGCATCCATATTACCAATTCTAATAGCCATGGGTATAATACTAAAAAAATGAATGGTGCCAGTTGATTACCTACTACCTATATAACAAGTAACTTATGCATCTTGTTAAAAACAATTATAGGATCATATTCAGCAGCTCCTATAACTATCCTGCATATGATGGCAACGGAGATGTTGTGGCACCCACAGAAATAACGACAACCCTCGAAGACAATAACCACTTATATGACGTTGTTAGAGAAATCAAAGAAGAGTATAAAATATTAATCTCATTAAATTGAATTCATCCTATTTTTAAGAGTACAGAAAGTTATATATATATATAAAAGAAACTAATAATAAAAAATAATAAAATAATTATTATTACAGTTTAGCTAACAAACTAAACCTATTATTACATAATAATGATTTAACATCTCTTTTATCTCCCATTAAACTCAATGTGGAGTGTTTGTCAATACGGAGTTTGTCTCAAAGATCTAAAAAGATTGCTAAACTAGGAGACTTGGTTAAGAGATCTGCAACTTGGAATCTTGCTGAAATACGTTTAACATGAATTTGACCCTGAGCCACTTTTTTCCTGATGAACCATAGATCTAACTCAAAGTGTTTTATTTTAGTATGCATAATAAGATTGGCCGAAAGAAGAACAACACCTTGATTATCACACCAAATTAAAGGAGGTTGTTTACTTTTGATATGAAGCTCAAAAAGAAGGTTTTGAATGTATTGAATCTCAGTAACCAGACTTGCGAGGCTGCAGAATTCAGCTTTTGTTCTGGATCAAGAGACCACACGTTGTTTCTTTGCCATCTAAGAGACAATATTGGTACCCAGATACACATAATTCCCAGAGGTGAATCGCATATCATCTTGATCACTCATCCAATCAGAATCACAGTAGGCTAGAATGTTTGTATCACTAGAGTGCTTGAAATGCAATTCATGATGAAGAGTGCCCTTGAGATATCGAAGAAGATGTTTTGTTGCTTTTCAATGAACTTCAAGAGGACGATGCATAAATTGACACAACTTGTTTACTTTGTAAGCAATATTTGGTCTAGTGATTGTAAGATATTGAAGAGAGTCAACCACAGACCTATAAAGACTAGGATCATGACAACCTTTAGTATTGTCACTGGTTAGTTTCAAAGATGAAGCCATGGGAGTTTTAATTGGGTTGGCCGTGGACATGTTAAGTTTAGCAAGAATATTTGTTATATACTTTATTTGAGAAAGATGTAGATCACCTGCATTATTTGAGTGAACTTTAATGCAAAAAAATGATGAAGTTTGCCAAGTTCTTTAAGAGGAAAAGAGTAATAAAGAGTCTGAATGAGGTTTTGAATTGCAAAGGATGAATTGCTAGTAATGATGATATCGTCAACATATATAAGAATGTATATAGCAGTGGTGTTAGAGATGGAAATGAATAAAAAGTGATCAGATCTAGCTTGAACAAAACCCAATTTGAGTAAAGTGACAGTTAGTTTTTGAAACCAAGCTTTAGGGGCTGCTTGAGGCCATAAATGGCTTTGCGCAATTTGCAAACAAGATAAAAGTTCCCTTGATGAAATCCCTGTGGCTGCTGCATGTATATATTTTTTTTGAAGATCTCCATCAAGAAAAGCATTGTCCACATCTATTTGATGCATTGACCATCCTTTTGAGACAGCAAGGGCAAGAACAACACAAATGCTGACAGGTTTGATGCAGGACTAAACGTATCTCTGTAATCTAGCCCTTGTTGTTGAGTGAAACCTCTTACCACTAATCTAGCTTTATGCTTGAGAATGGAACCATCTGGTTTATAATTATTTTTGAAAATCAATTTGCAAGTTATTGCTTTTCTGCCTGGAGGTAAAGTAACAAGATCCCAGGTATGATTCTTCATTAGAGCCTTGTATTCGTCTTGCATAGCTTGTTTTCAGAGAGTAGTTCCAAGGGCTTGATCAGTAGTGGTTGGTTCAAATGTTGCCAAGAGCGCCTTAAGCTTAAAAATGCCAGCTTTGGCTCTAGTGATCATAGGATGACAATTATGAGTGTAAAGGGCAGACTGAGCTTAAGTGGCAAATTGTGTATGAGACACGGATGAACTGAATTGAGGAATAAGCTGGGTAGAAGCAGCATAGTGCATAGTTGTGGGTTGAGATTCAGGTTGAAGTTGAGTTGAGATATTGTTAGTAGTTGAGGGAGAGTTTGTGAGAATGATTAGTGTAACTGAATCAGCAAAGTCAAGCATGATTTGGGCAGATTAAAATAGTGTTGGAGCTGATACTTGAGATGGCAGAATGGGTATTGTGGGTACAGTTGGAGTTAGAGTCATTGGTGGCTGACCTATAAGGTGGTTAGTGTTGAAAATAGAGGTACCAGGGAAAGTACCTTCATCAAAAATCACATTCCTAAATATAATAACTTTGCCATTATTTGTGAAATATTTATACCCTTTATGTTGCAAGCTATAGCCAATAAAAATGCATTGAGAGGATCTGAAATCCATTTTATAATTATTGGAAGGCCTCAAATGAGGATAGCAAGCACAACCAAATGATTTTAGTAGAAGATAGTTAGGCAGCTTTTTAAAAAGGAGTTTCATATGGAGATTTCATTTAAAGGGTAGGTGTTGGTAATCTATTTATGACATGAATAGTCGTGCTAAAAGCATCAGCCCAAAACACATGAGATAGACCAATTGAGGATAAGAGAGTTAGACCTACTTCTGTAATGTATTTATGCTTTCTTTCAACTGACCCATTTTGTTGATGAGTGTGAGGGCAACTAATCCTATGAATTATGCCATTTTCAATAAACATATTGTTAAGACATGTGAATTCTTTTCCCCCATCAGATTGAAATAGCTTGATATTTCTTTTAAATAGGTTTTCAACCATGTTTTTAAAATGTTTAAAATGATGTGCAGTTTCAGATTTATTTTTCAGAAAATAAACTCATGTGAATTTGGAATATGCATCAGTAAAATGAACATAATAGCAGAAAGTTTCTCTAGAAATATAGTGTGAAAGGTCCCTAAACATCACTATAAATGAGATCAAGAAGAGCATGATATATGGTATTAGAATCAGGAAAGGGTAAAGCATGAGATTTACCATTATAGCAAGATATGCAAACAGAAGTGTCTTTATTACTATTAACAGGTATAGAAATATTATAGGATTTCATGACAATTTCTACTATTTTTCTAGAGGCATGAGCATG